AAAAAAAAAAAAAAAAGAAGCTCTTAAAATATTGATTTAATGGCATGGGATCTTTGCTTTGGTCTCTAAATTTCAAGAATCTGTGCTTGCTAAAAACTTTGTCAAAAAAAAAAAAAAAAAAAAAAAAGAAGCTCTAAAATATATTAATGGCATGGATCTTGCTTTGGTCTAAATTTCAGAATCTGTGCTTGCATAAAACTTGTCAAACATGTCTTGTATTTAACATTTTCTTACATTTTATGTTGTTTCTTACATTTCTAGCTACAGGGTTCTTTTTCATTTTTTAGGATACATTTGCAAAACAAAATCATTATTTTATTAAAGAATTTTAATTGAAATTTCAATTATTAACTATTTATTAATAAAAAATATATATCTTTCATTTAATCAGTTGCTTTGTAAAATATTTTATTTAGCTTAATCGCGATAATTATATATAATATATAATATTTTCACGAAAAAATTTGTCTTGCATTGAATATGATTGGAGAATATGATTTATAACATATATTTGTCTCTTCCCTCCTTTTCTTCCCTGCTTTTTTTTTCCCACTTGCCAAACAGGCTGTAGAATCTTGATTATGGGTATGGGCTGGCTTCAGAATCTTCACTCTGCAAGGCCTTTAAGTCTAAGAATGGGTCCGACCCATTACTGGAAAAGTAGTCTGCAATTTCTTACATTTCATTTCTTTGTTTCACACTCCAAAATTCAGATCCACTGAATCGGTCGGGAGGAAAAAAAGGCCCAGGTGTGTTTTTTAAAAAGGAGTGTTGCTGTTCATAATTCACAAAGGACAAGTAGTTGAAACAGTATAGTATCATAACAGAGCAATTTGAGTTGTCGTTAATGGTAAACGACAATGTCCTGTTGTCACGCGGGCCTAGTGTAAATGACCCATTGACCAATTTGTACAATGGGATGGGTCATGAATTTTCTGGGTTTAATGGTAAAAATTTTGGGATTCTATTCCATCATTATGTAACATAATTTGTTTGTATTCTGGTCACAGTTTTGTTTATTTTACTAATAAATGAATTTATTTTTGAAAATTACTAATTAATGAATTTAATTAACTTTGTATTTTTCAAATTATATTATTCCGAATCTACTTTCTAAATAATACTAAGAAGTAAGAATAATAAAACAAAATAATATACAATCAGAATAGAAGCCTTATCCAAAATAGAAAAAAGAAGGAAAGACAATCAATGTCAGCTTTGACCCCACCAGACCCACCCCACGTGACTTTGACTACCCTCACCGTCCGATCCGATCCGATCCGTTTCCTGCGCTTTTCCTTTTTAACGGCTCTTTCTCTCTCTCTCTCTCTCTCTCTCTCTCTCTCTCCAACTCAACTTTCTCTCTAAAAATCTCTTAAAAATCAAAAATTGCTGCTTTTTTCTTATTTGGCTAATTTTCCTCTTCTGCAACTAAACCTAAAAGCACACGCAAATTCTCAATAAGCCACAGCCATTGGATTATGTCACATTGCGTGAATCTTCACCGTTGAGGCAAAGACCAGCAATGCAGGAGATATTATACCCTACGTGCATATCTATTTTTCAGATTTTCAATAGAGCCAATGGGCACAAGCGCAATCATCAATTTCATTGTTATTAAAGAAACTGGGTTTTGACGGAAATTAAAGGATTAGATTCATAGTATGTCTAAATTGGTGGCCCGCACAGGTCGACATCAGCAGCGCTACGAGGGCGGTTGTCGCCTTGTCGCTGGGTATTTCATATTTTCTTCAAAAAGATTAAATTTTTATTATATACATGTCTATAGATATCGTGATTTATTTATTTTTATTTCTTTGAACTTGGTATGGTGATTGGTTTGATTGTTAAAATGTTTGGTAACGTCATTGTCACTTAAACGGTTTGGGTTTTGGGTTGTTTTTCAGCGTTCTTGGTAAGAAGTTTTGAAAAGTTTATTGGTGATGTTTTTATTGTATTGTGTTGTTCATCTTGTGCATTTTTGACTTTTATGGAATTGGTGGGTTCTTTCTACCTACAGTGATTTCTTTTGATGAATTGTTTGGTGGGACCTCTTTGTATTCTCTGATTTATTTTCCCCTGGGTGCTGGGTTTGAGGGGGGCATCATTGGTGAATTGATGCATTGGTCGCAGGATGAATTCAAGTGGAGTTACTTGATTAGAGGGCTTTACAAAGATTAGTTGTGACTTGTGAGAAGTTGTTGAGCATATTGTAGAAGTGTCAATGTCATGGCGGTTGATTGAGATGGCACTCTTCATTCCACTGCAGTAATTTTGTTGAATGTTTTTGGATTCCTGTATACATGGATATAAGGAAACAATGTATCCTATTATTTTAAACTCATTGCACCTGCAGAAATTAAATTTACTTTCTTGCATTTGTGTCTTATTGTTTCCGTTTTACTGATATATGTATTGTTTTTATTGAATTCATGTCATTTTACACTTGGAAATAATTAGCAAAAAGCTCAACCTTTTTATTGTAAATTGTGGATCTGTTGTGAGAATATTTTTGATACCTTTGATAGATAGCCAAAACACACTGTTCAAAGCATACTGCTATGTTTTCTTGATTTGCTAAATCTTCAGGTTGTATGTTGTATTGGCAGGTGTATTCCATTTAGATATAGAGATTGTGTCGAAAATGGTGATGCTGATTCTGACAAGGTTGTTGAGGTTCTTATGATCAACTCAACTAGTGGACCAGGTTTCTTGTTTCCAAAGGTATGATGTCAAACATTCTTTTCCGGCGTTTACTAAGCCCAGCTAGTTGCTTCTGCAATTCACGCATATGATGAAACTATTACATGGAATTTTTTAAATTTTATTCTTCTGTAATTATCAATTTTTGATTGGAACTGTTTTGTTATGCTGGAGTATTGTTTCCTTGCAAACATGTAGTATATCATATAAATAGAAAGGGCCGGATGGCTTCTTTTATTAATATGATTGAAGATTTAAAAGTGGCCAATTAATTTTATTTGAGGATTTTGCAAATGAAAAACAAATATTACCCTTTATTTGTGAAATTGGTTAAATTTCCTAAAAATCCCTGCCCATGTTAACTCATTGCATGAGTTGAATCTGAAACCTTTACTCTATGTTTGGGAGATTTTTGGAAAATGAGAGGATAAAGAAGGGGGAGAATATTTTGCTTTCTTCCATTATTGGTGACAAGACCAGATGTCCAGATGTCTAAAGAAAATTGGGGTGAAAGTTGAACATGGAGATCCCAACAAATTTTCTCCTAAAATTTGGAAGGAATATGGAGGTAAAAATGAATAAATTTACCATTTTAACCGATTGGCAATCTCTCTAAGCATAAAGATAATAGATAAACTTGTAATTTGATCATCATAAAACAGTTTCACTTATTTTCCTCCTCCAATTTCATTCCTTCCATCTTATTTTCCCTCCTAGATTGTTCCCTAACACAGTATCAAGGAGCCAAAGAGGGATAAATACCAAATGGCTAGATCCTGTCTCTTTGAAGTTTCTGTTTGTGTGTGCGGAATATATAAGTTTCTATTAGAGGCCATTATTTTCATGCTCTAGGAGGACAAAAATTGATTTTCTTTATTTTATAATTTTCTATTTCAAAATTTACTTGCAGGGAGGGTGGGAGAATGATGAAACTGTTGAAGAAGCTGCAGTGAGAGAAGCTATTGAAGAAGCTGGAGTTCGAGGCGACCTAATGGTGGAAGTTTATTTATATTTTTCTTCTTCTTTTTCTTTTTCTTTTTTCTTTTTCTTTTGCTTATTAGATGCAGATAACAATTATCTGTGGCTATTTTATCGTTTCTATACATCTGCATTATATTGTCTTATTCTCATATTGCATTTGATTAAACATCCTGTTTCATGCCATTTGATTTTGGTTTGCAATCTGTATGCTTTGTTATGAGAATAATTTATTTAAAGGAAATCCAGTAGAAAGACAACTGTTGGAGATATGGGCATTGTTGAATTGAAGTATTGTAAATATATGAGAAGAAGATAATGCTATAAAGGAAGCCTCATGAAAATTTTATAAATCCAAGGCATGGCTTTCTAATTCCCCAATTACTAGGGTTCCCCATACATGCCAAAATGTTGATCCATCATAATACAATAGATAAGTTTTAGAATTGATTGAAGAGAAAATTTAATTTCTGCAATCTTGATTACCTTGTGGAAATTAATTTGGCTTGCTTTCCTCAAGTGAAAAATTTTGGTTATTTTTATGGTGAACTACCTATGATGATTATGTGCAAGGTCTCATGGTGATTTTGAAAGAAATGACTTGTGGTAATATTGTAATCCTTTGAAGTCCACTGAATTGTGTATATCAGCTTTGCATCAGTATGCAGTTGTGAATTTTTCAAATGTGGATAGGGGTACATTTTGTTGCAACTTGTACATACGTACGTCTCACGGTGCTGCCCCATGGTTTGATATCTAGATGAGACTTTGGCTCATGCTCTAGAGTTTTGTTTCATTTCAATAGGCATTCATTGGAATAACCATTGAATCATAAATCATAAAAACCAAAGTGAAGGAGAGCCTTGTTTTGGCGGGAATTGGTTTCCCTAAAAATAGACATTAAGATTTTAGAGGTTCAGTTTAAGGTTCAGACGATTCTTCTTTGTCATGGAAGATTCGACCTCATTCCCCAGAACTTTGTGGCAAGTTAAAGCCTTTCAGCTGTTTATGCTTTTATTAACTATGTTCACATCTCAACACATATGTGAAAGTCAAATGCATGTTGGGCATTTTATCATCATTGTTCTGTGAATACAATAGAGTTAATCAAAGTGAAAGTGAATGTGCATTGACAAGCTCATGGTAATGATTTGCCAGACATGAAAATAAAGCTCTGATTCATATATTAGTCCAAAGAGATCCAACTCTTATTTTTTCTCTCTGCTTTTCAGGATTTCATAGGGAATTACCACTTCAAGAGTAAAACACTCCAAGATGAGTGTTGTCCAGAAGGTTTATGCAAAGCTTCAATGTTTGCTTTGTTAGTCAAGGAGGAGCTCGAGTCGTGGCCAGAACAGAGCACCAGAACAAGAAGTTGGTTGACTATATCTGAAGCAGTTGCGAATTGCCGACATAAATGGATGGAAGAGGCTCTGAACCAATTCACAGTGTGGCTTGCAGATAAGATGTAAACCGCAGATTAGGATCGCACCCGATCAAAGATCGATTTCCTGTGTGCATAAAGAAAGAAAAGCTTTTGTTTTTTTTTTTTTTTTTTGGGTTACCCAATGGAAGGAGGCTCTTGAACCAATTCACAGTGTTGGCTTTGCAGATAAATGTAAAGCCGCAGATTAGGATCGCACCCGCCCGATCAAAGATCGATTTCCTGCTGTGGCATAAAGAAAGAAAAAGCTGTTTTTTTTTTTTTTTTTTGGTTACCCAATCAGAGTAGAAGCAGAAAAGTGCTAGGATTTACACAGGTTCTTGTCTTTTTTTTCTTTTTTTTTTTTTTTTTTTTTTTTTATGTTGTCAGAGGTCTTTTTCATGTTACTTGCCTCTGGATATTTAAATTCCTTAATTAACCATGATTTAAATTTTTTTTTTTTTTTTTTTTTTTTTTTTTTATGTTGTCAGAGTCTTTTTCATGTTACTTGCCTCTTGGATTTTAATCCTTAATTAACCATTTGATTTAAATTGCTTAATAGTTAAAAATCAGAAAGCTTAAGACAGCATATTCTTGTAAGTGCAATAATTTTTATAACGAAAAAATGAAGAAAAATAAAAAAACTTTAATTTGAAGTTTACCTCATTTCGTGAAAATTTATAACAAAAAATTTAAGAGCACAATATGAAGTAACGAAAGTACTGAAAAGGACAACAACTCGCAAAGATTTATAATGGGTTCGATTTGTACAAAATTACATATAAATGACATATATACCTCAAAAAACGAAGCTTATCAGCTACCAATGTCTATGAAATACAAATGGCTACAGCTATCCTTTTCTCGTCTGTTCTGTCATCTCCTATAAATTAACAGCAAGGCAAGCCAATTTTCCGCATGGTCCCAGTATCCGATTTCTCTGTATGTCTTCTGTTTATTAACAATAAACAAATTTCTCTTTGTTAAGGAATCCCACCTGCAGTCAAATCTTGACTTGCAAGCATATGGATCGTCTACAGAAGAGGAAGCATGTTGCCTTTCCAACTGTGGCAGGAGGCGAGTTCCTACAGCTCGAGGTGCGAACTAAAGAAAAGCAGAACACAAGGATATATCGTTCGGCGCCTCTTAACTCTCATCAAGAACAATATCAGCCGGATCTCCAATCCATGGCCTCCCTTCTCTCCACTGAAACTTAATCCTTAGCTTCCCATTTGCATCAACTCCGACTACCCTGCCTTTGCTTGCATGAGTCTCCATCCCCCACCCCCACCGAGGTGTTACAAGTCCTTCTCTTATCCTCACCTTGTCCCCTACTTTGAAAGGCCTAATCCGTTCCATTTCCCACGCCTTGCAAAGCCACAGCCTCTCCGTGAAACAGAATGCTACCCATAATTCCCCATCTTCCATCCGATGCACCACCCCAATGCTTGAATGATTCACTTCTCCCCACTGGTGCGTGGGTGTTGATACTGATGCTCTTACCTTCACCCAGTCTCCAATGTGGAGTTCCTCTTCCTCCACCAGCTCCACTTCTGATGGATCAAGCATCCAAGTTTTGGACCCTACTGGAGTATATATTCTTAGTTTTCCATCAGCATCGATAGCCGCAATTGTTCCAACACTTGCATGACTGTGGCCCGACCACCCAAATCTTGGCTGTTTAACAGAGAGTTTAACCCTAACCTTCTGTCCAATCATGAGCCTCATCACTTTTTCCAGATGGGAAGTAGACCCCACCCATCTTTCTTGCTCCCCACAAAAGCCCACATAAGTGCTTCCATCCCATTCATCTCTATCGTACCCCATGCCCTGTACAACACCAATGCATCCTGGCCCAACAGACTTCCAGTTACCAGCATCTTCCTTCAGCCTCACCCATTCTCCCACTTCAAACATCTGTTCGATCTCAAGATCTGCAGGATCTCCTCTCCACAATCCTGGCAAACCAAAGAAAGCAACTCTTACTTCTCCATCAGCATGAACACTGGTTATTATGCCTCTTGAATCAGGCTGAGCATCCCTCCAGCCCCATCTTGGCTCAACTAATCCAGATCGAAACCGAACATGCTGCCCAATTTTGAAGCATGGAACCTTTTCAACATCTGTGTAATGAGTAATCCACCTTCCTTTACGGAAACAACAAGCCAGCTCTAGGTAACCTGTCTCTTGCACACTATGTACAACAGCTAAACTTTCCTTCCCAATACTATTCCAATCATAGCTTGGTCTAGTCCCCAGGCTTGGTTTTGAACGCACCCAGTCACCAACTTCAAATCCTGAAAGTCGTTCGGCATCTCCAGGAGAAACTTTCCACAAGCTGTGTCTGCCAGCAACCCTTGCCTACATCCAAAATCCAAATACTCCGGATTAATATATATTTTTTTTTTGTTTCATCTTTCATTTTCTATGCTGCAAAGGATTGCTTCTAGAAGACTGAGAAGCGCATAGCTAATTATGTGATAATGTTGCAGAACCTTGCAAATTGATGCAGAATGCTATAATTTGCAACAGATTGCTAACTGCAACAATTGCAGGTCAAAACAATTTAAGAGAAGCAGCTGTCACTATGCACAAGAAAATTAAAACAACTAGAAATAATGATAAAAGCTAAATATGCGTACATTCAAAGCTCCATCCATGTCGATTCTAACAATCTTTCCAACAGTTGCAGGGCTTTCATTTGACCATCCAAGTCGTGGCTGAGTTACAGAAGGCATGACATGTATCTCTTGTCCCACTTCAAAAGGAGGCACCTTCTCCACATCTGTCACAGAGCAACAAAAAGGCTTGCTCCTGAAACAAAAGGCAACTCCCATATCACCGTCCTCCTCCAAGCTGTGAATTATTCCAATGCTGTTCCGTGTAATGTCCTCCCATCCATATTTTGGAGAGGATACTGAAGCCTTCACTCTCACCCAATCCCCAACCTGCTCATAGAGGATAAGAAATTTATATAAAAAAGCCTCTTGCCATGGATGTATTAGAAACTTATACATAATAATGAATGGTCTTCCATGATCTAAATGAACATATTGCAAATGAATCACCACAAGACCATGACTTAAACATATATATTACCTTGAAATCCTCGACCTTTTCCATGTCAGATGGGTCAGCCTGCCACGGGATAGGTCGATTTGGAATTTCTATTATGAGGAGACCATCATTCTCAATCTCACTAATCCTTCCAACACTGTGATGGGTCTCACCACCCCAAGCATATCTAGGTTCTGCAACAGATCGCTTCACACACACCCGATCACCAATCTGTAAAATGAAATGATGGATTATGGACTGCTGTATTTTTCCTTGAATTAAAATAAAGCATACATAATTCAACAAAAAAAAAAAAAAAAAAAAAATATGGACTTGTCTGTATTTTTCCTTTGAATTTTAAAATTAAAGCATACCATTAATCTTCAACAAAAAAAAAAAAAAAAAAAAAAAGGCAAAGTTCAAGCCTTACCCTGAAAGGGGCAACAGGCTCAACCTCCTCTGGTTCGCAATGCCAGGGATTTGGAAGATAACTTAGCTCTAACAACAGACTACTATCTGGTCTGATACAATACACAATACCAATGCTTCCTGGTGTTACCAATCCTAGACCATGCTTGGCTGTTGTGAGTGCAGGACGGATTCGAACCCAGTCACCTACCTTGAATTCTTCAACTCTTTCCATTTCTGCTGGATCAGCTTTCCATCCTCTGGATGCTCCAGGAAACCCAACACGTAGAATCCCATCATCATCAACACATAAAACAGTTCCAATGCTGTCACGTGATTGACCACGCCAGCCAAACCTGAAGATAAACAAGATTGATAACCAATTATTCAAAACATGTTAATGCATGGAATGTTTTTAACATCTCTTTGGCCCATTCTATATTGTAAGAGCAAATCAAGCAATCATTAACCAAAAATTATTAAAGTAAAACTTTTCACACTATGTGATTTGAGAGCGAACTATGTAAGTTATAACATGGTATTACAGGCATAAACATGCTAAGACGTTTTCAGAAGAATTACTGATGAGTTCTTAAGCAGAGATGTCATAAATCCAAAGTACACTGTCTTTTCAGGTGTCACGGATCTTTATAAGAACCTTTTTCAATCTTATATCTTAATTTCTAAGTTAAGAGTTCTCAATTCTCACAGGAGTTTCCTAGTTTATGCTTTACACATGATTTATCAGCTATAAAAAAATAAATAAATAAAGTCCTTGTGCCGTTAATGGCTATTGTCCAATGATTTGAGTGACAGGCACTGCAATAACAATAGAGCTTCTTTTGTTCTGTAGTACATTAACTAAAATTATTAAAGTACACAAATGTTAAGTACCATACCTCGGCTCTTTGACATCTGGTTTAAGCTTAACATGCTGTCCCCTGTCTAAGGGAATCACCTTCACAACTTCACTGGCTAACACACGAGCCTCTCCAGTACAGAATGATACTATGAGATTGTCCTTGTCCACAACACTTTGCACAAAGCCTATACTCTTATGTTTAGCACCTTGCCAACCATAAGTAGGAGTTGTAACACTTCTTTTGAACTTCACCCAATCCCCCACTTCAAAACTGAATCACATTGAAAGTTATAAATTGCATCACAAGTGTAAGTAATGTAATATATTTTAGTCATAAAGACACGCCCAAAATAAACTTCCAAATGCAATTTATGACAACATATAATATCAAGTTTTGTACTTACATTGTAGGAGAAAGATGAACGCCTCTATTCATAAGTGCCTCCAGCAAATCTTCTGAAATCCATTCCCGGGGAAGGGCCTCCAAAAAGTCACGCAGTGTCTTACCACTGTCACCAAAACATACATAAATCAAGTCAGTAACATTTGAAACTTCACATTCACCTTCTTACACAACGAGCTATCATACATGTAGAGCAATAACTATAGATTTGACAACATTAAAATTTAAAGAAATATAAGAATCCTTGATAGCTAGTACTTGCCTGTGGTTTCTAACCTCGACAGCAGCACCAGGATTTTTAAGCATAATGATGAGCCATTCAAGATTTTCACGTATCATTTTTGCTGCATCAGCTGCTATGTGGAAAGCATTATCACCTTCATCATCCTAATAACGATAATTTCATGATTGAGTTTCCAAATTGCATAAATAATTTCTTGGAAACATGTATGGATAATACACGGAAAACCTTGTATAACAGATCACCCTAAAGAACAATACTGTTATCTAAGTCAAGAATATGAACAAATAAGTAACAGAATTCAGAGACTGGGTAAAATACCTGCAGATTACAACTCGCCCCAGCTGATAAAAGCAATCCAACACATGACTTTGCCCCTCTGGCTAAGGCTACATGAAGAGGTATCGTATTATGCATGTTTCGAATGTTCACATCCACTCCAGCTTTAAGAATAATCTATTAAAAAATTTGTGCACATACTTAAAATCAAATGGTTGAAGAAGAATCAAGAAGAAGTTTACAAGCTCTTGGCACTTACACCCAATACATGGGCATAAATAGCTACAATTAACATAGCTTACATTGACCAACTCAACATCATTAGCCATAGCAGCAGTATGCAAGGCTGTTCGCCCATGCTGTGCATCTTGGGCCGTTGGATCTGCTCCAGCAGCAAGCAATATACGCACCAGTTCTCTTCCCTCTACATGAAATTGGAAGTTACAAGATAAATGGCATATTTTTCAAAACAAAGAGATAGTTTATAAGCCTAAATAGATATGTAATTGAATTAAACAACATAAATTAATAAAAGCAAAATGCACAAGCAATAGAAAATTTAGAAAGGACCAGAAGAAAAGGAGCTAATTTAGAGAGCACTCAACATCCTTGTTCCACACATGAAGCATGTCACAGGTCTGATGAAACAACTTTTTATTGACACTTAGCAATTGAATTGGAAAAATAAATATAATATACAATCTAATATAACCAAATGCACAGTTCAATTAGAGTTTACAACCCCCAGGAAGAAAAACAAACCGATACAGAGTAGTAATATAAAGCTAAAAATGGCAGCTAAATAGTTGGCCTCAATATTTAATAGTTAGCATGAAAACAGTAGTTAACAATGGAAATGGCACAGTAAAATAGAAAGAACAAGGAAACATTGTTGTCTGTTGATAATACATAAACCCCAGAAAACAAAAAGGGAAAGCCTCTTAGAATGCCAGCTATTTACTTACAAGCCAAATCAGCATTAGCTTTAAAAACTTCAGTTTGATTAATAGACAAAGCTTCAGGTGAATTCAGTTTGATTATCAGCATTGTCAAAATTAGATAGTCTTAGGTTCTAGCATTACCATTTTCATGATCTTTCTTTACAGCAGCTGCCATACACAATGCAGTTCCAACTGGACTTGGTATGTCAATTGTACCAGCAATTTCTTCCAGGGAAGCAACTTCCATCCACCTTTTCACAACAGCCACATTCCATGTTGCCACACACAAGTGCAATGGTCTGTCATATTGAGAAAATTAGGACGCGAACAGAGGAGTAGATGATAAGTGCCAAAGGAAATATACATAGGATAAGAGGTTCAATCACATATGTCAAAATGGTCTAATAGAAAGAAATCATCTCTATGAGCAAGCAAAGGCTCCAAAATTGACTTTACTATGTCAGCATTCAAAGCACTTCACAATCACAATGGTGCAGTGAAAAATAACCTCAAAAAGAACAATATAGCAAGCAGAAGTAAAGCAACAACTATGGACTTGGAGCAGGTCACACTTTCATTTTCTGGATGACAAAAAAGCTACATGCTCTTCAGTTTCTTACTTATGACATGTGAACACCCCACATAACCTCCCAACTATGGAAAAGAGGGATAAAAAAATTCTCATTTTCTACATATTTTTCCCTTTTTTTCATTCGTATCAACTGTGGACAAAAAGATGAAAGAAAAACAACTCTTACGTCAAATTTTTTGAATTCCGAACAGCCATTGATCTACATCCTCCATTCTCCAATATAACAAGAGCACAATCTGTGTATTTCTTGGCGACAGCTCTGTGCAGGACAGTTTCACCTTCATCATCCACTGCATTAGGATCAGCTCCAGCCAGTAGTAGCTCCTGTCATTATTTTAAACCAATTTCAAGAAGCAGCACCAAAGAAACCAACAAGTTAGTTCTTAAACTGAAAACTTACACGCATACAATCAGGTTGTCCATGATAGGCACAAACATGAGCAACAGATGGACCAAAACCATCTCTTAACCTAGATCCAACATTAGCCCCTCTTTCAATAAGTGCACGTACACATTCTGGTGATCCAGCGGCTAAAGCAAAAACAAGTGGAGGATCGCCATCTTTATCCAAAACATCCACATTTGCCTGCCTGTGTTCCAATATAGCCCCAACAAGTTCTGAACTACCACGTCTACAGGCCAAGTGAAGTGCTGTTTGCCCATCAGCATTCTGTGCTTCTAACAATATAGATAATGAGCCACCACCATTTCCAGATGCAGCCTTTGCAAGCAGATCTCTACATTAAAAGTTCAAAAGGGCAAATAATGAAGATGTGTAAGAAAATAAGATAGAAAGCCTTCAGTTCTTTGACTACAGAGGAACAAGTTCCATGCTAAGCGAACTAACCTAACACCTCTGACATCCCCTTCAGATACTAGCCGATGTAAATGGCTAGGATTGTCTTGTAAAACCTCCAAATCAGATGCTGGCGATGGTTCTGTCACATTTGATCCAGCATATTTTGCAAAGCTACTGCTGTAATGCAAAAAACGTTTTAGTCAGCAAATCAAACTCTTCTCTCTCTCTCTCTCTCACACACACACACACAAACATAAAACACTTGCTTATGGCCATGTCAGATGACAATCTCATCAATCACACTCCAATGGAAGAGAAAATTGAAAGGAGAAAGTTCCAGTATAAATGTTTTAAAGTTCTTACTTATCAGGGCTGGCAGGAGGGCTACGTGGCAACTCTTGCAAATGTCGGAGGAATATTGCTAACATTGCATTAAAACTAGGTCTTTTAGATGCCTTGAACTGCAGGCACTCCCCAATCATCTTCCACAATTCTCTAGGCATTCCAACACCCACTACACTAGCATATTGTGGAGGCAATTTTCGAGCTTTGACAACAGCTCGATAAATTTCCCCTGCACTTAAACCAGCCCACCTGCATGATGAACATCAACTTCAATTGCTAGACAAATATACAATATATGGGGAAGTTAGAAAAGGATTAAAAAGAAAATAGAACAAATAATGAGTTATTCCACATACGGGATGGAACCAGTGCACATCTCCACCAATGTACAACCGAAACTCCAGGCATCTGACTCTGCAGAAATACCAATTGCATCATCCCAGAATAAATTCAATGATTTCTTCACTGGCTCCCATGCCTCTGGAGCCGTGTAGTGTGGGCTGAGCATTGTACAGTCCATGCAAGAATGGATTTTCGCAGATTCACACTCTGATCGAGCTTTTCGGCATGCAGGTTTCTTCAAAATTGCAGCAAGTCCATAATCAGAAACTACAGCTCGCCCACTTGGATCCAAAAGAAGATTGGATGGTTTTATGTTCATACAGACAACACCAGCTGCATGGAGTTCAGCCACCCCTCGTGCTATGTCAGCCCCATATCTACAGGTGGAAAATGCTTGCAAGATCAAAACAAGAGTAATCTAGCTGTATCCATGCAATCATGATTCCTTGGGGAAATATAGTCATCTCAGAAAGGTCATTTTCTCAAAATCCACCTCAACATGTTTTTCTTTTTTGGAAGAGTAAAATGTAACAAATAAGTTCCAGCGTACTAAATAGATATCCTAAAATAAAAACCTCAATGATAAGAATAAATAATGGAGACAAGGATGGTTTCTTAATCCTGATTACCGATTCTAATTGATCACTGCATCTATATTGAATACTGAGATTCCTAGAGGGCCACTTACAAAGGTCCAAGAGAAAAACTGGAAATAATTTGTCACAAACTCTACTCAACAAGATATAACCCATACTCCATACTCATACTCCCACAATCATCAAGTGAATTAGAGCGTCATCTATATGCATGCATATACATTTATCTCATCACATGACTTATTGAACAGAATGTTGGCTGTATCAATCTTTAGTTAACACCATAAAATTCACGGTTTTCTGTATGAATGTGACCCTATGACTTCTGCATGGAAAGCAAAAACAATTCGCAAACGCAACAAATATCTTCATCTGAATCCCCATAGAAGGCTTACAATTAGTAGATTCCATGTTTTGGCCTCAGCCAACTTCACTTCTGTATTTAGATAATGAGAGCATATAGAGCATTGCCCCACTCCAACTCAGATCCATACAACAACAAATACATAGTTCTATTCCCAACAGAAAGTTAGAAACACACAAAAAGTTAATTATAAGCCAAGTATCAAGATTACTAAAAGCTACGAGCCTAAGGATCACATTTCTTTCCAATTTACTCTTCAATAATTCACCTCAATTACCTAACTTGGAATTACATTAGAAAGTGCTATTCATTCAAATATTAGATCTTACAATTCAGACTCCTATTCCACTAAATTAAGCCAGTATGCAGAATAAGAAAATCAATCACCGAGAGTTAGTTTTCTAAATCCAAATATTTGTTAACAGACATTTAGATATTAAGTGATTGGAATTTAAACGCATATAAACGATCAATTCTCAACTACAAGCATGAATCAAACAAACACAGGCACCGAAGATTATAGCAACAATAATAGCAAAACCTTAGAATTTGCTCGAGAGTAAGCCTGCCTTCATTTCGCTGCATCTCGGATTGCACAGAACCACAAAATCTATCCATAACAAGTCCTAAACATCCATCCATCTTAACCATCCCATGGAAAGTACAAACATTTCTACACCACATGGAAGCACGCCGCAAGTTCTCCAGCTGCCCTTGCACCCACTCCACCTCCATATCCTCTCCCACCTCCACCCTCTTTATTGCCACGCGATGCTTGCACTTCCCATGGATCCCACCTCCAATTACAGCAGCCCAAGTCTCCACTCCCGCTCTCCTTCCCTCCCCTATCTTCCTAACCAGCTTGACCTCCGGGTGGACCCCTACCTCGATCACCGGCCCGCAACCTCCAGAACTTGAGGCGTGGGACCCGCGGCTACACCTCTCTTCTTCTTCCTCCACGTTATCCTCATCCTCCTCATCGTCCGTGTAATCGCAGTCAAAGTTAGGCGCCGACACAGCCGCAGGAGAGTGGAGAAGGGCAAGAACAGCATAGTTCTTACGGAGTGCATTGACGGAGTTACCTACGACGGAGACATGGCGACACCTGGGACAAACCAAAGTGGTATCAAGCGATGCCGAGAACATCCTGGAAAGGCAGTCTTTGCAAAAGCCATGGCCGCATTGAAGCAGTAAAGGAACTCTTTCCTCCTCGTTATACCTGGTCTGGCAAACAGAACAGCACGGCACCTTCATTTCAAACGTTTTGCTCTACTTTCTCCCTCTTGGAAAATATTCCCAGAAAAACAGATTCAATCAGAAACAAGAGGAAAGATACCATTAAATTTAGAGTTTAAAGGATCTCGGAAGCGATAAACAGAGCAGATCCATAATCCATTAATCGATTAAGAGGATCATAAATAAAGAAAAAAATGTTAAAGAGTTAAAGATTTCAGAGAGATTTTAGAGAGAGAAAGAGTGGGGTTTTATTATAGAGTGAGAGAAAGAAAGAGTAAGGGATTTTTTTTTGTTTGTTTGTTTTTATTTGTTTTTTTCTTTTTCTTCGCTTTTTCTCTCCCTTTTCTCTCGGTTTGGCTGGCTGCTTTTCTTGCTTGCGCTTCATACAGATTAGAGAGAGAGAGCAACACAGTCCATAACTCATCTCTTGCTCTGCATCCGAATCATTTTTTTATTCTTTTTTTTTTTTAAGGATTAGGAGTTTTTTTTTTATTTTTCGCGAAAAATACACGGATAAATTTATACCGAGCTTGAAAAATTACAATAATTATTATCGAGATGATTATTCTGTTGTACAGTTCACGAAATATGATACAATTATTTCAATTAAAATAATATTATTATCTTAAACCAAAGTATGAAACAAGTATATATACCCATATTATAAGTTACTAACTATACTTTCACCTAACCCATTTCCATATTTGGAGAAAGGGTAAAATTGTCCAAATGCCATTCCAAATAGTGATGAAGATTCAAGCATATGTGAATTTTGAGCTAAGGACGTACCATGAGTTTTGTCAAAGTGACCAGGAAGAAACATCTGTCATTGTACTTGAACAAAAATTTTGGACAATGTCACATGATCATTGTTAATACTATGTTCTGTTTTTTTTTTTTTTAATTTCTAGATAAATGTCTAAAATTCATATTTCCATCCACTAAAACCAGTTTTCCTCCTCTAGAGGTTGTGACAAATTTTGATATTTGTTTAAAATTATAAAATTTCTATTTTAATTAATTTATTTATGGGCTTACATGGGCTAGATTAGGATAAAAATGAGAAACAAACACATGTCAAGAGTTCAACTAAAATGAATATGTTCATGGTCCGTTAAGGTTGGTGGGCTGTTGTCCACTTGTCATGTTGATGTCTCTTAATGGGCTTGTCTTGATAACTTATCATCTTCATGCATACATATAGACAGAGTAAGCATTACATTACATGATAAGTTTTCGCACCAAAAGATCATTCTTATGGAAATTTTTTACGCGACATTAAAAATATCGAAACTGTTAAAAAAGATTTACACTTTGACTGTAGTCAAATTATGTAAAAAATATTTTTCCAATCTTAATATAACTTGGTAAAATACCAAATCCCTAATTTTTGTTTATGATTTTCAACGGTCTTGATAGAGGCTTTTTTGTGATGGTGTGAATAGGAGACTGTCTAGCCAATTAGAGGTAGTTCCTTAAGCTAATTAATTACGTGCAGTATAGTATATCATTTTAGCATGGATTAGCGTGCGATCAAAGTTATCCGCTCGTGTCACATATCAAAACATAATCTCTATATTTTTCTAGGATTAATTTTACTACATAATAATTTTTTTAAAAAGCCCATTGCTTGAAAACAAATACTTACACATCACGTAAACAATTTTTTTTTAATCATTAATTATTGTCAAGTATATATTATTAGGTTCAATTTGTAAAATGTTAACTGTCTACAGACCTTTCAACTATTAGATTAGATCATGTCCGTCTATGAGGGCTGGACTTAAAACCTCCCACGAGGGTACTGTCAAGTATAACTGTTATATAGTTATATGGTTTCAGTTCGAGACTATACATTATTTAATCCAATGAAATAAAAATAAAAGTCATGAGTAATAATTTTTTTTTGTAAGTATAATTCAATATCATAATATTCTCTTCTTTTACATATATACAGGATAAGAATATGAAAAGAGAAAAGGCCGTCAACCCACAGCCGCCATCAACTTGGTTACAGAAAGGAACTACACTGCTCCACCATCAACTGCACCTGTCTGCTAAACTCATATATGTATATATATATATAATGTAATTAATGCTCAAAACGAGGTGATTAAGTAGCAGGGTTTGATGAAATTTCTGTTGGAAGATTATAAATTAATTTATTAATCAAACTTTTTCTGTCACAACCAGCTCGATGAAGTGATATTTATACATGAATTTCATTTCGTAAAGTTTAAAATCAAACAAGACCTGTATATTGTCACTGTAGAAGATGCAGTCAAAGATTTCAAGGATTTTGTTCAAGTTTTCCTTTGAATCGGAAAAAAGAAGGAAGAAAAATGAAAGAACAGATCAAAATTTAATAACTGTTATTAGTAATTTAGTATTAACTTCTATATATATTAATATACATATATATGATACGAAATCAAGAATTAATGGCCAAAACAAACAAAACTTACAATGCATACCTAAAAGCTGTTCTAGTTAAACACATCTAACTCATGAGAAGAATATTCATGGAAAAGATTCGATTGAAACATGCTCATAAAGCTCCCTTCCATAGGCGGCAAATATCTATCCAAAGATTCGAATACGAAATCCGAATCAGGAGACGTTGAAGAAGAATCATTGCAAGAGTTCATCAAACTAGGAACGAAAGATCCTTGCCCATCTACGCCTGTTTGGTCAAGAATTTCAGGAGAAGAGTTCAAGTTTTGATCACCACCATTAACGTCCATAAAACGAGCAGCATCGGAGTCTTTTCCGGTGAGTTCTTGCACAAGAGCCCTAAATTTTGAAGCACTGGTCTGAACTTTCATAGGGCTGGATATGTAAACAACTTTGATTGCCTTTTTACTTCTTTTTGCTTGTCTTTTGTTCTTCATGTTAACACCAAGTACATCCATAGCTAAAAAGAAGAAATACCCAGAAGAAGAAAGGAAATGATTGTTTGTGGATGTTGAAAAGTTTATGTACTGAACTATTCTTGGTAGGATTTATATAAAGGTACGGAAGGATGATTTTCGTAGAAGGTGATTAGATAAGAAAAAAGTGCAAGAGGTGTTACTTCTTGGAAGGTGATAATTGATAAGATTAGAGAAAATCTTAGGAATGACAGGAAATAAAACAAAAGGTAACTAGAAGATTTTGTTAATTAAGGATGCTTAAATGACCCGCAACCAATTGGCGGGGGTGTTTTGAGACCTAATGCAGGGCTTTGATTTGGAATCTGGTATACATTGTAGCGAGAAGGAAAATGGGACGGAGCACGTGCGCAGTCACCTGTGACTTAGAACACATTGGAGCTAGCTAGGCTTTTAAGGAGTTTTTGACTTCAATTTCTTTTCAAACACACGTGGCTGGATATGATTGGTTTAAGTAATGTATTAATATCTAAAGGTCTCTATCATGTCATCAAGTTGTGATATAATTAGGGTAATTACTATTTGGCCCTTCTGCAGTCGTTGCCCTATAACATCCAATAATTAGTTTTTTTTGGTTAAGTGACTTTAAATGTCAAAAATACTCTTAAAAATTATTATTATATAATATTTATTGTTTAGTAAAATACACTAATAAAAATCTCAATTTTCTTAATATTATTATTTAATCTCTTTTATAGTAATTATTCTTAAGGATAATTTTTTTTAGAGAATGCTTAAGGATATTTTTAATATTTCACAATCATTTAAAAAAAAAACTAAACATTTAATATTATAATATGAAAATTATAACGCACGGAGTGTGATTTTGAAAAAGAAAACCGTTATTAGTGTATTTGACAAAAATTTAAGGATAATATAGTTATTTCGCCAATGTAATTTTATTTATTTATTTATTTATTTATGTCAATATTGTCATCTTAACTCTTAAACAATTCATTAGTTTATGCATTAATTATGTTAATTAACTAATATTTGGGACCACGGAAAATGAGGGCTACAATGAAAGTGAAAGTAGCAACTTGATATGTAACTTCCTTGTAAGACATATTATACGTGCACACAGAGAATTTTTAGCACCACATTTTATTATATATAGATTATACAATTAGCAACAAATTTATTATTTAAATATTTTTATTTCCAATTTAAGAACCCTCTCTCCCTGAAACGGCAACAGATTAAAATACTCTTAATTCATATTATCAATATTATAATAGATACTATTATAATAAAATCAACTGTATTCATAATAAAATAACAGTTAAAAGAAATTTTTATTAAATATCATTTTATATAAAAATACGTGTGTAAATTAAAAATATGAAGACACGTAAGTACAGAAAAAAAAATCTAATGTGAAAATTTCTTAATCAATATGATTATTAAAAATTCGTAGATTCCCATTGCTTAGATGCTCCACGTCTAGAAGATAAAAACAAGATGACAAAAATGTCCAATTAGTGGACCCCACAATAGGGAGAAAAAATAAATGTTAGAAAAATTGACATTTGTCCTTGCCTTAAAAGTTAATTGAAATCTATCCAACAAGTTGCTAATGTGTCCCTCCACATCATCGCCCTTTTAGCCACATAATTCAAACGCCTTTTTATGTGACAACTTTCAAATTCTACAGTAGCCGTTTGATTGGGCAGCGATGATGCGGCAACTGATCTTTCCGCTGCGATGACGTCAGCTACGACGTCGCTGCTGTCGTCGAGTTAGATCATCAACTTCGCTTGAGCCTTGTCTTTCCATACTTTCCAGAAACTTTTGACCTAATTAGTCTATCTTCCTGTATTTTTTTTTTTTTTTTTAAGTGTTTCTTGAAACCGGTTTTTCTTTATTTTAAATTGGATTATTTCAACAAGAACTATTAAAGATTTTTGGGATCTAATTAATGCGTTCTTTCTAGAAACTGTACGGAATTACAAATTGATATTGATGGAAATAAAAATAAAATAAATTCAATAAAAGTTCGGGTCGGTTCAAATTTGGTTTAGAAGTAAGTCAAATTTAAGCATGAAGTGGTTTGACTCGGTAAGTCTCGCAAAGTGTATCATTTGTGAGGCTTGCAAACAAATTCATTGAACAGACTGAACTAACTCGTTTAATAAGCTCGTGAACAAGCTCGTTTAATGAACTTATTAACGGGCTCGTTTAATAAAATCATGAATAAACTCTTTAAATAGGATCATTAACAAAATCATGAACAAACTCTGTTTACATTTTTTTATAAATATATTAATTTTTATAATAACTATTTTAAAATTTATTATATTAATAAATAAATTACGATATAATTTTTTTATAATTTATAAAATTATGAACTTATGATTAGATAATCTATTGTTATCACGTTTACATGGACTATATTTATTTATTTTTAATCATACTTATTTATACTTTAACTAACTTAATAAAATTATATCATTTCATATAAAAAATCTAATATTTAATTGTTACTTACTTAATTTTAATATGAATATAATAATTTATTAATGAATATAATAATTTATTTGTAGACATGAATATTATTATCTATAATTAATGTTTTAGTACTTTTCTAATATAATATTCATTCTTAAATTAAAAAAACACTCAATTATCACTTTATAAATTATAATTAGTTCTAGTACTTTTTAAATTTATTAAATTATTTTTAATTATAAATCTCATTTTAATGCAAATAATTATCACTTTTTTCTAGTTATAATTTAGGAATAGCATATCAAAAGTGAAATTGGTAATATACTTATATCGTAATAATAATATTTAATCAGATAGAATGACTAATAAATACCAATAATTATATGTTTCTAGTACTTTTCTAATTATAAATATTATTCTAATAAAAACATCAATTATCACTTTTATAATTATAATTAGTTTCTAGTACTATTTAAATTATAATTATTTTTAATTATAAATATCATTTTAATGCACACATTAATTATCACTTTTCTAGTTATAATTAGGAATACATATCAAAAGTAATATTATACTTATATCTAATAATAATATTATAATAGATAGAATGACTATTAAATACCAATAAATTTATTTATAATATTTAATATTGTAATATATTATTGTCCAAAGATATAATAATTATTTAATTAATAAAATAATTTTCATTAAAAATTAAAAATTTAAACTGCAAACTACGTCGTTTAGGTCTAAAGAAACGCTTAACCCTCCATCGCATCTTCCTCCACGCATTTCGTCTAACCCGAGCCGTTCTCTCAGTTCGTCCATCCATCGGACCACCGCCATCTTATTGTCTAGCCGTTCTATGAACCGCTCCTTCCCCGTCATATCTCTCATTCTATCTGACTCCAAAATCTCTTGTAAATCTCTGTAATTTCAGTTTTCTCTCTCTCTCTCTCTCTCTCTGTCTCTCTTACAGAGAAAACTCTAAACCTTCGAACTTACTTGCATCAATGGAGAGCAAAAGAGAAGGGAACAAAAGCCGATAACTGCCATCTTCCTTCTAATTTCATATGCTCAACAAGATAATAGGTATTTCTTCTTATTCTTTTTTTTTTTTTTTCTTAATCATAAATTTGTGCGTGCCTCTGCTGCTTATACATGGGTCTCGAAATCTTGCTCCTCTCCGTTTTGTTTTTGACTCAGTGAATTGGGTGATGCCTGTGTTTGATTCTATTGTAGGATTTAAGCCTTTGTTTGATTAGGTGAAGACAATTGGGTGTTTGATTCCGTTGTGACTAGTGAACACAATTAGGTGATGCCTGCGTTTGATTCTACTTAGGATTTTAGCCCTCGGCTTTCATTATGAGCATTGTTGGTATAAACTGTCCTCTGCTTTGTTTCCAGCTGCAATACAAACGCTATAATTAATTTTTCGTCCTTCAATTTGCAGTCTGGACAGCATTTGTTTACATTCTCTACAGTTTGCAATACCTAAATATTGTCTCTGTCCAGAAATTTTAAGATAAGTGGCAAGACGGATTAGGAGAGAATCAAGAATGGCAAATTACTATGATATTGATGATATTCTCGCGGAAGAAGAGGTCAACACTGTGTTTTTCATCTCCCAACTCCTAGTATTTAAATTTCAAATTTTCTTACTGTTGTTGTTTTCATGCTTCCTCCTGCTTGCAGTTTCTTCCAGTTGTATTCCACAAGGCGGTAAATGGAGTGAAAATTGATGAAAGCACTGAAAGAGGCTATGTAAGTTCTGAGGCATTTCCGTGGAGTGGGAGTGAAAAATAAATTTGTGTTCTGATATGTTGTTAAATTGTGGTTCTTAGGTTGAACAAGGTACAAAGGTGGAGCTACCTTTCTGGCTCGCTCGTGAGTTACACTTGAGGCAATCTGTATCAATGAGTGTTCCCGCCTGTTTCAATCAGAAGTAATTGTCCCATTAGTTCTAAATGATATTTTTTGTTTTGCATTTGAGTAAGAGAAAGATGCATTTTTGTACTCTTGTTTCGATCACAGTGATGCACAATGATCTGGATGCGTAGTTGAGGGGAGCAGACGTAGTTTAACTCACTTGCATCACAACTTCATGTTTGTGGTTATGTGTAGATGTAATAACTCTGGCTAGAAGCCCGAGTATTTTAGCAAATTCTTGTCAAGTTCTCTAATGAGGGATTACATTGTATGATAGAAAACTTCCAGCAGAATGCTTATGCATAAAACATAACAATAGGTTGTTAGAAGTAATTCAAGGTTGTATTTTCTTGTTAGTTCTTTTTTCTTTCTCATAATGGCTTCTTTCACTGCTAGAACGAGGCTGGAAATCCAAGCTGATGCAGCATGTGTGGATCTTAAATCTCGCTGTCCATACTTTTACGAATTTGGATGCAAGCTAGCACCATTGTAAGTCTCTTCCCTATATCTTTGTATTTGTCTATGCACGTGCCCTTCACTGACAGTCATTGTTTGTTATCATTATTATTATTCTTAATTTGGTTATAGTGGAAGCAATGAACTTGCTTCATAGATGAATACAGGTTCTAAAACTTAGAAAACAAATGTTTGAATATCTTCTTATGCATGAATTGCCTAGTTGCCAACCACACACCTTATCAATTGACTAAAACCTTAGGAAATCTTCTATGCCATAGCATGCATGAGAAGATTGATTTATTACCAACCAGAAGCATTGAAGACCTTATTGTCCTTGGCCTCAAAGATAGGAGTTATTGGTTTGGCATTTCTCCTTTATGGAACATGTTGTTTTAGCTTTCTACCTAGGTCTTAGATTATATTTACCTCCATGCATGTTGAAGTTATAAAGCAGATCCTAGGAAGTTTATTTTCTAAGAGGTCCATCTATCATGTAAAATTCACTTGTCTGGATCTTTACAATATGCAGAAGCTAAGTGGAAAATGCCTCTTAACAAAATATGAAAATAAACAAATTGACCTTGTCTGTTGATTTTTAAAGTCAGTCTTGGAACATTTGCTTTCCTGGTTCCTAACCATATGGTGCACCTAATGTTAAGCTTTGGAGGAATATAACACTTGATTAGCATTCTGCACGGTGTTTCTTTTATGTCAAAACTAATGCCTTTAAGGCAACTGTTTCAGTAAAAAAAAAAAAAAAAAATACTATAATCAAATTTCATATGGCATATGTCTGTGATTTAATGTAATGCAATGAAGTTATTCTTTTGCTGTCCTTTTTGTGGTAACTGCTAAGACTACAATAAGCATTGGATAACCGTTGATATTAAATTTGCAAATGTTACTATCCTTATCATTCTTTCGTCATCAAATTTGTTTTTACTGACCTTTTACTTTTTTGGTATTATTATGCATAGGTGCGATAAAACCATTGGATTGTTGCTCTCTTATGCATTTAGAACCCGGTATAAGGAGGTTTTGTACAAGGCACACACTACAGCATTTACAGCAACCTCCAAATTCTGGGCATTTTTATCTAAAGAAGAAAGCAACTGTGAGATTCATCTGCTTGTTTAATCATATTATTTTCTCTTTTTATGCCTTATGTTTAGATGGTAATTTTCTTAGTGTGGCTGTGAAATGCTAGTGTACGAGGCAGCTCAATCTTCCATGGCAGCCTTCAAGAAATGGCGAATGGGTGGCCCCAGATTGCAGAGAGCGTCAATTCTTGGGAGGAAGAGAAAACCAACAGACTAGGGGATATTTCTAATTTGTAGTTACTCTCACTCAGACATTCATGCTTTGATGTTAATTGAGTCTGAAGCACAAAAAAATCGTAATTTGTACTATAAAAGCTTCTCCTTTTCTGTTTTCTGTTTTCTGTTTTCTGTTTTCTCCATTGATGTTTGATTTTGACTTCGAATTTCATGACTCTTGACTTTCAGATAAATTACAGACTAAAAACACATTTGCAATAAACTAAATTGCTCATTTGCTTCAACAGAATTTTCTCAGAAAGGATACTTAAATCGAAGAATGCAAGAACTAGCAGCAACTTAAAAGATGAGGTTTTTACAGACTGAAAGTCAGCGAAGTGTTTATGTGAATTGGGCGCTAGCATTGACTTATCATGTTTAATTGCTTTTGTCGTTACAGATAGAGTGAAAGAATACAAGAAATGTAAATACCACAAAGCAAGGCCCAACAATAATTGGGCTAAAAATCTTATCAAAGCCCAATAAACAAATGGACTAAATAACTTGGCCTATATTTGCTTCGTGAATTAGAGAAGCCCAAAATAAACCAATGCGTTTGCTAGCTCCCTTCTACATTCAACAAAGAAGTTGAAAAGAAAAAAAAAAAAAAAAAAAAAACAAGGCCCAACAAATAATTGGGCTAAAATCTTATCAAAGCCCAATGAATCAAAGTGACTAAATTAACTTTATATTGCTTCGTGAATTAGAGAAAGCCCAAAAAATGAACCAATAGCGTTTGCTAAGGCTCCCTTTCTACATTCAACAAAAGAAGTTGAAAAGAAAAAAAAAAAAAAAAAAAAAAAATCGTCCACAAACTCTTCCGCCCGGTGTATAGGCATGTGCCTCCAAAAGAATACATCCATTATCTATTTACACACAGATTTATAATTAAAAAAAAAAAAAAAAAAAAAAAAAAAAATCATCCCAACTCTTTCCCCTATAGCATGTGCCTCCCAAAAGAATACTCCACTTTCTATTTACACACAGATTATAATTAAAAAAAAAATTTATTCATGTAAATTTTTCATTATATACATTTTAAAAAATACATAAGCAATTATTATAATTGAATAATAAATAAAAATTAATGAGGATTATTGAAAATAAAATAAAATTTAATAAATGTATAATAGACCATGTAAGAATTAACTATAATGTAAAAAGATAAATAGAATATATTTTGGAACGAATCAAAAAGAAAAGACGCTCTATCTTTTTAAATTGGAGGGAGTAGTGTATTGCGTAATATTTACAAATATTACTATATTTAATTAGTACAATTCATTATATAATACGTACAATAAATATTTCTACTTATATTTTTTAAATAAAAAAATTTTTTTCCTAATATTTTTTATAATTATTTTCCGTTCTTTGAAAAAGATACTCTCACCAAAATAAAAGCTAAATTTTAAAATATTGATGATTGTAGGCTTTCTATTGGCCAAGGTAAATTAGGGTAAAAAAATTTCAATTATTACAAAAGCCTTTTAACCCGCACTTTGATCATGCATGTGGCAGAAGCAGAGCGAGAATCGGCATTTAACTTGTCTAGGTCTCGACCGGAGAGAATCATAGCCCTGTCACTAGCAATAGTAAGCCAGAGTGGCTGTATTGTAACTGTGCCAGTATTTCTGACATAATTAACAGCGAAGAAAATTATAAAAGCAAATTATAAAAATGGAAAAAACAGACACAAAAACAATTCATGTCAAAGCACTAAACATTAAAAAAATTGATTAAAAAATCATTAGTCCTTGGAAAGTGGAAGATTTCTACAGAAGAGGACGTCTAGAGATTGGAATGATCTTCACCTCACTCTCTCTCTAATCCAATACATACATTTTTTTTTTGGTGTTTAACAGTAAAAATTATACCTTCAGTTCAAAAAAGAGAAACTTTTATCATCAAATATCATCATCAACTTCAAAATCCCAGGTGGGTTTGGTGGAGACTCTGTGTCTGTTATGATTTTGACTTGAACAATCACTTCCTGGTATGAAATGAAAGTTTTCTTCTTTGCAGTAGTAGGTGAATTTTGATCTTTAAAAGATTGTTTCATTAGTGTTTTTAGCTTGCTTTGGCTTTTGGGTATTGCTTGTTTAGTTGTGAAACTACTTCGCAATATATGAGAGGGTAAGCATGACGTCTCGAAGATTCAGGAATTAGGGGTTTTACAGTGTTTTACCTTGAATTTGACTTCTGGGTATCACGGGGCTGGTGAAAATTTGTGAACTGACAACATGTTAGGGTAGAGCCCTTTGTTCTCTGCAAGGGTTATTACCTCTACTGCGCTTCATTTTGATCTGCCGAGCATCATTGAATTGGCGTTATATTGTTACTGTATAAGTTTTTAGAAGTTGAATTCTGGGTCTTTCGTATGTGAGTCATTGGGTTGGTGTTGCTGTATCATTGGATTGGTGCAAGTTGTTTACTTTGTCTTGCTTTGGAAGCTTATACTCTATGAAAGCAGCATCTGTTTTATTTTATTTTCTTTCTTCTTCTTCTTCTTCTTTTTTTTTTTTTTTTTTTTTTTTTTTTTTTTGTTGTCTGCCGGAGTCGTGCACTTTTGGTGTTGCTGGATGGGTGCAAATTCCAGATCTAAATTTAGTATTGGCTTGAAAGTTCTTCATAGTAGGGTTTTTTATATGTGGGGGATTGGTTTTTTTTTTTTTTTTTTGTGTCTTGCCTGAGTCTGGCATCTGGGTGTTGCTGGATGGGTGCCAAATTCCAAAATCTAAATTTAAATATTGTGCTGAAAGTTCTCATATTTAGGGTTTTTTATATTGTGGGTTGGTCATGAATTGGTTGTATTTTAACAAGCTATTTTGGTTGTGTTCTGATTGGGGTTAAATGTTTTTGTTCTTTTTTCCCCACTTTTTTTTTTTTCCTTTTTTCTGCCTTTTGTCGTGAAAATTGACCGGGAGACTATTTGTTTGGCATCAGACTTAGGTAGAGTAGTTGATCAAATTTGTATTTGATCTATGTAAAATCTTCTTGTAAGATTAGCTCATTCATTTTCTGGTATATGAAATGACATTGGTTATAAACCTGTATAGCTTATGTGATCGGGATGTTTCCAAGGTTCTTTGTACTGTGTTTTAGACTTGGATGGAATCTGAGTATTTTTTTCTGTTATTCTAAGAATATGATTTGAAGAGTTTTATGCTTGCAGTGAACTAGGCTTGAGCTTTGAATGAATCTTGTGAATCTGTGAATAGAACCAATCTGCTAGAACTCAGATTTTAGATAAGAAGTACTTTTGTTCTTCTGTATTTGATTGTTACCATTTCTTATCTTCTTGTTTGTCTCTTTCTTTGCTTTTTACTGAAGGAAGAGAGTGATGCTTATTGCAGTTTGGTTTAGGTAGGGGTTCTTGCTAATTTGCTGGAAGGGGAGTAAGGGGCGAAAGGATAATGGTGATGTATGGGGAGTAGAGGGGGTCTGGAAGATGAGAAGGAAGCCAACGGGATGCTGAGCTTTGATCCTAAATTACCCATTTCAAATGCACCGTAATGTCCCTCTTTGATGTACTTATTTTGTTTTTATTTGAATTTACATTTTGACATGCTATCTTCCTTCAAGTTGTAATTTTTTTTCCCTCAAATTTCTTTACTCTCTGTTCCTGTTTGCTCCATATGAGATCACATAGTAAATTGATGCAATCAATTACACACATTTGAGTAGGTCGGTTAATCCATCAGAAATCTTTTCTGATACTTCAATTTAATTTGTGAATTTTATGTTATAATTTGGTAGATAAGAACACCATAGTTGGGAAGTTTCTTGTTTGGCTGATATATCCTCAGGTCAGAGTTGATTGCAAATATGGTATATTGTCATTGACCAGTGATATAACTAAACTTAGAAATACTTTCCAGTAGTTTGAGTAGTTGAAATTAATTGTGATAGTTTTTGCACAGTTGTTCCTTAATCGTTGTTCACTAATTATAAATTCAAAAAACGTGATTGGAAATCATTAAATTTTCTGGCCAAGACATATCCATGTTTGATCTTAAAGAGAATAATTTGATATGATATGTGTACTTAAATACATTGACCAGTAGTATCATGCTGGCACTCTTGCTGCAACTTAATTTGGTTTCAACTTGTAATGCATTTCTTGCAAGTTATTTCTTAATAAGCTCTGGTTTTCAGTGGCATAGAAGGAAGCGCAATCCATTCATATCGTGTCTGTGATTTTGGGACATTTAAGCGCTCTGTTGCATTTCACTTAGAGGATGCTGTTGAACTGAGTTCAAGTAAGTATTCAGTAATCCAATTGACAGTGCACATTTGACCAGACACCTGGACCTGATAGATAATTGACCTAAAATGCATCTAATGATGTCTTCTTGGCTTGTTTGTTTGTTTAAAGCTTTCATGGGCATTACTTTCTTGCACCCAGAACAATCCACCAGAACATTGGTTATGCAGTACAATATTATCCTTGTAATCAACAAACTATAGAATATGTGGGAATAGTGTTTTTCTTTCCCTTTTTTTTTTATTTTTTTATTTTATGCAACTTGGGGGCATGCACCCTGCAATTTAAATGTGTTTGCTGCTCTAGGTTATCCTCCCCTTTTCACTAACTTTAATCATAACCCTCACTTAATTATTTTGGAGTTTTTGATGGTAAGAATTTTTATCAAGACTTGTAAATAAGTACCTGATTAATCTTTATTTGAGAAAGTTTCATGAATATTTCTGAAAGAGTACAAATGGCAATGTGTAAGAAATTGGTCTGATGTAATATACTAGTGCTCCCTCCGAACAGAATGGATATTTCACTAAATCTAAGAAGTATTGTGATTAGATTTGAGAAATTATTAGTCTGCATCTGTGAAAGATTTTCTGTGACATGGAATTGTAGATACAGTGTTCAATCCAGTAAAAGTTAGTAGCCAAGCAGTCTCTTCTGATCCCCTCCATATTGGCCCTTTCAATAAGGTGAATTTCCATATTCCATTTGTTATATGAGGTTTATGCCTTTATTAGATATTGCTACTAATAAATTTTTCTTCTATCTTGTCAAAACAGTCAAATACTTCTTTTAATATCAATCCATCTGCTGCTCAAGTGGAATCTCAGAGATTGTCATTAGAAAAGAATCAACAATTGAACCTGGTTTCTATATCTGGTGGTAATACAGAGAACTGGGGAGAGTCCAACATGGCTGATGCCAGTCCTAGGACTGATATCTCAACAGATGCCGATACTGATGATAAAAATCAGAGGGTTCTATTCCTTTCCGCCCTTCCCTTTATATTTTATGTGCTAAATTCTGCATATTTGGATATTTGCGGAGATGGTACTGCTAGTTATTAAGAATTTTAGTAACTACTCCGTGTTTTGGATTCCAATGTTGATTCTTTCTGTTGTAGCAAAGGATGAACAGTGACATTATCCTTTCAACTCATCAGAAAATGGATAGATGTAACAAAATTGCTGCAAATCTAAGAATTTGTTGCTTCATGCCTGCAGTTTGATAGAGGTCAATCAACTGCTATTGCAGCTTCAGATTCCAGTGACAGATCGAAGGATAAAATGGATCAGAAGGTAAAGTACCATATAATTCTTTTATGTATAATATTTGACAGTATCTAGCTTCATTTGAGATGTTCCATTATGCTCTGCAGACTCTTCGTAGACTTGCCCAAAATAGAGAAGCTGCAAGAAAAAGCCGCTTGAGGAAGAAAGTATGCCTCGCCTTTCTTCTATCATTCATTTTAATCAGCATTTTGCACTCACTTCTTTATTTGTTTTTCATAATTTTTTTCCCATTGATGGAATGCATGTTGTTTGATACACTAACACTGATTTTTAATGTTGCATTGCAAATTTGCAATGTAAGATTTATAGCGCTTATATGGTTGGCCAATTAAAAGGCAATGTGAGTCAGTATGAGCACTCATGGCACTGGCTTGGCTTCGACCCAAGTTGTTTGATACACTAACACTGATTTTTAATGTTGCATTGCAAATTTGCAATGTAAGATTTATAGCGCTTATATGGTTGGCCAATTAAAAGGCAATGTGAGTCAGTATGAGCACTCATGGCACTGGCTTGGCTTCGACCCAACATGTTTACATTCTATTATTCTTGCTGAAGGTTGTTAGCATGCAAGGAAACCTCTAAAACTGAGGAACTTAGCTCAAAGTGTATAGCCATCTGCTTTGGACAACATACTTCTTGATGCATGCATGCATGTCTAATTATCTCTCTCCGACTGAGTTGCATATATCCTTGTCCTCCGCAGGCTTATGTCCAGCAACTAGAAAGTAGTCGCTTGAAGCTGACCCAACTGGAGCAGGAGCTCCAGCGAGCTCGACAGCAGGTTAACTTTGACTAATTCTTAATCATTTTTTCTGTTTGTTCATTATACATCATCTTTTTCAGGTATTAATTTTTTTTTCAATCTTTTCACTTATTTACTTATTTCCCCTTGTTTTTCCTACATAGGGAATCTTTATATCAAGCTCAGGAGATCAAGCCCATTCAATGAGCGGAAATGGTAGAACCTCTTGTTCTAAATTAAACATGTTTACAAATTTTTTTGTGAAAAAAAAGAAGCTATTTATTCACTTAGAAAGGTCAATATTTTTTCTTGGGAATAGTTTTTTCCAATTTTTATGAATGCTTTGATGAAGTGGTGCATGCAAGCTCTTATTCTACACTAGGCTTGCCAAGCATCGCAGGAGTATAGGTCTGGGCCTTTTCAATCCCTTGTTATTTGATTTGGAGATTTAGTGCTTTTAATAACTTTGATGCTGTAGTCTAGACTTTAATTTATTATTGATGCTGGGATCAAGTTCTGGGTTTCAACGTACCATAATGTCTGATACTGCGTATTAAGTGTCTCCATACCTGTAATGAAGCATTCCATGTCTTCCTCAGATCAAAAAACAAAAGGAACCCTAACATTAAGTTTTTTCTTTTACAATTTGTGCCCTTTATCCTTCATAAGCATGATGGATTAAGAAAGTTAAGGGAAATGGAAAAGGCTTACAATGCATGCCTCTATCCATGAATTTGAGTTTGAATTCATGTTAGGCGTGCAGTTCTTTTCTCATAAGCATGCTCCACACCGATGTTATCTTGTTACCCAGAATTTTATCATGCTAAATTTAGTTCTTAATTGATTAAGAATAGGTGAGATTTATTTTTCTGCTTTGGACGGAAAAGAAATTATATTTAAAATGAAGGAGAAAATTATTTCAAACAGAAGGAAAAGTTTCTTCCTAAGCAAGGATGAAAAAGAGAGAAAAAGAAAAAGAAAAAAAAAACTAGTTATTTGTAGGTGCTTTCTGAAGTTGCTGTATGTCCGTTAGTGAAACCTCCTGGAAATGTACCAAAAGCAGAAGAGCATACTGCCTTAATATTGGCATCTGATAAACTAATGTTTGCAGTATGCATTAGATTACTAAATTACTTTTCTTTTATCTACCATGTAATACTCCATGAGATTGGCCTGAAGTATGCTGATTCCAGTTTTAATGTACTGAGGCTGCATTTATATAGGCCTTTACTAGCAAATTTTTTTTTATAATTATCTCTGAAAAAAAACTGAAATTCAGCCTCTCATCGTCTCTTGTATCAAATTCATTGCTCTGCGTGCAAGTCCATAGCATGACCTACATAATTGTTTTCACCATATCCTGTGCAGGAGCAATGGCATTTGATGTGGAATATGCAAGGTGGCTAGAGGAGCAAAATAGACAAATCAATGAGTTGAGATCAGCTGTCAATTCCCATGCGGGTGACGCCGAACTTCGAATTATCATAGATGGTATAATGGCTCATTATGATGAAATTTTCAGGCTGAAGAGCAATGCAGCCAAGGCTGATGTTTTCCATTTGCTGTCTGGCATGTGGAAGACACCTGCTGAGAGGTGTTTCTTGTGGCTTGGTGGCTTCCGTTCATCAGAGCTTCTGAAGGTGAGTTGTCTCATATTGCTCGTGCCATATGATGCTGGACTGGTGGTTAAAGCATTTAGTCTCTGTAGCCTCTGTGGTAATAAAATTGTTACCATTTTACTTATTTTCTGTCTTGGTCTGTCTACATTAGCTGCTGAATGTCAGTCTTAAGGTTTTTATAAAAGTGCCTGTGCATGTAGCTATTTGTGTGCTTATGAGAATACCAGCCCTGACTGTTCCTGCCAACCCTGTTATCATGGGTGCTGGGAGTATTTATGATTGATCTGTTTTGTCTAAGGTTGTGATGGATTTTAGCCATCTCTTGTCCAATCCCATATATCCCATGGCAGATAACTTCCAGACTAGGATAGCATCCTGATGTTTGAATATGCTCTATTTAAAATTTTTGGAAATTTAATGAATGTCAGCTGTCAATGAGATATATAATTTTTTCTCTGTTGATGTCCCTTTCTGTTTCTCTAAAATTATAAGTGTAGAATATGCTGATGGAGACATTTTCCACTATATAGTGCACCGTCCATGTTTCGACTCTAGAGAAGGTCCTTCATACTTTGAGATAGATGGCTTGACTTGTTTGGCTGTTTACCTTTATGGTTAAAACATTCCTTTTCCCTTCTTTCTCCATTCTTTTGTTGTTATAATGGGAAGGAGAGGTTATTTGATTGACAAATCTTCAGATAAAAGGACAGAAAAGAAAGGGCAGAATGAGTTTGATCTAACAGACAGGTTAAATATGTGAAGAGTTGGGGATCAGGGATCTCAAGTATGACTGGGTTGAGAGTAAAGGCAGTCTGCATCTATCCCTGAGTATGAGGACAACTCTGCTGATGGCAGAGATGCAAGGGGAAAAGCCCCCTGCCTATTCACCTTTCTCATCTGTCGTGGCAGCAGTATGGTAGTTTTTCTTTTTGTGCATTGTGGTTTTTCTGCACCTGCTTATGTGCGTTTGAACTTTATTGTCCTTGGATTTCAGTAATTTTATGCTTGATTCATCATTTTTTTGAGTATGCTAGATCCATCTTCCTTTGCATTGCATTGGTTGATTACTGCTGAAAATATCTAATAATTTCTTGGCCTCCCATCTTAAATATGATGTCCCCTCCGCTCTCTCTTTTTTGTTTCGTTTTTGGAGGGAAGGAAACTGCTCTATTTCCTTTTGTTCCAGAACGTGATAAAATTGTTTATGGTTGCAGCTTCTTGTGAATCAATTGGAGCCCTTGACTGAGCAGCAGTTGGTGGGCATAGGTAATTTGCAGCAATCTTCCCAACAGGCAGAAGATGCTTTATCTCAAGGAATGGAGGCATTGCAGCAGTCTCTGGCTGAGACATTATCTAGTGGATCCCTTGGTTCATCCGGTTCATCTGGAAATGTGGCAAATTACATGGGTCAGATGGCCATGGCCATGGGCAAGCTAGGGACTCTCGAGGGGTTCATTCGTCAGGTAATTACATTTAACGCCATTTGTACATTTCATTAATGCGCGATTCACTTGAGACAGCTCTAAAATCCACTTACTGACTAATTTAACAATTCGAATGATTAGCTTCTTTCCAAGATTGATATTGACGTGCGCAACTTTAAAATTTGATAATTAAACTTAACAAAATAATAAAATGTCTTATACAAGTTATATACCAGAGTATTGAATCTCTTTGAATTTGCTAAGGTCTTGTGTTTTCTTGCATCCCTTCGTCCAGAGATATTGTTTCTCAGGAGGATTTTTTCTTTTTTAAATTGATGGATTTTTAAAATCAGGCTGATAATCTGCGGCAGCAAACGCTACAACAAATGCACCGCATATTGACAACCCGCCAGTCAGCTCGTGCTCTTCTTGCTATCCATGATTACTTTTCCAGATTACGTGCTCTCAGTTCCCTTTGGCTTGCTCGACCGAGAGAGTGAGCTCTGCAGCGGAGTCATGCATTTGCAGGAAAAAATCTTGGGTGATATTCCAGGTCCAGCAATCATTCATGGTTTCTAATGTCTAAAGTATATTTTTTTCCCCCATCCTTTCTCATGCTGTAGTTTCAGTTGGTGTATCATGGGAACTAATCTGTATCAGCAACAGTAGTCATCCATCTTACTGGCACAAAAATTGACCGCTCCAGAAACATATATAAATACATATATCAATGTTAATTATTTATGTTCATAGTATCATCTTTTAATTATCCACATTGTGATGGGAATTTTAAAATTGACTGTCCTTGTAATTCGACATTTTTGTAATGAATTTGAAATTTGGGACACAAAGTTCACTTCTCTTTTCCAAGGTTTCTTTTTATTATGGTTCAGTGTTTGCCCGCGTACATTTGCATCTTGAAATGCATTAATTCCGACATGAGCTTCCATGCAATTCATGGGATTCTGTTTTCATTGATTTCTCCCCAAAGATCATAGATGTTACATTCCTCTCTCCCCCAAAGCCTAGGACTTCGATTTGCTTGTTCTTTCCGGTGAACACAGTCGTTGAAAGCCCGATAGTCAAATCTATCATCATGCTAAACCAAAAAATAGAAACGGTACTCTTCTGACAGCTGAACAACTTTCACCACCAATAGCAAATGACAGTTTTTTGATTTAGAAATCTAACAGGAAATATGAAAAGGTAACAATTTGGTTCCAGCGAAGTGGACCATAAGTATTTTATTTGGAAAATCCATTCCCAACAGGAAAAAGGAAACAAAATAGAGGCACCTCCACGAAACATTGAAGTTTAGTAGTAGTTGCTCTTGTAGAAGTTCTTGAGGAAGTCGGACATGCCTTGATCTTTACTGTCCAAATCCTGCACAAGCCCATGCTGACCCACTACATATTGGCCAATAATATGATGACGCTGCTTTGCATGTTCTACAATGTTGTTCAGCTCTTCCATTCCTTTGAATAGCAGCATATCAATCACCTGCAGGTTTATTACCATTAGCAGGACAAAGAATGGTTTCCAAACGACCGGACTTAGTTAAAAAATGGGAATAAAAAGTGAAACCTAGGAAATTAGCATAAAGTCGTTCTCTGATGATCCCACTGTTTCGAGAGGAAACGTTAGGAGAGAAGAATTCATTTTTCTCCCTCAATTTCTAGGGAGCAATTCCATCTATATTCAATCAGGTGGAAAATTGGAATATCAGGCCATTGAAGGGGAAGAATGGAATTTGAGAATATGATAATTGAGAGAGTCCACAAAGCCAGATTCCAGGGAAAAATGCAGACTAGAGGACAAATTTCATCTTGGTCACCCAATCTATGACTTAATTAACTATTTTCTAAATTTACAACATATGAATTATTGCATCTCAGTTCTGATATGATAAGCATATTAGGAACATTTTCTAGCAAGTTTTTGCAGGAAATCTGATGTACCAGTATAATCTTGTGTTCGGATTACTGTATTTGATCTGAAATCTAGAATTTTATGCGTAGAGCATATATGAAATCACAAATTCTTGTATCTTCATCACTCAAAGTTTTAACTTTCACTCGGAGATGCATAAAAAGAAAAGGGTGAAACCTCAAACCTGTCCTATGTCAAAATTTCTTATGACCCAAATGATAAAATGCTAGCCTCCATTCGAATGTTACTCAGAATAAGATAGAGACTGCCATTAAAATCAATTTCTTATATTTTTCTTTATCATGTATAAAGTACAACTTGTTATGCAACCCCAATACTTCACAGTCTACAATTCGTAAATAAAATAACACAATACAACAAAATTCCATATGCATCTAAGGGAAAAAAGGCACCATTTTGGATATCCCTTATCTAATTGCAAAGTTTCAATTTTTTTTTTTTAGAAAAAAAGCCTATCAAAATGAAAAGCCTAAAAAATAATCAAATTTTCAGAATCAGATATAATTGATGGAAAGCAACAGGATGAACAAAATCGCATCGATACAAATGAAGACGGAAGAGAGAGAATTTAGAAATCAGACCTTGGGATTGGTGACGTTGGAGTTCTTGCGGATCTGAGAGGCGATGCTGGAACGGAGCTCGGAAACGGTAACGACGTCCTGTAAGTTGTAGATGTCCATTATGGTAGGAATGGATCTGCAAGCCGTTCTAAAGAAATCAAACACTCGAGCCCTTGCCTCCTCCAGACTCGCCGAGTTGGGCGGCACCTTCAAGCTTCTCAACGTAAACGCCATCTCTTTCTCCTTCACTCGCTCAACTCACTCAGTTGACTCAGTTCTGAGTCCTCACTTTCGGAGAATTGATAAATAGCCCAATACAGGTGTTCCAGTGAGATATCAATCTCCAGTTCAAACAATAACGAACTTGAATGGGATACGATGAACATTGAACTGGTTAGCGCGACGCCGTTTTGAAATGTTTATTTCGATACCAAAAAACTATTATGCTACGTACTACATGTCGTTTAGTTATAAAAATTCGACTTTCTGGTGAAAAATTGTATTATATAAAAGAATTGGATTTATCGTATTCGGATCACAATAAAGTTAAAGACGATGCTCATCTTGCCCTTTAAATCTTCATAAATTTGCTTAAAATTTAATTTTTATTGTATAATTTGCCCTTTGAGTTTGAACCAAATGATAAAAAGTTTCAATTTTTATGAAAAAATGAAACAAAATAATAATTTTTAAAATTTTTAGTCTTACTTGAGCTTCAGTTCAGCGTTAGAGCCCAAAATTTTTAATTTTTTTTATTCAAAACCCCTAACCCTAATTTCAATTTGAGGCGAATTTACTCTCCAAATTGAAATTAGGATATACACTATGCAAATGTTCAAAATAAAGTGTAATTGCAACAACTCCATTAGTTCAGAATACTTTTGATTATCAAATCCATATTCAAAGATGACTTATGATTAACAATTTTTTGAGAACGTAAATTTCCCACTAAGAAAAGAGCCACACAATGTTGGGATAAAGGTCAATTGATTAGATGATGTTGATCCATCAAAGTTTACACAATCAGCTCTGATCTTTTTTACATTTCCCCACATTCAGCAATAACACATGCCAGTTTAGGCCGGTTGTTGGGTCCAGTAGCCACATTCTCAATCTTCCGGACAACCAAAAGACCATCTCCAAGAACCCTCTGTTAAAGAAGTTAAAACAAGGAAAGGAAAAAAAAAATGAAAATTTTATGAGATACATTTCCATGATCATCTTTGAAAAGAGCACAAAAAACACCTGCAAGTCAGTTCAGGGCAGGTTCCTCTTGAAACTGACTTTGAATATTTGGATCTTAAATGAACTTCGACTCAAGGAATATTAAAGTGAAATAATTAGAACAAGGCAAAGTTAATTAGCTATTTAGTAATTTATAAGAATTGGAGAACATACCCCAAACACAACATGCTTATTGTCGAGCCAGTCGCATTTTGCACAAGTGATAAAGAACTGCAGCAAATGGAGGATCAAATCAACAAAACATCAATTTATGTCAGTTTAAAACAGAATTATTTATTAACAATTTTTCATTTAGCTAGCAAGTTATTTGAAAAAATAAGGGCATAAGGATATGAATTGGGGCATGACTTTAACTCTTCAAAAGTAATTGTCTCTACCAAACGAAGTTATAAATGATGGGAACTGAGGGGAAAAAGATTACTTTATTGGATTGGTTTAAGTAAGCAGGTTAACATCATGGAAGATTATACATTTTTCTTTTTCTTTTTCATAAAAATTATCTTATGTCAAATTCAACCACCTGTCTTATGATTTCTAGTTTATAAGATTAAACAGGTGAACTGCTGCACCTTGAGGGCTTTTAACTTCTGTGCATACAACAATATATCTGGTATATTTACACCTCAAACTCAAATGCTGGAACATGTGTGTGTGTGTGTGTGTGTGAGAGAGAGAGAGAGAGAGTAAAACCTGACATCCGTTCGTGTTTGGCCCACTATTTGCCTGCAACAGAAACACAAAAAAAATGTCCCTTTAGTAAAGGTGAGGTAAAGAACAGTCCTTAATATCAAAATCAAGATTATTCTACAATTAATATAGGTGTCCTAATGCTAAACAATTTCAAGATTCTGAATTAAAAAATATTAGATTTTTCATTTGAAGTCAAACAGGTTGTAATGGAATTATGGAAATATATGTGCTTCAAACGAATGAGATAAACCTCCACAAATTTGGTGCAAAAATAATCTTTGAGCTCCTCTACACTATCAAGCTGGCAACTACAAACTTCTTCAGAGAATATACGTGTTATTAACCGAGTGAGAATTGCCCTTTGTTTCATTAAACCACTAAGTTAATAAAAAACTAACTTTAAGAAAACTTTTATTATAGGGAATTCCTTTAGGCCATTACAGAGTCAGACAAACTACCAAATGCCATTTGTTTAAAATTTGAAACGCACAAAGAAAAGCAAAATAAGATGCAGTTAATTTATAAAGAGAAAATTTCCGACACTCACTAAAACACAGGTCAAGACACCAAAAGCAACAAGACATACACTTAGGAACAAAAGAGAATGCATACCATTGACAGTAGACCAGGACCAGTGTGTTTGGCCGTAAAATTTTCGTCATCAAACTTATGTCCATATATAGAAGCACATCCACTCCCATCATTCTGCAAAGCAAAATTTGCATACTAATGTGACTAACGAAACATACAAGAAAGGGAACTCGGAGTTTGCACAGTTAATGAAGCTTAAATAAGAAGAAATTAAGTGAACCTTAAGAAAATCACCAGCTTGAATCATGAAATCCTTGATCAACCTATGGAACTGGCACCCCTTATAACCTATGGGCGCTCCCGCTTTTCTGCCCATTGAAACGTTTATTAATGGCTACATCAGCCAGACAATTTATCGAAAATCTTCACAACAGTAAGCAATAATTCTCTTTACCTGTGTTCACCGGTACAAAATTGCCTGCCAAATTAAGTAAAAAAAAAATTAATTCAGGAATCAAGCAAAAGCAAGAAACATTAACAGCATCGAAAATGAGAATGGAAAAAACCTGAAATTTTCGGCAGTTTTAGGGGCAATATCGGCAAAAAGCTCCATCTTGATGCGACCGGCAGGGATTGTACCGATAGTAATATCAAAGAAAACGATTGGGTTTTTAGGGTTTGGAGGCCTCACATGCCACTCAACGTTCCCTGTTCCAGCAGCTCCGTTTCCTCCTGACGCCATGAGAAGAGCTAAGAGTCTCTCTTTCTCTCTGCTTAGCTTCTACAAGCTTCTCTGTTTTAGGTTTTAAGCAAGGTTTTTGTTTTTGGTTTTGGGTTTTGGTATTTTACACCCAGGAAAAGTTTGAATTTGCTCCCGCAACTCACACCAAATGTGAAAAAAGCCTCAAAAATATTATTATTTTTAAAATTCTGAGGCTCACAGTTTGTTCTATAGAAAACAGTTTACTTTAGAAAATAGTTTAACTGATAAAGTTGTTTTCTTTTGACTTTTTTTTTTAGCGCTTGGAAGAACAGAAAATTATGAAATTATTTTCCATGTAGTTTAGTTGTTTGGCAGTTTAATTTTTTATAACTTATGTAAAAATCACTTCCAATGACCCCTGTAATAACAATAGCTTAAACATCAATGCCAAACACAGCCTAAAATATATTGGAGACAGGAGTTGAGAGAGTGAGAAACAAAGAGAAGAGGTAATCATTTAGGGAAGCCTTTCTACAACAACAATTATACAGTTTTCTACTACAAGAATTATACAGTTCCCAAAATTATGAATCATTCTACAACAAGCCTCAAATTATAGCAAAAATGAAGACCTCACTCTCTCAAATTATTCATTCACATATCCTTATCAATAATATCACGCATCATCTGTATTGGAATGAGCCCTTCTGTTCGGATTGCATCCTTTTTTGGATCTGGACTAATGAAGAACAGCGTTGGCAAACCTCGAACCTATGCCAAGTAAAGTTTGTCAAATCCAAATTCGATGTGGTAAAATATTCCTATGGCTTCACTTCTTGCAATTAGAGACAGTATTGTAAAATAGTATACAAAAAAAAAAAATCAACTTCTGAGCTTTAATAAGAAAAACATCATCTGATAGATGAAACTCCGTTAAAACTTTTTAGTAATACAAGAAATTTGCAAAGCAAAAAAGAACAGTAGTATACAAAATTGATATTTGGAAACTTACCTGCATGTCATGTGCAAACTCATACTCTTCATCAGTATCGACCTTAACAATAATGGCATTACTCTCATATTCCACAGCAAGCTGCAGAGTTTAACCTCAAGTTATAGGCATTCACTAAGTTAAATCAAGCCAACACTACAAATCAGATGATAACTCAACTTTAAAGCATATATGTAGCCTCTATAGTTCAAGACATTCTAGTAACCAAGAGGAAAAGACGGGTGTGCTTAAATATGATCTAAACTTGCATTGTAGAAGAATGAGAAAACTGATATTGATTAAGATGAGTCCAGTTCCTAAGGAAGACAAAAAGGATATAAAACAAATTTGATAGGGCCTAGAGAATGTATGAGTTGTTGCCCAAAATCATACGGTGGTTAGACACTTTATTTCTATGATACGATTCTCATTATACTTTGTAAATTAAAGTCATTTTGCAAGGGGAATCTATTTTGTTCATTGGTCAAATCCTAATGATGTGAAAAACAATTGTATGGTGGTGTTGATCTAAAGCTTGAGTCTTAGAGCTGTAGATTCTACAAATAGCTACAGAAAAATTGCATAGAACAAATGAAATTTGATGTGCAGACGAAACAGGAAATTAGAAATAAATCATACCATTTCAAGTTCTTGGGCCATCAAAATACAAGGTCCACACCAAGTGGCATAAAAATCAATGATAATCGGCACATTTCTTTCTCCCCTTACCAGCTCCTGTATCTCTTGTGCTGACTTCTTTTTCTGCCCGCCCACAATAACCACTGGGTGCATTAGATTCACAATTACAAAATCTTAAAACATTCCAAAGGGGAACAACAACAAACCCAAAAATAATTAAATTAACTTTCTCCTTTTCCCCCACATTTCCTCAAACATTAAAATACAATAAAATTAAGATCCTATGAATCCACAACAAAATAAAGAAAAAGAATGGTTGGCAGTCTTAGATGGCATACCACAAGATAGTCTTCTCTAACATACTTGCCCAGAGGAGGTCTGCAAAGCAGTCTTCTTGGTTGAGTGGAGAGCGAAAAGGGTCTTTTACGGGTGGTGTTGGTGGTGGAGAAGAGAGAGTTCTCTTTCTGGGTTTTTAAAGAACAAAGAGGAAAAGAAAGAGAAGATAATGGGGGAGCAAGTAATGCAAAGGTTGATGAGAAAGTTGTTACCTTGTGTGTAGTTGTGTAGGGCTGGAGTCTAGCCATTTGCAGAGAAGGAAAGAGTCAGCGAGCTTGGGCTGAGAGGAGGGTTTAGAAGAGATTTTGCAGATAGGAATTGGGAATTTGGGGTGTTTGGGTGTCCGATGGTGGATGTATTAGTTTGGGAATTGCGTTTCCCTGTTTGCGGCTTGTTTGTTTCCTTACCGTTTCCCATATCCCTACTCTGTTTTTGTCCTTTTTTTTTTTTTTTTTTTTTTTTTGAATATTTTTTTTTTATTCATTACAAGTCTAAATGCGGCGAAATAATACGGTGAGACTCCGGTTAGCGAAAAAACAAATCAAACTATATTTGTTAAATGAAATTGGATATTATGGAAGTGTAAAAACACGCCACTAACGACTCGTTAAATTATTATTTATATTATATAAAAAAACACTAATTTGTGTAATTTTCTATTATGAATAATATTCAAACATAATATTAAAAATTTCCCAGCAAATATTTTGGAAGTACATGCCATAAAATATTTTCTGTGTACAGAACAAATGAATCAAATAAATTTTACATAATAAGAAAAATGAGAATTTCCCACAACAATGGGCTATATAAATATTACAAAGAAGAATCCGTTCAGTCCTCAGCTAAAAGCAAGCATCCAGAAGGCAGCAGCAACATAAACCAGCACAACTGTTGTGAACAAAAAATGTTATAAACGAAACCATTTTAATGTAATTAATTAATTTACAGGGGAGAAACAGACATACCATCCTCTGCAAAATCCACCTCTATGCGTAGTTTTTGATGGGGGAAATGGAGGCTGTTGGGGATATTGAGGACCATTTTTCATAGGGTAACCAACTGGAGGCGGAGCAACATAAGGACCTCGAACCGCTGCTTGTGGTGGAGGAGGAGGAGGATAAACTTCACTTGGTGGAGGTGGATATGGAGCTGGAGGCGGAGGATATACAGCTACTGCAAAAAAGAAAAAGAAAATATGAGAATGGCAAGTAATTAATGAAAAACCATTTCTTGAATATTAAAGTTTCATGCAAATGTACCTGGAGCTTGTTGATGATAGTTACGGTTATCCATTTCGAAGTTAATTAAGCAAAATTATATGGCAAGAATGTATTATATACAGAGAGAATGGAGTGGTTAAAACTGGAAGATAAGGTCTGAAAACAATGTTCAGAAATGGCGGCTGTTTTCACTTCTCATGCATAACATAAGAGAGGAAGGTTGGAAGAAATGGTCTTTGTTTCATTAGATTCAACGCTGTGATCTTCGAAACTACACAGAAGCTCCCTTCAAATTTGGTTCTAGATGATTCATAACGTAAGGAATTCAAATGCTAGAATTTCTTTGTTTCATACTTTAAAATTCAAAATGTTATAATAATATGATAATAATATAAATAAGAGCTTATCTAATTAGCTTATAGTGTATCTTAAAAATAAAAAAAATATAAAAAAAAAGCTCATAGTGTAACATATTAGAACAAGTAATTACATCATTTTTTTTAAAATTATAAAAATGAAATAAAATGAAATTTTATATTTTTATAAATTGGTCGGTCTACATGCTTATCTATTGCATATGCTTTGTTTTAAAAAAAAAAGAATTATCATTAATATTTTTATATTTTTTTTTATTTAGTACAAGTCTACTCTTATTCAGATTCGTGACTATTTCTCTCTATAAATATATATATATATACAAGGGTTGCTATTTTAGTATATAGACAGAGTTGAACAAAGAAGGAAAACAATAATACCTAAATTGAAAATTATAAGAGAGAATTATAACAAAAGACTTGCATTACTTTATATTTATTAAGCCACATACATGTCAAATTAGCAAAAATGTAAATCCTATACTCATTCAACAATCCTGAACAGAATGACTTGCAGAAGCCCAAAAAACAATCCTTAAAACTGCATGCCTAAGACAGAAAGAAAAAGAAAGTGTTAAAAGACATGATTATCTCCATATTAACATGTAATTAATTAATTAATTCAAGAAGGAATATATATACATATTATTTATTAAATAGTATATATACGTATAATATATAAAGCTAAATGCTTACGATTTTTTCTTCCTGCTGGGCTTAGAAACAAGCCGCACAGTTGATGTGTGCCGCTGACAAAAAGCAACCATCTAAGCATCCCACAAAACTGCATGCAGCAAGACATTTTGTTAATCAATTTCAGACTTATTTATGAGAGTGATAATGAAAAATAAAAGCAAGGTTAATTGAAATTCTTACCAGCCTCTCCAACAGCCGCTACTGCTCTTACCAGGCTTCATACTTGGTGGAGGATGGGAGGATGGATTTTGTGGCTCTTCAACCCCATCTTTCATAGAGAAATTTACAGGAGATGGAGCAACATAAGAAGCTTGATCATGGTTTTGAGGATTCATTTCTAAGATCTTTCAAGAAACTTGAGAATTCTTAAACAGAAGAGAGAAAATTAGAAGAATAAAGCTCTGGAGACTAGTTGTCGAGCTCCAAAACAACAAATATCTATGCAATGAAAAATGGCTGCTTACTACGGATAATGGATTGGATGGTCTTGGTTTGCTTGAACATTTCTACTTGGCAAGTTAAGAACTGAGACAGGACAACAGGTATAGGTAGTCCTCCAAATTAATGACATTGCCCCACCTCTAAAGGCACATTAATTGGTTAGAGGTATTGAACGACAGGCTTCAATATTGTTAAAGACAGGCTTCGGCAATAGCTATTTATTTGATTAATTGTTAAATATAAATAATATAAAAAAGTTTAATTAATTGTTGTCAAACTTTAAATTTTAGGATATAATATTTCATTAAATACTCATCCGATTTTAAAAGTCTATTATAAATTTTATATTTACAAACAGTATAATTGACAAAAATGGTATTTTGATCTGAAAATACTAAATGTTACTTTAAAATGACTATCATTTGTTTATAATTAGAAGTGGTGTTTTAATATATTTAATTAGAATGGAGCCGTTAGAACTCATTCTCCTTCAACCAAAAGTTTCGGGGTTGGAGGAAGAGAGCAACGCTGCCATTTCATTAACCACTATCATAGCAACAGAGCAGGTGATGACACTATTAATAACAGAGTCCAAATGGGATTGCATCACCAACACCATTTTTGTTACACTAGCTTGACCCCAAAAAAAAAAAAAAAAAAAAAAAACTCATATAGTTAGCAATCTAAGAGTTGACGATGCGTAAAAAAAACAAAAAAAAAAAAAAAAAAAAAAAAAAAAACCCAGAGAGCAAATGGTTTCCATAAATTGATTTCTACACTTGTATTAATCATTTAATAATATCTTCTTGAAATCACTGCATTGTTCAACGAAAGAGAACATTAAAATGAGGTAAAGATTTGTTATTTTGACCTACAACAAGTTAATTAAATCTCCCTCACCCTTTCTTTAATTAGCTCTCTCTCTCTCTATACATCAATTAGCTTCTTCCAATTCTTAATGAAGAATCAACAGCTTTACCAACTCCTGCAAAAAGCTTGGCAATCTCCAGTTGAGTATTGGCTATAATTTCAGTTCTTTTTAGATCCATTTCACCTCTTTTTGCTTCTGCCTCTATTCTCATTTTTTCTACTTCTCTCATTGTGTCCATTCTTGCTTGTTCTGATCTTACCACTACTTCTGCTAGCCATCTTATGCTATCTGCTATCTCCCATTCTTCTCTTCTTCTTCTCTTCTTCCTCTCCATTTTCATCTTCATTCTTTTTGACCTGAATTTCTCCTTATCGCTATACAAAGCTGGAGTACTACTGTCTGTTTCCACGGCATTGTTCTTATCTGAAACATGGTCTGATAATTTTGTTCCACCACCATCTTCCTGATAACATCAAACAGCAAGTTAATAAATTGCAGAAACTATTTTACCTTAGCTAACAGATAATCCATGTAGAAGACAAGCTAAACTACCAGGCAATACAATAATTATGTAAACAGTAATTTGGTTGCAGAAATTAATGTGATTGTCCTAATTAACAACAAAGATTATTGGTTGGTTGAAAATTATAAGAAAGAATCACAAGGAAATGTATTTCTTGACTAACCTTGAGGCCTCTATCAATACCATTGGACCCATGTGAGTTCTGTGCAGTCGTAATAGCCGGAGGAGGAGGAGGAGGAGGAGGAGGAGGCGGAGGCGGTTGTGGCATCACCACAGGAGTTTGTTCCAAGAGCATCAAAGGAGGATGATTAGACACTGGAACTGATTGTAGTGGTGGTGGTAGTTGCGGCTGTAGCGGCTGCTGAGGTGGTACTGCCGTAGCAGCTGCTGCACTTCCACGTAACAAAAGGTCAAGCCTTGGGTATAGAGGCCAAGAGGAGCCATCTGCAGTGGCGGATTCCGATCTATACCTCTTCTTCATGGACTCGATCTTGTTCTTGCATTGGGTTTGCGTTTTTGGTGACTTAGTACAATTTGCACGTGAAGACACGTATCTTGCTACATCTTCCCAATCATGACCTTTAAGCTTGGCTCTGTTTCTAAGTATCCACTTACTTTCATAAGCCTCAAGTAAGCTTGAAACAGCTCCTTCACTCCATTCATCTCTTTTCAGTCTATCGCCGCCGCCCAAACCACCACTACCACCGAGTTGTTTTCTTGATGAGTCTTCTTTGATTATGGTAGAGGGGAGAGATGGGCTTTCTTGGTTTGTTTCTTTATCCATTTCTCTCCATGCTAAAGAAAACCTTGCTTTTTGTTATAATTCACCTCCGTTGAGCAGCTAACACTTGTACAACACCATGAAAGAAGTTGAAGAAGAAGAAGCAGAGTGAGAAAGAAAAAGAAAAGGAGAAAGAAACCACTAGCATTAGAGAAGGGAAAAAGAAAGGCTAGTAGTAGTGGCCAACCAGAGAAAGAGAGAGAACCACTAGCATTTGAGAGCAAAAGAAAAGGGTTAGTGGGAAAAAAAACAAGAAAGTAGTTCACTTTGTCAAATGAGTTAATGATAGTAACCTCTTAACTTTATTTTCATTTCTTGATTACACTTTTTTAAGTAGGGGTGGAATTATATTATTTGTGGGTATGTTGGTTCTAAAAAAATGTTGAGGGTTGGGTTATTTTGGCTGTTAGCGTTGATATGAAGCCAACCAAGAAATCCACTGCGAATGGCCTAATAGAGAGGAAGAAGAAGAGGTGGTGGTGGTGGGTCAATCACGTGGGTGTGTCACCCACTCTATCCCATCACCACCACCACCACCACCTCCACCACCACTAGTATAGCAGTATATGCTACGGTCACTTGACCTTAGCTACACCTTTTCTTCTTTTTTAGCTTTGCTTTTTGCCTTTTGGTGCTCTTAGAAAAAGCTTTGGGTGGGATTCATCGCCCATTAGAGTAGGTCATTGCTTCTTAAACTTTTTTGATTGGTAGTAATACTTATTCTGGCTCACCATTGTGCTTGGCGAATCACATTGTTGTCACACATCGAGGTGGTTAATTAATTATGTAGTCTTATATATTTTTAATCAAGATTAGAAAATTTGGTCATTCCATAATTGTTTCATTGAATCATTTTGACAACCTCACTGCCTAAAGCGGTTTAGCCTTTTTTTTTTTCTCTATATTTTCTTTTTTTCAAGGAAAATAAAGCAAGCTCATTTTATTTGTAAATCACTTAGTTTTGATATTAAATAATTATCCTTCAATTACATTAGAAATTAATAGAAAATCAATTTTATGTGTTTACTTTGTTGGGAATAATTCTTTTTTAAAGTACACTATGCGTATCTTTGACATTGAAATTGTAGAATCTATTAAAAATATTCTCATTACATAATTAACAATATATAAAAGAAAAAAAAGAAAGTTTCGATTCTATTCTTAATTTTGTTTATAGAGATAATTAATTAACTAACTTTGGATGAGATTTAATAGCTGTAGCATATCTAATATTAAAATATGATGGGAGGATAATCAATATTCAAAACTATCTATTATGAAATTGCTATTTACATTTGCAAAAATAACATTAAAACGATAGAAGGAAGGCTTGAACCTCCGACCTTGTCGTTAAGGGCCACACGCTCTAACCAACTGAGCTATTCCAGCTTTATTAATTGACTTCAGAAACAGCTACTAGAGTTTAAAACAAAAGAAAGACTAATTACGAGCACGTTATAAGATGATTGTGTATTTTGAATTTGAAATATAAAATTTATATTTCAAATATTCGATCATTTCAGATAATGAAAGGTTTTACAAATTTGAACTGGAAAAAGCATCAAAAGATGAAAATGCCATTAGCAAGCATTTGAAAGGTAGTTGGAAAGTAGTTGGAAAAGAGAAAAAGTGAATGGCTTTTTAATTGGAGGACTTTTCAATATAGTGGTGATGTGGTATAAAAGGATTTAAATCTTAACAATTTATAATAGAAGCACAAATCTTGTAAGTATTGGACAAAGTAAAAAGATGATAATTGCATTACTTGTGGGATCTGATTATGCAAAATGGAATCAATCCATAAGAGGACCATTTCCACTACCTTGCACATAATTCACTCCAACTAATTGTCAACTTGTTATGAGTTGTGCAAATTCATATTTCCAAAAAAAAAAAAAAAAAAAAAAAAAAAAAATATAAGCGATTTATTAACTTAACAATTTGTAATAATTAGAAGCACAGAATCTTTCGTAAGTAGTTTGGCACAAGAGTTATAAAGAGAGATGATTTAAGTGCGAACAACTCGCTACTGTTGACGTATCTAGAGTTATCGCACCACAAATAGGAGAATCAATCCATAAATTAAGAGACACCCATTTTACACAACTTACCCTATGCACATATTAATTTCACATTCAAACTAATTTGTCAACTTGCTGATTGAGTTGCGCAAAATTTCATATTTCCAAAAAAAAAAAAAAAAAAAAAAAAAAAACAAAATTTCTGAATTGAATCATATGATTTCCCTAATGATAGAGAGTCGTATTAAAATTATGTTCTTGAACATATTGAACTTCTCAAACTGAAAAAAATTATCCATTGTATAGCAGATAGCAAGATTTTCCCAAAACACACACCAAAGACATAGCCTAGTCGGTTAATACATATATGCACCCTGACACATGATCACAAGTTCGAAATCTCCTCAATTGATAACTCCAAAAAAAAAAAAAACAAATAAAAAACATATAACCAAAAAAAGGAAAAGTTATGTTTCCAGAACCCAGAGACTCCCTAAGATCTGATATCACCGTCCACTTCCTTGGTAAACCAGCTAGACGATTTTTTATATAAACATTTTAGATATTTTCACCTCGAATTCTGCAAAATTATTACATTATTTCAGGACACGACATAAGAATTGACTACGAATAGGGGATAGGATGGAGATGTTAACATACTTGCGATACATCCTGTGTTCATGGGCTAGGCCATTGTCTCTCATCTTCTTGTTACTCTCATTTCTTCTTTTAGTTTTCTGATTAAAAAAAAAAAAAAAAAAAAAAAAAAAAAAAGGAAAAGATTTTCCAGAACCCGAGACTCCAAACTAATCCGTCCTTGAACAGAGCGATTTTTTTTAACATTTTAGATATTTTCACCTCGAATCTGCAAATTATATTATCAGACACGACATAAGAATGATATGAATAGGGGATAGATGGAGAGTTACATACTTGGATACATCTGTTTCCAATGGGCAGCCATTGTCTCTTATCTTCTTGTACTCTTCATTTCTTCTTTAGTTTTTGATGATAACAACTGTTTTTGAGCACAAAGAAGTTGATTGCCCACCTAACCAATTTAAATTAATTTATGGCAATTTGGCAACAATATGCCAAAGCATCTTTCATATACCCACCGTTCTTGTTTCTCTAAGCACTTTCAATCAGCTATGAAAACTAAACAATGGATGAAACAGGAAAAAGGAGGAAGAAAACAACACAGGCTACCTAACCAGCTCAAACTGGAAGGAGTTATGCCTCCAGCTAAAATGGTGTCCCACAAAAGATGGATTCTAATCAAAATTAGAATACATATTGTTGACATGAGACTCATGATATAGACAGGACAGCCACTGTTCGTACAGTTTTTTTCTACTGTCAAACACAGTTTAGATTTCAACAATAATTGTTTTATTTGTAACAATTCAATTTCAGAAATAGAAAGCATCTAGTACACAAATCAAAAGGTCTACATCCAATAAGTTGCCTTGAGCAATGGACTTCTACCAATTACAGAAAAAGGAAAAAGACAGTTGTGGTGGACACTAATTTATTATTTTATATCTTGTTTGCAGGTATCGAGAATACTCTAGTGGCAAGTGTTTTAGGACAAACAACAAAATTTAGAAAGAAACACTATAGCTATGCTTGATAAGCCGTAATTTGATGTAATACTTTGTATTATGGCTTACTGAACATTGTCTAAATGAAAATATTAGAAAATCAAAGTGCCAATTCTAAGTAGCTTCAGATTCAAGCTGGGATTGCACATTATTAGATATACCACAAATACATACACCACAAACAAATTACAGCAGCCTAAAATGCATAAAGTTGATTCTAACCTGAAGCATTCGTCAAAAACTAAAAGATAACAACTTGAGTCAAGTAGGGTAAAGAAAGAAGGCAGCAATTTATGTCAACCAGCAACAAAATTTGTATCTAAATTAGACAAATATGGTATGGGTTAGGTATCAGCTCTACTCATAGGCCATCCATCAAATGATAAAACTAACTCTCTTCCTTTTCTTTTTGTTAATCTGACAACCTAAGAGGGTCAAATGCATGTCAATTAATATGGTTCAACATCAATGACAGAATCACAATTAGGGTTGCATTACCTAAGCAAGAGACACTTGATTATTACCTGGCCTCATCTTTCAAAGGGCTTACATGTTTTGCATTTTTTTTTTTTCAATCCATTGATGCAGATACCTCAAAATAATCCAATTCAAAATTTCATAGATTCTCAATCATTTTTCCATAGCCTATTGAAATTGACTGCAAATAAAATTATATCAACTGAATGTCATATAAGTTTATCGAGATTGCAACGAGTTTACTGTCGACCAATTAATGTATAAACAATTACCAACTCAAAAAGAACCATACAAATATTAAATAAATAAATAAAGAAATAAAACTTCTAGGATGAGAGGATCTTGAGGGTGAAAAAGAAAACGATAATAAATGACCAGTTCACCTGGTCCTACATAAGGTTAGCCTAGTCCATATAGACCTAAAGCCGGTCTAGGTTTTTAACAATGGATTAATTTTAATTTCAATTTACACAAGTCTATCTACATCATTTCTATTACAGGATGAGTTGCCTTTTGCAAAACAGAGATTTGCATGCATATTTAGCACTGGAATTTAGACTAGTCATCGCTAGTAATATAAAGCTACACATTGATGCTAGAACCCTAGAATAAGAGAAATTATAATCTTTATGTAACTCAGATTTGATCTTCCTTCTGATGCACAAACGATTCATGAATGGGATTCAAATTAAATAATTTGAATCCTGAACTATCAGGAGATGTTTACATGAATCTGTTTCCTCCAATGGGTGCTATCAATAATCAGGGCCATATTTTCTTGTATATGTTAATTAATCAAATTCAAACCTTTCCTTAAATTTCAACCCAAGTCAGTTCCTCATACCTTTAATCCTTTTGTCCTTTTCATTTGAATTACTCTCTGGTTGTAGAGGACCAAGCCAAAAGATCAGACCTAGGACTAGAATGGACGTGCTTATTTCCTTCTTCTATTTCAGAAACTTTAAAGCTAACATTGACAAGATCATCACATGTAACCAACGTCTTTTTCCCTTATATAGATTTGAAGCTTATCAAAATATACCAAAGACAAAAATCAAAGGCTTGTAACATACTTAGGAATCTCAAGCCTCAACTAATATCAGAATTAATCTGAAATCATATAGACTGAGCCTTACTGCTCCTTCAGCTTGCTGAAACTATCTTTATTTATCATTTGATTCATACAGAATTGACAGAAAGAAAGAGATTAAGGTGCGGGCAATGGATCATTTTCAGTTCCAGTGATGTCAACAGAAGTCTCTTCATAGTTTAACAGTATAGATGGATCTAAGATCCACAAAAGAGGATTGTGGAACAAGGATATTCAGGGCAGCCTACAAGGATGATAGAATATTATCAAACCAAAAATTAAAGGTAAGCTTTTAAAAGATTTTATCAGTACTGCTTTGTTCAGTTTGAATCTGTTCCCTACAGTAGATTTTCACGTTTCTAATTGGTTTACTTTCCATGCGCAGATTAATTATAAGACTTTAGAAAATCTTAATCACACTGTTTTGCTTAGTTTGAATCTTGCCTCCTAGCTTGGAATATGGATGATAAGTTTTCAGTTATTTACTTTTAAATAGAAATCAAACCAATCATTATTAAGTTTAGGGATCAGACATGGGATCACTTGCTAAGGTCTATAAAAGAAAAAAATTAGACAAGTGTTAAGGAAAACTGAAGGTGGTTTGCAGATGTCCCTGTATGTGCTTGTGAAATAGTTCAAAGGAAAAGTTTTCACCACTCAGCAGCTTAGAATAAAGCATTGTAGAGAAAATTTGTACCATATCTAGCGTTCCATAACGACTAGTTCTTATACAATTGTTTCTAGACATTATAGTGGTAGTAGCATACCAAGACATGATGGAAAAATTCACAATCGAGATGAATAAATAAAGCATCATTTGTCCATATTGCCAGGTATAGTTCAACCTTTTCTCTGAAGCATGGGTCACTGATGCAAGCCACACAAGACATCACATGGATCATCAATGATAAAGCATCGTAAGCAAGAGTGGTAAAGAACTCTGGAAATAATTGCAATGTTTTTCAGGCACCATTAAAGAAAAACGTTCAGAAAATGTAAAACCAGTGAGAGATAAAATTTACAATCATTAATATTATTATCATTCCATTGTCAATCTACATTCCTCTCTTTACCTTTTCATGTGCTATTATGAATAGAAATTCAGCAGCTACTTTGTACAATATACATCTAAAACTAAAAAGAAATCAATTCTTTAGTATAAGAGAAAGAACTAACTAACCGAATGCAATCCAGAAGCCATCAATTTATGAAGATTGTAAAGAATCAAACCGCAAACTGGTGTTGCTTGATCCGTCCTCAATCACCTCCAACAATGCAATAGCTTTACTCTTCCCTTTGGCGCTTCCATGCTCCACCACTTCCTTGATCCCTTCCACCACTCCCGCCGCCATTTCTCTCACATTCCCAACCACTCCCTCCCTTCCACTCCTCACCAAATTCAACAATGCCGCCACAGCATTCTCCTTTATTCTCTCACTGGACCCTGTCCCTAGATCCAGCAAGTCCACCAAAATTCCCACCCCTGAAAATTTAGCAAATTCTTCCTCACTCTCCTCGCATCCCGCAATTTGCGCTATCACCGCCGTCGCGTCCTCCACTATTCCCACTCTCCCGTCTTTCAAAACTAAAGAAAACAACGCAGGGACCGCCCCAAGATCAATCAGTGTTGATCTATTCAAAGGATATAAAGCAATTCCAAACAAGGCTTTTAAGGCGTCTTTAATTGACCGCGGCGGCGACTTAGGTGTTTTGAGTATATCTATCAAGGAATAAACGATGTCACGTTTGGATCCAATGATAGGCCGGTAAGAATCGACAACAAGGAGGCTGTGCAACGTGGCAGCAGAAGATTGAATGGCAGTTGGGGCAGTGGTAGTAGCATGGTGGCTGAGAGCGTGAGCAAGCGCATCGAGAAGACCCCGGGTGGACATGAGGGATTCGCGGGAAGAGATAGAGATGTTAAGGAGGGTGGCAGCAGCATTCTCTTGTGAATCATGAGAAGAAGAATAAAGCGTCTCAGCTAAGTAAGGAATAGCACCAGCTTCGGCGATAATTTGGCGGCTATCGGCGTCGTGTTTGGTGATGAGTCGCAGCTCGGCTAAGGCTTCGGCTCGGGTTTTCTCAGAAACAGAGCTTAGTTTGGATACCAGCAATCGAGCAGTTCTGCGCTTCACCTCCATTGAAGCTATAAAAGATGAGTTTTGACTCTTTCTGCGTATAGAGTTGTGAGAGGAAGAAGATAAGATTGAAGAGGTTTCAGACGAAATCGACCTAACTCTCAAACGACAAAGCGGGTCTTTGGCTCTGCTTCCGTGTCCCTTTGGTGGTGTTATTCGGCCGCCACGTTTTGCTAGCTAAAATTTGCCATGGTCAAATCAACTTGGCTGATGGGCATGGGCCCCGCCCTATGGCCAATGAGAAGGTCGGAAAACGGAAAATAGGCGAGGCGAGGCCCACCGCCGACGTCATTATTCTCTCACAAATATGTCAATGACAAATTGGCGGTGCTCGAAGACGCTACACGATCTTTACGTAAGTTTTGTTAATTTTAAAATGTCGCTGTTTAAATTTAATTATCATATATGAGATTTTGTTTTTTTGCTTAATCACAAAAATAAAAATCTCAAATTTTTATTTTTATTTTTTTAATTTCACCAGTATTTTTAATTTTGCAATTGATACCCTGTATTTATTTTTTTATAATCAATTTTGTTTATTAGAGATTAGGATAATATTGCTTATCCTTTTATATGAAAAATTATGCTAAACTGCTAGTTATCACATGAGAACAAAGGTAAGGGCTAAGGGCTAGACTTGGCCCATTCAAGTCAGCTCTAGCCCAAACTTTTGGGCCTAAAATTGAAGGCAGCCTGCATGCCATGACATAAAACAACATTTCAGTATATCAATGTGTGTAGTTTAAGTTGGGTCAGGGCTCCCGATTCGATTAGAGTACAAGCTGCCTGGCTCTTTCTTCTTCATTACATCATTATTTTTTAATTTTTATAAAATTATTAAATTAAAATATTCTTATAATTTTGGTAACATTCAATAAAATAGTATAAAACAAACCAAAAATTACTAATAAAATAATTCTAAAAAAAATTTAATAAAATTCATATTTCGATTGATTTAATTTATGAATTTATAGCGGAGTATAGACTCAGTTTAGTTTAGATAGATTATCTGTCATTATTATCATATCATTATCACAGCCATCATTTATACAGTGACAGATCCTTTATATAAAAAGACGAATCAATTAACTTCTCTTTTTTATTTAATTTTTCTAATAAATATATATAATTGACCTAAATTAATTCATTAAATTTTAATTTATTTATATTTTTGACCCCTCATTTTTTAAAATATTATATGTTAACATCGAATAAAAATATTTCTAAATCCACCGTTAACCGTCTCAGTTATCAACATCCACCATCCATTCCAGTTCCCATGTCCCAATCTTATCATAGAATTATTTTTATATAGAAACAGTTGACTTTAATTAATTAAGATGTTAGCAATCTCCTAAAATAGATCTACTCACGTTTTATTTAACAAAATATTATTTAAAAAAAAGACAAATCCACTCAACATGATTTTAAACTCAGAAACAACCCTTTCCTCCTCTCCTCCTCCACTTTGCCGCGAATGATCGTTAATCGCCGCCGGCAGCCCCTGCCTAAATTTGTACTGATAAATTCAACAATAAAATTGCGGCGGCTGGCTGGATTAAATCATTAATTAACAAGTAGCACCAAAAACAAAAGACGACATGCTTCCTTCCATCGGGTTTCCAAGATCTCCACTTTTCAAAGATAAACTGAGTGAATTGAAAGTTTCAGTTTCTGGGTCACCAGTTTTTCAAGAAAGGGAAGGGTTTGTTGAGTTTGATTACTTCAAAACTTCTCAAATTGTACACTTGCAGTTTGGATAATATAATATATGCATGTTGCTTTAGTGGTTTTTTTTTTAATATTATTTTAATAGCTAACACCCCTAATTATAATCGTGTGAACGGTTTAAGACTAAGCGTTTTCAACTAAAATTTTCTTGATTTGACAGGCAATTTCAAAGGCCACAAAACCATATAATAATACAATTATTATACAGTTCTGCTGCGTTACTCATAATATTATTATAAAAATAAAAAAAGAAAAGCACATTTTCTCAGAAAGGAAAAAAAAATATACAGTTGGTTGTGCGATTGTCATAAGTATGCCCAATGCGTGAATTGCTAATATGCCCTATCATATACAGACAGTTGGTGTCGCCATCTTTCCTTTCCAAGAATCTGACTCTCTCTATATCCACTGCGATATTTTCTTCTCTTAGCTTTCTGTTTTCTCTCTTCGCCATAAGCTAAACCATGAATTCAATGGCCACGCTCACCTCCGCTTCTTCCATTCTCAGAGCCTCTCCGCTTGGTACCTCCTCTTCTCTTTCAAAGTTCTCAAAATTCCATTTCTCTCCACCATCCACCTCCTCGTCTTTTCGTGTAATCTGCCGTGGAAAATTGCCTCCGAGTGACCTCAAATTTGTGCTTCACCATGCCTTGGATTCCTCTGGAATCGACACTACTCATGCCAGAGTATTTAATTCTTCTCGTTTCTTTAATATATTTTTAATTTGGCTAATTCGATTGATAGTTGGATAATTGATGATTGGTGCAGGAAGCGAGGAAGGGATTCTTGTCACAGATTGAGAAATTAACGATTATTGAGAGGGAAACTAGTATTAGCATCAATAAACGTGTGGATATTGGTAAAACGGCGCTTTACATCGCCGCTGAAGATGATTCTCTTGTATCTCATTCTTCGGTTGCACTTCCGGTGGATTCTTTTGTTGATAGATTGTATGACCTTTCCATGGGCTTCTGTACTGATAATAGCTCATCTCTCAGTTCCTCCCCTGAGCAATTTCTCGAAAATTTAGAGAGGTATTTGTATGTGAAGAAGGTATGATTCTTCAAATTATCTGTTATGCAATCTCTATCCTCAATGGAATTGTCATTTACATCATAATTCTTTCTCAACAGGGTTTTAGGAGAAACCATGGAGGGAACGAATTAGACACCCGAGTTTTATATCTCCATTCTGTATGTATGTTTGTATTATAACGAAGAAATTCAAATTTAGCGGTGGAGAAAATATTATTATATTGGATATTGAATTTATTTTAAACTATTGAGCAGGTATTGACGCATCGAACGGGTTCGGCTGCTATGCTTTCAGTTATATACTCTGAAATGCTGAAACTGCTTCGCATGTGGAGCCTTTTGGATTTTGATTGTGAGATATTCTTCCCTCACGATCGTTTTGGCCTTCCCAAAGGTTATCATAAGCAGAAAAGTGTTGAATCTGATCAACCACACATAAAAACAACTCAAACTCTGTTAGAGGAGGTAAGTCGAGATGGCTATTTTATTGATCAATCAGAAAGGTTTTTAGTTTTCCTTTGTGGATGTCATGTAATTGACCTTTGTATGTACTTGCCTTTCAAGCTCCATCTAGTGTCCCTAATCTCCTATGCTTTTCTTCTGTCATGTCTTCTCGTTCTTAATCAATTGCATTGGTTGCTCGCTAATGGAATTCAAAAAAAACAGTAGCCTGCCATTTGTGGAAATTATTCCTCTCTGTGTTAGAACATGCATATCTGTTCTGGTCATTCAGGATCTAAGGTGTTCATCAACGTAGGCCTGTTTTCTCATTTATATCATGCTATGATTTTAGCATGTGCTATGATATTGTCAAGCTATCAGCGGCATAGTTAATTGAGTTGAAGAAGAATGTTAAAAATGAATCTCTATTCCCTTTTTATTGTGTTTATATTTTGTTTTAGCTGCAAAGTTATTAGAAAGACTGGTTGATGTGGGCCTTAACAATCAAAATGATGCAGAAAGAAGAAGGGGAAAATGATTTTTTTTTTATAGATGCAGCGATTTAAATTCAATAGATGTTCATAGATTTTCACGCCTTGCAATAATTGTTATTTTATTGTGTATCATGAGAAAGCATAGAACTGCAGTTACTCAAGTTCAAAGGAGTGAAATTACTGATGAATGTTGAACAGTATTTTTTCATCTATTTACTTATTTACTGATAATAGAGCTCAAGCCAATGCAGTTTATTTTAACTTTTTATTTGGGTTATTGTGGTATATATGATTTTATGCATGTTGTTGGTGCTGTTGAGTGTTTGTATTGCAGAATCTGTGTCAGATTGTAACATTTTGTCCTGAATGGGTTCTCTTGGCTGTAATTTTTTGTTCTTTCCCCTTAAAGTATAAGATGTTGTGCAGATTTTGAGAAATTTGAAGGAGACTTTCTGGCCATTTCAACATGACTACTCCAAGAGTTCATTCTTAAGGGCAGCAGATGCGGCCAATTTTGTTGATAGGTCAAGCGTTGCTCAAGAAAGGTACTTTTTCTGTCTTGGTATGTAGTTGTGCTACTTGTACATAAAGAAGTTATGTTGACTGCATTGATTTCGAGTTTACCCATGTCCATTTCAACCTTTTCTACCTATTGCAGTGGATTTCAACTTGCGTCAGCAAAGGCTGCCCAACATAGGCTAGACCGTGGTGTTTGGACTAGTGTGCGTTTTGGGGACATGAGGCGTGCTTTAGCTGGTATATATATAAAATGAAGTTACATTTATATTTTCTGTTTCCTATTTTAATGGTCTGCACAGTTAGATTAACTAGATTTTAGTGATTTGAGACGTCTTAGCCTAATGATGCTATCGTTGTCTCTGCACACGCATGAGAAACCAAAATGTACTTTTTTCATTGCAATAATGACTTGGATAGTTCTTGTTTGTTGGTTGGCAAATAGAATATACCAGTGAATGAATGAGAGGAAATGCTAGTGAATGGTAATAAATGAGAAAATACTTAAAAGAGGTTGCATTGATTGGTAACCTTTCTGGTTTCTCGGAAAAAGTTACATTTATATTTTCTGTTTCCTATTTTAATGGTCTGCACAGTTAGATTAACTAGATTTTAGTGATTTGAGACGTCTTAGCCTAATGATGCTATCGTTGTCTCTGCACACGCATGAGAAACCAAAATGTACTTTTTTCATTGCAATAATGACTTGGATAGTTCTTGTTTGTTGGTTGGCAAATAGAATATACCAGTGAATGAATGAGAGGAAATGCTAGTGAATGGTAATAAATGAGAAAATACTTAAAAGAGGTTGCATTGATTGGTAACCTTTCTGGTTTCTCGGATTCTATTTTCCTGCTCTATGCATATTTAGATTCAGTAATCGAAGGTTTTGTTGTTTGGGAAATTTGTTTTACTGATTTGACAAGGAGATCGGTTCTGTTGTTGCAGCATGTGAACGTCTAATAATCCTTGAATCTGACCCAAAAGAATTAAGAGATTACAGCATTCTTCTATACCATTGTGGATTTTATGACCGATCACTGCAATATCTCAAGTTGTATCAGGAAAGAAAGGTACAATATCCGTCCGGCAGACCTTAGAACTCATAAATTTTTAATAAATTGAATAAATAATGTTAACTGATTTGCAGAGTTCTTCATTACAAAAGCAATCAACCAATAAACTTAGCAACCTGGAGGAAGCTGCTGTGGAAAAACTGATGACACGCCTCAACCTAATTTCAATGGAAGACGGCTGGAGCAAGCCTTCAAATGTTAGAAATTTCCTTGGAAACAACTCTGAACCATGGTAGAGTGTTTATGTTATGTCCCATGCAGGGCAAGAAAAAAGTTTTGTTTTTCATGTTCACTTAAACCACAAGTAAATTTCGATTCATGCCAAGTGAGAGAAGGTTGGTTTGCATTTTGACGAGGAACATAGAATCATGGAAGGGTTTCAGTCATGACAGAAATAGCAAATGCGGAGCACAAGGTCACCTGGAACTATCGGTTTGATGCATTGGTCAATATCTAAAGCCTGGTTTTGATGGGGGAGTGGATTTGGGTCAACTCAATTGAGTTGGTTTGTATTTATTATTATGTATAATATTGTAATTCTAACAAGGTAATATAGAGAAATGATAATTACATAATTGACATTTGAGATAGCCTCAATTTCCGGAATTTCTGCTACCGTTAGATCGCTTCATTGGCAATTTTCTTGTAAACTTCCCAAGAACGTAAAAGAAAGTTTGAATACCTTAAAGTTTAAATTATGATGAAGGCCCTGATCACAATAGCTTTTAACATAGGTTTTAGATTTTTTGGCATAACTTTTAATGTTTTGACTACATGAAAATACTAACTTTTAATGTTTACATTAATATTTAGAATTTGATCAATAAACAACTGACAGAACAGTTAAATCTTCCCCAACAAACCGAAGACATACAGGGTTGAAATTGAACAGCTATTTTATTGAGTGGTAGAACATGCTCCACTGCAACAAGTAAGGAAAATCCTTACAAAGTAACTCGTGACATTGTACGATCTTGTCCAGTAGCAATCTTCATCAACTCTAAATAAAATATAAAAGACAAGCACCGTTACAGAAAACCCGTGACTTCCCAAACTACAAAAAGATAACTACACACTTACTGCAAATTTATCTCATCCTCCTCCTTCCTGCTTTAGAAAAGTTAGTAACGACAATGCCTAATACCGCCAAATAATTGCCTCAACCACAACCCAGAAACACAAACACACACCTTAACATCACCAGACAAGTCTTTTAATAATTTTTCTTTTCTTAAAGTACACAAAATCAAAACAAATCAAACGGAAGTTCATGTGCATTGCTCCCGAGCCACGCCAAGCCTCGAATTGGGCACATCAAACAGTATCCTATGGTTCTGTTGCTGCATATTGGCTATCACATTTAGAACTGAGTTCACATTATCCGGGGCCGCGGCGATGGCCAGGCAACTTGTGCTACCTGCTGTACTGTGGATTAGGAGGTTTTCCGGTGGCAATGTAACGTTCATGCCGGAGAACATGAATGTTATGGTCGGAGCAACGATTGGTACTGAGTAACATGTGTCGAACCCGCCTAGAGATGTCACAGTTGCGTTGCCAACTCGCTTTCTGAATGCGTCCCGGACTGCTGTATAGGCTGGTGTGACTAGCCTGGTGAACACCGTACCTGTAATAAACAAAATGAGTACAATGAAGTGAATTAAAGTTCAATCTTTTTTCCTTTTTTGAAGGAAAGAACGGAACTTTACCGGAATCAAAGATTGTCCCAGCACCGGTTGTCGGATTAAACGCCAAAGCACTTGGAGGAATATCAACAACTCTTCTTCCAACCCTGATAGCCACCAAGTTGACATAGTAAAGAGATGATCTTCTAGGATTTCTAAGCAAAGGGGTAGTTTTGATCCTCTTGGGTTGGCCATTGGGTCCAAGCCTCAATGTCCCAGAAAAGTTCAGAGACCTAAAGCTAGGCAAACAATATGAGAATGTCGATTGGTAAAGATTTTGGGTTTGGGATAAAAGGGATAATGGTCCTCTGCCTAGCCCCAGAAGCCCCTGAGGAGGCACCGAACTGCCTGTGGCTTTTGCAATGCAACCAAAAGTGTAGCCAGGGACTGAGTCAGTGGCTAGGCTCACAGTGTCCTGTGAGAGATTTGCAGCAATGGAGGAGCTGCCGTAGGTCGTGTTGAATGTGCACGCGCTTCCACTGCAAGTGGGGTTGGGTACCTGCAATTTCACATGCATTTGGTTATGATTTGCCATAATTTAGAATTTAGCTTCTGAAGTTTCTTATTACAGTACAAAATTCTCACACTATAATTGAAAAGCTTTTGTCCCCATCCGGTCCTTGGACACTTTTGCTTACAATTATTTAATACAATTCATATTCAATTGCATTTAATAAAAATAATAAAGGTTGCAAGAGTCATGTTAATTACCTGCTTGCACTGAGGAGCTCCACAACCAACAGTCTGGAAGCTAGTAGATTTTACAGAGTCAAAAACTGTAGAAGAACACCCATCGCAGCCACTGCAAGGTATCCAAGCAGCATCATTGCTAGTATCCACAGCCAAAAGCAAAGTCTGAGCTGGGGTACCAATCTTGGCCCTGACAATATAAGTTGGGCTCTGAATAATCTGCCTGCCTGAGGCAATTGGCACAAAAGATCTCCCAGCAACTAAGCTAGACAAAAATTGAAGCCTAGCTTGGTCTTTGGCCTGCATTTGTAGAACGCTCTCTTCCCATGAGAGTGGTTTTGAAGGCCTAAATGGTGAGCAAGGGCTATAAACATGGAAAACTTGGAGGGTTGAGCCTTGGTCTTGGCTGCTACATTTAGGGTTCAAGTGCAACCCTTGAGCAAGGGAAAAGAAGAGGAAAGCTAAAGAAAGAAGATGGGTTTTCATGGTTTTCTAGAGAGAAAACAAGTTTCGGGTCTTGTTGATGGTTAAGGAAAGAACGAGTGTTGTGTGGAGATATATATATAGGTGGAAGACTATGGTTTAATAATTAGTGGGGTGACACGCAGGAGAGGGTAGAGATACAGTGTAAAGAGCAGTAAGTGGGACATTTGCTATAACAGTCTGTATTCCATTTTCTTTTGTAGGCTGGACCTCTTGCTCCCTTGTCAATTCTTACCTAGGGATAATATTTTTCTATATATTTTTCCTTATCATTTATTTTATTCAATATTTTAAAGTATGATTTGAAATTTAGTCTTTTTAAAAATAAATATAGACTTCATTCCCTAATATTTAAAAAAAGAGATTTGAAATGATTTGAGTTATGAGAATAGAGAATTTATCTGATAAAATTAACTGTTTTAATAGTTGTTAACTGTTTTAATAATATTTAATTATTAATTGCTTTAATAAACTAAAAATTAAAAATTACACGAGATAATTTTTTTATAAAATGCTATATTAATTTTTAAAAGTTAATTTAAACGCTATATTATAAAAAATCACGTATGTTATCGACTATTATAAAAAATAGCGTTTAACGTTTTAACCGGTAAAACTGTTTTTAATTTATAGGCAAGTTAATTAATCAATATATAAGCACATGATGTAAGCTATTACCTAGTTCATGTTGAACACTTGTTTCAAGAAATACTCTTTGCTCAAAGCAAATAACTTTTAATTTTTGGATTCACAATCCCTTGTTTGTTTGCTAATCAAAAGCTGAATTAGATGTAAATTAATAGTAAAAAATTAGGGTTTAAAATACAACTTTTAGGAATGTAAAAAAGCTATCTTTTTAGAGATCTTGATGTAAAAAAGCTGATTTTTATTGTAGGAGACAGCATATATAGGTATTCTCCACAAAGCCAAAATTGTAGACAGTGGACTGTGGAGGAATATATCATTTGATGCACTATTTGTTTGCACCTATGCTTATATTGTATTTTGAGAAAGATGGGAAAGAAATCCTGAAAAGACACATGTTTTATCAAACCCTTTTACAATTAGAGAAAGCTTGACAAATTAATTCACAAACTGTTTAAAGTTCCCTCCAAATTTAATTTTTGAAAGGCTAAAAACTTTTACGTTTTACAGAGATTAATACCTATTGAATTTAGAAATTTATCCATACAACAATCAGATTACTCCAGCAGTTTCAACTTATTAAAACTAGCTTTTGTTGGATTTATTTTAATTTGTTTTAGATCATTGGATTCTTTTTATCATTGAATTGAATCATATTCTATTTTTGATAGCATTAAGACATAGTCACATGCAATCACAATAATGTTTTATCACTGTCATGTCATTTTTTAAAATTTTAGCTTAACATACTCATGTTTAGCATCTTCTTGCTAGTATTATTTATTGGTTACTTCATGACTTGCATGGGATTTTTCATATTAGAATGTTTGTATGAGCTTTTGCTCTCCTAATTTTGTACTTTAATTAAAAAAAAAAAAAAAAAAAAAACTCATGTTAGCATCTTCTTGCTTAGTTATTATTTATTTGGTTACTTCATTGACTTTGCATTGGGATTTTTCATATTAAGAATGTTTGTATTGACGCTTTTTGCTCTCCTAAATTTTGTACTTTAATTTAAAAAAAAAAAAAAAAAAACCTCAAAGCCTAGCAATTGCAGTTAAGGTGCTTGAACCTTGAGTTTCAAAATGAATAAAAAAAAAAAAAAAAAAAAAACCTCAAAGCCTAGCAAATGCAGTTAAAGGTGCTGAACCTGAGTTCAAATGAATAATAAAACACTAAGGGCCAAAGTTTGTTAAGGCTTGATTTTCTTCGATAGCATGTCAGGTCCATAAGGAGAAGCGCTATCTCTATCTATAATGATTGAACATTCAACTTCTGGGTTAAGGAATATGAATCATTTTACTTAAATCGACGTCGTTGGTTATACAAAACCCGCTTTATATGCATATTACCGCTTTAAAATAAACATTTTATATATAATTTATTGGAGTAAATAAATAATTAGGATGTGGGCCATCCAAAATGAGACCCAAATCTAGATTTGTTTGAAGATCTCACTTTAATTATGGCATGAATTGCGAAGAAGATTGGATATGATGGAATGGTAATGGTCCATATGGCATTATAATTGTCTATTTCATGTTATTTGATTCCACTAATTAAAAAGTATTATTGTTAATTAAAATTAAGATCTTGATCTCATTGGTAACTAAATTTTATAAATTAATGTAGTACTATACTATGATGAAAGGGAAGATTCTTTTTAGGGTTTGTGTATTTGTGTTGTTTGGGATTTTGTTTCTTTCTTCCCATTCATATTGGAAAAAGGAAATCAAAGAAGAGCACAGTGCAGTCAAGGTATCCAATTGCATGTGACCCTTTGTAAGTGGAAGTGGAACAAAAGAAATTGCTACAAAATTCCAATTTTTCAACTCTATTTCTTCTGTACCTAAAATTGTCGGTGGCAACATATTTCTTATGTTTCTAATAAATTTAAAGTTTTAAAATTTATTACTCCTATGGATTAACAATAATGTATTCTTTGAAAAAGTACAAAATCTCTTTAAACACTTTGCCTCGAGAGGAAACAAATAATGAGACATTAGTAATAGTTAACAGTCATGTAAATGTTTAATCATGTCTCTTGAAACGCTCGAGAGAAAGCATTTTATCTTTAAAATAAAAAAAAAAAATGAAACATAACAGTCGTGTAAATGTTCAATCATATGAGTATTTACACTCGATAAAAAAACATTTTAACCAAACGAGAGATTGGTGATAATTAACGGTGATCTCAATGTTGAATCATTTTTACAATCTCGTGAACCACTTCTTAGCCTCCCTGGCAAAAACTTTATCTTCATTATATGCTTCCTTTCCATTCTATTCTTTTCAATTTCAATTCTTTTTTAAATTTATATCATTGGGTTGGATTTGGATATTAAGAAATGAAGATCTAAAGTAGGAAAATGATAGGAACAACAGAAGAAACATGCAAACAATTAAAATCCACCTATTACAAAGTAACTATTAAATTCAATATTTAAAGCTGAATTGGATACTATGGATTGGGGAGAGATGAGAAACTGGTGGAAGGAAATAAAAATCCTAACAACTGTGGCAGATATTTATTCTCCATGTAAATTGGGAAAAAACATAAATCTGCAGTAACTTTTTGTTCTTTGTTCTTGTCCTGTAATAAGTGAAAAAAAGGAACACTCTGTCAAATTAAGAGATAAGCCTGAATATTGGAAAAAGCCAAATGACCATTCTCAGAAACTGCAGGCTTTATTTCTTAACTCTTTCTTACCCTTTTCTTTCCTTACTTGAAATATTAATAAGATTACATACAATTGGCTCTTTAAGATCAGTTTAATGCATAATTTTCCTTTAATCCTTAAACGAAACATGGCAAAAAGAAGAAAAATTTATAGACAGATCCCATCGCATCCACCCTTTGGGTAGAAAAAATAAATGGATTCCATTTTACAGGCAGAAAACTTTGAATGATGATTACAAAAAAGCATGTGTGGTGCACCCATTCTTGACCCAAGATGCACGTTTTTAAGTTTGTTCCTTCCCCACTTTCTCTTCCATGATGAATTGGAAGGAAGGGGGGGGAGGGAATTTTTATGGGCCGAGTCAATTTGTGGAAGAAGCAGGAACATGATGGATTGGAGTACGAATGGGTTAAAAATATTGGCATGTTCCCCACTAAGTCACTAACACAAAATATCCATATATATGTATCTGCTCAACCTTTGCTCAAAGGGACCACAACATGACAGACCTAATTAAAATTAACGTTGGCTTAAATGGATTTATTGACTCTTTCTCTCTTAACTAAAAGTGTCGAATTTGCTTTTCATATCAAAAAGTCTCGAGTTTGAGCATTCGGACCCAGTTTAGTAAACTTTAGACATTTTGCCTTGCTATAATAAAAGTTGGGGAATTATATTTTTTTTTTGGTTTTATTATAGTCATTTTAAGTAATGATGCTAACCCTATGGAAATTGCTTGCCATGCAGTGTACTGAACTCTCATAGGCATTATTTGATAGGCATGGGCCTGTAGGAGGGCCAGTGCACCTTAACATACTCAAGTGGTCGGGCCCGCTAGTAATGGCTCCCCTTCCTTTTTTGTGGAATAATAATAAGTTGATAAATAATGATCCAACTTTTTTTTTTTTTTTCTCTTGCATGATAAGTAAAATTAATTATTTTAGTAACTGTTTAATTAATTATTATTATTATTATTATTATTATAAACGGCTCCCTCAAACTCTAAATATTATTATTATTATTATAAACATAATATAAAAATAGCATTGCCGTACGAGGCCTTAAGCTTCCTGTTCACAGACAAATTTGCTCCACAGGATTGCTAATGACTGCCTTATCTTGATGAATGATGATCAAGTGATTAGCACAGAAAGCATCACGAGAAAGAAATAGGCCTTTAAATTCGCTTTTAAATATAATCATAACTATCATGATGAACTAAAAATACAATTTACTTTCTTTGATTTCTATATCATTTCTAAGACGATTATCAGAATTTCCTTTATAAATTATGATTTGTATGCTTTAAATACCAATACTGGCCCAACCAGCTACCACCACCACCACCTCTGTCACCCTCATGCCATCGCCCACCCCACCACTGCCCTCCACAGCGCAGCCCACCATTTGCTTAACAATGGAACCAACACTAGTATAATTCAGCTTAAAAGCCAGCAATTTCCCCATCAAACATGCACTAGTTATAATTGCCAGAACAAGATACTAAATTTATTAACCACCAAACAAGCCGTTATGTTATCTGAGATTGCTGTATCCATATACCAGAAACAAAGAAAAAAACCAAATCTTTTGCTATGTTAGCCTAAGAGCCAAAAGGTGAACTTTGTAATCCTAATTGGATCCAGAGAAGAACTTAAACTTAATTTACACCTATACTTCTCTGTATCCCTTAATTTGAAATCATTAACCTGAAGTTTCTGAACAGTAACTTTTCTGAATGGCAATGGATCAAAATTTCCCCATCTCAAAAAGTTTTATACGCCGCTTTGTCCGCCAGGACGACACTGATGATATCTACTCTACGTCCCAATTGGGAATGTTGGCAGTAGCTTCATTTACCATCTTTACAAGGGTAACCTGCAAATATTACAAGTGAAAAAAAAAAAAGTCATTGCCATTTATAGAGAAAGAGAAACTGTGCTCACTACATATGTATAAATGTCATTGCCATTCCATTTAGAACAAAAGGCACTATCAGAAGGTATCCAAAAGCAATTGATTTAAGGGGAGAAAGAGGACAAAAATCAATAAGTTGCACAACTCAAGAGTCTCTTATGATCAAAGAACACCAACAGACAAATTCTGCGACAAATTATTGCTCAGCAAAGACATTTCAAATAAACAGCTGCCAAGAATACTTTTCAGCCACAATATGCCATCAATATAATCCTTAATTTTCTGATCTACTAACCACAAAGTGACCGTATATAAGACCAAATGTGATATGTTAATAGAAGCTGTGCAGCCTACATCAGGAAAGGTATTGTAAGTATCACTTTTAAAACTATGCTTAATTATTGATACATCTGACAACATACCACGCTTTCAGGAACACCTGGAGGGGGCAAGGGGAGATTTTTTGGCGGTGGTCCACGCAGATAGGATCTCTTGTCAAATCTCCACTCACCAATTGTACCGTAAGTTAGCTGACCCTGGACGTTTAGTAAATCCCAGATAAAATAACAATTAAGGATTCATTATGTTGAAAATGATGAGGATGGAAAAACTTCAAAAATAAAAACAATGGGTTTCAGGAATTTAAAGAGAATCAAAATTTTGATAGTTATAATTGTGATGGCATTTCTTCTTAAATGGAATTTCATCTTACCTTTAAGTTGTAGTCACATCCATAAGTGAAATGAATGATAAACTTTTTTCCTATTTCCAGATCCCAAGGGGGCTGCATAATAAATAATACTCATAAAACGCTTCATCACAAAAGTCTACTTTGAAACTCAAATCCTACTAAAGCTACCAAAACTGGCTATTAATTTCATTGCAAAAACTGAACCTGCAACATGAAGTCTTTCCGAAGTATGTGATGCACACCATGTAAAGCTGATGCTATAGCATATGCATACCTTAATTCAACCAAAAAAAGAGAAGATGTTTTATCAATAAGTCTGTATGCCGTTAATATAAAGCACATGGTGAATAATTCCTGCACTTACATTTCTAGCACCCAGCCGAAAGTTTTATCAGTCTCTTGGTCACCTTTCATTTCCAAGGAAATGTTCATCCATGTAGGAGCGACTTTCTCCAGCAACTCCTGAATAACAAAAGTTCCAAAGTGATTCATTTTTTTCCAACATAAACACAGGAAATGCAATAGCAAAACTCAAGCAAGCACTATAAAGGGATAACATGACAAATTTTTCTCAACTCAAAAGCATAAATTAATGATGTTATCAATTTTCATCAGAATAAAAAAGGAAGATTCAGCATAAACATTTCAGTAAATAATTGGGCCATTATGAAGTCAGTATGAGGGATTCAACCTTCTTGATTATTACAGGAGAATTTCCAATTGGATCAATATTTGTCACAGGGCCTTTCTCCTCTGGATAATACTTCCTTATGATTTTTTCATTATCAGTGGGTTTAATATAAAAAAATGGAAAAGCTGCTGGATACACTCCATGTGCCAAATTTGGAAGAGGATTTACAAATATGTGATCAGGTTCCGCCATCAGTATGTATCTGCAAGAATAGCATAGCAATAAGCATTAAGAAATTGTGAAGGTAAGAAAAGTGTCATGTCAAGATTGTAAAAGTTGGGAAGCAACAAGCTCACTCTTCTTCAATTGTAGCCTTTTCCAGCCATTGCACAAAAGCCCAAGGTCTATTTAGGACAATGTAACCCTGGTTAAAAAATTGAAAATGTCACAACAAACATCAATGAGATAGGTTCACATGACAACTAAAGTGAAACTCCAGCAGAGGCCATAAGTTACCAAAAAGCGAGCCATTTAATTTTAACCACCTACCAACTTTCAACAAATGAACCTTAGAGACTGAACTTTACAAGAGGTTGCAGGAATTAAAATTAAGTCATCAAAAAAAAAAAAAAAAAAAAAAAAAAAAAAAAAAAAAAAAAAAACACAGTGTCTCTTTTTAAAGAAAAAAGAACAAAAGTAAATTCATTGGGCTCAAACATAAAAAAAAAAAAAAAAAAAAAAAAAAAAAAAAAAACACAGTGTCTCTTTTTAAAGAAAAAGAAAAAGAAATTCATTGGCTCATACATAAAACCTTGCCACCGTTAGATGTCATCAAATCTAGAAATAAACAATCAAAACTTAAGGCACTCCTACACTCTTCTTTTTTCTTTTTTTTTTTTATTCAATGGTACATAACCAAAGACAACTTACTTAAGAGTGTAAAATGCCATGCTTTTCATTTTACCAAATAGTTAACAATGCATTTGGTAAAAAGTTATTCCAAGGATTCTCAACCAACAAGAAAAAATGCAGGAACCTCACCCGATCCAGACCTGCTGGAAGAGGATCAACAACAACCGTAGGAATCTCATCCATCAAGTTATCTGGTTTTCCTGAGTGCAAAATCCGTGTGAATCCACCCATATCTGATCCCGGTAGATCTTTCTTCTTCTTATACCAATAGTACATAATACGACATTGCCATTTACTGTAAGGAGCATCAGTTGCTGTCATGGCAACATGGAAAGGAATTTTGGCAATTTTTAGTTTCTTGGCATCTTCAGGCATTTCAACAACAGGATCAAAAAACATTGCACCATTTGAATCATCATGTATCCATTTCCCAACAGATCTATTGTGCATCACCATGGTAACCAAATTATATGTGGCAAAGAAAAAACCAAGAGCCAATAGAATCAAAAGCAATAGGGATGCACGCCCCATTGCCTTTCTCTCAACCATTAACAATTATCAAATCAAGATCCAAGCTTGTCCAACATAGTAATGAATCAGGTGTTGAAGTCCAAGCACCCTACAAGCAAACATCAATCAATCTTTTCAAATTCTCTAGCCCAGAAGCTTACATGGTATAAACTTAAGACATTATATTTATCTGATACGAACTTGGATTTAAGTTAGCACATCCATACAAATGTAAACTCCTTCCAGTAACCTGCATCAGAATCAGGACCAAAATGTGAATTTAATAGCATCCAAATTATGCAAAAAGGACCAGCCTGGATGCAAAGAAATTAAAATGATGCATACTTCTCAGTTCATATATATATAAAAAACTTCAAAATCCCATATGAATAATCACAACATAATTCTGTCACATGCACACACAAACATCACAATAATAATTGAATTTGCCATGTTGAAATAAAAAGAAAAATAAAAAAATTCATTGCACTAACTCTTCAATCGAACAGTTAAGTACATAACGTAGCAAAAAAAAAAATAATAATAATAATGAGATGTTTTCTACCAAAATTTAAGCGAAACCCACCAAAGTTCGAGCTATGAAGTGTCAATAGCAATGGTGAATAATAACAGAGAAGTAAAAATAAACATATATGCGAGTCAAATCAAGGCAAAAGATTGACACTGAATAGAGGGTGAAATGGGCAAAGGAATCACCTCAAGCAATCAAATGGGTACCCAGAAAAGCAGAAAAAATTACATCAAGGGAAACTTAAAAAAAAAAAAAAAAAGAAGAAAGGAAAAAAGAAAAGCAAATGAACAGAGCAAGATGGGGATTCTCAAGAAATTAAAGATGGAAAACAAAATATATAAACAAGAATCAACGCAGGAGTCGTGTAAGGGAATAAAGCATGAAAGCTTAAAGATAGAAGCCCACACGATACTTGAACAAACCATTTGTCCATATCAGATGCACACACAGAAAGAAAGCCAGAGAGGTAGCGAAAGTCACATACGATTTATTCTGAGTTCCTGACGTGAGAAGAGAGATCCGACAATGCTTTTTTTGGATCGATAACTGACAGAAAGAGAGAGATTTGAAAAAGTGAGGATTTTTTACTTTCAAGTATTTATTTCTTGTCTTTTTCTAGTTTAGTGGCTTTATATATTTATGGATAAATTAAATACTAATTAAACACCCATTTATTTAATTTTATTTTTGAACCAATTTGTAAAAACAAATTAAACCAAAATAAATTATATTACTTCTTCTTTCCCACAAAATAATTTGTTTTCCACGTAAATTTAAAAATAATTAATAAGGTTAAACCATAACTCTTGCTGTTTCTTTTTTTTTTTTTTCTAATACGCTCTTAGAAATTTTTCCTAATCTAGAAATATGAGGATTTTACATGATGTTTTATTTCTAAGTTGGTGAAACAAAAGAATCAAACATGTAAATGTTAAATATGTTATAATGTTTATGATAATATCTTAGGTCATAGATAGACATTGATATGTAAATAAGAATCATCATATCATATTGAATATATATTTATATAGAAATGTATTAAGTATGAAGATTAACTTATATATATTTTTTTGGTTTTCACAAGGGTTAACAAAAGTATCCTCTCGCCTTTCGTTTGACAGTTAGACAAGAGACTAATCAGTTTCGGGCTGGTGAATGATTATGTTTTAAAATCCTTCTTAAGATGTCGATTCTCTACGATCACCGGAATAGAATTTAGTGCGCTTCAACCATTATATCAAACTATCTCGAATGAAGATTACTTTATATATATATTGGAATCGAGATTACCTTATATTAATAAAGTGTATAGGTTCATTAACTAACCTAGAGGTTGCAGCTCAATTGACAATATAAACTCGTTATAAGAGAAAAGCTTTCGTGCAGTGAAGACCAAAATGATTTTTCTACAATAAAATTAATTTGAACTCAATTAACTAACTCTACGAGGCTTTGCAGGCAGCTCAATTGACAATATACAACTCGTTATAAAGAAGAAAGCTTTTCGTTTGGCCCAGTTGAAGACCAAAATGATTTTTTCTACAATAAAATTAATTGAACTCAATATATATCATATATATATATATATATATATATCATATAATGTAAATAATAATTCAATTATACAATAATAATATATAATGTAAATAATAATTCAATTATAAATAATAATCTACATGTATTTAAAATTGTGAATTATCGTAGTCACCGGCTTGACATAGTATTATATACAGCTCAGGTACTGGGTTGCATGCTTCCCACCTAAAGTTCACATGGTTTCATCGCTGGCTTCCCATTTTTAGCACTAAAAACCAGAAGGATCCTAATAATCTAATACGAGTGGCCGCCATGAAAACATGATGGTTGCTATCTTCGCTATTAGAATAGTCCATATTCCCAGAGAGTATGTCGAGGTTCATTATGAAGAGTCTGAGAATATTATATATAAACACACAATCTGTACAAGAAATCCAACCAAAGATTCAAACCAGAGGTTTCAGGTAGGAGAGATATAAGAAGAAATGGAGGCAGTAATGGCAGCAAACCCAGTGATAAAAGTCGCAGCTCTTTGCGGGTCCCTTCGTAAAGGCTCCTATAACCGTGGCCTCCTTCGTGCCGGTACTCTTTCTTTCTCTGTTTTTACATTTATTTATGTTTTTCTCTTTTGTTTTGGATTTATGATATAGTTTGATTGATTTTGAAGCAACGGAGTTAAGCAAGGAGTCAGTGAAGGGTATTCAAATCGAGTATATAGATATTTCAGAGCTACCTATGCTGAACACCGATCTTGAAGGTGCCAATGGTTCTCTTCCGGCTGCGGTTGAAGCTTTCCGGCAAAAGATTCGTGAAGCTGATAGCATCCTTTTCGCTTCCCCTGAGTATAATTACTCAGTCTCTGGTACTTCTTTCCTCTCCTTCTCTCCTTCTCCTTCTACCCAAATTATCTAATGATTTGTTTTTGGTCCATTTTCAAATATAGCACCTTTGAAGAATGCGCTTGACTGGGCATCCAGACCACCAAACTGCTGGGCTGATAAAGCAGCCGCCATAGTAAGTGCTGGTGGAGGCCTAGGCGGTGGGCTAGCGCAATACCATCTTCGTCAAATTGGAGTCTTTCTGGATCTTCATTTCATAAACAAGCCTGTGTTTTTCTTGAATGCGTTTGCTCCTCCTGCGAAATTCGATGGCGATGGCAACTTGATTGATCCAGCATCCATGGACAGACTTAAGGAAGTTCTTGTCAGCCTGCACGCATTTGCTTTGAGACTCAAACGGACTTAACTGATTTTATTCTGTGTTATTTCATACTTCAAGAATTGAATTCTTCTTATTAGGTGTAAGTTGTAGGCTGTTTCAAGAGCTAAAAGTTGAAATAAAATTTTTTGTTTTGAATTCTTTTTCTAAACAAACTAATCATATATATCAAAATAATCAAAAAAACACAATTGCAATGTTAAAGCTAAAAAATAATGATAATAATCAAAATTTTCTAATTTAAAAATATTTAAGATCTCGAAAAAAAAAAGAATTTAAGAAAGAAAGTTATAATAATGGACTAAACTAAATTCTTGAGAAATTAATAAAATTCATATCAAATTATAATTTAAAAATAATATATGATAAAAGTAAAATAATTAATACTAATTATTCTGGAGTTGTACTTTCTTTAGCGGACTATGTGGTCCAAATTAGCTAAAAACAAATCCCATGATTATGGAATATTTTGCTAATGTGATGAAAGGAGTGATGATATGATGACATCACTAATGCCAAAAGACAATAATAGCCCCATGAATAATATTTACGCCATTTTTTTATATTTTATATTATACAAAATAAAGTAAATGCCAAACCCATACAGTTAAACGAGCGCAGTTGAAAGTAATTTGAAGGGTTGGGTCAACCGGCGAAGAAAGATGGAGGCAGTAACGGCGGCGGCAAACCCAGTTATCAAAGTCGCATCTTTATGTGGGTCTCTTCGTAAAGGCTCCTACAACCGTGGCCTCCTTCGTACCGGTACTCACTCTTCTGTCTCTTTCTCTGTTAAAATTCTAAACTTTTTTGAAGTTTTTGCTATATATATATATATATATATGTATATTTATATATTGTGATGTTTGATTGAAGCAATTGAGTTAAGCAAGGAATCAATTCATGGTATTCAAATCGAGTATATTGACATTTCACCATTGCCTATGCTCAACACCGATCTTGAAGGTCCCGACGGTTCTTTCCCGCCGGTCGTTGTAGCTTTCCGGAAAAAGATTCGGCAAGCTGATAGTGTCCTTTTCGCCTCCCCTGAGTATAATTTCTCAGTCACTGGTACTTATCCCCTTTCTATTGTTTTAAATATGTATGCAAGTACACTGCAATATATATATACAGCGTTATTGATGCTCTTTTAACTTTATTATTGTTGGGAAAGTTAATGGTGAATGGTGATTGTTGCTTCTTGAATTGTTGGAAAGAATATGATTAGACAAAATGTAGGGAATGAGAAGCAAATTGTCTTGCTAATGAAGAGAGATAATGGGTTTGTGGTTGAACTGGAAGAGGAATCAACTTGCTTCTTATTGATTTGATGAATTCCCAATTTTAATTGCAAATTATTGGATGTTTACAGCATTTCTTAAATTTTCCAATCTCAGGAATGTTTCTTGGGAACTTCAGAAAATGTGTCCGTTGTTTCTTTACTTGGCCTGATTGCTAAATTGTTGAACATAAATCTTCAGTGTCTTATAAATTAACAAAATTTTCAATTTCGACTGTCTGAGTTCGTAAAATGTTTAATTTGCAGATTAACAAATGACAAAGGACCATTTTAAATCTTTGAACAATGCAGTTGAATTTCACTCTATATTCACTTGTATTGATTTCTGATCTTAGTTTGCCAATTCTTTCGTTTTCTTCCATTCTTGATAGCACCTTTGAAAAATGCAATTGACTGGGCATCTAGACCACCAAACTGTTGGGCTGATAAAGCTGCTGCCATTGTAAGTGCTGGTGGAAGTTTTGGCGGTGGGCGATCACAGTACCATCTTCGCCAGATTGGAGTTTATCTCGACCTTCATTTTATCAACAAACCTGAGTTTTTCTTGAATGCATTTGCACCTCCAGCGAAATTTGATGCTGATGGCAACTTGATTGATCCAGAAGCAAAGGAGAGAATAAAGGATCTTCTTTTAAGCTTGCAAGCATTTACTTTGCGACTCAAAGGAAAGTGCTAATTGTATATTCATTGGTTTATTGTTTGATCCATTTGAAATTGATAATCACTTTGAAAAGTGTTAATGAATGGTAGCTTCTCAGAACTGTGTAATAAGAAAAACCATTAATTTAATTTTCAAATGGTTATCTATTTTCATTTCAGTAAAAAAAGTAATGCATGACAACATTTTGGGGGTCAGCTTGCTTGCTTTTCTTTTCCTTTCCAGAACAGAACAGAACAGAACAGAGACAGGGCATAAAAAACCATAATAAGTTGTTGGTACGGTGGCAAATATATTAACTTTATATCATTGCAATCCAGGAGTTGGTGGAGACGTCATTTGTTCTTTAATTAAAATCATATCGACCTTAACAAATATTTTGATTCAATTTTCCAATTCTGTAAATAAATTTCCTTAAAATGAATAACATACCATATTCTTTTATTCATCGGAAGACGTATCACATTGGCAAAATTCAGATTTAAATTTAAATTTTTCACTCTTTATGAAAAAATTGATAAAACCACGTCATTTGACGTAATGTAACGTATCATATTTTTATATAGAGGGTGAATTGTAAAATTGAATATGAACAATAAAGACCTAAGTAGCCGGCGTCAATTTAAAATTAGAGAGCAGCCGGAGAGAATGTCGGGTTTGGACTTTCGACAATTTTGATTTTGACCAAAGGATGTGTCACTATCAACAAACGGAAATTTCTTTCTATTTTCCTTCTTCTCCCTGTTAATCTTCTATATATAGGGGACGTTTCCATTTTGCATGAACATATCAAATTCAAACTAAAAAGTTTTCAACTTTAAATTTAAAGAGAAACAACAAGCGAGAAAGATGGCAGCAGCTAATCCGGTAATCAAAATTGCGGCTCTTAGCGGTTCAATCCGAAAAGCTTCCTTCAACTCAGGCCTCATTCGTTCTGGTTAGTCTTCGTTGATTTGTGCTATACAAAACAACTGATTGTACATGTATTAATATGGGTTTTTGCCATGTCTGGTTTTAGCAATTGAGGTCAGTAAGGAGTCTGTCAATGGTGTGCAAATTGAGCAGATAGACATATCCCAGTTGCCAATTCTCAACACTGATCTTATTGTCGATGGAGCTTTTCCACCCGCTGTTGAAGAGTTTCGCCAACAAATCCTCAAGGCTGATAGTGTTCTATTTGCTTCTCCTGAAAACAATTACTCTGTTTCTGGTAATTAAAAACGGGTTATCAATTTCTTTTTTTTTTTTTTTTCTATATACTTATTATTTGAGCTTTTGTTGTTCTTTTCAACCATGGCAGCACCTTTGAAGAATGCCCTTGACTGGGCCTCTATAGCTCAGAACTGTTGGGGTGACAAAGCGGCTGCAATTGTAAGTGCTGGAGGAGGTTTCGGGGGTGGAAGATCACAGTACCATCTTCGCCAGATTGGAGTTTATCTTGATCTTCATTTCATCAACAAACCTGAATTTTTCTTGAATGCTTTCGAGCCTCCTGCGAAGTTTGATGGTGATGGTAATTTGATCGATGCTGAGGCTAAAGACAGGCTCAAACAAGTTCTCATTGCCTTGCGTGACTTCACTCTCCGTCTCAAAAACTAGATTAGGAAACAATTATTATTTGTATTGGTGTTTATGAACTTGATTTGGAAAAAATAAAACCAGAATTTATACCATTGTTGGATTTTCTTTCTTTTTTGAGTCATTAGTCCTGTTATGTAAAACAGCAGAACAGAAAATTTCTGCTAAATAAAAGAAGTGGGCTCATGCCCATTTTCAAAGTTTTGTACTGTGATCATAATCTATATAATGTTGGTTTGTCGTATATTTCATTACTGGAAAGAATAATGATCAAACAAAATATGGGGAATGAGAAGCCAAATGTCTTGCTAACAGAGACAGATAATGGGTTTGTGGTTGAACTGGAAGAGGAATCAACTTGCTTCTTATTGATTTGATGGATTCCCAACTTTAATTGCAGAAATATTGGGTGTTTTGAGATTTTGAGAAGAGAGTCTCTATCAAAGAATCATTCCCCTATCATTCGAAATGGTCTTTGTTGGAGCAGGATTTCTTAAATTTTTCAATCTCAGGAATGTTTCATGGCGGCTTCAGACAATGTGTCATTTCTTAAAATTTTATGAATGAGCTTTAGTTCAATGGTACAGAAGTCATTGATAAGAGTACTGTGAAAATTTTGGGATTCGAACAATTAGGAAAAATTTTCTGTAATCGACAGAATTTGAAGTCAAAACCTTCTACCTTAGTGAGAAAACTAAATAGATAGATGATAATGGGATAATATTGAAAAAAGGAAAAAGGTAAGAGAGTTATATGAACAAAATAATTACGCTGTACTCTTTCTCTGATTGATTAATGTGTGAAATTCCGAATCCTCTTTACTAATGGAATCGAAATGATCTCTGAATTGATCAAAAATTCCTTCAATTGGCTAAAATTCCTTTTTTGAACGAAACTAAGTCCACGCTAAAGTTTGAATGTACAGTCAACTATTGTGTCTCAATGCATTTCAGAGAGAACCGGCTAGCTCTGGGTTCGAGTGGCATGCGGTTTCTAATGAAATCGGTAGATTTTTTTTGGTACATCACATTTATGCATTTACAATTCCTACGACGGTATTAATACTTCTGAAAAGAGTTCTATTCATCCGTAGCTCTCGTTTGATAACGGATAAAGCAAATCTTAATTTTTGTTTCCCTTGTCACGGGCCAGGAAGGTGGGGAACATGTCAAGTATCTGCTTGGGTTCAAAGGTTTTCCTTGACTTCGTCGCCGTCTACAAAAATGAAATAGGCTTCCAGTCAATGTCCATGTAGTTTCTGCTGCGCCGCCTAAAGCCTCTGACAATGGTCACAAGTCATGATGATGGTGGCATTTCGTAGCCCTGGACCTTGATTTTCTTTTTTGTTTTTTTTTTTTAATTCTCTCCTTATTATATAATTAGATAAATTCCACCTAGGTAAGTAATTTATTGTCTATTATATCTAAATAATTTTGACCAAATTCCTTTCGTAAGAGGTATTAAAAAAAAAAAAAAAAAAAAAACCGTAAGAGGTTATTAAAAAAAAAAAAAAAAAAAAAAACTCTTCTTCCGGTTACCAAAAGTGGGCTGGGCTCTATGTCACCACAATTCCTAAAAAAAAAAAAAAAAAAAAAAAACTCTCTTCCGTTACCAAGTGGGCTGGGCTCTATGTCACCACAATTCCTAAGCCCAGCTCACCTAAAGGGCAAGTTACATCCGTTGGCAGTAGGAACTAAGTCCTTTCATCCCGTTAAATTTAACAATTTTTTATTTTTTAAATTTAATTTAAATAATATTTTTTAAAAATCAAAATAGTATTATTTAATCGATTTCAACTTTATTTTTGTCAACATGTTAATTAAATAAATATTAATTAAAGAGTAATTTAGTCACTTACTTTTTTTTTTAAATTAAGCAAATTTAATATTTTTTTTTCAATTTTTATGAAAATTCAAAATGGGTTGAATTTAACAGAAGAAGGCAGTACAAACTAATGGAAATAAAAAGGACAGAGTTGAATTTGGTAGTGTTGCATCAACTTTACCACAAGCACAAAGCACATCCTTTCTCTCTCTAACTCTATTCTAAGTGCACAACTCAATGATGGCGACCCTACAATTATTAAGCAAAAAGCTCACTGTCAATGGCGTTTTCACAAATTTAAGTTTTTTACAGTTGAATGTGCAGAATTATCCTTAGCAGTGGAAAACGAAATTTTTGAAAAGGAACGATCATAGCAATTAAAGTGGAAAAGAACTGCCAATGAAAAATCTTTCGAGCTTCACCAATGTGGATGGTACTTGTTCAAATATCAGAAACAACCTGGAAGATTGTCCTGGAAACTACAATGGGAAAGAAGAAAACATTTCTTACAGAGGGAGAATCGAATACAAAGATGGTCAACACTTCTTGATGGGACTTGGCCAGGTTGACCTTCTTGTTCCTTTATATACCTAAACATAGAAAACCAGACCCGTCACGGGTCCATGCTAGAATACCAACTTTGCAAAGTTTTGAATTCTGCAATATCTTTTGATTTATCATGAAAAATAAGTTTTAGAAATAGAAATTTTCTCTCTTTGCATAAAAAAATAAGGAGATTCTTAATAAGAATAAGTTGGCAAAATATGAAATAAATGATGATCAACAAACGCAAAATCCGTCATTTCAATTCAGGACAATCAAGGTTTAACCGGAATGAAAAAGACAAAGGTATATAAAATTAAAAAGTCTTTGATTCAAGAATAATTACGATATGTAATCTCCTTCGGATTATAAAATATAAAAATTTTTTTACTCTTCCAGCAAAGTGCATTTTTCGAAATTGAATTTATATGTTGACCCACGTAATTGAAGTTTATTGCACTCAGAACTATCTATGAAGCCTTTGAACATGGAATGAATCAACCAAGAAAACATTATGGAGTTGGTGAAGCATGAACATTAAATAATTAAGGAAGACAAAAGACTATTTAACTCTGACAGGAGCCAACAAGTTAGGAGACCAGCTCCATTGAAATTTATACATATAGCAGCAACATAGTTTTGTTGCAAGTGATGTGCTGTGTGTGATCTCCATCATTGCCGACAATAATTTATGTTTACAAAACAAGCTCTGTCTTACTCTTTCTAGAGATGTTGCATTTATGTTTCCTTTCTATTTTTTTAATTAACGTTTTCCTAATAAATTTAATGCCTTAATTTTTAGTATTGTCGCATAGTAATTAAGTAGTAGTAGTACTAATGTTCGAGCTATGCAAGACAAATGCATGTTTTAATAATCTCTTGTTTGACAGATTTCACGTGCAATTTCATAAAGATTGGAAAGTGTAATTAGCCATGCATGCTAAACACTAGTTATCATTTATCATCAACCCTCCAAATCGAATCCAAGTAATCAATTAACTTGGTAATTTATTTATTCAACTGCTCTTCATCACTGATAACTGCGATTGGCTTATTTAGACTCGGTCTGTATGTGATGAAAATAATATGGTTATTACAACGAGAATATTTCTGATCATTTATTGAGAAAAAAAAGAGAATAAAACGATAATAATTTTTAACAAAATATATCTTTTTTGATTAATTTGGTTTATAAGTGAGAATATTGGCTAAATCTAGATAAATTTAACCCTAATCAACATTACTATAAGTGAATATAGCGAACAATTAGGTCAAATATTTTATTGATTCAGTACTTTAAAGCCTCCTAAGCTTTGAACTGGACTCGAAATTGATCTATAAGATTTCAAGCATGATTTTGATTCAATTGATTCTTAAATTGGTAAAGAGTTTATCGCTTTCAATTCAATCCCCATTCAAGCTCTTTTTATTTATTTATTTATTTATTTATAATAAATTTGGAAAGAACTAAAATTTGTAATTAATTTAGAGCTGGATTTTGATTGAAACATGTAAGTGTAGCAAGAATGCACGTCTAATGAATGAGAAGGGAATGAAAATGCAAGTGCAAATAAAGAGATGAGAGGGGAAGGAAACATCGTCGTGACGTAATTAATGAGTGAAGATTGTGGAGGAGAGGACAAGTGTCGCCTTTTGCTTCCAACCAATAAATGAGGAGTGGTGGGACCCCATGCCATGTAGGATTTGTGTTTTGAACTTGTCCGAATAAAAGCTGGCAACATCTCTCTGACCTTCAGACGAGGACTTCATTACTTTTAATGCATCCCATTAACACACACTTAAGACCTAACCTAACTAATAAACCCATTAATTAAAATTAATTATTGTAAAAAATATAAAAGAAAGCTCATATATTTAGATTTATTTGGCCAAATCAAATTTCCAAAAATAGCATGGATGGAGAAAAAAAACTTTGTAGGATTTTGAGGGTGCAATGCAAATTTTAGTTTGTTACAGTATCAATAGACTAAAATTATGAAGGTGAAAGCCGATAGTTTTGAGTCTAATACTAAAATTAGTGTAATTTTACGTATGGCCTTGATCGAGTCTCTAAAAATGGAATTCACGTCATCACCACCATTTCTGTCCTCGCTACAACTGGTTGTTTTGTTATTAGTTGTAGGAGCCAAGTCTGGAGCCAGAGAAATTTGTGCTGTTGAATTCTATCCAACCATAGCAAAGAAAAATCAAAAAATAAGGAAAATTTTGAAGAAAGAAAGAAGGAAGAGGGAGAAAACAAAATATCAGAGAGTAAGAAAAAGCCAGTCATTGGTACCGACCTCGCTTTTTTCTTTCCCATCGATCTAACAGGACAAAGCCTTCATTTTTTTTTTCGAAATCTGCAAAATACCCATTTCATAAAACCATCAAGGTACCCAATGCAGTCTTGAAAAAGCAAAACAAAATAACATATTTATGTTTTTGTTTTTGCGGTGTTTGATTCCCTCCAAAATTTCCATTTCTGTTTTTGCTGCAAAAAATGTTGCTTTTCTCCTAAAGACCAACAATACCAAAGACAGAATGGGAGAGGGAGAATAGGCATAAGAGAAAAGAAAATGCAGGAGACGTAGGAAGATTTGGTCTTTGTAGGGAGGGAGTTGGAGAGAGAATGAACAAAGAGATCGTAGGTTTTGTCAAGGGTTGGGAAGCAACAGTAAGAAAATCACAAGCTGCAATAAAGAAAAGATCCAACTCCATCTTTTGCGCCATGATGTCAGCAGCAGTAGCTCATGCAGATGATGATGATCCTTCTTGCCCTGATACTATCCGCCATGTAGAGAAAGTTCTACCCAATGGTGATTTCTACACTGGACAATGGCTTGAGAACCTCCCTCATGGGCAGGGCAAATACCTCTGGACAGATGGATGTATGTATCTTGGTGAATGGTACAAAGGGAAGACAATGGGAAAAGGTAAATTTAGTTGGCCTTCTGGTGCTACCTATGAGGGTGATTTCAAGAGTGGTTATATGGATGGTAAAGGGACTTACACAGGATCTTCAGGTGATACTTATAGGGGTTCTTGGGTTATGAATTTAAGACATGGACATGGCATCAAGAGTTATGCTACTGGAGATTACTATGATGGTGAGTGGAGAAGAGGTTTGCAAGATGGGCATGGAAGGTATCAATGGAAGAATGCTAATCATTATATCGGTCAATGGAGGAATGGTATAATGAATGGTAATGGAACTATGATTTGGAATAATGGGAATAGATATGATGGGTTTTGGGAAGATGGGCTGCCTAAAGGAAATGGTACTTTTAGATGGGCAGATGGGAGTTTCTATGTGGGGGTTTGGAGTAAAGATCCTAAAGAGCAAAGTGGGACTTATTATCCATCTGGGTCTCATTCAGGCAATCTGGATTGGGATCCACAAGAGGTGTTTTTGGAGGACTTGAGGGATTGTCAGATTTCTGCTTGTGAAAAAGTTGTAATTTTTCCTTCACAAAAAATGTTGAACATGCCTGGGGTTGATCAAGCAGGGAGTGTTAGAGGTGTTAAAGGGAATGGTGATGACGGAAAGCCTAGGCGGATGTCCATAGATGGGAGGTTGAGTAACTACAGTCTAGCTTCAACGGAAAATAGTGATGCTTTTGGTGGTGGTGGTGGTGGTGGAGATGGAGACTGGAGGGATGGAGATGAAGGGTTTAGTCAATACGATGATTTAGATTCAAGAATTCATAGATTGAATATACCGCCTGTAAAGAAGCAAGGAGAGACTATATCTAAAGGGCATAAGAACTATGAGCTTATGCTTAATCTGCAGTTAGGAATCAGGTACTTGTGATTGGTGCATGCTGCTGTCCTTTTTCTGTTTTCATCATCACCGAATCTTAAATGTTTTATAGAATGCTTAACTATAGTGAAATTGGAGGTATTAGATCTTCATATATATCTATATATACTTGTGTTTGGTGCATTGCTGCTGTCCTTTTCTTGTTTTCATCATCACCGAATTCTTAATATGTTTTTAATAGATGCTAAACTATAGTTGAAATTTGGAGGTTATTTAGATCTTCATATATATGCATATATAACATATAGTATATAATATATAATATTATATATATGAAGCATTTGAAGTTACCAACTCTATAAAATCTTCTTAAATCTCCTTTATATATATGAAGCATTTGAGTACCAACTCTATAAAATCTTGCTTAATCTTCCTTATGGTTGATCAAATTCTATATTTTTTTTTATAGATGCTGGTCTGAGCTGTAAATTGTTCTGTTTCAAAGGGTGTGAAAGTTACTTTTTTTTTCCCTCTCCCTCTATATATCTACTACCCGTAATGGTTATTCCTGCATTTTACATGCTCTTATTTGTTGGGCTTGGAAATGGTCTTTTCTCCAGTTCATGATTGCAGTAACCACTAATTCATCTGCTTAATTGATTTCTGTTTGTTGTGCAGACATTCAGTGGGACGACCTGCTCCAGCTATAAATCTTGATCTGAAGCCTCCAGCTTTTGATCCTAAGGAAAAAGTTTGGACTAAATTTCCGCCAGAAGGATCTAAGTATACTCCACCTCACCAGTCTAGTGAATTCAAATGGAAGGATTACTGTCCTGTTGTTTTCAGGTTACAGCTTGAAAACTGTTCCTTTTATTTGAGGCTGAGCCTCTTTTAGCATGAATAATTAAAGAGATTTCACAGTGCCAACAGAAAGTATATTCTGAAAATGATCTGAAATTGCTTCTGCATTGCATCTATTTAGTACACCGACTCTTGAGATGATTGTGACAGTAATAACCTGCAACTAGGATGTTTAATACTTAATGCAATTTTCATCAGAATCTTAAAATTTGTTCTGGAAAGTGTATTATGCTAGCAGATTTTCCAAACATGCCATATTCACTCCATACTAGGTGGCCTGACAATTTACCATATTCCTATTTTCAGGACTCTCAGGAAATTGTTCAATGTGGATGCAGCTGATTACATGCTATCAATATGTGGGAATGATGCTCTTAGGGAGCTTTCATCCCCAGGAAAGAGTGGAAGCTTCTTTTACTTAACAAATGACGATCGCTACATGATCAAGACAATGAAGAAGGCCGAAGTAAAAGTTAGTGTTCTACTGCTTACCTTTGCAACTTTTCTGAAGCTTTAGATTTTCTTTTTCCTTTCCTTTTGAATTGTTTGTTCACAAAACCTTGCATTAACTTCAAGGTGAACATTGATTATTGAATCTGCCCCTCAGATTGATTGTGGATTTCCAAAATGTGCAAATAGGCTTCTTTTTCCTTGGCTTTCTCTGGCTTAAGTTGATTGATATTACAGGTTCTCTTGAGGATGCTGCCAGCTTACTACAATCATGTTCGGTCATTTGAAAACACGTTAGTGACCAAATTTTATGGTCTTCATTGTGTGAAATTAGCCGGTCCGAATCAGAAGAAGGTAATGTGTTCTGCAAAAAATCACAATTTAAGTAAAAATTAGCCCAGTCATGAATTTTCATGGAATCAATCTTCATTTGGTCTAGGTGCGATTTGTCATCATGGGGAATCTGTTCTGTGCTGAGTATGCAATTCACAGGCGTTTTGACTTGAAAGGTTCTTCCCATGGTCGCACAACTGCTAAACCTGAATCAGAAATTGATCCAACAACAACCCTCAAGGATCTTGATCTCAATTACATATTTCGATTACAGAAAGTTTATTTTCAAGAGTTTTGCCGGTGAATATCTCGTGTTTTCTCCTTTCTCCTTTCTCTTTTCAGTTATATTTCTGCCTTTGCTTTATAATGTGTTGAGGGTGGCAGTTAGATTAAAAGATTTTTATTGTTTCTCTGCTATGCATTCTATCCATCAATAATTTTTTTCAGGACAAAAATGTATGAAAAATATCTTACTTAGCTGCTAATATAAGCAATTGTAGGAATGTTTTAAAAGTAAATGTTAGAACATAACTGTCCTTAAGAGTTCTTATAACATGAAAACTATCCCCTACTGCAGGCAAGTGGACAGAGATTGTGACTTCCTTGAACAAGAGAGAATCATGGATTACAGTCTTTTGGTTGGTGTTCACTTTCGAGAGGCTTCATACAAGGATGCCATGACACCACCTCGTACATCTGGTGTTAGGACTCCTTCTGGCCATCGCACTCCAACTGGACTTCTCACTCCCACCGGACTTAGAACTCCTACCGGTTATTTCTTGTTATCTTATTTCCTCCTGTTTGCAAATTCAGAATCAATAACTGATGATCTTTTTATCCTTTTCTTAGCAGCTGGAAATGCAGAGCCTGATAATGAAGTAGGAGCACCACGCCTTTCTCGAGCAGACATGGATAAAATTATCTTTGATCCTGCTAGGTAAAATAAACTTGCAGAACCAAATTTATCTGTTCATTCTTGTATTATTTGGAAGTTCCAAATGCCAAACAATAATCAAATTTACCATGTGGGCAATAGTATTTTAAGTTGGTCAAAATCTTGTCTACTGATTCATTTCTGCCACAAACCAACAGTGCTTGCTGCTATGCTCAATGCCTTGTTTTGATTCAAATTCATCAGAATTCTGCTTTTCTCATTCTCTGTAAATGTACTATGCAGGTGGGCTTCCATAAAACTAGGCATAAACATGCCAGCACGAGCTGAAAAGACTGTCAGAAAAGGTGACCCCGAAACTCAGTTGATTGGAGAACCAACGGGAGACTTATATGAGATCATTATATTTTTTGGTATAATAGACATACTACAGGACTATGATATTAGCAAAAAGCTTGAGCATGCATACAAATCAATGCAATATGACCCAACTTCAATATCTGCTGTCGATCCAAAGCAATATTCAAGACGTTTTCGAGATTTCGTTCTCCGAGCATTTGTAGAAGACACTTGAAGGTATGAATTGACCAAAATCTTCCAACTTGCAAGGTGTGACCATCTGTGTATAGACAGCCTTTTATTTCTGGGATGAAAGTTTTTGCAGGCAAGAGGTTACTATTGTAACCTTCTTCTGGAATGGTTATGGCTGCCAAGAATATGCTTTTCTTGTCCAGCATAGCAGTTTTTACCCCTCACCACCATCATCTCTGTTAATTTACACTTACAAAATATGATATATTCTAGGAAAGGTACAGATTAGCATTGTAACCAAAGTTACTTGAGCTTGTTTCAGCTGTAAATGAGTTAATCGGGTGGAGGAATCTATTGAATTTTATTCTTTTGTACCAATTCTTTTTCTCCCAAAAAGTGAGGAGTTCTTTGGTTTCAGCATCAAATAATATGTACAGAAGGAAATGTAATGGAACTAACTTTAGGGTTTTCTTAATCTTTTAAAGAAATTCTTTGTTGATTAAGTTTCACTATTGTCCTTCAGTTATCTTTGCATCTGCTGCTTCTATCTTCTGCACATATCAAATAATCAGACCTTGTTATTATTGAAAATTAAACCAACAGTACCAGTGCCTGAAGTTTAGTTTCTGAGGCCACAATTTTCAAATTGGCTGCAGAATTTCATTCCATTTCTTTGGCTAACAGTTGTCTCAAGTTGAGTTGCTATCGGAATTACAAAGACATGGGTGTAAATTGTGGTCCACTCTATGATGTTGAGTTGGACTTGCATGTCAGAAATGGTCTGTTTTGGGGTCACAGGCAGTTTAGGGCCTGCTTGTTGAGCTCAGACATAGCATTGTCAGGAAAACCCAAATTTGGGCTTAACTTGTGCATTGGGGTCTTGATTTTTTGTCTTTGCCTGAATAGAAGAAGCATTAATGTCTTTTCTTAATGAAACACTTTCTTGTTGTCCATGGTGGTCTCCACTCTTACTTTATTTGATTTTGTGGTACCAGCAGATCAAATCTAATGGGATTTTTGATTGACCTGCTTTTATCAATGGGTTGCTCTGTTTGTGATTCATTATTACCTGGATCAGCATATGGTTAAATACATTCATGAAAAATAACTCATGAAAACACCAGTCACGAGATTAGTATAAAAAGAAAAAAAATACTACCTTAATTTGTGAAAAAAGCCATATAATTTCAATGGAGGGGAATGTAAAACAACCTTCGTTAAAAGACAGAGCAACATATCGTTCCTTTAGACGAGCAGTCGTATAAATCTATTAATAGTATGATGTACTAAGAAGGTTACTCTAGACAACAACAGAGGAGCGTTTGGAACAGAAAAATTGATTGACTACAGCTAGAACTACATCACATAGCATGCAAAAATCAGTATCTCCATCTCAACCCCAGAGAATGGCATGCCAAATTTTCACAGTTGGATACTAAGAGCAAAACTTCGTTTCACCTTTTGCATTTAACCAGCCCTTCATGATAGCAATTTCATTCATTACCTGATGCACATATATAAATATACCAAAAAAAAAAGAAAAAAGAAAGAAGAAAAGGTTAGTGCATCAAGCGAAATAATAGCATTTTATGGAGTTAGTCAGTTAGATAACATTGTCTTGGAAATATAAATGTTGAAATGGATAAAAGAGGCTAAAGTATAAGTGGATAATTGCTTATTATTTCAATGCCCCAAAGATCTTTCTGTGTTGAGTTGAAAGCAAAAGAAAGGACATTATGGATACAAAGCTTGTCACTTGCATAAGGGGGAATGATGAAACATTTGAGTATGGGAAGGGATATGCACTTCTAAAGACTGATAGTGACATTGAAAATATGATCTCTGCTTATCTAAGAAGCTTAAAGCAAGTCCTTTATTTGGTTTCAAGGTCATATGAAAGGAAACAAGAACTTGAATTCTTCTAATTATGGATATGGAGATTGCTATGCCATTATCAAGATTCTTCCTTTCTTTCTATCACAACATTGAAATGGTAAAATAGAACAAGATTTAGATAATCAAAGGCCATATTAAGAAGAAAATGAAGGTCCTATTCACCATAAATTAGCAGGGGAAACAATACAGGACTAATCTTATGCACTAATATGGATTTGCAGTATGAAGATCAAAACTTTTATGAACTTTGCTGATATTTCTTAATCATTTTCCTCAGTGTTCTTGTTCCGTCACTTATAAACAAGTTGTCATTGAATTTGTAACCTAATCCAGCAATAACCATAAAGAAATTATTGAAATCATTCAGTGGCAAAGGCTTTACCTTCAAGCAATCTTTGGCAGCCAGAGGCTGGACAGGCATTTGGTGGATCAACAATTGGAGAAGTAGATTCTCTGTTTCTTCCACCAGAGGGCACTTTTGAAATGCATGGAAACAAGTTTTTCTCATCAATCCCTTGATCATAGAGGAAGCCCTTAAAAACATGGCCACTTATGTTCACCATTGCTTGGTATGCAACCTCAGCTTCACCACCATTAATGGTTGTTACTCTAATGCACCTGAACACAGCCGGAGCTTGGACTTGACTTGGTAAGGATTGTTTGAAGCTTGCATCTGCATCTCAACAAAAAATCAACCAGTTTTAGTGCCTGATTTCATTCTCAGCAACAAACTCCTTGGAAACAGAGACCAAAGCAGAGGAAAACAGAATTAGCCTTGCATCAGAGCCCAACAACCCCACATGTCTTGATCGTTTAACTTCAACAATCTTCCACTTAATTTATCAACCCCAAGTAATTTTGTATGTCGACATAGTTAGTTACCGCACAATTTACGAGGAATATAACAGAAGTGAACACTGATCAGAAAAGAGTGGAATGGACTCAAATTTTCATGTACAAATTAGAACTTTGTAGTCCTCTGGAAAAGAAAAAATTCAAACTTTGAGGAAGAGGGAACAAGAAAGACCCAATCTTGCAAGCAAGATTCAAATATATATATATATATATAGAGAGAGAGAGAGAGAGAGAGAGAGAGTACCCTGGTAATTAGAGCCATTGTCAAAATTGAAAGAAGTAGCAGCATTATTATTAGAAGTGCTAAAACTATTAGATGTAGTGGTCACATTCTCTCTTGGCCTTTTTCCACCACAAGCTCCACCTGAAGAAGATCCACAAGAGCCCCCTCCGCCGCTGCCACCATTAACGCTTTGCCTCTCTCGCCGCCTCACTGCAGGAACCCACGTGCTCTTAACGTGAGTGGCACAATCATACCCTCTGCCTTTGCAACAAGTCCTACACCTTCTATATTCACACTCCTTCTTAGCCCTATTTCCACAATCTCTACAAACTCTAGAAGAGCTATCACTATTTTCATTATACTCACCAATATTAAATGCATCTTTTTTAGCAAAACTTGATTCCTGTTGATATCTCTTTAGTGTGGTCCAAGAGTCTTGATTGTTTGAGATATTGCATTGGTCATTGATGGTAGTGGTTATTTGGTGCGAAGAGGAAATGGGCTGTTGATGTTGAAAAGTAGCAGATGAAGAAGGTGGTGGCGCTATGAAGAAGATGTTGTGGAGGCCTAACATGTTTGTATGGTCATGTGGGAAGGTGGAGGTGGTGGTGGTGGTGGTGGTGCTTGGTGGTGGTGGCAGCCATGTTTTGGTGGCTGTGAGTGAAATACGAGTTGGGGTTGCCACAGTTGGTGGATTGGATTGAGAAAGAAACTAGTGCATGGATCTATGTACAAAGACTAAAGAGAAACATAAAATAAAAATGTCGGTGTAAGTGATAGAGATATATGAGTTACCAATATAACATGAACTAATTATACTGAGAGAAAGGAAGACTTATTACAGAAATTGCTTTTGATGCTAGGAGGAGTCTATTCCCGCGGACAGAATTGCTTCTACTTATTAAAGACTAAAACTTTAACATCTTTCTGTGGATTTATTGTGTTCTAGCTCAGAAAGGATATGGTGATGCAAAAGACGTTTTAACTTTGAATGGTTTTGTAAGTAATTTAGTAAAGATTGGTTTTTTTTTTTTTTTTCCATCATATTGGTTTATATATACAAGAGAGTCCTGCAATTCAAAAAAATAAAAACTTCAATTACAATTTTTCAAACACATTATTTATATTTATAAAACGCAATTTTAATATTTAGAATTTAATTTAAATATTATATTATTTAATTATTATAAAAAATAATTTTTCACATTTTAAACTCTTTAAAAACTATTTAAAAAACGGTAACCGACCATAGTAAATGTCGAAGCATATTTGGCGTGTGGTGAGGTATGGAGCACATTATGGGCATTAGTAGGCTTAGGTGAAAATGCTCTCACTAGTAGGCTTAGGTGTGAACCACTAGAAGTTTCTCTATTACTTAAAAAAAAATAAAAAATAAAAAATGTGGCAATCATAGGGTGGTGTGGGACCATCCTAGTCTATAAGTCAAGGTTAGAGTCTAAAGCCTACTAGTCTATGTTGCATTATAGGCATTCCGCTAAGCCAAAGCCTAAGCCTAAGCATCTCTATGGGCTACTGTTGCATTTTCTTTTTGTTCTGCTGGCACATAGTCACACTGATGGGCCACTCTCTCTTGTTTGATTCATGACAATATAATAATATAAAATAGAAAGGGAATAAAAGATTTATTTTATATCTAGTAATTATTTTTATTTTATTTCTTACTTATAAATATAAAAGCAAATTACTGTTTAATTCCTCTAATCTAGTGAAATTAACTATTTCTTAGTTATAAATTTTTGTTTAATGGTTACAAACAATGGGGACTAAATAAATTTAAAAACACAAGAGCTAAATAGTAATTTTCCTTAAACATATTTCAGACCAAGCTTTTGGACGTGACATCTACAAATAATATGAAATCAATTAACAAATATCTTTGTAAAGATCTACTCAACTCAAATAACAAGACATGCTTGAATTCAAGTAACGGTATCTAATAAATCTCGAAGTGGGATTAATTTTATCTTTAAAAGGATATAAGAATAGTGATATCATTCAACACTTTAATATATAATGCTTTAATTTGTTATTGATTAAAGGAATATCATTATAAATCATAATTAATCATTTCTTCTGAATAAACTAATCTTCTTCTTTTTTACGTTATAGATGCAGGAAATCATCATTAATCATTGAATAGTTGTAAGCACAAGGGTAGTTTTGCTATTTTTGATAATTTCGTTTTTGCAGTGGTAACCCTTGAAGCCTTCTTCAAGTAAGTTGCCGTGGACTCTGAGCTTCCATCTTAGACAATGGAATCTAACTCATCTGTACACAAAAGTGTGGATTAGCAATTGATGCAATGTCCCCTGCAAGCAATTCTAATAACAAGTTACAACCGTTAGTAGAATCAAAGACCAAATCTTTTCTACTAGAAAGAATGTCTGTATTAAGAACATGCTTCAAAGACTTAATTTACAGTCAATTCTACAGAGCAGTTAAGATCAAAGTGCAATGAGTAATTACTAGAAGAATTATGTTTGGGTTCTTACATCCCACAAGGGTTATTGTCAAGTCAGAAAAAATTGACTTAAGAGTAAGGTAGGTCTTCTTTGATATGTCTGTTTATTGTATTTACGACCTACTTTCTTCTTTTATTTTCACTGAAGAAAAGATCGGGTGCAAATCCTGCAGAAGCTGGGACCAAGTGAGCTCGGCATATTATACATCCAGATCAATAGGTAAGGCATGTTCATAATCAAGTTGCCTTAGCCACCCGGGATAGTAACCTCACCTTTGAGGATGTATAAACTATGTGGTTTCATGTATTTCATTTTATTTTGCCCCAAAAAGAGTATCCATCATCATCACAAGAGCAAGACTTGTGTTTCCAATGAAATTTCATAGTTCAAAAGTTTGAAGGTTCGTTCCAACCTTTCTCCATTGATATGAGACAGAGACGGACCATCAGCTTCTCCACAGCATCTTCCTCCAGGTTGTCATATTCAGAGGATATTTGCTTTTGTAAGGAAAAATTCTGCAACAATCCAATAACAATTTTTTCTTATCAGTTAGCTCAATAAATTTATTAGATAATCTCAATCAAAATGTTATACTACATGACTTACAGAATTGTACCTTTTTTTCTTGATACAACTTTAGATATTGCCTTGATTGCTCATAAAATCCACAATGGTATAGAAGAATGCTGTAATCTCGTAATTCCTTCGGATTAGACCGTAGGAGTATGAGACGTTCACATGCTGCAACAGTAGCAATTGTGAATGAGAATTGCTCCAGAATCAACACAGAGAGAGATTGAGAGATAGAGAGGCAGAGTCTTTGAAGCTTCTTGGTAATTGATGAGAGATGAAAAATATATAACTCCCTCTGCTTTAAAGAAGAAACAGATAAATGAAGGGGAGAGAGGCAGTTTACAAACAATATTTTTAAAAAAATTTCATTACATTAAACATTGGCATATTCTGTTTGTAAACCCCCAAGACCTCGCCAAACTGGTCTAATACAGAGGCTCAGATTGTTTCTACAGCCTTGAAAATATAAAAATTTGAATAAAGGTGAAACGAAAGACTAATAAAACAAAGATCAACCAAGGTATTAAAATGAGATGCAGAAAAACAATTTTGCTTTTGCATGAATGCAAGTTGTATTAATCTAGCTCATCTCAAGTCCTATGCTGCCCAGTAATCTCTGAGGGCCATCAACAGTAAAAGGGAGGAAAATTTATACCAGATAATGCAAGCCTCATATCACCAAAATGCGTACTGGTCTGAAGAGCATGATGTATCCTATTATCAGCAGCCTTTGCAGGTAAGAGTTGAGAGCCACTGCAACAGGAAGAAAGTTCAGAATGAAAATATGTAAAGACAATATATAAACGAATCAAAAGCTTCAAGAAGCATAAGGAAGAAAGCTCATTGTACATAGCAAGAATAATTGCAGTGCAAGGTAGAGTAAGCACCAATATTCGAGATGTTTTGATACATCAATACAATTGGTGGCATGTGCTGCCCTTAAGAATAAACTCTTGGTGTGGTCATATTGAAATGGCCAAAAAGCCTCCTTCAAACTTCTCAAAGTCTGCAGAGAAAATTTACTTTAAGAAGAGAAAAAAAGGCTAAAATCAAAACAGAGTTGCTACAAGCATGCGCATAATGTAAAACAATGCTAAAAGATTTATGCATGGCATGGAGACACATAGAAACCAAATAGAAAAATAGAAGGTTGTATCTCTCTTTCACCCTGCGTGGGGGTGTTGGTTTGTTTTAGATATTGTTTTCTGGAAAAAAGATAGAAATCAACTTCAGCCTGAAGTTGATAGTTCGGGTGTAAAACAAACTGTTAGGGGACGAATTTGAAACAATGAGGTTCAGGTTTGAAACCTTAAACACAGGCGTGGATTCAAGTCTTGGTAAGTCAATAACTATAACTTTTAAATAAACTGGTAAAAAATTTACACGTAACTATATCACTTTGGACTTTTATCACATGAATGCCAACAACTCCTGCATTACGAAATAATGCGTAGGCTCAATAGGCAAAAGGCAAAGAAAGTGTAAGATGTGCATTTGATTCTAGGAAAAACGAATATGTAACAGTAACCCAATGCGGAATCTGTGCAGAGCAGAACAAAAAGTTACCTCCTCTAGCAGAGATTGAGTTGTCATTATGTGTTGCTGATCAGACTCCTTACCCTTCTGCTTATGGTAGCCTCTAGGAAGAGAATGAAGATCATGAGGGAAGAATATCTCACAGTCAAAATCCAACAGACCCCACAACCGAAGCATTTTTAGGATTTCAGAATATATAAGTGAAAGCATAACAGCCGAACCAGACCGATTAATCAAAACCTATTCAAAACATAAAGATAATTAAGTTAAAAAATAAATTCCCAACTTGGCAATGTTTATATATTGTGAAGGTGACTTTCATACTGAGGGGAGATAGAGAGGCCGTATGTCCAATTGGTCCTTAGGACTAGGAGCGGTTCTCCGGAAACCCTGAAAAGAAAGAACAATTTCATGTCAATGACAGTCCTGTTTCTCCTAAATTGACAACATATTCAAAAAAGTATAGCTCGAAAAGACACAAAAGAGGACATATGCATTTAAAGTTTTTAACTTTCGACTGTTCTATTTAAACCAATCGCATGAACATTCAAAACAACAAAGACTTTCTCCTAAATTGACAACATATTCAAAAAAGTATAGCTCGAAAAGACACAAAAGAGGACATATGCATTTAAAGTTTTTAACTTTCGACTGTTCTATTTAAACCAATCGCATGAACATTCAAAACAACAAAGACATTGTATAAAAGGCATACCTTCTTGACATACAAATACGTATCTAAACTATCAAGAAATTTCTCAGGTGAAGATCTAAAGGATGATCTATAGCTTGAGCAGTAGTCCATGGAAATATTATCCAATATTTCAATAAAATGATCCACAGGAAGTGGGATGGAAGAGTTAGATAGAAGAGAATCATCCTCAGCTGCTATATAAAGAGCCATTTTCCCCAAATCCACACATCTATTAATGCTAATACTAGTTCCCCTCTCGATATCCGATAAGTTCTGAATCTGTGTCAAGAATCCCTTCCTCGCTTCCTGCATTTATCATCAGCAGTAAATAAAATTCCCGAAATTAACAATAAGAGGAATGAGAAAGTAACAGTAAGTACCCTAGCGTGGGTAGCGTCGACTCCACAAGAATCCAACGCATCATGTAGAACAAATTCGAAGTTGGTCGATTTTGAAGCTCTAACTAAGAGCAAACAGCGTCGTCGAGAGGAAGACGAGGAAGGACAGAATTGGAAAATGGAGGATTTGGAAGGAGAAGAAGAAGAAGAAGAAGGGGATTGAAACAGAGAGGTTATTGTTGCTCTTGAAATTAATAAAGAAGATGAACTCATGGTGAAGCTAAGCGAGTGTTGTAAACATGGAGAAAGATAGGGTAAGTTATAGAAAGTTGTTTTGGTTGCTGATAATGAATTGATCAAGTTGTAGGTTATTGATATTTTAATCTGGAGCGACTAAAATTGAATATCAATAAGAAGTGAGTTCAGTGAAGGATGAAGAAGAAGTCAGAGAAGGAGAATTATTGTCTTGACGCTTGATGGGAAATGGGAGCAAAGATTGACCATTTCTGGTATCCACTTGCTGATCTTTCAACCAAATATCAGAAAAAAACAAAAAAAAAAAAAAACAAAAAACAAAAACTGCCAACCATTCGATTACTTGTAGTAATAACTTGTAGCATTTTTTTTTTTTTTCCTTAAATTATTTTTATTTTACTTTTATTTTTTTAAAATATTTTGTCCTATAATATTCTACATGTAAAAGTTAATGATATTTAAATTTTACTATTTTATTATTATTTAATATATTTTTTATTAATAAATATAATAGTTAAACTAGTACAACCCCATCAATTAAATATCCATATAAATAATAAAATTAACATATTAACTATTAATCTTTTGATAAAATTTTATTTAGTCAAATGTTCAATTACAGTTTGATTAATTTCAAAAATAATTTAATATGGACCGTTTAATTTTTATAGATATTAACACAATGATATATTAAGAAAAAATAAACAAAAATTATAATTTAACTAGACTAATAAAATTTTCTCATTTTATTCATTATTTCAAATCAATATAAATAACAGGAACTTGTTCCAGCGAGAGATTCAATTATTCTAATGAAAAATTAAAAGGTAAAAATATATAATGTTAAAATATAATTTCATAGCTTAAATTGAAAAGTGAATAAATTTTATTAATAACATTATTTATGCATCAATTCATGTTTTGTTTTCATCTTTTGAATATCTTAGTTTGGCCCAAAGTCATACTGGTGTATGCTCTATCAGGTTGCTGAGTTGCTCATCTTCAATTGGCTGTGTCTGCAGAAAGATAAGATAAGAGGGGAAAATGAAATCTCTTGAGACGCAGATTGTATTGTTGGTTTCTGAGAAAAATCTCATTTTCTGGCAAAATATCAAACCCATGAGTGAAGATGTAAAATTTACAACAACAACAATAATAATAATAATAATAATAACAGATTTTGAATGCAATAATAATAATAATAATTCAAAAAAAGGGTTAAAATATAAACATCACAGTGGCTAAAGTATATTCATATCCATCTAGCAATTTGTGACCAACTTACATTCTGTTTTGAAGATTTTGGCAATGGATATAAACTACAACTTTTCCAACTTTCTGTTCATACTGAAGGCTATTGCCTTTTGAACCTTATTCTATAGTATTTGTTTGATAGCAAGTGCTTTCACGGATAGGCTTGTGAACCAGCTACATATGTTGCTTCAACTGATGCATATCCTTCCACTTCAAAGTCATCCCAGGAATTGGTGGATAATATGACAAAATCTGCAAACTTACCGGAAGATAGAGATCCCAGATCATCATCAAGAAAGCACGCGTAGGCAGCTGAAATAGTGTGCCTGCCAGTTTAAGGTATAAATTTCAGCAGTGAAACAACGAACAGAGAGATTAATGTGTAGGGAAAGAAGAGCATGGATCAAAGACTCTCATACATTTGCTTAGACTAACTACTCTTTTTGACTTGAAACTCATTTAGCCCCTACATTGGATGCAGTTGATGGTTAATGAGAATTTTCATGATGAAAAATGTTACCGTTGAAACATTGAAAATGGTGAAAAAGTATATTTAAAAAGAATACTGCTAGTTTTGTATGCTAGGATATTCATAAACCAACAAAGCTTTGAGGCATGGCTTTATCATATGATCTTGCATTTCTTATTTCTATCCCCTTTTCCTTATGGCTACTGGAAGGACAGATTTGGGACAACTTTCCATAAAAGGCAGGCCTTACATGAAAAAAGTGGATGACTTGGCCTAGAAAAAATGTATCAAGATCACATATATCTAAAACGGCCCAAGAAAGCATAGAAAATAAAAAAGTAGCAACTTGAGGATATACTATCTCAGAATGCTTACGCAATTATTGCATCTTTCAGTGAAAGCCGCTCAGATGGAACCCATGCATTTTCCCAACCAGGAGGTATTCTTTTCATTGCTGTCCTTATGCTTCCCAAAGGATTGATATTTGTAACCTGAAACCACAGTTTTGATATGAGGTCCTCCAAACACACAGCAACATACTACAACTTATCATTTTAGAAAATATTAGAGAATGAAAAGGCAAATGCATCACTAGAAATGATATCATTTGTTCTATGGTACTTACTGGCCAGTCAGATCCTAATGCCAGTCGAGTGTTGCTAGCTAGAAGTGATCGGAATTTGTAAGATCCCTTTTGAGCCCTATCCACACCCAGCTTTTTTGTTGCAGAATCAGCATCATCCAGTAGGTGATCTGGCTGTTGATAATTGGCAATTTTTGATAATAAGCTGTAATTATGCCATCAAGCTGTGCTACACTCAACTAGACCAGACATAAGTGCGAGGAAAAGGGTTGGACTGGAACCATAACAGAATTTATCTGCTTCCGATGATTTTATCATGGTATAGAAGGTGGCAATCATCTTATAAGGGTGATAGGATTTAGGAAAGATATGATATCTCCCAAAATAAATGAATTCTGTTGCATTGATTGAATTCATAATTTTGTATACAGCCCAAAATAGTAGAATCCAGGGATGATTACTGCTCACATGTACAACAATCTGTCTTTGGTACAGAGCAGGACGAGTAAATTATATTTGTTGCTAAATTGAAAACTTCTCCTCAAATTGAGCAAAACCATCAGAAAACCAAAAAAGTCAGGAGTATTAGGCAAGACAACTCCACCATTTAAGTTATTCTTTATTTTATTAAAGACAAGTGCAAGACTCATAAGTTCTTTGGGTTCATCAAAGTTTGAACAGATAAATTCAAAAAAGAAGGAAAATAGACTCATAAGTTCTTTGGGTTCATCAAAGAAGGAAAATAGAATCATAAATTCAAAAAAGTGCATTCTGCAAAAAGTTAACAACAGAAAGCAGAAATGCAAAGCATAATCCACACCAGAGGCTCCAAAAACTAAAAAGTGCAAGATCCCCAAAACAAAAATATAACAATTGAAAGCAACAAAAGTAGTTCTGTTAGAAAACCTGTACTGAAGCAATAATCCCGTGCTCACCAAAACGAAACACTGCTCCAGGTGCCAGATGTTGGGCATGCTCAATCTGAATATCCATCACAGAAACTAATAATGCATTCGTTCTTAAAAGTAGTTCTTGTCACCTTAAAAATTGAAAAAGAAAAAAGGAAGATAAGAAGATATTCCCCGGCTAAAACTTTTTCATATTTGAACGACGAACCTTACCCGAAATCTTCTGTCCCTTTTTCCGGTTGTTGAAACAACTGATTCATACATATCCAGAATCATGTCATTTGCTTTGTCGCCTATGGCATGAATAGCAACCTGGAATAATTTTAAAGTAAAGCTTATACAGTGGATATAAATGCACAGATGAACATACATATATGGATATATATCTTTATATTTGTAATAAGAAAAGGAGACACCTGAAGTCCAACTTTATCTGACTCCAGAGTCATGTTGAAAAGGCTCTTGATATCAGTGACTTGTAAGCCAAAATTTTGAGGCTCACCAATATAGGTCTAGAAATAGGAAACCTGTTAGCGGACAAGCAAGATATGAAAAACAAAATAATATACATCACGAGTGCACTTCCAATGCTGCATATGACCCATTAATTAGTTGTTCATTATTGAACTAAGTTCTGAGAAGTGATTTTCAAAACTTTACTTCAGGGATTTGGTCCACTATATCTGCTGATTGCTGAAAGTAATTGGATAAACTTCATTAGCCAAGCCCAAGCTACACCACAGCAATTAAATGCAGTATAGCAAACTTGAGCCTACTCCCAAGTTCACAAAAACAGCAGACTAGATTTCTTCAATTTTTGGCTTCCTTGGGTGTAGCATGGACTGAAGGTTCCTCTCTTCTGCATTGGGAGGGAAGAGATAGTGTTGTGGGTTTGCAGACAGCCTTTTTAGGGACTGCTGGGAAATGGGTATGCTAGTCACTTTCAAAGGACTCATGAGAGTTTGTTGCTTTAGGATTCAATAATCCTAAAACAACAAAATAAAGTGAAGTTAATTTATAGATTGTTGAGGTGCATAACCATTACAGTCTCAAGACATTGTAATTTCTGATAAGCAAACTAAGGAACATTACCAAAATTTGGCTCGTCCATGCATTGAAGACAACGCAACAAAGGTTAAAACTAATCAAAAGCAGCAGTATCCAAAGCAAGCATTTGATATTTCCAGATTCCTAACCATATTGCATGGTCTTAGCACATTGTTCTTTTTTTTTTTTTAAGCAAAAGAACTTAGTGATTGGTGTAATAAGCAGTCCAACTATATTTTGGCATGGCACCTAACACCTTATCCAAATTGCAGCTCCATCCTTCAGCAAAAATACACCATTTTAAAAAATCAATAGAATAGGTCAGCAGATGCATAAATAGTTTTGCCTCACCTCATAGAATAGTGCACTGCTAGAACCTAAAGATCCATCAGCAAAAGCCTTAACACCACCTAAATAAATCCAATCACTCAAAGCACGACCTGTTTTTGTAATAAGCTCCTGGATGGGTAATCAGACTTCATAAATGTCAACAAAAACACAGACAATACCCATAATCAAAATGCGGAAAAGTTTTTAGAGGTAATTTTAAGAATTCATACAAACAGGCGTGACCGTGTTTCTATTGAGAAAAATAAGCAAAGCCTGATCCTCATCTTGCCTAAAGAGTCTGCCCATTGATATACATCTGTGCAAATGAGAAAAAGATATTAGTAAAAAAAGAAAAAAACAATTCAAAATTCAAAACATATCACAATTATATGATATTTTATGCTAAGGAAACTTCGGTAAATTTGATCCCGTTTGACTCCCTTTTTGAGAAAACTGTTTATCTGGTGCAAAATTGAAGAGTTATCCTGCAGACTTGAATTCATTAATGAAAATTTTAAGTGAATAGTGCCCCAATCCAGTTAGAGTATTATTATCATTTGATAATTATAACAATGAAACTATACACCAATTACATGATCAAGTAAAAATCTTGAAAATAAAAACAGAATATAGGACATGAACAACTCCCAAGTGATTGTAGCAGAAACCTGAAAGATCCTCCCATGAATGCTCTACTGATGCCCCAGGAAGGTACCTTCCAAAATCAACAACACTTGTCACCCCTCTCCTCAAGGCAAGATTGGTAGCTCCAAGGAAAGCCTCCCTTCTTTCATCTACTGAGACTTCTGGGATCCAGGGAAGAATGAGTTTCATTGCCGCATCAATTAACAGCCCATTAGGTTCTGCGTTGATGGTGGCACCAAATAATTCACTCATAAATTATAACTAGATGACTAAACTTTTAAACACTAAAAAGAACTGTACAAGAAATAATCCACAACAATGTAGATTAAAATAAATCCAACTAAGAGAACATCAAAACTTGCTAATCGAACTTTAGTTTTTCTGCACTGCAAAACAAGACAATACCAGAACATGTTCTTCAACATCGAAAGAACCGTGCTGCAATTTGAAACTAATCTCATGCTAATAAATATGGATCTGTCCAGTGACAATCAATAATTACAAAGGACATTGACTCTTGAGCTGCCTAAAACAGATGGCAAGATGTGTTAAGCAGTTCTACATTAAGTAAACTAACCATTACCTCCATGAGCAGATCTCAGAATAGTTCCACCATTTGGATCTTCTAACAAATTATGTATCCCAGCTAACTTCAGTGCCACTGAATTAGCCAAACCCATATGACCATCCATCCTAATTAGCCAAACCTGCAAAACAAGACTTCTTGTTGAGAACATATGATTTTGAATGCAAAAGTATATTTAAAATCAAGTTATAGTTTCTTACTTACAGGATTGTATGGCGTAATATCATCAATCCAATAGGCCACTGGTAATTCTCCTCCCCATAGATCATTGTTCCATCCACCACCCAACAACCAGGTATCTTCTTTAGAATCTGAAAATATTTGTTTGCAGCTGTATCATTTAAAAAGTATTTCTACATTAGATAATTCAAGTTATTGCGCAATAAGCATACTACTCCTTAATGCTCAGGTTCACCCTGTCAACAACAATGGTTAACAAGTTCTGCAGGAATTAAGCATTTTACAACTAAGACGTGGTTCATGTATCTTGCCGACTGACTCATCCTTTCCCAATATTTCACAACCTTTAGATTACAAAATCTTTATAAATTGATAATATTGTGTAAATAATAACTAATTAAAAATGAAAAAGAACCTAACACCTTTTTCAGCTAAATGAAAAAGAACAATCCTCCAGGAAATGCCCAAACAAGTGAAGGACATGTAGGGACACATAAGAAAGTGGTCAAACAATCAGTGTTCTCAGATGTCCAAAAAGCCCAATTTTTAAATAGGCATGGCCCACATTTCATACTGTGTCTAGCATCATTTACAAACAAGGAGATGCAGAATGTGTTGCATCAAAAAGCATGAAAATTACTTCTTACAGCTTCTTTGACCCTTCTCACAAACTCATCTTTTCGATCTACACCATGTAGCTCCACACGCTTCATCTGTTTTGCATACAAAATCTGAACTCAATATCTATATAGGCGACTACTAGAGGAAATAACAGATCAAAATGTCATGATTAACGAAAAACTTAATAGCTGAAAAAGAAAATGGGAACTTTTAGCTAAATTAAACAGACAACAGAGAAGAGAATAATAAAGAACCATTTGAGAGGTCAGGAAAAAAAATCATTGAGTATAGCACTAATATATTAAAAGCTCAAACAGGGTGGAAAGCTTGCTTCTTTCTTGTGTACTGTTGCAAAGACTAGAGCTCAAAAGTCAAAACGAGGTCTATCACCGCCGCCAGTAATCAATATACAGAATATCACTAAATTGACAATTTTGAAAAATAAAAGAGAAATATATAGAACAGCAGAACACAAAGGGACTATTGGCACATTACCTGAAGTCCACCCCAAATCAAATGGACATGGGAATCAATAAATCCAGGAACCACTACTTTCCCTTCAAGATCCAACTCTCTAGTCTTATCACCCGCCAAATCCTGCATTTAGGTCACTATTAACTCAAATTCTAGAACCAAAGTATAAATTCAATAAGGGCAATGAAACAAGAACCTTAAGAGCTGAATAGTTTCCAACACGGAGAATCCTGCCGTTTAGCACAGCCATTGAATCGGCGAAAGGCAATGAAGCGTCGCTGGTGAAAATAACCCCATTCTTCACAATCAAATCCGCCATTAATCCTCTCGATTCTAAATTCAGCCATTCTAAAATGCAACGAAGAAATAACCAAAAATCAAAACTTTATAATGTTTTTTATGCACAGTGTGGAAATTGAAATTGAAATTACGCTGGGGTAAGTTGAAGAGAGGAATCAAGCAAATGGAGAGGGCGACAATAATCGTAGCTGAGAATATTATCGCACGATTCATGATTAGACTAAGACACTAATGCTTCACTCGCACACTTCCCAGTCTATATTCCACTGGCTTATCAGCTATTTCTCGGATTCCAGTGAATCTTCTAGCAGAATATTTTTGTCGTTTGGTGTAATTGTTGGTAATAAAATTGATATTCTTATCGACTAATAATATAAAAACACATTTTTCTTTTTTAAATTATCAGCGAAAACTGTTGGAGGACTTGAACTCACTTCTCCCGTCCCACTAGTAAGAACATCAACAACCTCACACTAGTAAAAAAACCAACAAAATCCCATGTAGTAAGAAATTTAAGTATTATGGATTACATAGCAAGGACAGTCTTCCTTTCAGTGAAAATTTTTTTAGTAAAAAGAATTTAAATTCGAAACTTCCGCTTTTCATATCAGCGAGAAACCCAATGGATAGCACCTGAATCAATAAAATAATAAATTATAAATTTTCAAGAACACATTTCAACTGTTAAAGATTTAAGCTTTCTATCGAAAAGTTGTCAAATTGGAATTTCGAGTTGGACGGACGAGTACTGAATATGTCACAAGTCATGTAAAGCTCATAGTTTTGCTTCATCATGGCTTGAGAAATACAACTCTATTCTCCTACGTAATATCCCATTAAAAGAAATCATATAATTCTGTAAATAAAGCAGAGACTCAAGTAACTAGCTAGTTTTGTTTTCTTTGGTTCTTTTAGCACTTGCCAGCCTATAGTTAGTGTGTGCAGTTTGATTTACTTGAATTGCAATTCCAATTTTACCTATAAAAGGATCATTTACTTAATGGTGCTATACATTCTGATAGAGTTGGAAATGGAAGCCAGTAAAGAGTGTAATGTTGTTGGAGAAGGAAGATCAAACAATTGGTTTAACAACATATTAACGGAAAGGCTTAAGCCATATCTCTTTTGTATAGTTATTTCTTTCTTCCAAGGAGGATCCAGTATAGTCTCCAAGATTTGCTTAGACCATGGCATGAGTCGTTATGTTCTTGCGGTCTATGCAGGTGCTTTTGGAACTGTAACTACAGCTGCTCTAGCACTAATCTTTGAAAGGTTCGTTATTTCGCTTCTTCTATTAACCCTTTTACTGTGTCTTGTTAATATTAATGTACAACTATATATTCTTGCGGTCTATGCAGGTGTTTTGAACTGTTAATCAGCTGCCCTTATAGCACTAATCTTTGGAAAGGTTCGTTATTTCGCTTCTCTAATTACACCCTTCTTACTGTGTCTTGTTAATATTAATGTACAACATATTATTATATATATATATATATTATATTATATTATATATATATATACATACATACATAATATATATATATACATACATACATACATATTGCAGGAAAAATGAAAGCAAGCTCTGTGCAGAAGTCTGCTTATATATCTTCCTTCTTGGTTTGATAGGGTGAGTAGATGTAGATTCTCTGGCCAACCAATTTATAATTAGTTAAGTAATGTTCGGATAAATGTCTGATGTGTCTTGTAATCTATTATTTCAGAGTTTTGGGTAGAATATCGTTCTATACGGGTCTGCAGTACACTTCAACAGTTTTTGCAGCTGCCATGAGCAACTTAACTCCATCAATGACCTTTCTTCTGGCAGTTTTCTGCAGGTAGCTAAACATTTTTTATGGTACAGATGCCAAAATTAACAGTCAACCCTCCTATATTTAGCATCCCTAGAAACCAAGGAATCATTTAATTGCATGAACCTAAATATTAGTTTGAAGTTCTGTTTTTCTGTTTTAAGGATGGAGAAATTAGACATTGCCAAGATCAGTGGCCAAGCAAAGATTGGAGGAACAATAGTTGCACTAGGTGGTGCAACTCTGATGACCTTATACAAGGGCATTACTGTTCTTCAACTGGATGATCACCATACTAATCAGCAAACTGTATCAGAAGTGCACTTAGATAATAAGAAGTTGATGAAGGGTGCCCCTTTTCTTCTTATTCAAACACTTATAGCAGCAGGATGCTACATTTTACAGGTGACTTGTACTAGAAAATAAGTAAAGTCATAATAATCTATTTTCAATAAAGTATTCTCACTTTTAGTTTGAGTAGTTTTTTAAATAACTAGGCATATAAGGAAAGGAAAAAGATGGCCCATATAAACATATACGTAGTTCAAGAAAGCATAACAATTGTTTAAGTTTTGTTTTTCAACTTCTTTTTTCTATTTCTTTTCTTGAATATATATTATGCAGACAAAAATAGTGAAGAAGTATCCAGCTCCTTTTACCTTCTCCACATTAACAAGCCTAGCAGCGACTATCTTTTCAACAATCTTAGCAGCAATTGTAGATCATAAAGCTTCATCATGGAAATTGTCATGGAATATCTCTCTTGTTGCTCCTCTTTATAGTGTAAGTGACATAACCAAAGTTCAATTACATTAAATATCAAGCTTGCCAGATTGACATATTACTGATAATGACTGTTCATTCTTTCTAATTATTAAGAATAAAGGAAAATAGAAACCTTCTTTAACTATTGCAGGGCACTATCATGTCTGGAATTGTGAGTTACATACAAACTCTGGTGATACAAAGAAAGGGTCCTGTTTTTGTGACTGCATTTAAGCCATTCACAACAGTAACTGTAGCTCTTATGGGACCTTTCATTTTAAAAGAGGCATTGCATTTAGGAGGGTATGTTTGTAGTTTTAGTATATTATATACATTGTCTTGTTCATTTGAGCAGTGAATTTAATTCCTTGAACCCAAGTCAGGAAATGGATTTAAATTACTATTTCCTTTATATTATATAGTTTATTAACAATGAATCTTTTCCAGGATACTAGGGGCTGTTTTGATAATCCTTGGCTTGTATGCAATTCTATGGGGAAAGGAAGATGAGAAAAAGAAAAGTCAGGTGCAATCTGCAACATCTGATCAAGTTCTTGACATTAGGGAAGAGAAGTAAATTAATTAGAACTTTTTCAACACTAGACACCTCTACATTTTTTTTTTTTTTTTTTTTTGAAATAGACACTTTCCATTTTTAATAAGGGGGGTGTTGCCTTAAAAAAAAACATCTGTTAAACAAATATCTGATGTTATACAGAAGAATGTTTTATATATATATATTATATATATATATATATATATATATGTTTTTTGTTGCTAGTCATAAATACAATGACATTACCTTTTTCTATTATGTCTTTCCAATTCCTCCATTTTTCGCTCTTTAAGGCCTCAATATATTTTGAAATTAAAAAATTTAAACATAAAAGTTATTTTATGGGGAAAGGAACAAGAGGAAAAGAAAAGATTGTTGGGGTCTGCAATATCAGATCAAGTTCTTGAGATTGAATCAGCAAAGTAACAAGATTGATGGGTCTGCAATACATGATTGAAGCAGAAGGGTAATTAGTTTCTTCAGTTACATGGATATCAAAACTCATCTTCCCTCTCATTCTTTTCTTTTTGTTTCCCCTCAGTTTAAAGAAAACTAGCGCAATTGACTGGCATTGCTCTTGATGAAAATAACAGTGGGCTTTATTTGAACCACTTGATCAAAGTTCAATGCATGTACAGTGGTTTTAGATCAAAAGGTTATATGCGTTATACAGGTCGCATTAATTACATATGACAACCCTCATCTTCTAGAAAAAAGATGATCTAGTTTTAAAGTTGGGATTCATAGATCTGCGGGCCAGAAGTGGCTGCAGTTATTGGACAGAACCTGATAGAAAAGGAGTATGGCACAGCAGGAACCAGATATTTGTCATGGGTACAGGGGGTCCAGCTATCATCTCCACCTAAACCCATATGTTTGTGATCAAGATGAACCTGCAATTCAGAAACACAAACTTACTACTACAATGGGAATGGTAGCATAAAGCATAGATATGCATCGCTATGTATGAGTATGACCATAATCATCTTACAACATCGAAGCTATTTTGAATATATTAACATGAATTTATTTAAAAGAGCAATAAAAGAAATATCAGTGGTAAGGTATTACCTCAATATCATTTCCTTGAATAAGTTCTTCATTGTGTGTTGCCCGATCAAGTTCCGCTGAAGAATAGTAACTAGCACTCATTTGCATAGGTGGAGAGCTGCCATAGATTGAAGCGAAAATTCCTATACCATTCTTATCCTGAAATGTAACCCATCTAACATCTGCCCTACCAGAATTTTCCCCAGGAACAATATAAGGAACATGCATGTCTCCCACATTCTTCTCATAGATCCCAACATGGGCTGCTGCTTTCCTATCTGGATAACATTCAAATGGTCCTTTACCATACCATCTGATTTGGTCCACTGATTTTTCCAAGTGGAATTCGACCCCCACGCGTGGCAAAGGTGGAAGATCAGAGCTTGGAGTGACATTACAGTTAATAACCAAGTCCCCAGAACTATAAATTGAGTAAATCATGTCTACTTTGAATAAAGCATTCTGATCTTGGGATAAAGAGGAGGAATTGTCCTCGCCCCTTGGAACGCCAACATAAACCACCTCTATTTGCACAAGATTATCAGTTGTATTCAGTATAGAACAGCTTTTTGTATGAAATTGAAGGTTATCGATGTGAGCTGCTTTCCATCTAGAGTAATAACTCTTTTCCTCCCCACCTTTATCATTATCTGTAGGTGCTCGCCAGAAGCATGGAAAGATGCCTTTATTCATAATAGGAGTTCCTTCAACCTATCATTGCCACATAATTAGAACATAATTGCAAAAATATCTTTATGAGAAAGGACTGGTTTTCTGAGGTTTCTGCTCTCTCTGGAACATCCAAGAAACTAGTTTTAGCAGAATATAGCACCCTTCATTTAATTTCTACAACCATCTCTTCTTAGTCTTTATTGCTTGATTTAGCAGAATATAGCACCCTTCATGGAAGCTTGGAGGAGAAATCAAAGGGCATGGGGTAGCCAAATACTTATAATGCAGGATACAAAATTTCACTTTAATAGCTCAAAAGAACAACTTCCCAAATCAAATCTTGAATATTTTTATTTGATTTTTTTGACTTAAGAATCAGAAGATAACTTCTTTTTAAAATTAAATTAGAGACACTTGCATTAAAACTGAGACCTGGAGAGGATTTTGCTATTAGCCTATAATTGCTTGAAAGCAATTAAATATTGTCATAACGGTTGTCAAATGAGCAAATTGCAACTTTTTAGATAAGCAACTAATGTCATGTTTCATGTAATAACGTTTTACTAAAATATTACACAACTAAGCTTCATTGGAAGAACTAAATATAACAGGGTCAATTGATAAATGCAATAACACACCTTCCAGCTTTCAATAGTTCCTGTTTGAGTATTCAATGACATTTCCCAAAAATTTTGTTGGCTGACTTTAGCTGTATTCCCAAGAATTTCAGTAAATATTGGAGCATCTGTAGCTTTGATAGCCTGGAAGCCAATGGAATTCATAAACCGAAAGAAAATTATAAAGATATTAAGACAAAACAAAGTATATTGAAATAGTTCTAAAAGAACAGCAATTACATAAGATAGGATTTCCCTTTTTGGAGGCAATTGCACTTGTGTAGAAGAGATAACATGGCCAGCTTCAACCCAGCGTGTTGAATGTAAAAGCTTAGCTGTGATTGTTAAAAAAATTTCTACCGCAGAAGATGAAGCCCACAGAGGATGCCATGGACCTGACTCCCATTCTATGTCATAACTGCTCTGGGGTTTCATCACTGGGAGTGATAGAATTCCAGAACCAAGTTTGCATCCATCACCATGGACAGCCCAGCCAAATTCCAATCCTTGTGTTGTTTCAAAAAAATGAGAGTTGGATATCTGCAAAATTAAAGTCAAATTAAAAGAAAACAAAGATCAATTTAAACAGATATAAACAGGAGCTGATTTAAACGTCCAGGTACCTTAATTGTGTTTTCCTTGAGTGAAACCTTAATCGGTTGATAGACATACTTGACTTCTGAAAACAATCACCAATTCTCATTATTCAAATGGATTAATATCTTGGAAATTTAAACAAAAAGCATCAAGTAAATAGTATATGACATAACAAAGTGAAGTTACCATGCATTGCAGGATGCGGAGTTCGATCTGGCCATGTAATACCATTCAGACAGAAGTTCAGATCATTGGGGGTGTCCCCATAGTCACCTCCATATGCCCAATGCTTACTACCACCTTCAGTTTCCTTCAACAAACCCTACAGGCAACACTCTATAAAGTCAAATAAAGTTTGTTATGCAACTTTACTAATCAGATGATTCATTCCTTACACATCTTCACATCCTATGTTTAAATGCACCCACTGAACCATCTGCTTAGTCACAAATACAACATAACATAACTAAACACATGCATGAACACAAGAGCATGACATGTGCAGCTGCATACCCTGGTCGACAACGGACACTTTGTGCAAAAAGAACTTGAAAAGCATCATTAAGTAAATTGGTGAGGAGAGTTGTATGAGGTGCAAACATCCTAGATGTAATGTAAAACAACAGTTGTAAAGATTTTTGTTTGCCTAAGATGGCAGAAAGATCAAATTCCTACATGGTATTGCTCATTTACCTGGTCAACCCAGTCCCAGATGAAACCTCCTTGGAGACCAAATGTGCTGTCAATTGCTTCCCAATATGCATCTATATTTCCGTTGCTATTTCCCATAGCATGTGAATACCTGCCAAGTGGACATCACAAGGGGGCTCAAGTAAATAAAATGAAAATGACAACAGGAATAATAGAAAAATTTTACAATGTAATCAGGGGATGTCAAAGAAAATATAAGCAATTTGAGCAGCACAAAGGAGGAAAAAAGTAACATACTCGCACAATATCAAAGGGCGTGATTCTGTTGGATCGTTTGCAATCTTCACTATATCCCAAATACGCATATACATGGGGCATATGACGTCTGTAGATGTAGTTCTAGATCCACCTCCTTCATAGTGCAATAACCGAGAGGTATCCTTTCCACGAATCCAACCTAAATAAAAACTCCAGAACAATAAGAAAAGGGAAAACTAAAAGCAAAGACAGACACACATAAACACAAAGAAAATTGTGCATTCTCTTTTTTACAATTGTAAAGAAATTACATGTCCATGCTATTTTATACTAACATATAAAACAAGATTGAACAAGATGATCAGCATATTTGTTAAATCTACTATAGGTATGTTGCTCCAGTCAAAGCTGGTTTTCTGAGACTTAAAAAAAAAAAAAAAAGATTATTACACAACAAAATCTTAGATTTAAAGAAAACAGTGCGATACCAGCAGCCGCAGAATGGTTAGGTCCATATGACGACTCATTTCCTAAGGACCATGAAATTATGCATGCATGATTTTTGTCCCTCTCCACCATCCCTATCACACGATCAACCATTGCAGTAGCCCAACTTTCTTCCAAAGTAGGATGCTTTAGATGTCCGCAAAGATGAAAACCATGTGTCTCAATGTTGGCTTCATCTATCATGTACATGCCAAAAAGATCACACAGCTCATACCATCGGGGATGCTGAGGGTAATGACTGTTTCTCACAGCATTGATGTTGTTTTGCTTCATTAGAACCAGATCCTACAAGCAGAATAATAAATTGTCTTCAATGTATCAACTGACAATAACCTGACAAGCAGAAATCAAAACCGGGAACAGAAGCAGAGGGTGACCTTAACCATACAGGACTCTATGTTTGTCTTCCCAACACGTGGATGATGTTCATGTCTGTTCACACCTCTTATTATGACTGCTTGACCATTAACAAGCATTTGTTTATGTGCCTTTGATACTTGTCTTATGCCTACTAGGCATGATTCACAGTCAACAACATGTCCAGATGCATCTTTGAGGGTGAGAACAAGAATGTACAGCTTTGGCTGTGGACAAACATAAGCCAACATCAGAATCCACAAAGGTAAGAATACAAAGTAAATGCATAATGCAAAATAATCAGCTAAAAGCCTGCCAATTCGTTGAAATACATCGACTCAATACCGAATCCATAAAACATACTAATGAAAAAAAATAAGAATATGCTGCAAATAACTTTTTAGAGCTAGGAAGAAGGATTTGTGTATTACCTTGGCCCTTTCATGGAATACAAGAAGTAAAGGATTCAAAAGCAAAACATACTCTATAGAAAGATAAAAGAGAGGTAACCATATACAGTTGATTTTCAGTTGATGAGGACCTTGATTGCAAGAGTGCAATAGCTGTAGATCTACCTAAGGATAGCAGACGCAAGCCAAAAAAAAAAAAGATTCCAGAATAAGAATGAATATGCCGGATCAGCATCAGCACCAGCTTTTGGGTCAGGAGGGAAACTATAACTAGAGTGGAATATTGGAACAGATCAAATAGTTTGAGATAAAGGCTTGTTTAAATTGAGTTGAGTGAAGTAGAAGTTTTCTTGGACAGCCAAGGGCTAAAATAGAAGAAGAAGAAGACAGGCTTGACAGAATTTCAATGTAAACATATGTACTACAACTGAAAGAGAGAGAGAGAGAGAGAGAGAGAGAGAAGAAACTGGAGCGTTACAATGGGATGGAGTTGGTCTAAATTGTAGCACTGATAAAATTTGTAACAATCCATATGAAATGAGGTTGCCCACCTGCTCTGCGGACCAAAGCTTTGGCTTCTCTAGTTTTCCCACAAGAACATAACCAAGAAATCCCAAAATTGCATCAAAGGAGGGAGTGAGCTTCATGTCAGCTGCAGTGGAGGAAAGCAGATCAGCATATCCATCATTGTTATACCAGCTTCCAGGGTCATATAATGCAGCTTCTACAGTGAAGTTGGTAAAAATTTTGTCTTTAGGAGTTTCTCGAGAGCTATCTATTTTCACTTCAACCTGAATGGTAATTAACAAAAACACAAATTTACAATGTCTTTGGTGTAATGTGTCAGTTTGAGAACAGTGAGACAGCAATTGCTCAAACATGAATCCCATGACATGAGTGCAAATGAAGTAAGCAAAGGTATTATAATACATCTAATATTAATCAAGTATGAACAAGAGTTAATGAAGGAAAGCAGAGCAGAACAACTCTATGCATTTCCAGCAGAATTCTCCATCTTTGTCTAAAAAATAAAGGTAAAAAAATATGGCAAACCAGAAAAGTCTAAGATTAGGCATCTTATTCACTGCGCACCTAATCCCATCTTCTCTTGCAGAAAATGAATATGACATGATTTATGTGATTTTTCCATAAAATGCAACAAACCAAATAATGCAACAAGCAAGTAACAAGATAAGAGGTATACCATCAACCCCATGGTTACTTATAAAGTACAATGACTTCAGATAAAAAAAACTTGATGACATGTAATAGTATCCAGACATTCATTACCTATGCAAGCCAGTCATTGATCAATAAACACTAACCTGTATATCTGCAGAAGTGAAATTTTCAGTCAGGTTTGATTTGAAAAAGTAGTCCGCAATAAATACCTGCATATTAATTACATTTTATTACTAAATACCCTTCAAAGCTCACACTAACAGGAAGTACCCCAATACAATATGATAGAGACATCAGGGGGTAAGGGAGAAATGAAAAGGCAAAATCGTTATTCAATATATTTATTTTTCATCATTTCATCAACAATGTGGGAATCAGTGGAACTGCTATAGGTTTCCTACCAATATCCCGATCATCTTGTTTGAACTATTTGATTACATACAAAAATGATGCATATGAACTTGGAATCATGCTACTAAAGTAAAAACCTGTGGCTTGGCTAGAAGAAGCACATCACGATGGATACCAGAGAGCCACCAGTGATCTTGATCTTCAAGATATGACCCATCACACCATCTAAGAACTTGAACAGCCAGAACATTGTCTTTTCCCGAATTACATGGATAACAGTAATTCGTGATTTCAAATTCTGCAGGTAGCCTACTATCCTGACTGAGATAGCATGAAAACTAAATGTTATTAATTAGTATAATTTACAAACTCTTTCAAATTAAACATGACTTGTTACATTTGAGGAAGACTACTTGAATCTCTTTCTAGAAATATATGGCACAAATCCACACACCATGTAATCAAACAACTGTTTGCATTTACTTTAAAGAAAGAAGAAAATAAGACTCTCAAACATCGTGATCGCAAATAGTTTTCACCCTTCTAATTGTAACTCTGAAAACATATATTTTTGTTTACTTCTTTTTTTTTTTCTTGAATAGAATTATGAACTACAATTCTCAATGAAAAAAAAAAAAAATAGGGCAATATAACTTCCATAAATTATTTTTTCCCCATAGATAGTTTATTGAAAACAGTCAATTATGACACAGAAATTAATGGTTTCACTTTTTATATCGAACAAAATTTAAATGCCAAATCTAAAATAAAATTTATTGAGAAAAAGGGGAAAAAGAATTAATCATGGTCATCCTATGCACAATCCTGGAAATTTAGTGAAAAGCCTTTCAGCAATTTTGCGTGGAGCACGATAAGGCATCAAACGTGCAACCTTTGGTTGAGGCTCAATATATAATAAGAGAATGGAATCTTATACTAAATAAAATTTGAGAATCTAGTACTTTATTTCTTCATGAACTCTATAGCATAGCAGAAATACCAGATTTCCAATCAAGTTGAATGTGTCTACATAAATTTGCATGTAGGATGCAAATTAGTTCATTCATACAATATATATATATATATACATTCTATAAATGTACAAAAGATACAACATATCTAAATGATAACTCTCTTGACCCCCGACATGTGCACTACTACATTAACTGTTCACAACAATCACCACCCACCTCCCCAGCCCGACCTCCGCCACAAAAAAGAAAAGACAGAAAAAATTGTGCATCAGTTACCTATATCCCACAGGGATTCCATTAATCCAAGCACAGAATGCAGAATCCACAGCTTCAAAGTGCAGCAAAATCCTGCGGCCTGTCAACCAGCAAATAATATGAGAAATAAAGTAGCAGAAAAGTTTGAAGAACAATGGACAACAAGGCACAAGTAAACAGAAAAGATATGCAACCTATGCGTGCTCAATCGACTCAATTAGGCCTTACATCCAATCAAGTTGGAGTTGGCTGAGATAGGACAATAATGAATAGCACATAATTGGAACAAAACCGCATGCCATAATTGTGGACCAAATATTGCAATAAAAACTATCGCACAATGTGAAGATTTCACTGTCTCCTATATGCTGCAATAACATTAAAATTGCTGATGAAAAAAAAAGAAAGAGAGTGGGGCAGGGAAAGAGAGGACAAACCGACAGACAAAGAGAGAGAGAGAGAGAGAGAGAGAGAGAGAGAGAGAGAGAGAGAGAGAGCCGATCACAGATCAAGAGAGAGATGAGAGATGGAGGAGAGAGAAGCCCAGAGAGAGTGAGAGACGAGAGAGAGACGGCCAGTGGCCCTGTTTTTGTTCTATGTTATGATCCAGGTAAAGGGCCAGAAAACATAGAAGATTGATGGTACATTTTTTAAGATGAGGGTATGTGCCCCCATTGCTACTTGGTGACGGTCGCATTTTAAGAACTCCGAATCAAGTTTTGTAACAAAATAGAGAGAGAGAGAGAGAGAGAGAGAGAGAGAGAGAGAGAGAGACCCAGTGGCTGTTTTGTTCTATGTTATGATCCAGGTAAATGGCCAGAAACAAAAATTTGTCATTTTTAAGATAGGGAGTCCCATTGCTATCTTGGTAGACTGGTCCATTTTAAGAACTCCGATCAAGTTTTGTAACAAAATATTGCACGTGTCATGCACTTACTTTCTCCATCAGCTTTTTATGGAGCCCTAAAATACATTCAAAGACAGAACGGGGGAAGAACCAAAATTCCTAGTTCGCAGTATCATTTTTCTAAGTTTACTAAAACCTTTTGACCTTTTAACAGTCAACCAGTTTCCATTGTGGTTAAGCTTCGGTAATGTTTTTGTCTAGTCAGTCTTCCTTCCAGACGTCATTTACAAATGCATACTGAATATGCATCCATGTAAACAATATCATGATTATTGCATTTGGACAGACATTACCTGCCCCGAGTCTATTTGACAGATATTTATCAACTAGTCCTACTAATTGCATATTGATTGATAAGCAGAAATAGAATAACAAAAGAAAATGAGTGAACAGAAAGTGCCAAGGGCATTAATGGACAAAATAATTGACTAAACTTGGCAAAACATCAAAAGGAATCATACCCTGCCATTCTTTAGGAATCTGGAAGTATGTTCTGTAGCAGCCAGTAGGATTATCCTCAGGAACATAAGGAGGATCAAGTGGGAATGGATATACCACATTTGTATAAATGGGTCGGTCAAATCCATGCATCTGCCAATTTGAAGGTACTGTTGCAATGAGGGAGATTATAAGGGAATGTTATGAAAAAACCTAATTAACTACAGTATCAAACAATCTGAAGCTCAAATTTGTACAAGAAACAACGAAAACATTGCTTGTGACTGCAGTGAGAAAACAAAGGAAGAGAGAGAAAGAAATTACCAGGCAAATTTTTCCACTCCGAGTCCTGAAATGAAGGGTCATAAAATTTGGCAGGAACACTCGTAGGACCGGGAGCCAGGAAAAATTTCCAGAAGCCAGACAAAGACTTAACAAAAGGCAAGTCCTTAACCCAAAATGCAGCAGAATCAAGAGCAGCTTGAACAGCATCATCATTCCAAACAGCAGACTTGGATACCAATACATCCACTTTATTGCGCTGATACCAGTATCTAAGAGATCCTATTCAAATAAAAAGAAATATGGATTTCTTTAGAAGGAGTTGAACTAATATAACACCTGTCCAAACTTACAAAACCAACGTCCAGATGTTTTATTTTGGTAGATTGTCTTCCAGGAAAAAAAATTTTCAGAACAATAGAAAATCAAATTAAGAACCAAGCCCACATATCAAATTCACTTTCTTAAACTCCATAAAGTGAATTAAAAACGAGGACTAAAAAATTGAACTTGATTAAGCAAAAGTAACAAACAAGTAGTAGAAAGAACAAAAAAAAAAAAAAAAAATTGTACCTTCAACAGATTCATGACAGTGCAAAGTGACATGAGGATCTCTTTTTCTCCACTTTATAAAAGTCTGATCTTCCCAAACCTTGTGTCCACTTTCCAATGGAGAAACCATTTGCGAAACCAAAGATGCCATTGCACCATGGACACTGCACAGTCAATCAACAATCAAGCATTAATCTTATCTTTTTTCTGTTTAATCCAACAAGTAGCCTAGCATCAATCAAAACACATCTGCGATTATACATACACGTGTAGAGCGAGAGAGGAAAAGACAGTGAATTGAAAAGAGAACGGAAACTGAATTAGTTAGTGGAGCAGCGAAGTTAGCAAGGCGACTCACTCTAAATTTCTTTACTTTACGACCATTTTTATCTCTTCGTTTTACATACGACACGCGTCAGATATTTCAGTTAAAGTGGGTCCACATAATGATATGTATAAGGAAAAGTTGCACAATTAGCAAATTATTTTTGATTAATTAATTTTTGAGAATAATGGGAAATTAATTAATTATTTTTTCTTTTTTTTTTAGTGTAATTCTTTTCCCTAATTTAATTATTGTCTATAATTTTAGGGTGATGTCCAGGACAACTATTATTAATGCCAGAGCAAATTTATGATTAAAACAAGATTACCCTAAATCTCTGCTCTTCCCTTTAATCCAGATATTGAATGAAATAAGAAGTTTTGCTATGAATAAATTGAAGGGAGATGGATGAGCAATTGGAAGGGAAAATGGCACTTTTATCTATATCATAAATTTGCTATGGCATTAACAATATAACACTACCCTTTTATAAAATCCGCTTTATCACCTCCTATTTTCTATTTTTAATTTTTTTTTTTAGTAACAAATTAATAGGAAAAAAAAATACAAAAATTAGAATAATTACATAAGGTAAGAATAATTTAATCAAATTAAAAAAAAAAAATCATAACCCAACTCTTGAATATTTTTATACAATTTAGGAATAGTTAGTTAAATTATTTAACAATAATCTTTTTGTTATTTTTTCATATATACCCTTCAAGACCCTAAAAATTATATATTAATAATTTCTTAAAACTTCAAAAATAAAATGAATAATTAATACATTAAGATTTCAAAATTAATTGTCCTAAAATATTTTTCTCCAAACATAAAAAAAGAACTGAAAAATATTTCTCGAGTAAATTATTTTTCAAAAACATTGAAAACTCTTTTATGATCATTATTAAACTTTAAAAGCAAATCAAGTTTCATTTGGGGTAAATATTCAATTTTTAATCATGAATTGGTCAAACTCAAAACATAAAATTCCAAATATCAGAACTTCTATACAGTACATCGGGCCAGGGCAAGGGCCAGGTCCAAGCCCAAAATGAGCGCAGCATGATTTGGGGAAGGAAAAATAAGAAAAATAACTGAGATAATAGAAAAACCTACGAGGGGAGAAGTAACAATTTCACTATATTTGCTATTGACATGCAGCGTCAGTGAACAAGACCTACTGTTAGATCACTAGCTTGTTAACAAGAACATTAAGAACTGCACCTACACCGAAAAAATGGGGGCAGTTCATAAGGAGTGATCAACGTATAGTATGAACAGAAAAACATCTGCTTTATATACACAAATCAAAATAGCAGATGGTGTGAACGTCTCTCCAGTCTGAATGAATTAAAATGTACTCAACATGACTGGCCTCTTAAGACCCATTATCATCTCCGGTTCCCTCGGAAACTATATTTTGCTGTTGATTGCCATCCCCAGTTCCCTCCAAAACCAAATTTTGCCACTTGCTGCCATCCCCAGTTCCCTCTGAAACAGAATTTTGCCACTTGCTGTCATCCCCAGTTCTCTCTGAAACTACATTTTGCTGTTGATTGCCCTCCCCAGTTCCCTCTGAAACAGAATTTTGCCACTTGCTATCATCCCCAGTTCTCTCTGAAACTACATTTTGCAGCTGGATGCCTCTGGAGCGAGGTCTGGCGAAATATTTTCCATTGAATTCCTCAGCCAAGTCAGGATATTTACCCTTGACAAAGTTCTCAAGGCATTTACGGTAGGAAAAATCCTGTTCGCAACCATCAGTTGAAACTACATAAAAGCACCTGGTATCCTGGAAACTGCTGTGCTTGTTAACCTGTTACATACAACCCAATTTGTACTGGCAATTATACACACAACTTTCAACTAATGCAAGGATGTCTTTAAGCATTCCTAATTACAATGTAAAATGCTCATCTGCTTCGTCTCAGAATAAGAAATAAAAGATATATAGTTTTTAATTGACGTTTCTTATGCATTAGGTGGTTCAGAATGTGACCACATTTAAGAAGAAGATTTTCCAACTAGAGCTCATCCATTGAGTTAAGAATATTCTTTGAAAAGCATTGACAAACAGCTTTCCTTTTTGATATAAATATTACATGAAATTTAATTGGAAAAGCTTTCTATATATGTAAATAATTTATTTCATTCAAAACCAGGGGGAAAAGCATCATAAATCTAATGTGGCACGAGAAAACAGAAGATCATTTTCAAAGATTAAAAATAAAAGTAATGATAATTTAAAAACACAGCCACAAGGAGGCAAAAAAGTGTAGTTAATAAATACATACTGTAAGATGATCAATGCCAGCACCCATTTTTGCCGCTTTATCTGGATGATAGTTGAAGACATTATCAAGTATATATGACTGGTCAGCAGCAGATAACGTATCCCCATCATTGTACCTACAAAAAAGAATTTCCTACTTAGAGAATTTAAAAGGATAGAATAATGCAGAATAGGACGCAGACAATATGCACAAAATCGAATTAAAGGGGTTTGCCATCAAGTGTTCTGCGTCATGTTAGAAAAAATGCTGTACTATAATAGACAAGGTGATAACTGGACCATACTTACACAGGAATTTAAGCATACAATATAATAAAACATACCCAGAGTGATGCATTATTCTTCTGATAGCAAGCATTAATGGCTCAATTTCAGAGAGAATATCCTGCTCTTGCGAAGTAAACATGTCCAACCTTTGTCTAGTTACTGTATATATTCCACCCACACTAGAATCATCATTGACAATTCCTGGTGATTTAGCAGGACGGTTCTTACTTTTCCAATCTGGATTTGAACCCCATCCTCTGGATCCTTCAGCACGGTTTTTCTTAAATTCTCCACTCTGCTGTCCCCACTGTTTTCTTTCGCTTCCATGGGTGGCTCCTGCATTTGGCAGACCCCACCCCTTGGAACTTGCTGCTTTAACTGACTCTTTGGGTGAGCCCCAGCCTTGTGAAACGTCAGGTGATTTGGGTTTTCCCCACTGTCGTGGTCTTTCACCTCCTTCACTACCTTCGGCATTAGGCATGCCCCAACCCTGGGAACTTCCTGCTTTCACCGATTCTTTGGGAGAGCCCCAGCTTTGTGAAACTTCAGATGACTTGGATTTCCCCCACTGCTGCTGTCTTTCACTTCCATCACCACCTCCTGCATTTTCCAGGTCCCAACCAGCCGCTTTAACTGGCTCCTTAGATGGGCCCCAACCATGTGAAGCTTCAGGTGACTTGGGTTTCTCCCACTGCTGCTGTCTTTTAGTTGCATCACTGCCCCCTGCATTTGGCTGGTTCCAACCTGCTGCTTTAACTGGCTCATTGGACGAGCCCCAACCATGTGAACCTTCAGGTGGCTTTGACTTGCCCCACTGTGGTTGTATTTCACTTCCATTGCTCCCACCTGCTTTTGGCAGGTCCCAACCACGCAAACTTCCAGCATTAACTGGCTCTTTAGGTGTGCCCCAACTGAGTGAAACCTGAGGTGACTTGGGTTTCCCCCAACTATTGTCATCAACTTCAGCCCTTCTTCCCCAGGCAGCACCAGCATCATGATCACCAGGCCTCCCAGTTTCTTCTTGAGCTTTCCGTCCATGATCATCAGGCACTTCATTTTTCCTTGTTTCCCAACCAGACCAAGAGTCTGGCTCGGGTACACTTTTCGGAGTACCTCCACTGATATTTGTTTGCCAAGCAGCTTTAGTATCCCAACCAATAGAATGCTCAGATTCTTCTTGCACTTTTTTAGCAGGGACATCAGATGATTCTGTCTTCCTTGTTCCCCAACCTGACCAAGAGTCTGTCTCAGCTACATTATTTTCTGCCTTGCCATTGGCTTGTGCCTGCCAACCACCTGCAGTATCCCAACTATTGGACTTGTCTGATTCCTCATGGGCTTTTGTGGAGAGGGCATTTTGCGTTTCAGCTGCATTCCTTCCCCACCCAGACCAAGAATTTTCCTTGTCAGTTTCCATATTTTTATCACCACCCCAATTTCCACCACTACTGGATCCATTCACTGCATATGAAGCCTTTTCCCAATCAGCAGGTTGATTGTCTAAGCAATTCTGAAATTCAGCCCTGTCTTCAAAGGTGGGCTTATCAGAACCAAAATTGTGCTCTGGGGATAGGTTCCAGTCATCCATTCCATCATCTAGCATAAGATCATCAACATCTGCACCTAAACAGGCAGTTGATTCTTCTCCATTTGCACTGCATCTCACCATATTTAGAAATTCATACACATCTATGCTACCCTCTTGATCCAAACAGGCCTGTAAAAGAGAAACAGTGACATTCAAATGACATCTGTGGGAAATTCTTGTGAAGCATGACCTGCCATTCCTATTACTAAGACAGCTTCTATAAATCAACTAAAAAAATGGAAATCAATACCTCCTTCTTATCCCAGAGCACATCAAATCGTGATCCCGTACCTACCGCCACATTTTTACCCCAAGAACAAGATGCAACTATGCTAGATAAAGTATCGACATGACACTTCTCTGCCGCTCGCTCAAAACATTTTCTTGGTGTCTGTCACAATTCACAAGGACGGTCCATTCAGCAAATTGCTCCGGAAACTCTAAAGAAATTATAAAAATAATGCGAGAGTACTTACAAAGAGTGTTGCATCAGTAAATGGTACTTGGACATCCAATGAGCGAGATAATGATTTGTAACCGCCAGAATTGAATCCAACCAAATTCCCAGCACACGTCATGCTATTTGCCAGGAGTATGAGATGCTCCTTCAGCACACCTTTTGCCACTATTGTCACTGAGGTTGAGAGGCGCTGCAAAATCAACAAAAAATTGCAGCTTTTCAAATAACTCGTATAAATGCACAAATTAACACCATTGATCGTTACTAGGAAAGCTATCTGCTAAATAATAAAAAACAAAACATATTAATTGAGGAAAAGGACATTGATCAGCCGGAGGAACCCAGAAACTACAGCAGAAAGAAAGGAAACAAAAATAAACAAAATAATGCTTAGTCAAAAAGATAAGGCAGTGCAACCCAGGATTTACAGTAAAAATGTAACATTAAAAATCAAAACTATAAGTATACCCAACCCACCACAGAAGGTCAATGGCAGGTTAAGCAATCCCTCAACCTTAAAATAGACATACTAATAGACATGTGAAGCAATTTCAGCCATCAATGCTGGACATCCAAATTGTCCCATGGAATCTCCCGGGCCTTCATCCTTTCAGGGTTCTCTTCCCATACAAATATTTAGTTCCTTATATCCGTTGTCCTATCTCATGCAATATGCATAAAAAAATAATAGGAGCAGCAAGAAAAGAAATTGGTGTTCATGTCCTGATGCAGATGAAAACACTTGGCTTTGTGAACCCTCAGTCAATCAGAACAGATGCAGTAGATTGACGCAAACTATGCACCAGTATTCTAGTAGACAGTAGTTACACAAGATAAATAGAGGTAAAATGCATCTATTATATCCCCCTATACAATTGAGGGGTGATGTGTCTGTCTGCATGTTAGAGAGGAAAAAGAGAATGAACATCCAAATAGTTATCTATAGACTGCACCACATGCAAATTTAGAAATATAAAAGCAGGTAAAAATAGAAAGAAAGAAAAAGAAAAGGAGAAGGATGATACCTGAACAGCTTGATCAAATGCACAAGAAACTCCCAACAATTCTTGAATTTGTTTAATAGCATATGGTATAGAGCGTGTGGTATCAATCAAATGCAGAACAGGAAGACATGAATCTAGGACAATTCTCCATGCATCACCACTTTGTTTCACAGCCGATTTCTCAATAACAACATCAAGTGCCAGCTCTCCCTTCTGAGTCCTGGAAGGGTTTCTTATCCAAGTAGTTGTATCTGGACTAATCCAAGTAATGTTTGCATTTGAAATTCGATGATCACCTGTCCATTTGGGAGATAAGTAGACCTATCAGTAAAGATGAAATCTAAAAATCTTGTCATTTCATATAGATTATAGACCCATATAATCTTACAGCAGAATTTTGAATTACCACATAATATGAAACAGGACCATGGAACTAACAAAATTACATCCTGCAAAAATACGACCCTTTAGAGTTCTTGCATATTAATTTTTGGAAGTTTGTATTACACAAATTCTTCGTTAACTATGGGCAAGGGAGTGGGTTATGGGAAGAAAAACATGATGAAAACTAACAAGGAAGCGAACTTTTGTTGCATAAGTGGCCTTGATGGGAAGTGGCAGAATGTCATCCTGTGAGAAACTATCAGTCATAAATTCCCCAGTGAGTCTATTTTCATTCAACTAGAATCATGAAGCATACAATAAAAGTTGAAGAACTTGATTGAAGAAATAAAATTGTCATCAGCTGATATTTAAGTGTAGAAAAATGAGAACCATTTCTCCCTGGACTGCTTATCCCTCATTCTATTCAACTTCTAGTTTGTTGGGAGATATTCATACAAGTTCAATAATTTAGAAGGAAAATTAAATCTAGTTTGATTTGAAGATTCAACGGGTTCCCAGGTATGTAAAGAAAGTCAGAGATAATGCAACAAAAGACGCAATAGTAATTTTTTCTTTTTTTTTATTTTTTATGATGCAGTCAACCACAAACCACTGTAGATAAAGTGCTGTACATCCCCCCCCCCCCCCCCCTTCATACAAGTTCAATAATTTAGAAGGAAAAATTAAATCTAGTTTGATTTTTGAAGATTCAACGGGTTCCCAGGTTATGTAAAAGAAAGTCAGAGATGAATGCCAAACAAAAAGACGCAATTAGTAATTTCATTTCTTTTTTTTTTATTTTTTTTATTATGCAGTCAACACAAACCACTGTAGATAAAAGTGCTGTACATTTCCCCCCCCCCCCCCCCCCCTTCTGCTAGAGCCTTTCTGGAATCAAGCATTTTCTATCCCCCCCCCCCCCCCTTCTCCTAGAGCCTTTTGAATCAAGCATTTCTATCCAAAAGAGAAAAAGCATGTAATATTATTTGCTGCACAAAATACATTTCCAAAAAGCAAGAAGAAAACAGATAAATAACTTCACACCTCTGAAGCTAATTGCAACCACTTCTTAATCAAGGTCCAATAGGAACATAAAACCAATATCATGAAATGCATAAAACCAACTACCTTTGATGACTGTCTCCAAAAGAACTGGGCAAATCATATCAGCAAAAAGATTTGAAATTCTCTCTATACGAATATCACTATCTTGCCAAAAGAATGTCAAACATGGCGAGCCAGACCATTCATCAGCACAAGATTCCTGGAAAGAGCAACATTGACTACAAAGAAGGAAGCATAAATAAAACGAGGCAATAAAGTTATCAGTTTCAAATGCATGAATTGGATTTGCAAATAGAACCACTATGTGCAGAACAATAAACAAGAAGAACAGACAGAAAATAAACACAATAAATAAATATGTCATGCAAACAACAAGCATAGTATTAGTAATAAACAAGTAGCAAACAGACACAGAATAAACATAATCAATTAAAAAATGTGCGCAAACAACCCAGGGTGCCAAGGCACAACTAAAATCAATTGCAATAACTGTATCTGGCAATAGATACACTCTATTTTCTCAAGAAGGTTCCTTCAGGATCCAATTCCTAGATCCAAAAAGCATAGGAAGACTTCGTGGGTAAAAATGCCCTCTAGCAAGAGCTGACGTGATATTGTGGCTAGTACTTATGACTACAGTAGAATTTATGGTTTTTGCCTCTATGTTACTTGTTTGATATCTTCTCGTCCTTGTTGCTTCACCTTCTTCATTCTATTAATTTGCTCATGATAATATTAGTAATGACCAGGAAGAGGAGACATGATCACAGTCAAGTAACCAAAAGAAACAAAGAGCATGGAGACATTCCGATAAAAGAGAAGTAGGTCGAGGATTTCCAATACATCACAGAAACAGTTAACTGAAGAAAAAACATAACATGAAAGGATTCCCAAGCAAAACCTACAGGCCAAGAGAATGGGAGAGTATTCCCAAACATAGGAAGGAAAGTCACTTCATGATTCAAAGATTTAGGCTCTTGAAAAAATTACGAAGAGAAAAGTGAATTCAAGGTAGATGCTATGGCCCATTACCACCCTCTAAAAAATGCTTTAAAATCTACAAGATGTATAGCATATTAGATATAAATATTTTCTACGAAAACAAAACCATCAAGAGTAAGGGTGTTTTCATTGTAGAGAAGGGCGAGGAATTAAATGCAAAAATTGCCAATAAAAGAAAACAACTGCAGAGTTTTTTATAAAATGACAAAAAAAAAAAGTGAAGGCATCAAAATGTAGAAGCTTAAGTTACAAATAAGAACCCAAAAGACAAGTTAGTATAACATGATGCGTAGAAAAGCTAGTGCAAAAAAGGGAACGCAGATACCATGACTTTTAAGTCAAAAATGAAGTAATCTCAACAATAAGATATGGCACATTTTGATATAAGAAAACCAGCCTATATATTCAATAACAAATACAGCAAAGACACACTAGACTAGGAAGCCATTTAATCCAAAAAAGCAAAAATTTTGGATCACAATAATAATTATATACAATTAACAGAAAAGAAAGCCAACTATTCTGCAAGTTCCGCCAACCAGATGCATCTCCCATGAAAAGAAAAAAGTACTCGTAAGAATCACTTAACAAATCAAGTTTTTTCCATATCCCATACAATGCTTTTACCTCTCTGTACCACTACTTATAAATGTAACAAAATCAGAACAATTCGACATGACTTTCATATTATTATCTCACTATTTTATCATCTGATTAAATATCAAGACAATGTGTTGTTTACTGAGACCTAACTGATTTTGCAACAGAAAAAGAGACAGCTAAAGTTCAAAAAGCATTTGAGAAACCACTTTGCTTCAAGATGATATGCCATCTCATCTCATAGGAATATTGCAACTATATGGTGTTTCATGATAAAAACTAACCACAAACTATGAAGGTATCCAAAAAAAAAACAAACCTGGCAGACACCTCTATCCTTTTAAAAAAGAGAGCTAATTTTTTCTTCTTTCGAAAAAAATTGACAGTCTCTGTGCACTTCTGATGAATAACTTCCATGCTAACCTTCAAATTTTCCAACTTCATCTGTATAGAAAGGCTTCAATCACTAACAAAAAATAATTACTTTTGGCAAACAACCAAGGAATTATAGATAACGTATGCCTAAAGTTTTAGGACTCAAATACTAAACCTTATCAAGATGAATATGACCAGCAAGGCCCACATCCGCTATGGTGTGCTGTCTCTTGTATCTGTTAGTAAGAAGCCATCAGGGCATAATATTAGATGCATTAAAAATAAAAAAGAGAGACTGAGAGAAACAAGAGTATACATTAGATAGAGCTAGATACGCGATTTTATGATGTATTGGTAGCAAAGAGTGTCACATCAATAAAAAAAAGCATTTCAGAAAAAATAGTCTTTGAAGTTTGAACCAAAATAATAAGCAATTCAATAAACATCCTTTCTTTTTTAAAAGAATAGCAGCTGACTTATTTTCAACATCTCCAAACAAAATCTGTTGGCTCGCTGGCTACTCATGTATATTAAGCTACACATGGTATAGCAGTTATTTATACCTCTATCAGAATGCCTTTATAGGCTGCTTAGCAATTTTAAGAAATAGAGAAATTCAGAAGTAAAGAACTTACTCGATCATAAAATGGTTTGCAATGTCCTTAAGAATGACTTTCTGCAAATGATTCTTCACCTTGTAGGCTGCTTTTTCCTGACAGTAATTTCTCCCACAACCACAATCATTCAAGTACAAAATGATGCGGCGATCAGTGAGATCATTCTTAAAATTAACTCTGCAGAGAAGTATTTCCTGAAGAGAAGTAAAAACAATATGGAGAAGCATCACATGCACTATGAAATATAGCAAAACCCATAGTTATAACAAAAAATTTTGTTTACAATGAACACTGATTACCTTCATCAGCTCCCAAGAAGAATTGCTACTGGGAGTGGAATCAAGAACTGCCTTGTATGCAGGATTGGACATTGCAGTTGCAGCTAACACACCAACTGGTTCACCAGCAGGGAATAAACTCTGTGCCTTAATCCCAGCCTTTACTCCATATTCAAACTGGATTATTGAATTGCTGCATACATTCCTCACAGTTCCATCATAACAGATAACAACATCTCGAAGGATGGCCATTAAGTTCTTGAATAATGTCCCAGGTTCAGATAATCCTCTTGATGAGCGAACAATAACCTCTCTCGTAGATATTGAATGAACCATCTCCTCATAGGGATCCAACCCGTGAAAAAAACAGCTCTGAATTAATCCATATTGTGCAGATGGATACTCAACTACCTCAGAGGGATATTTTCTCTCAAAATGAGAAACCATGTCCTCAACCAAAGTCTTAGAATAGAACTTTCCTCTATCTGAAATTTGCAAGCCCAAGAAGCCAATTTGTTGGACCACCTTAGTCATGGCTGAATCACTCTTGTAATCAATCAAATCACCTATGGAAGATGACCTCACAATAAATTCCGCAACACGAAGTTTCACCTGCCGGATGTGATTTTCCAATTGCAACTCCACTAGCTCATTATAGGTTGATCTTAATTGACTTAACAAAGGAGAAATAACCTTAAAATCTTTATGTATACTTTCAATGACAGCCCTAGATATGTATAAGTCCTCCAAACAAACACTAAATCCTTCAGAAAACAAATTCTCCATTAACAAAGGCTGTAAAGAATTGAAGAACTTGAAAACTGCATCAGGACCTTTCTCAAAAAAAATTGAGATCACAATTTCATTAATAACACTTTGTACAACATCCCTGCTGAAATCAATCTTTATTATGTCACCTTTACTGATAAAGTATCTTTCACCAGTGCAGTCAAACTGAGAAGGCAAAGCAGTCTGCAATATCTGCAGAACAGTCCAGATTGGGTCAGAGTAGGGAACTTTCCACAGAGTTGGCTGTGGCAAAGAAAATGACACAAACATAGCTAATTGCTGAGCAGCTGCTCTGTCCAAGAAGTATGCCTTAAACATGCTCTTCAATGACAAAAGAGAATCAGTGGTCAGTTGCAAATTCAGATTCCCACTATGAGAGCTAAGCAATTGTTTCTCTACTGAAAACAGCTCCAATACTTCAGCTTTTGCAGCAAGGGACTGGGGATAGAATAGATGAACACAATCACCATCAAAATCAGCACTCAGAGGCCCACATATTAGAGGATTGATTTTCACCGTATGATCATCATGCACATACACTGAAAGTGCTTGCAAAGAATGCTTGTGTGTTGTTGGGGGTCGATTAATGAACACTGTATCTCCATCCATAATTCGCCGATGCACAACCTGACCAGGTCGAAGAAATGTATGTCCCTTGGAACCATCCCTGAGCGAATATGTGGAAGAACCGTCTCTATATGTCATGCACAATTTATTGTCCACAAGCTCTTGAAGATATTTCACATTGTGCACACTAACTCTCTCCTCAAATGTGATTCTTTGTGCAATTTCAAATGGGATACCAATTTCATTCACCCGCTTGTATGCATCGCCAGTAATCACACTACGTGAAGAGAATCCTGAGCCCTTTCTGATGAACAAAGTTCTCATTTTCTCAAGCCAAGCTTTGGTTGAGGAATCATTGGACTCCTTGTGTATCCCAAATCGTGATTCAACATCGCGAGATCCTTTTGCAGTGCCCCTAACTTGAAGGTACTGATCCACTGCTGACTGCAAATCAATTGCTTCAACTTCATGAGACTCAAAATTTGGTGAGCCAGACCTTGAACTTTTGATTATCTCCACTTGCTTAAGAACTTTCTTGAGCATTGATATAGAAAGATCCTAGAAAGTAACATGGCAGCATTAAGCACCGAATTCAATGATGAAACATAATATCTAAGAAACACAGTAGATAACCAGATTGACTCATAACTGACTCACCGAGGACATGATGCTGACACCATCTGAAATGTCTGGAACCGACAGACAATTTGGAGGAACAGGTAGATATCGCATAATATAACCCTCTTGAGGAAAGTAACCTTTTCTAGCAAGCTTTTTTCTAGTGTCCTGTGGGATTCTCTTTAGCATTTCCATCACCTGTAACATATTGCATCCAAATCTCATGTACAGGCAGAAAGGAAAAAGAAAAGTGAAAAGAATTGCATCAGGAAGCAAGTTCTTATTTCTATCCAAATTAATGCAAATAGATGCCTTACAGACAACAAAACTTGTCCTAAGTTCTAAATGAGTTGAAGGCATGAAGTCTTTTCTTTTCTAAAATTTGAAGTTTAATACAGAAACTAGTAGAGACCTGTTTACTATTATTGAAGCCAACAGAAGCATTTAAACCTCCCCCCCCCCCCAAAAAAAAAAAAAAAAAGCCCCAAAAAACAAAAAAAATGATGCAGTGAATAAGCAACAGAACTTACAGTCTTGAAATAATTGAATGGGAACACTGCAGGCTGCTCTCCTATGGCTGGGTGCGTAAAAAAAAAAAAAAAAATGATGCAGTGAATAAGCAACAAATTACATCCTTGAAATAATCTGATTGGAACACCTGCAGGTGCTCTCCTATGGCTGGGTGCGTATATAAAAATGAGTCAAACCAATATACATCCTCGCAAAAGAGGATAAACAGCTATATTGTAACAAAAAAATAAAAAAATAAAAAATAAAAAAAAAACAAGCATAAAGCATGATAGTACTCAAGACAAACCTCACATGGAAGTAAGGACCGAATAGTGTCATCACCACCATAATGAAAACCATATCTATCCAGGAAACTCCAGAAACCATCATTTAGTCTCATCCTAGATGGTAGCTTTAATTGCAAAAAAAGGGCTCCATCTGTTGTTTTAATCTCTTTAACAGAAATTTGTGAAGCCTCCTGAAACAAATATGAAAAGTTTTGAGAAACAGAAACCTTTACTAATATGACAAAGTTTCTAACAAAGGAAGCTGCATGCCAAATTACAATGTCATAATAATTAAAAAAGTACAAAAACCTTTAAAAAAATAGGAAAAAGGTGGAGCAAGGTGGAGCAATCAGCGGAAACAAAAAGAAATAGAACTAAAATTCCAAAAGATAAGCCATGGACGTTGATTGGATCAAGTACAATAGCGAATGTTCTCCAAAGAAGTAACCAACTCATTTAGTAAAAATATTAACAAAGCAACCAACTCATTTCTATGTATAATTTGTAAACAGAAAGTTCCCTTCTATCTAAGGAGCAAAAATACAAAATATGTATACTCACCTCACAACATGAAAACAATCTTTCAGCCACACCATTGCTCTTGGCCTGAAACTGTAAGTATAAACTGATAAGATCAAGCTTATAAAATTAAAGCAAACTTACTAGCATATAGCATTAAAATACAAGAAGCTTATTAATGGATTGCAGCTCCAGATACATCATTGTGCTTATAAATAGCAAGAAACAGAAAGAAATATCAGCATTTTCTACTGCATTATCAAACTAATGATGGGTGCATCTTGCTTTATGCCTCTACTCTGCCTAATAAACTCAATCAACATGAAGGATAAGAAAGACTTAAAGAGAGAGAGAGAGAGAGAGAGAGAGAGAGAGAGAGAGAAAATCATTAATACCATAGAAATTCTTCCCGCGTAAAAATTTTGGAAATCAATGAAAGGGGGAAGAAATTTCAATCATAAAGTACCTTGTTTGTTTTCAGTTTCAAGCACTTTAAACATAGCAAGCTCAGCAACCTCTTTAATTCACTTATGTGGCTTGGATGATAGATCGGTATTGGCAGTTCAATATATCCAAAGTGGCCTAAAAGCGGTAAAATCAACAAAATGCTCAACTTTAAATTTCAAATAATATGCATTAGCATAATTATCTAAGTCAATTTTTTTGTGAACCTAATTAATATAATGGAACTAATACTTAGCCTTACCTTCACATTTTCCAGCTTCAGAAGTGCCACAAGACTGACATTTGCCAAATTCAAGGGGCAAACCAAGATACGGATTTGTGAGCTGACTTGAATGGTTTATCGAGCATCCACTGACGGATGCTGTAGACTGTTGAAGCATAATGAATAACAAAAATTACAAGGTATTAATATGAAAGAAACAAAAGAATTAAAATGCAATGGTAGTCAAAAAACCAGTGGATTAGAATCACAGATCAAACAAGGAAGCAAGCAAATAACATGCTTACTCTTAATTGGCTGGATGATGTTAAGTATATATTGCATGGTCAACAATCAAGCACCACACAAAGTATATTTCATGCAACATTGTTCAAACACACTTCCCTAATCGTCCCTTCCCCTCCCAAAAGTACCCTTCCATGCCCACCCCAAAAAAGAAAATAGCTAGTAGGGAATCCATCAATTAATGTCCAAATGTACTAAATATAACTATATGCATGTGTATTTTGTATCAATTTTATACAGATAAATCATTTAGGAAGACTACTATACAGAATGAGTCTATGATTTGAGTTGAAAAAAAAAAAAAAAGAAAGAAAAAAAAGAAAACAGCAAACAGCAGAACTACACTTACTATTTCCTTGGGAGTGGCCAACCCAAATCTGATACCAACTACCTCCCCATCTAAAATGGTAAATTGCACATTCTCCTCCATAGCTTTATTAGCAACTGAAATCTATGCAGAGAAACAAAAAAAGTAATGAGTTCCGGAAGAAATCTCGCAAAAAGACATTAAGGAAGGTTACAGCAATACCAAAAGAAAGTATAAGTATTAAATTCCATACACGCATCAAAATAGGTAAATGAAAAACTAGTTTTTACTAACACACCAAACAAAATTTAAAAAGAAAGAATAGATAACAATATTAGAAACAATACCAGTCTCAAAAAGAAACAAGAAGTTTCACAATTGGCCCAGCGTTTGTGTCTCAAGAAACAAATAAACATTAGGATAATGAAAACCACAAGTAAGAAGGAGGGTAAAACTTATTGGAGTTAAACCGAAATGCAGGTAAACGAAGCAAGCGAAGCATTAATGATACAGAAACCAGTTTTCTGTGAAAACTCAGGAGAAATATCATATTATTACTAGTTCATTTCAGTTCATGAGAAAATAGAAAATACATAACCCCCTACTGGTTGGCTAAAAAAATAACTACAACAAAATAATACTACCACTCTTTAAGTTCTCTAAGCTCAAAGGCCAAAGGAAAACAAAATCAGCTTTCTCAACAAACACATAAAGAAAAAAGTGAGTGCAAAACAAAAATGAGAAAAGGAATAGAAAACCCAAATAACTGCAGAATTCCGGTACTCTCTCCGTTTTTATTCAGTTGCTGTTAAAACGACAAACTCTCCTTTTACACCCCAAAACACAACGGAGCAAATGCATTTGTCATAAACGTGAGAGAGTGAAAGATAACATTTGACTCCATAGAAAAAACTGAAGAAAATAGAATAACAAACAAAACCCTAAATGTCCATTTTTTTCTTCACTTCATTCCTGAAAACGAAAACAAGTGAGCTTCAAAACGAGGAGACATTTTAAAGACAACCCATAAACCGATGTCACAGTTTTCCCTCTTACCTTCCATTTTCCCACTCTTCATCAGCTAAAAAACAATAAAAACACAAATGCAGCCACTAAGAACGAATCCCACCTGAAAATTTCCTCTCTCTGAGCTTTGACTCGGTGATTCTTACCCACGAAAACCCCAAATTAAGACTCAAATGAAACAAATACCCAAATGGGTCTGCAGAACTGAAGTAAAAATCAAAATTCGAAAAGAGAATTTTTAACGTACCATACAAATTGAGTATGTGCGCAGTGTACTGAGCGTTTTGTTCCGTTCCAAGAGTTTGTGTGAGTTGAAGAGGGAGACTCACTTGCATGCAGAGAAAATTACTCTTTTTAAAAAAAAAAAAAATTTGACTTGTCCTTTTACCTTTCGAGCGTTTTTAATTTTGGACAGCAGAGGGTATTTGGGGTTTTAGCCTTTTAAGTTTCTGTTCGAAATGACTTAAATGCCCTTGGTTAATTGTGATGAAAATGTTGGAGTTTGTTGGATAAAATGGGTTTTTCATTGACTGTTCTCTAAATGAAAGTGCAGAAATTTTCAGGTAGACCCACCCAGTAGAATTCAGAAAGAAAGCAAACTATCAAACCATGTCATTTGTTAAAATTAACCATGGTAAAGAGCTTATCGAATGCTCACACCATGTCAAAGGTTAAAAATTAACCAGGATTAGAATCTTTTTATGGGCTTGGACTAAGGATCCAACTAATTACTATCCACTTTTATAATCTATAATTAACTAATTGTTTTAATCATTAATTACTATCTCTGATCCGTAGTATTTATCACATTTTATATTTTATATTTTTTAAGAAAAATATTAAATTTATTTAAATTATAATAATTTTATAGTGTTTTTTAAGAAAAATATTAAATTTATTATAGAATTATATAAATTATTAAATAAATTAATTATATTACTATTAATTTAATATAATTCTCTAAGAAAATCATTAAATTGAATTAATAATTATTTGCGATATACAAAAGATAAACAAAAATAAATTATTACTTCTTAAAATCACAAATATAATAAATATTTTAAAATAAACTATTTTTTAAAATGTGACTAATATTATAAAATGGATATAGTAATTAATTAATTGTTAAAACAATGTTATAAACAATGAGGCTTCATTTGGAAATGAAAAAGTAATAAGAAAATTATTTTTTATTGTGTAGCCATATTATTTTCTTTTAATATGAAAGGTGAGTTCGAATTTTCCCGTTTATAAAAATTATTTAACCACGACATTAATCCCACGTATTAGAGCTCGCCACGAATAGAAACGAGAAAACATTCAAGTGATTGAAGTCCATCTATTTTCCTCTTGGTCTTGGATGATACCTAGGCCCATTTGTGAACGCTTGAAAAAGGCTCGGCCCACTGCCCTCTCTTTCTGAAGTTAATAAGAACGCTTTCATTAAACGCGGACCTGGGCCTGTTTCATCCTGTCGTCGAACCACTGCTTGGCCCATTTGCTTTTCCTGTACTGCTTGTCGTTGACTTAAATAGAGGGTCGTCCAACTACCGGATGGTCCTCTGTTGTTAGATTTGAGAAACACTTGACCTTTTTGAGCCACAATACATAAGTGATTAGATTACTTTTTTTTTTTTTTTTTTTTTTTACTTTTTTTTTTTTTTTTTTTTCGAATTAACGAGTAAACAAAATTGCAATATAATAAAAATTAATTTTCACTAACAGGACTAGCAAGAACTATTTTTTCAAGCTACAAAAAAGGTTTTCCGGGTCTGTCTAAATAGATAAGGATTTTTTTTTTTTTTTTTTTTTTTGAATTAACGAGTACAAAATTGCAATATAATAAAAATTAATTTCACTAAAGAAACTAGCAAGAACTATTTTTCAAGCTACAAAAAAGGTTTCCGGTCTGTCTAAATAGATAAGGATGAGATGAACTTGACATCGACCGCTTTATTATCTTTTATTTTTAATTTTTTCTAACTTGATAAAATTACTAAAACATTCTAGTTTTGGATTCCAAGTAGAACATTACAGGAAAAATTGCTGATGAAAATAAAACAAAATAAATAGTAATAAATATTTATTTATATTTCAGCTTGTGATTATCAGAACAAAAAATAAACCTCAATGACATATATATGTTGTTATTATCCAGAGAGCGTATAGTAAAAAAAGGACCAAGTTGTTTAATTTTTTGTTTGCATGACCTAATTAGTGCACCAAATGGAATGGAATCTTCTCTATACTGTTGTCTGAATGTGAATGCTCTGAACTTATTCCTTTATCATCAGTGCAGTCAATTCAAAATACATTATGGGGAGACAGACCACCTGATGAGCTTCAGACATTCACACTAAAGAACCCATTTCAAATAGACAATGAATCAAATCATCTACTCCATAAATGTTTTGAAACTGTTTTGTACAATAACTCCACAGTTCCACATATCCCTTTTCAGAACCATTTAGGGTTTTCTTCTGAGTATTACTAACAGCAGCTCCAATATGATGTTCAAAAAAGAAAAATCCAATGTGATCAATGCAAGATGGAAATTCATTATACGAGAAAAGCCCGCCATCGTCGACGGAATTTTATTACGACGAAAACGATCATTATCGATGGAATTTGTGTCATTTGGTCAGTAATGTCAACCACATCCATAAAATTCTTATTTGGAATAATTAGCTACCAAATAAAATTCTGTCGGTATTAACTATGGAGATTTGGTAGATAAGTTGATAATTTGTCGGCAAAAATTTTAAGATATGGCAAACCGTCGGTAATTCCGTTAATTAGTTGATTCACAGTGGGTTGCCCCATTATTACAGCAAATGAATGGACGTAGAATTTCAACACTAAACATTTGGGCCAATGTGCTTTGAATATGGTGCCTAATGGCCGGAAAAGACTAGGTTTGTGATTCACAAATTATATATATATATGTAAATCTTGCACGGAAACGGAAACGAAGAAATATGAAAAAGCAATGACACGGAGAAATAATATTTAAAATATAATTTTATATAGGAAATGGACACCGAGAAATGTTTCTGAAACAAGATAGGAGTTTCCATTTATACATCATAATATAAAACTAAAAAAGCATTTATGATGGAGTAGAATAATGGTGGTTGGGTGTGAATTATCATAGTGGGGGTGAAACTTCGAGATGAATTTCCATAGTGCAGTGCAGTCAGCTCAAAATACAACATCAGTAGACAGACCACTTGTTCAGCTGCAGATTTCTCACCCTTTATGGTCCTACCAGTTTCATATCACACACTAGTTTGAAATGTTTGCTGTTTTGAAGTTAAAACATATAAACTCAGGTTGAAGATAACTTTTAATGACAGAGAAGAAATAATCTATAATTAGGAACCGTTGGTTATCTAGCTAAGCTAGGAACTAGACATATAGGGTAAAATCTGTTGATATATATGAGGAATGAAACCAGTAACATCCTTTTTCAGAACGATGATATGATAGTGAGCATTGATATTTACATAATGTAGTCAATTCAAATGTGGACAAGCCATTTGAGAAGTTGCAGTTATCTCTGCATGTGGCCCTCCCATCCACACTCATGGTGGTATATATATTCTCAAAGGCCATTTCGACTTGACCTCATAAACCCCATTTCTACTGTTCATTATTATTTTTTTGAAAAAAGAAACAGAAAAGAAGAGAAAAGCAAAAAATTCTTGTTAAAGCTACGTTATGTTTCAAGATCCTCTGATCCCAAACTTTAAGCAGTTGCACTCTCACTCTTGTCCTCTTACTTTCCCTTTGGGTTAAGTTGACCCATCGACATTCATACTTCTAACCAACACATGAACTTTATGAATCCTTTCTTTTTCATTCAAGTGATAATTTTATTCTTCATTATTCTTCTTCTTTCTCAAACATTATGATCGTTTCTTTTTGAACCACGCTGTTTCAAGATTTGCTTTCAATTGTTTATGATATATCTTGTCGGTAAAGTTCACCTGGGATGCAAGACGATTAATGGGCAAGATTATTATTTTCTATGGTTGATAAGCAAGATAGATCAGCTTTGACAAGCTAGAGCAAAAGAAGCTGTAAGGCTCTAAGGATTTTGATTATCTGTATACAGACATATATATTAAAGCAGAAGCAGAAACATAAACAGGAATTCTTCCAAGTTGTGCAAGAAAGTAGAGATATTATTAGGCAAATGCACTATTTGTTGAGGAAACATGTGGCCTTCCTAATCATATATGGTGAAAGTGGAAAATCGTCAAAGGCCATTACTTTCAACAAAACTCCCATTTCTTTAAATACTCAATAAAAAAACGTTACTGTTTTGATATTTTTTTCTCGGTATATAGTAAAAAAACACAATCGTTTAAACTAAAATCATATTTTTAATTGGTTTGGTGTATTCCAAAGCTTAAAGAAATACGAATAGGGATCAAAATTCGAATTTAAAAAATGTCAAATCACCATTTAAATTACCACTAAACAAAGTTTCTTGGCTTTTGTAGAATAAGTTGAATTACTATCATGAAAAGAAGGTTATATAGAATGCATGCTGATGTATTGCTATGAATCTTTTTTATGATGAGGTCTAAAATTCCATGGCCAGTCGGTGAAACCTTGGCCACTTAGAAATCGTTCTTTTTCTATACTATATAAGCCATTAAAGTGCTTTTTCAATCTTAATGGCCGCCATGAACAAGTGGTTGCAGAAATTTTTTTTAATCAATCACCAATTAAAATTGGTTCGTGCTGATCTCTTGCTATATATGAAACTGTTTTACTTTTATTTTTTGATCCATTTTAAACATTTCTTGTTATTGCAAATCAGTTCATATAGATTTTATCTGTACGTAAATTACTATTGTTCTTTATATCGATTTGCAGTACTCCAATCGATGAAATCGGAATCCACTAACATATCAATATCAATAGAAAAAAAAGTGAAAAATCTCCGGTTCGAATCTTCTCGATTCGAAGGGTTTCATTTGCTGGTGCTACTGCAGTGCGTTAAAGTAGTTTGGCACAGGTCATAATGGCCAGCAGTGAGCTATTGAATTTACACGTATATATATATAGAAAGTGCATTTTTCACCTTTTAATTTGGCTTTTGACATTATATCAACTTTGTCGTATGTCATATCAAATTTATTTTCTTTTCTTTACACTAAAGGTGTCTATTGCTATGGATTTTTAATTCTGTAAATATTAGCATCAAATTATATCAAAATGAATATTCAATAATTTGTTTAAGCATATTCATATAAAAAAATAAAAAAAAATTTCGTAAGATCAATGGTTCGATCCGTGAAAAAAAAAAATTATAATCACTCTCGTGTTTCAAAAAAGAGAAACTATATAGAGTAAAAGAATATAAGGAAAAAAACCTTTATTTAGATTAGGTGAAGAAAAATAATTTCCAAAGGAAAAAAAACATGAAAAATATTATTTTAATATTACACTTTCTTCCCAACAATTTAGGATTAAGCTCAATGACATGGATGGTGCTAATAGTCAATAAGATTAAATTGAGTCTATTAGGTTAAGTATGATCTTGCTCGTGCCGAAATAGATTCATACGGAGAAAGCGCTCTCGGCGGAAATTTTTTCCATTTATAATAATAATAATCAAACAATCGATCTTATCAATTCTATATCGGTACGAATCAAAGTTTTTCATATACATCAACAATGTCCAATTGATTTAATAACCAGTTATAAAAAATTTGATCCAAATCCAAAAATCTAGCTTGCCAAATTTCTTAAGAGTCAAAGAAAAGGCGTGCAAGAAAAAAATATATATGAATCTGCTTAGCTAGCTAACTCAAAGATTAACATATGATTTTCCACTTCCAATGGCTTCAATTTACTCTCTAAAATTCAGCATTCTTCAAAGTCAAGTATATGCAATATCCCTGCTAGGGTTTCATCTATCAAAATACAACATGTCGCTAAATATAAACGCGTAATCGATTTAGGATCATGGGATCCTTTCCTTCGAATAAGAAGGATGTTGCACAAAATGTATTTCGGTTTGGAAAATTTACATTTGTTCGCATTTGATACACAAAATGAATAAAAAATAAGATGTCTATACTGTTTTTTTTTTTCAAGGATAAAAAAAATTGGATGGTCATAAATCATAATAGTGCTTTTTCTCAATTTAAGAATTTAATTTCCAAATATGATATTATATATTAACTTTTAAAATAAAGAAATAAAAATTATTAAAATGGAAGTATCGAACATGTCGGTAAAACCCATTTTAGGAACATTTTTAATGGGGATTATATTTAAAAAAATAAAAATAAAAGAATTAGAGATGGAGATCGCTGTCTTTGCCACATGAGTTGAATGCTTTTCCATTTTCAAAGATGATATGATCAACTTCAACTCACACGGTCACACCAATCATTTTTTACCTTTTCCTTGTAATAAATGCACTAATAAACTTAATCACTTCATTTAAATTTTAGTAGCCTCTATTCGAGCATAAAAATGCATGTCCGAATAAAAAAAAAAAAACAAATTTCTTTAATAAAAAAAAAGGATAAATGCATAAAAATCTCCCTATATTTTATAAAAAATATCGTGGTATTTTTAATTTTGCAAGGGACATATTTCACCGTTAAAAGTTACACATCTTTTCGTACTAACAACAATGGTAAAATATTAATTTGATTTGTGTGGCTATTACAATTTTAAAAATGATAATTTTTATATTTTTTAATTATTCAATAAGTCGATCGTAGGAATATCAAAAGAAAAAAAAAAGTGCATGCTAGGTCAATATAGAAAGTTTTACAATGGTACTAAAATTTATAAATTTAATTATTATAAAAAAATTTATAAATTTAAGTGCATGATGAATCATTTATAAAATTTAGAATGCAACAATATTAAAATTGTAAAGTCATGTGGTGAATTTGTATATTTCCATCATTTATATATATCGTAATCAATTCATTAGAATTTTATGGCAATTGAGTATATTTTGATCCCTCTCCATTTTAAGAAAAATTATGTATGCTAAAACCGTCGTATGAAGCTGAAATGAAGCAATCACAATCTAATAAAAATAAAGTATGACACATCAAGACATAGCTTAGTGATAAGTGCATATACGACATGATAATAAATTTAGATTCGATTAATTAAATAAAGCAAAGAAGCTATTATATCGGGTTATCATTCCAATCCATTCTACTTCCCTAGACCCGGTGTATAGCCTACTTATACACTAAACAATCACAATTTAGTTTAAACGAGTGTATTTCTTATTACGCAGTCAAAAAAAAAAATAACAGTAACACTGTTTTAAAAAGTTCTTTTTTGATTTGCTAGTGTATGACACTACCCATGCACTAAATGTCTACTAAAATATTTTGAGATAAACTACAGAAGTAAGCAAGCTTCATAGTGTATAAAAGGAAGAGATGCCCCCAAGACCTCCTCAGTATTTCCTCTTTAGAGAACATGTCTAAATTCTTACACCAGAATTCTAAGTATAACACTGTTGCTCCTATCATGATCAGTCGAGATAGCCATGAACAAACCAATAACAAGGTCTCTGCTTCCACAACAAAACCCTCCAATGGTGGCTGGAAAGCTGCCTTGTTTATCATTTGTAAGCCAACCCCCCCTTTTTTCACCTCCTTTTTGTCAATTTGACTTTAATTATTTTGTTGAAGAATGTATTGTTTTGTGCAGTTGTGGAAATGGCAGAGAGATTTGCCTTTTACGGTTTGGCCGGAAACCTCATAACATACCTAACAAATGAACTTCATCAGCCCACAGCCACTGCGGTCAAGAACGTTAATACATGGATTGGCGTCTCCGCCATCTTCCCAATATTCGGTGCAGTTCTTGCTGATTCTTTTCTTGGCCGGTTCACGACCATTCTTCTAGCCTCAATCATATATTTCATAGTAAACTTCATTATATCTCTTAACTTAAGCTCATACCAGTTTTCTTTCTCTCCCCAGTTTTCTTCAATCCTCATATTTCTATTCTTGTTTGTCTCAGGGAATGGTGTTACTGACCTTCTCAGTCTCTATAATTCCTATGCATTACCGTGAAGCAGTATTCTTTCTAGCTCTTTATATACTAGCTATTGGTGAAGGCGGACACAAGCCATGTGTACAGACGTTTGCGGCGGATCAGTTCAACGAGGAGAAGCCGGAGGAGAAGGCGGCCAAGAGCTCATTCTTCAACTGGTGGTACTTGGGTATAGTAATTGGGGCCACCGTAGCTGTATTCTTAGTCATTTACGTTCAGGTATTTAATTTGTAGTAATATTAATTAATTCTGAATGTCACATTAATTAATGATGTAATTAGAAACAAATTAATAATTTGATTACTTTGAATGTGTAAATAGGATAATGTTGGATGGACAGAAGGATTAGCGATCTTGGCAGGAACATTAGTGGTGGCCTTAATTGTATTCTTGGTAGGAATGAAGAGATACAGAAAAGAGGCACCTGTTGGGAGCCCTTACACTGCGGTGGCGCAAGTGCTAGTCGCGGCAGTAAGAAAGCGTCGCGTGAGTGAGACGCAGCAGGGATGGGGTTTTTGTTGCGAAGATGATGATAAGAGAGTTGGGGCTGACCTTGAGGGTCAACCTAAGGGCAAGATTTTGTGTCGCACTAAACATTTCAGGTATGGGTCAATTCTTTAAAAAGGCGAAGTTGTTCTTGTTCGTTATGTGTGAGAGAGCGTGATCAAAGTCTGCTCCTCTTTAATGGTTGCTGAAATTAAGCACATGAAGCATTCATTAGTTCTACCCTTTCTATTTTTGGGTTTTTGCAATAAGCTTTTATGAAGCATTTTTTTATCTACCCAACCTTGATTTTGTTCTGTTATGATTAATCTTATTGTGAAGCTAGTAACTGTGTTTTTCTATAAACACTTTTTTATCTATCAAATCCTGATTTTGCAAACATCATCTGACCGAATTAAACTTGATTTTGCAAACATCATGTGATCGAATTAACAAATCTTGTATTTCTATAGAAGAATTCAATTAGATACTTTCTCAATGAGGGGTGAGTTGAGCATGAGCTAGTGGCAATAGAACATTGCATGTGCACACCCAAATGATAATACGAGGCATCATTATATAATAAGACTTATTTGATCATATTACAATAGACACATCGAACATGGCTTAAGACCCATTTGATGATACTATAATGGAAAACATCGAACATGTCCTAAGTTCACTGCACTAAAAACTCATTTGGCTACAGATAACAGGTCTAACTTCAAAAAGATTATGGAAAGAATAATTATTTGCAAAGATTTTAGCAGACTAGATTCAATTTTAGAGCAAAATTTACTTGCAGGTTATTGGACAAGGCAATGGTAATCGACAACATGGATGCCTCAAGCAAAACCAGAAATCCATGGCGGCTCTGCACACTAAACCAAGTAGAAGAAGTGAAGTTAGTTCTTCGTCTTATCCCAATATGGCTAAGTTGCTTAATTTTCACATCCATTATTGTACAAAACCACACATTCTTCGTAAAGCAAGGAAGTACAATGATTAGATCAATCGGACCCAACTTCGTTCTTCCTCCAGCATCACTTCAATGCTTAATAGGCCTCACAATTCTCGTCACAGTCCCAGTTTACGACAAACTTTTCGTCCCATTAGCAAGAAAAATAACAGGGCACCCATCTGGTATAACCATGCTTCAAAGGATAGGCATTGGGTTGTTCTTATCAATTCTTGAAATGGCGGTTGCTGCTTTAGTAGAAGCCAAAAGGATTAGCATTGCAAAAGAACATGGTCTACTAGACACACCAAAAGCAATAGTACCCATGTCCGTTTGGTGGTTGGTCCCGCAATACATGATTAGTGGATTCTCAGATGCATTTGCGGTGGTTGGATTACAAGAACTGTTCTATGATCAAATGCCGGAAGCGATGAGAAGCATGGGAGCAGCTGCTTATATAAGTATAATTGGAATTGGAAGCTTTGTAAACACTGCTGTTATATCTGTAGTGCAGGCTGTTACGTCTAGACATGGCGGCGGTGGCGGTGTTTGGCTTGGAGATAATCTTAATCTTGCCCATCTAGATTATTTCTACTGGGTTTTGGCAGTATTGAGTGGTTTAAATTTGTGTCTTTATGTCTGGATTGCCAGTGGTTTTGAGTACAAGAAAGTTGAAGGTGAGAAAACGGAAATGGAGGAGAAAGGTGGTGAGTCTTGAGCCAGCTCAACTTATTAGTTAATGAAGAAATCCATATGTATGAAAAATCAGACGTGTAGTTAATTAATTAGCAGTGCAAACAAGCAATTTCAGAATTCTAATATCATTAGTGCAAATGATTAGAAATACCATAGTTGTGATGAAAACTTCATTTTTATAAGTTTTGTATACAGACAGAGCGATGGACCGATCCAATGAAGTCTATTCCGAATAATATATATAATAAATATCAATTTCAAGTGTCTTGTAACTTTACATTAGCAAATCATAAGAAGAGAAAAATTACAGATCACATATTACATTCAATATTAAAGGAAACTAATTCAAAAGGATATAATTATTTATTTGGAGGAATACAATAATCTTATTCATATTAACTAATTTACGTAAGCTTCAATGATGGATGCTTGGTCTGGCATTTTGATTATCTTGTAGCTAGTAAAGCCTGCTTCCTCTAATAATTTTTTCCATTCTGCTTCATTCCTTTCCTGCGCATTGAGATGAACCATCATCGCCATATCACCTATCAATGCCAATTCATCGAATAGATTATCTCCTTCTGGGAGTAAAACTGCATCGATTATTATAAGCCGTCCAGCTTTCTCCGGCAGAGCTTTTTGACAGTTTTTCAAGATTTTGATACAATCTTCGTCACTCCAATTATGCAATATCCACTGCAATTTGAGTAGCATTAAATAAGGATCAAATTGTTCTTTTGCAACAAATTTATTCACCATGCATGATACAAGCTAAGGTCATGGAATTGAGCCAGGAAAATAGCCTCACTGCAAGAGCAGAGAAAATATTTTTTAGGTTAAAAAAAGGTTTACCTTCAAAATAATGGCATCAGCTGGTGGAATGCCTGTAAACATGTCGCCGGAAACATGAGTGACTCCGGCATGCTCCGGTGCCTCAGCTATTACATGTGGAAGATCGAAGTTAATACCTTTTATATGAGGATGAGCCTTCACAATCTCACTCACCAGGGTACCAGTCCCGCCAGCAACATCCACAAGCGATCCTATACCATTCAACTCATCTTTATAAGTCTTCATAAATGCTTTTACAACTAGTTTCGAGGTCACAGCCATAGCCTGATTAAATATGGTGTTAAATTCAGAATTTGCAGACGCAAAATCCCAAAGACTTGACCCGCCGTGAGACTTACTGGTAAACCCAGAATCACCATTTTTTACTATATCAGGAAGGTTTTGCCAGGCCGATTGCCACTCTCTATGGTGCTGCAAAAGCAACATGGGAGCAAGACTCATTTCTGAATCACGTATTAACCATTTGGAGGCGTTTGTTAGCCCATAAAGAGTAGCATGAACACCATCTTCTTCTTCTGAACTAGTAGCAGTGAAAATTCCTCGACGAACTAACAGTGTCATGACACGGGAAAGACGGTCAGCATCAAGAGAAGGTTGGTTGATGGTTTTAACAATGGACGAGAAGGAAAGAGGGCGGCCATGGGAGTTTATTATGTCAGGAATACCTAATTGCACGACACATTTTAAAGCTATGCCATCAAGAAATCCAAAAATGTATTGCCATATCTTAGCTTGGCCAAGTAGCATTTCTTGTTCATCTTCTAAATCTTGCCTTCCCATTTCTTTGTTTCTCTGTTTCTTTCTTTCTCAAACCTGCTGTTTATGCAATGGTAAAAGAAAGGATGCTCGACGCGAATTAAATAGATGTAGAAAGTTGTAAATAAAATAATATTATACTATATATTATATATATATATATGACATTCGAGAAGGCAATCAATTTTGACTGTATATATTTACTATTATATATGTGACGCCATGTCAGCTGGGAGCCACAGTTGAATTGTATCATGCATGAATTTCAACATACACGTGTTATACTTTCTGGGAAGCGGATGATTTTTCAAAACTCTATGATTAATTATTTATATTGAAGTATATATTATTTAAAAATAAAAAAAAAATTAAAAAAAGCAGGCCTGATAATGCATTTCTGCTTCGGTTTTTATATTATTATATTATATTATATCACTAGTTTTTTTTTTGTCCTTATGGGCTGGACTTAGATTATGGACATTCAACTGGCCTCTATGTCAGGCCCATATTGCTCAGGGCCCAATAGCAGAATTTAAAATTGGTCTTGGTTAGTTGAAATTCTGATTTAATGAAAAATCAACATTAAGTTTTTAATTTAATGAAAGGTCCAGTCGGCCGAAATAACACTACAAGCTATAAAATAAAAATTAATTCTCTCCTTGACTCACGAAATTAATGGTTGAAAGGTCTCGAATTCGATATCTACAACTCCTTAAAAATATTTTTGATTCAAATGTTGGTATTTTGTACTATACATTGAGAAAACAGTAACATTATTTTAAAACTCTTTGTTGATTGGTTTGATGTACGGAAGCATCCATACACCAACTATAGGCAATAATTTATTTTTCAGTCTAATTATTAAGTAGAATTATAACATCTCTTTGACAACTTGCAGAAAAATAATCAAAGGTCAACCAAGATATTTAAATATTAATTTAAAAGAATTAGAAGAGAGGAGGGAGGTTCATGGGGTTGACCAGCTATCATTCTACACTTGGTCAAAACATAACAACACTGTGTGTATATATATATACAATTAATTTAATTTAATTTAATTTAATTTTGTTGAATCTGTTTATAGTTGGTAGAGGTAGTAGTTAAATTAGTTATAGAAACATTGTATATCGCTGAGCAAGCAGAAATTAAAACAAAAAATAATGAGAAAAACGTTTTCCCTTGCATCGTATGAGTTGACTTTTTTTACAAGGCCGGTCAATTCCATGAATTATTGATTTTAAATCGATTTTAGATTAGTATAATTCTAGCATGTTTCAAGCTTTTTAGCTTTTATTTTATTTTAAACAAACATAAGCTCGTGGTAGGTCTAATTTCCCTTTCATCGTATAAAATAAATAAATATTTAAGTAAAATAAAATTCATTTTAAACATATTTGAATCCAAAAGGGTGTTTTGTTGGTCAAAGAAAAAAAAATAGTACATAATAATAATTATGTAATTAAAAAAAAAAAACGTTGAGAATTGAATCATATATATATAAATATAAAATTCCAAATATATTTAAACAATTATGAGCTTTTATTTTGTATTAATATTATTATTTAAAACAATAGATGATGGTTGTGATCGCGTTATAGAGATGATGATTGACAGAGACACGATGGTTGCAATAAAGACTGTGTTGGGTTGAGGAAGATGGTGAAAATTTGAGTTTTAGGTATTTTAGCAGAAAGGGATTGACAATAATGTCAATCAAAACTTATAAAGGATAATTTCGTCTTTTCTTCTCAAAATTAACGAAAAAATTGTATTTTTTTGGACGGAAGGGCTGATTAATATGATGGAAGTGAACCTCAGGGACATTATAAATATTTGTATAAATGTCGGGGACTACTTAAATAATTATGGCAAACCTCTAGGACGAAATAATTATTTTTTCAAAGGATAATTTCGTATTTTTCTCTCAAAATTAACGGAAAAAATGTAATTTTTAGACGGAAGGACCAATTAATATGACAGAATTGAACCTCAAGATGTTATAAATATTTATATAAATATCAAGGACTAATTAAATAATTATGATAAATTTCAGGGATGAAATAATTATTTTCCCTTAATATTATTATTTAAAACAATAGAATGAGGGCATGGTGATGATTGTGTAGGCGTGATTTGGCGACAGTAAGTAGTGGGTGAACAATGCGTGGTGGTGGTGCTTGTTCGGTGTTCAAGAAGATAGTGGCAATGGGGGCCCTGTCAGTTAGTGATGCTCAATCACCCTCAGCTCTTGAATAGACATTTTCCTTTGTTTTTTCTCACTTTTGAAAACCAACCCCAATCCAACGTGTTCATCACTTCTTTCAATTTTGTTTTATTGGTCATTCTAATCTAATCTTGTTTGTTAACATCTCCGGCTGCGATTGGCTCGAGCATTGCAGAGTTTATATAAAAACGATTCTTTCATCGTGATAATTTCTATATCAAAGAATGAAATTCGAGCTGAGTTTCAAATCCGGCAAATTCAAACTTGTTTGCTTCGTTTATAAAACGATTTAATAATTAGTATTTGGCCAATATTTATAAGATTTGCAATAGCATGTTTGGACATCAGTCTGTGATATTCAAGAATAAATTTTAGGGACCCAAGAGATCATAAAAACAGCAATATCTGTAAAAAATAAAAATAAACTAAGGAATCCGTAAGTACGAAAGCTTAATTAATTAAACAAATCATAGAATTAATTAGAGGATAATAGCACATGATTTGTCCAAAGCATTCCATATCCTTCCTGTTGATTTGGTGGGTCCAGCTCCCCATTACCTGGAATTTCACCTCCAAGCCAATTTGATTTTTTTTTTTTTTTTGTGCGTACTGAGTTTCAAGTTTCAACACCTCTGGCATCTACCATGATTTTGTATTATTAAAAATGGAAAATGCTAAGAAAAAACCAATAAAATTTCAAATCCACTCATAATGAGATTTTGTATTATTAGAAATGGAAAATGCTTCAGTCATAAAATATATTTGAATTCAATTACAAAATCAGGATTAAATCCACAAAAAAATATTTACGATCAATCTCTGTAAATTTAGGGTTGGATGCATAGAAAAATGCACTTATATAGAAATTGATACCCATCAAATACATAAACTCGATTACCCCTAAATTTAAATTTTATAGCACCGTCAATTTTTATTTGCGCCTATTAAATATTTTCACTTATAAAATTACATATATTAAACACTCCAACCTGTAAAATTATATTTATTTTTTAGTTAATTAAACACCTATTAAATAGTTTGTGAAAATTATTACTTCAAAAGCTATACTAACTACATATCAAATGTATATTTTGCTTCAAAAACCTAAAAACTAGTATTATTAGTGTAAAAATGTGTGTAATATTACCAAAATTTATAAGTTTGAATGCATGACATGTCATTCACAAAATTCAAAGTATTATATGATTAAAGTTGTAAAATTCATGAGTAACGGTGTTTTCTTAGAGTTTTGCTGTAAAATTTATGAGTAAATTTATGTATTCGGGCGATTAATATCTGTATATAAAAAATAATATTAATCTCATATGAGATGGATAACCACAAACCCTAGATAGAAAATAAAATATTATTGTGGGATAATAATAAATGGTGGATGGCTTTTAACTAGATAATTGGTATTATGTTGAAGATATGTTATATAAAAAGTATATATCATTTTAATTTTTTTAATAAAAAAAAGCACTATTAAATGTGTTAGTCACTGCCTTATTAGATCAGGCCACCGGTTTAGGTGTGCATGTTCTGACCCCTATAGGGTGCATCGATCCGCCGAGTATTGGTGGAAGATACTGCCCTTTTCCTGCAGGATTATAGTGTTGTAGTCCGCAGCCCATGACAATAGAGTTCGGTCTAAAACAGCCCACAAAGGGGGCTGTGGCTCCTAAGCAGGAGAGTGAATATTTAAATATCATGCGTAACGTGAATGAAGCAAACAAGTGGGTGATCAATGTCTTTACCATCAACCCACCACCTCTGGTGTTAAAGTATATATCGTTTTAGATGCTTTGACTTATTTAAATATGCATAATCAAAATATTCATAAAGAATCTTGGCGGCAATAATTTATTAACAAAATGCTTTTTATAGTAAATAAAAATCTTTTTAAGGTCTTGTTTGTCACCATTGGTTGTCATTTCTTGCTTTGGTGATTGTAAGAGATTAGGCACATCTGGACAACCCATATATAGCTATTAAAACATTGTTCATATTCTAAATAAATTAAATTAAAACTTTTATAATATGTCAAATAAGATAATAATCATCCCTTTATTCCCTAATAATAATCTCTTTAGAAAGAAACCACAATCTTGCTTTGTACCTTTGAAAAGAAATTCTGTCTAGAATCATAATTAAAAAATTTTCACCTTTCCAATATTGTTCTTTTTACCGGATTTTAGAATTTTAGATATTGACAACAATTACTTAATTTTAAAAGCGGAAATTGAATTTACCTAATGTTTCAAAATTTGTAAATACTATGCATTGGAGGGTTTGTCCCCTAATTAAATATTAATTAAACACATTTTCTATATTCATTAATTTAGAAGGAGTCAAAGAGACATGCACGTGCATGAAATGTAATAATAGGGCAACCTTATGTATTCTTGAAAAGGCCAAGTTGGAAACCAACAATACAAACAGTTTGTCTCAATCTTTAATCGAAAGGTCGAAAATGAATATAAAAAAATGTACAATTATTAAATGAAAAACACACCACCTTCTTTGCTTGTTGTCTAATTCAAATATCGACCTAGAAGATCCGGGAGATTCTGAATGAAATCTGCAGGATCTTCCTTTCCAAACTGTCCAGATTTCCTACAGGATTTCTATCTGTATGGCTCTCCATTTAAAACTTTCCTACCTTCCCTCTTCCCTCTTCATCTCTCTTTCTTGCTTCTTCTACCCCAAGAACTCATTTTCTTGAACCAGTTATGGGTATGGCTACAGAGCCTCAGTTCCATGTTCTTGCTGTTGATGATAGCCTCATCGATAGAAAATTGATTGAAAGGCTTCTTAAAACATCTTCTTATCATGGTAGGTTTACTTTTCTTTATTTAATCTGGTTTCTTAAAATTCTTGTGATCTTTGAAATTGGTTATTGATTGTTATTCTTCTTTTGTTTGTGTAGTTACTGCAGTTGATTCAGGAAGTAAAGCTTTGGAGTTCTTGGGTTTAAATGAAGAAGAACAGATAGATTCAAACCTTACCTCTGTTTCCCCTCCAGGTGATCATCATCAAGATGTTGAAGTAAATTTGATCATTACAGATTACTGTATGCCAGGGATGACAGGTTATGATCTCCTCAGAAAGATTAAGGTATTTTGATTGTTTTTCCTAATTAGGTTTAAACAATGAATAGTTATCTATAAATTGTGGAATAAATTAAGATTAAATGTATTTTTATGTGCAGGAATCCAAATCTTTAAAAGACATACCAGTTGTGATCATGTCCTCAGAGAATGTACCATCAAGAATTAATAGGTATTGATAAACTTTAATTCATAGAATTTAAAAACTTGCAATAATTGTTTGTTTCTTGATCTTAGATCTAATATGCATTAATGGGTATTGATGAACAGATGCTTGGAAGAAGGAGCTGAAGAGTTCTTTTTAAAGCCAGTTCAATTATCAGATGTGAACAAGCTTAAACCCCATTTAATGAAGGGAAAAGCTAAAGAAGATGAACCAAGTAACAAAAGGAAGGGCATGGACGAAATCCACTCACCAGAAAGAACAAGAACAAGATATGAAGGCTTGGAAGTTGTTTTTGATTAACAAATATTTACTTCATAATACAACACCGTTTAGGAAATTCCCAACACAATTTTTTCCTTACCTTTTCTTTTTTCTTTTTTCTTTTTTCTTTTTTTAATTTCCTTTCCTTTGGAATTATAACACAGTCCAAATAGAAATGTAGTCTCACTTAATTGTTTTCACTGATTTTAGAATGATCCTATAAGGATCAATTGTAAATTATTGAAAGGTAAAAAAAAAAACTATTCATTCAAGTTTCTTTTTGCCTAAATGATAATTTTGCAATCTTTTTTCCCTTCACTATCTATTTTTTTAGCATATAGTCGATTAATAAATAAATGTACGGTTAGACATAGGTTCGAATCCCTTCTCGATACTTAAAAAGAAAAAAAAAAAAAAGAATTTGTGTGTTAGCCTCTTTACAAGGGGGAAAGAAAAGAAAATTTTTAAAAGAGGAAAATGGGCCTTTTGGTGTAAGTGCTAAGGAGGCTATACTGGGCTGCTATTTATGACAATCCTTCTACGGCCCAAGTAGTCATGGACTCCAACCAATAGTCGGCATAATGCACGAGACGATTATTATTATTTTTTAAATTATTTATATTAATATTAAATGTCAGTTCCAATAAATAATTGAATGGAAAATAATTAAACATAATAAATGGAGATATATTAAATAATTATCGAAAAGAAAATTTATTATTAGTTTTAAATTTCTAAAGCGGCCTATTAAATCGTCATTATGATTTATGACATGGCATGTGCTCGAAACCGAAACAAAATTTTGCATTTTTGTTCATTAAATCTGCGGGATTTGCGACGTGGCAACATATCAATGGTCACTGAACTATACTGGACAGTACTTTGAAGTCAACAGAGAACGTTGACTAAAATCTATCATTTTCATTAAACTTTCTCCAATTAGATTCTCCCTTTCACTCTCACAGTATCTGCGTAGTAGCTGCTACTCCGAGTCTCACCGCTAATTTTCCTTCATTTTCCCGCATTTTCTTTCCCAACTGGGAATCCTCGAGCCTAACGGGTCTTAGTCTCTCAGAGGAATCTTTAGAACCCTCTTTCCAACCGCATTCTCTCGTCGTTTTGCTGCAAAACGCAACTTCTGCCCCCTTTCTATCTAGTTTTCTTCGAATTTTAAATCCTCAAATCGCAAAGCCGAGGGACAGCTTTCTTCCAAATCAGATCATTTCTTGTGTTCGATTAGCTCTGCAATTTCGGCTCTGAACTCTGATTCTTTATTCACTTGGTTTCAGCTTCGAAGGAAAAGGAGGAAAAAAAATATATATATATATATAAGCTGACATGAAGCATCGATGAACTGTGTGAGAGTCAGTGATTTAGGGTTTATAGTTGTTAAATGAAGCAATGTGTATGTGTAGAAGTATGAAGCCGTGTAATGAGTAAGACTTTGTCGGGCAAACAAAGTTGTTGATTGCGAGTGGAAGAAATGACTGCCGCCGAACAGTCGAGGCCGGGTTCTGTAGAGAGAGACATTGAGTTGGTAATTTCTTCATTTATCTTACATCTCCTTTTGACGCTATGATGCTTTTTCTTGAATTGTATATATACGGGAGTTTGTATTGTATTGACATACACTACGTGAATGTTAACATTGGGGGAAAGTTTGCTTTGTTGGTTGTGACTCCAGTGGGAATTTTACTTGTTCTTTGCAATTAGATAATTTTGTCGCTAAAATCAAATAACTTTAACTATACCAACTAGCATTTAAGCTCTACTAAGCCTTAATAGATTTGAGAATCTGGATTAGCTCAACGTGGTCAAATGGTAGATATTTTTTCGAAGTTTCTTATTATAATTATTAATCAGAAATTATATTCTATTATGAATTATTATCACAGGATGTACTTCTGTTACCATGTTATCCTATGGGTAATTTCTTGATAAAACAAAGTTTTTCTCTATGATATTGTATTCAATGTGCACGTCTTTGTTCTATTATGTCCAACCAAGTTTCATGAGCCTAAAATTGAAAATTGATAATTCTGCCCAGTAAGAGGTTATATAGATGGCAAAACCTCTAAAACTAAGCTAGACAATCAATAAGTTCATGTCTTTATGCTTGTTTTCTGGATTTTGTTGGAAGAACTTTAGAAGATGGAGTATGGCAGTGATGCCAAATATGTTATGGGTGTTAACGTGTTTGATGTAAAGTGGCCAAATCTCCTTGGATAACAATACCAAGGGCTCAAATGGAGGAGTTTATTACTCACTTTTAAAATTTTTAGACATGTGCTGGCATGAAGCTCATCAACTTATTTTTATATCGAGAAGGCAACACTTATTTGTCACTGCATTAAGGGGAAGAACATACTTTATTTGTCGATTGTATTATGTGATGTTTCATGTCATCATAACTCCATCTAAGTGCTCATATTGTTTCTTTCCATATCCATCCAAAAAGAACAATTTCCTAGTTTGCTCAGATTAATTTAATTCAGGTTCTTGGTACATTCTTTACTGCAGGCCATCACTGCTCTTAAAAAAGGAGCCCAATTGCTGAAGTATGGACGTAGAGGAAAACCCAAATTTTGTCCATTTAGGCTGGCCAATGTAAGATTAATATGTTTATTTTTCCCTGTAGTTTCCTTTCCTTTGAGGCAAAAGTTTTATATTTTTGGGCCGCTGGGCGAAGTTACTGAACTTGATGTGCAAATGTTTCTTCACTGTTGAATAAGAAGCCCAATAATGTATTATCTCCTCTCAGCACAGGCTTTCTGTTTCATTCGTTCTGGTGCTAAATTAATTAATTCAAATGTCTTATCTTTATTATCTTTAGTTCTTATGTTCTGGGGTATTGGATATTTGATTTATCTCTATTGAAATTCTCTGCTCTGTGTCCTGCTTTTGTTGTTTCAGGATGAATCTGCTTTAATATGGTTATCGGGGAAAGAGGAGAAGCATCTTAAACTGAGTCATGTCTCCAGAATCATATCTGGGCAACGCACTGTAAGTTCATCTATTGATATTTCTTGCAACTTCTATGTGCTGCATGCTTCAGCAACATGCTGACAGAGGGTACAAAATATGTTGCCTGTTGCAACTTTGCAGCATATAATATAGGTATATATGATCTACGCTTGGCAGATTAAGCTTGCTGCTTAAGCATTGGGTATATGCACAAATCACCTTGTTTATCAGATGACTGAGCTTCACACATTGCTATTCTGCTTTCACTTGATAAACTGGAGGTATTTTTTGGAGATGCAAAATTGGAAAAATATGAATTGGTTCATTTTATGTGCAAGTAAAAAAAAAGGGTTAGAAAGTGTTATATGGTGTATAGACAGTAGTGGCACTTTGTTGTATGATGTTTTATTTGGTTGCCTATGCACATCAGAACTGGCTTGTTCAATCATTTGCCTGTAACCTATCTTATATTTTTGGGCAAAGTCGAAGATATATGATGGTATTGTATGACACCTCTCTTATGTCGTAATATATATCCTTTTGGATGTAAAATAATTGTCTGTTTCTGATGCTTTTATTTTTGTTGCTTCTTTTCCATTTTTCCTCTTTCCATTTTCCCCAAAAGAAAAGTTTGTGATCACTTGTGTGCATACACCCACATACACGAACAATGTTATTATTTCAATTAAAAGAGAACTGTTATTTAATGGATTGTTCTTAATTTTGCTTATTGCAGCCTATATTTCAGAGATATCCTCGACCAGAGAAGGAATACCAGTCATTTTCTCTTCTATATAATGATAGATCTTTAGATTTGGTAGGTATATCTTTTATGATTTCTACTTTTTTGCCTCTTTTTTTTTTCTCCAACATTATACTGTCTCTGAAATCTAGAGAGTCACCTGCAGTAATTGATCTCAACTGTTAATATATTGTCTTGATTGCATCCATAACTTTTCATATGAAAATTTTTTCTATCATCTACTGATCAAACTTCTTTTAACCAGATTTGCAAGGACAAAGATGAAGCTGAAGTTTGGATTACTGGTCTAAAAGCGTTAATATCACGTAACCATCTTCGTAAAGGGAGAGTAGAATCTAGAAGTGATGGAATCTCATCTGAAGCAACTAGTCCTAGAGTACACACCCAAAGAAGTTCTCCTTTGAGCTCTGCATTTGGTAGTGGTGACAGTTCACAGAAGGTGATCCTCCTTGTTCCTTCACGCGTTATTGCATTTCATTGCTGTCTGTTGAATAAGATATTTTTCTTTGTTGCTGATATAGGATGACATGGATCCCCTACGTCTTCGTACTCCATATGACAGTCCTCCTAAAGCTGGTTTAGAAAAAGTTTTATCTGACATGGAACTATATGCTGTGGCTCCCAAGGTTTTATGTCCATCTGAATCTACTTGTGGCTCAGTCCATTCTGTGTCATCAGGAGGCTCAGATGCAATAAATGGCCGTTTAAAGGGTATGAGCATAGATGCTTTTAGAGTTAGTTTATCAAGTGCTGTTAGCTCATCGAGTCAAGGCTCTGGCCATGATGATAGTGATGCATTGGGGGATGTTTACATTTGGGGAGAAGGCACTGGTGATGGTATTCTTGGTGGGGGAGTGCATGGAGCTGGAGGTTCTGGTGTTAGGATGGATTCTTGTGTTCCAAAAGCCTTGGAATCTGCAGTGCTATTGGATGTTCAGACTATAGCATGTGGTCGTCGACATGCTGCTTTGGTAACAAAACAAGGGGAGGTTTTCTCTTGGGGGGAGGAACTTGGAGGCAGACTTGGGCATGGAGTTGACTCCGATGTCTTGCATCCAAAGCTTGTAGATGGTCTAAAAAATATCAATGTTGAACTTGTGGCATGTGGAGAGTACCATTCTTGTGCAGTAACACTTTCTGGTGATTTATATATATGGGGCGGTAGTTCTTACAATATTGGACTCCTTGGATATGGAGATAAAGCTAGTAATTGGGTTCCCAAAAAGTTAAATGGACCTCTAGAGGGAATACATGTTTCATCGGTCTCATGTGGACCATGGCACACAGCTATTGTAACCTCTTCTGGGCAATTGTTTACATTTGGTGATGGAACTTTTGGTGTTTTAGGCCATGACGACCGCAGAAGTGTATCTATACCAAGGGAAGTGGAGTCCCTCAAAGGCCTTCGCACTGTGCGAGCAGCCTGTGGTGTTTGGCACACTGCTGCAGTTGTTGAAGTCATGGTTGGGTCTTCAAGTTCCAGCAATTGCTCTTCGGGCAAGCTATTCACTTGGGGAGATGGAGATAAGGGTCGTCTTGGGCATGGTGACAAAGAACCTAGACTGGTACCCACTTGCGTTGCTGCTCTTGTAGAACCAAACTTCTGTCAGGTTGCTTGTGGGCACAGCATGACTGTTGCATTGACAACTACAGGCCATGTTTACACAATGGGAAGCCCGGTATATGGTCAACTTGGGAATTCTCAAGCTGATGGAAAACTGCCTGTTCGTGTTGAAGGAAAGCTTGCAAAAAATTTTGTTGAAGAAATAGCTTGCGGTGCCTACCATGTAGCAGTTTTAACTTCAAGAACTGAAGTTTACACCTGGGGAAAAGGTGCAAATGGCCGATTAGGTCATGGTGATACAGATGATAGAAATTCCCCAACAATTGTTGAAGCATTGAAGGACAAACAGGTTAAAAGTGTCGTCTGTGGCACTAGTTTTACTGCAGTTATCTGTCTTCATAAGTGGGTTTCTGGTATTGATCAATCCATGTGTTCAGGCTGCCGCCTTCCATTTAATTTCAAAAGGAAACGACACAACTGTTACAATTGTGGACTTGTTTTTTGTCATTCTTGTAGTAGTAAAAAGTCTCTCAAGGCTTCAATGGCACCAAATCCGAACAAACCTTATCGTGTCTGTGATCAGTGTTTTAGCAAACTTAGGAGAGCTACGGAAACTGACTCTTCATCTCATTCTGCTCTAAGTAGAAGGGGAAGTATAAATCAGCGACTACTTGAAGTTGAAAACAGTGACTATTTGAATGCGAGATCCCATGTCCAACTAGGAAGAAATAATTCGATCGAATCATCTAAAGATGCGGAAAGGGAATCTTTGAAGAGAAACAAACTAAACTTGAATGGTCCTCAAGCTTCATTCAATGCAAATGATTCTTCTCAATGCAATGGGTTTAACAACTCTAAATATTTTGGTTCATCCAAGAAATTTTTCTCAGCTTCTCTTCCAGGATCAAGAATTATGTCTCGAGCAGCATCACCAACATCAAGACGATCTAGTCCGCCTCGTGCGACAACACCAACCCCGAATCTTGTTCATCCATTGCCAAAAATTGTTGTGGATGATGCTAAAAGGTCAAATGATAGGTTGAGTGAAGAAGTCGTTAAATTAAGAGCTCAGGTATTTGGATTACCTTTCATAATATCAATTACTGTTCAGAAGTCTTCTCCTTTTATCTGCCTTGTATTGTTGTCTTTGTATAATGGCCGACTGGCTGATAATGTAGGTTGAAGAACTTACCCGCAAAGCTAAACTTCAAGAAGTTGAGCTGGAAAGAACAACTAAACAATTGAAGGAAGCTATTGCAGTGGCAGAGGAGGAAACTGCAAAATGCAAAGCAGCAAAAGAAGTAATGAAATCACTTACTGCTCAAGTAAGTTAAAAGTTGATGTTCTTGTTTGGAAATTACATTTTTCACATGCTAGGGAATCTTGACTGCCAAAAGCCTAGGAATAAATGTGTATTCTGACATGAAAAAGCTAGAATTTGATGGTAAAGAGTAGGAATGGTGGCACCACTACTTATGGTATCAAATGAACTGCACTATGTCTGCAACATGAAGGATTTGATGTGTTTAAACTTTAATCATGCTTTGTTGCTATCTCAGATATTTTGTGCATGTGCACAATGATTACCTGTTTTAAGCCTCAAATCAGTTGTATCAAGGTAGGGAAAATAGACTTGGAGTGAAATAATTCCGCACTACTTATGGTATCAAATGAACTGCACTATGTCTGCAACATGAAGGATTTGATGTGTTTAAACTTTAATCATGCTTTGTTGCTATCTCAGATATTTTGTGCATGTGCACAATGATTACCTGTTTTAAGCCTCAAATCAGTTGTATCAAGGTAGGGAAAATAGACTTGGAGTGAAATAATTCCGTCCATCCTGAGGCTTATGCATCTATGCTACATTTATGTTGATCAACATGATCTTTTTTATTTGCATCACAACAGAAGGCTATAAATTTTTCTGTCTGCAAAAGTGTATAATGATAATCAATCAGTCATCAATTTAAATTTATGCCTTGGCAGTTGAAGGATATGGCTGAAAGGTTGCCTGTTGGAGCAGCAAGAAACAGCAGTTCACCCTCCTTTTATTTTTCTAGTGCCACTCCCACAAGGGAAATTGCTTCTGCAGTTAATGAGCAACTGAATAGTCCCACAAAATGCCACGAACCAGATTCAAATGGATCAAGCAGCTTACTGATTCCTAACGTGTCTGCCACTGCTAGTAATCAAACTTTAAGTCACTCTGAAGTGCCACATTTGGAAACAACAGTAAGGAGTAAAAACAGAACAGCAAAAGTCGAACCCTGCCATGGGGATGAATGGGTTGAGCAAGATGAACCAGGTGTGTACATTACCCTTGTTTCCTTGCCTGGAGGTGCCAAAGATCTGAAGCGTGTCCGTTTCAGGTATGTATTAAAGCATTCTGGACTATCTCTGCCGCTCTCTGAATGTTTATTCTCAAAACTGAGATGTTTTTTCCCAAAAGGCCTGAACATATTTTTATTTTCTTTTAATGGTAATGAGTATAACATTACTGACAAAGTAGAAAGGAGAGCATGCAATATGGCATAGCAGGAAGCTATGGCCATACTTTTATTGGCACTTGGCCGTAGACAAGTTCAGACATCACAGTTTCTGTACTGTTTCAAGCTCCTTATCTATTACATGTTGGGTCCTGATTTACCCTGGTGGAAAGATGTCTGAGTAAACTGAATTTGGGTCCTGATTTACCCTGGCGGAAAGATGTCTGAGTAAACTGAATTTGGGTCCTGAGTAAACTGAAATTTCTAATTAGTATCTCGTTGGAGATCACTAGCTTCTTATGTGTTAACTTATCCTTTTGCAGCCGAAAGAGATTCAGTGAGAAACAAGCAGAGCAATGGTGGGCAGCGAACAGAGCAAGAGTATATCAGCAATACAATGTTCCCATGGCTGATAAATCTATTGTCGGCATGGGGAGGGAAGGTCTGGCTCATTGACCTTCCACAATCAAGATGCAACTATGGTGCACTTGCAAATGCTATGGTTTGGAATATCAGAAATTTGATTCTAAATTTCTGCCTTTATGATTGGTGGAAGCCAATTTTGTTTTTTCGTGGGTAGGGGTATTTTTTCTTCCTTATCTTACTTTTCTATTTTGATATTTTGCATTAAACGTATCCATGTTTTCATATTTCCTGTAATTTTTTTCAAAAGGGGAGGTTGAAAAGTGGTGAGAGGTTATGTAAATTCTTTGTAAGTAGGTTGCTGCCTCTGTGTATTCCGTGGAATGTAAGAACCAGTGTGCTCCAAGCCTAACACGAACTTAAGCACGAGTTTGATTTTGGGGCTTGGTATCCTAAAATATTAAATTGGCCCATTAACTTGGTGTCTAGAAATATGAAATAGGCACATTTTTTGTAATTATGCAATTTAATTTAATTTTTTTTTAAAAAAATCCTGCTGGAAAAATAAGAGTTATTTAATAACAATATTGTTAAGTCAAAAAAAAAAAAAAGATGATCGAATATTAATTTTATTTCTCTTTGACGAATTAAAATAACAATTAGTATGATACAACAAAAATACATTGGAAGCATAATGTTTCTTTTTCCTTTCCTGTATATGGATGAACAAGAACAATGATGAACATCAATGCAGCAGTGGCTTTGCTTAGAAATGAGAAGGCAAGAACCAATTAATTCGAAAATAATCAGACTAACATTTCATCAAAAGTTAAATTAAATTTGATGCAACCTTCGGATTCCACTTGATTGAGATCTGCATCACAACTGCAAGGAATATACAATGTAAATCCCAGAGAAACTCTTGATGCGTTCACAGGTAAAGAGACAAAAGTCGAATTTTTTTTGTTTACCTCTTATGTTCTAGGACCTGTGTGAACAAAACTGAGTCGGGCCAAATAGTTGCGCTCAGCAAAGTCATGTAGTGAGCGATGAGGTCTTGTCCCCTGATGGTCAAGTTTTTCAAACTCTTCTTTCACCAGCCTTCTACAGTCATCACCGTCCTAGAGAAAAATCAAGCAAAAGTCAAAAAAAAGGGAAGTGCTCAGTGGTCAAGTCATATACTTGCATTTTGCAGTTTAAGAAAAAAAAGGCACACCTGTAAGAATTCCAACATTCGCTCCTCGATTGTACCACGCATTGCTAAAGTCTCCACTTGAATGGGACGAGTAGCACCCATCCGATGAGCGCGACTGATCACTTGTTCCTCCATGCTGACAACAGTTTAACATAAAATATGTTAAGGAATAGGTCCAAAAGGATGAAACGAGATACAAAGGAAGGTGATGAACTTCTCGTTTCCAAGGAACTCCTTATTTAATAACCAGTAAATGTGCTTCGTGGCAACGAATAATCCATTTACCATTTTTTTTTACCCCAGAAAAAAAAAAAAAGAGAAAAAAAAGATGATCATGATTCAAAAGGTAAGATAGTGCTTTCATTTTGAACTTGCAAAAGTTGACAGTGAAAATTAATTAATTATATATATATATGAAAAAAAAAGATGATCATGATTCAAAAGGGTAAGATTAGTGCTTTCATTTGAACTTGCAAAAGTTGGACTAGTGAAATTAAAATTAATTATATATATATATATATATATATATAGAGAGAGAGAGAGAGAGAGAGAGAGAGAGAGAGAGAGAGAAGGCACACAACTTTGAGCAACTAAAAGTCATCTTTCAAATTTTTTTTACTAAGGGGTTGAAATTTCTAAACCGGAAGAGAGAGAGAGAGAGAGAGAGTCTGGTTTTTTTCAAAAAAATATTACCTTCTTCCCAGATTGGGCTCCATTAAGAAAGAGAGAGAGAGAGAGAGAGAGAGGCACACAACTTTGAGCAACTAAAAGTCAATCTTTCATTTTTTTTACTAAGGGGTTGAAATTTCTAACCGGAGAGAGAGAGAGAGAGAGAGAGTCTGGTTTTTTCAAAATATTACCTTCTATCCCAGATTGGCTCCATTAAGAACACATGTGATACAAAGCTCAAGTCAAGACCCAATGCAGCACTTCCATCCATTAAAAGAGCCATACACGTCGCATCATGTTGGAATGAGGCTAGCGCCTTCATCTGAATGAGCATAATGAACATGCCAAATAAAATGCAAACAGCTTAAAAAGGAAAAGCAGGAAGAAAGCACAAAAGAAGAAAAACGAAAAATAAAACAATTACCTTGTTGCTTGAGTGCATTGGACTATAAAGTCCAGCAAACTTGATACCAGCAAATGTTAACTGAAACAAGGAAAAAAAGAGGTCAGAACCTTTCACTGCTATACAAGGAAATCACACAATCCTAATAATCAAAAAACATCTACCTGCTGTTCAATAACATGTATGTGCTCAAGAAATTGTGAAAATATTATAACTTTCTCCAGAGCTGATTTGGAAGACTTGGAACTCTGCCTACAGCAGTCCTGCAACAGTGCACTTGAATCACCCATTACAGAGGGATGAATTTGCTCAATGTTCTTGGCATCATTTTCATTAATCGAAGAAAGACACTCTCTATTAGCATCCTGCAGCGCTTTCAGCCTCTGAACAAGATAAGACACTTTACTGCTAGATGTTGATTGCCAATCAGGATCCCAGTTATCCTGTACAAAAAAAAAAAAAATGTAAGTATATAATCAGAAATGTGTTTATAGAGCACGGCAAATAAAATAGAACATTTCAACTTAGAGCAAACCTTGCCTGTTTATATGAAGGTTGTAACTCAATAAGATCTTTGGGAACAGGCCATTTTGGGTTGGGATTTTCAGGCCGGGTTAAAATTTCAGGACTTTGCATCTCATAAAGTTCACCACAGCCAGAAAAAGTACACCTTTCACTATCCAAACCAACACAATCGAGACACAAAAGATGCCCACATGGTGTGACAACAGGAAGACGGCACCATTCATTGCATCTGACCCAAAAATAGAAAAAAGCGAATATCAAATTCAGTCTGTGAATTCGTAATGGAGTTGCCAAAAACTTAGAAAGTCAAAATTACCTTTGACAGTTTCCACCATATTGTAGATAATACTTAATTAAAGCATAGTTCTCTGAGACAGGATCCAGACCCTTTGCAACTAAAATGTCCATGGTTTCTTGAATATCTTCTCCTGCATCAGTCACTTTAATATGCCCAGCCACACAACAAGATAGCCTGACATTTCTAATCGTAGCACTTCGAAACTTCCATTGCTTTGGGTTAAGCAAACTTTCAACATGTGAAGGATCGTTCCAGTCAGCCATTAGTATGTTCCGCCGTACAGTAACTACCAATTCATTATAACTTCTTGCATGCTCCTCAGTGAAATTGAGAAATGTCACCTTCTTGATGCATGGAGGAATAGCTTTCAAATCTTTCTTTCTGGCACTAATCAAGCACCTATGGAGCAACTGCAACAAACGCAAGCGACCATCTTCCATCTCTGCTTCAAATGGTCTAAGAATGCCAGCTTCCCATGACTTCTGGTTCTGTCCATAAGCTTCCTCATGTAGGAACTTAAGCATTGGGTGAAGATTCGAGAGCTGACTATTGGGCGTATTAGGTGTTGGGGTTCCTGTTAGCAACCAGCGACTTGAAGTCATCAATGAAATCGCCATTTGCAATTTGTTTGTCAAGTTAAGACTAGAACCAAGTGTGTGCCCTTCATCTAGCATGACTCTAAGCCAATGCACTTGCATCAGAGGGCTTTTCTTATTGGCACCCCACTCTGCACTTAAACGATTAAAGGTTGTTATTACAACATCATAATCCCAAGCCAAACTGTGAGCAGAAGGCTTTTTATGATCAGTCCAGATGCAGACACGCAACTGGCCAGGTTTGACATGCTCTTGGATTTGTGTTTTCCAATGATCAACCAGATTTGCTGGAACAACAATTAAAGTTGCTCTTGACAAATACAATCTAACAGAATTCAGCGGACTGCAGAGAGCTATTCTAAGAGCATCCACATCAAATGCCAAGTTTTCAAGAGTCTTTGGGTAATACCACCTACTGACACCCTTTTCTACTCTCCTTATAAGACCAAAGGATTGAAATATTGTATGAAACACGTGCATATCTCCAGTGCCTAAGATGGGACTTGGCAAACCAATTGTTTCCATTTGAGAAAGTCTTTCCGGCAAAAGTCTAGCAAGCCAAGTTAAGGCTCTCTTTGTTTTAGAACCGATCACTGAATAGTAGTCCTTAAGCACACTGATGAAAAATGATACATTTTGTTCCTTTCCTCCAGATGCTTCTTTGGGGCAAAATCCTGGAAGGTATGTTATAGATTCACAACTATCCCAAGCTTCCTCTGGATCTTTGCATCTCTGATGAAAAGGGTCAGTGTTCATGCTACAAAACCATGCAGCAGTAGCATTAGGCACGGCATCTTTAAGCTTCCTCCACTTTCGACAGGCATCACATTGAGCCCAAGTTTCATTATATGCTAAAATATCTCCAGTAGTCTTTCCAAATGACATGTCCAGATGTTCCCAAGAAAAACCCGAATTCCTCTTGGTTGAATTTTCTCCAACTTTCCTTTTGCTGCCTATGCCAGATTCTTCACCATATGAATAAAGAAGATTTTTCTTGATACGACTCAAGCTCCTTGAGCATCGAACTACACGTGCAATTGGCTCCGAATGCGCAGCCGATAGCAATTTTTTTCCTGTTCCTGGAAAAGACTTATTGAACTGTACAACGTGCTCACTTGGTTCCTTTAACCTAGCTCTTTTAGGTGAAGAATAACTTGGATCATGTATTGGAGTGAATTTTTCCAAAGATAATTGTCCCCTACGAGCACTCTGGCTCATATTCCTTTTCCCCAAAAGCTTATTATTACAGATGAACCCGTCACCACTAAGCTCATAATAGCCACATCTCTGGTCACCATTATGTCTACACCAGGTTATTTGAACTCCATCCGGTGGGTCAGCAATTATTCCTTGAGTCTTCAGAATAAGGGAAAGAGCAGTTATAGTCTTCCCTAAGCCAGGTTCATCACAGAACAGTCCCCCACGAAAATCTCTCACAGTTGGGGCCACTTCAGTAACTATTTCACCAGAAACAGTATTTACATAGAAGACAAACCCATCTTCTGTTGGAAAATTCATGAATAGAGGATGCGACAAAATTTGAGGATTCCGCTCTCGCTGTAACATCCACTCAACAGCTGCCTCCTGGTGAGGAAATAGTTTAAGTTTCATACATGGCATTATTGATACAGCCAATGATCTCAAATGACGACAGGTTGCTGCAACCCTGACAAGGTCCATAGGGCCAAGGACAGTTAGAATATTTATCAAAGTATCATCTGTCAGATCCCAAATACCAGTACCATAAGAGCCATCAACTGATTTCACCCTTGAAGAATATAATTTTTCCTTATTTGTCACACTAGGCAAGCACTTAAAAATTTCATGGAGTTCAAAACGCCTTTTCTTTGAAGAATCAGAGACATTACAATGCAACTGGCATCCAAGAACATGACAGTCGGAGAGATTCCAGATGCTCTTGTCACCTCCATGGACATTTTTAAAACACCCTGCTCCATCAACAAGCATTGAGCTCCTTTTGTCCCAATCACAACTGCAGACTTGTAGCACGTTAACAAATTAGGTTTGGTAAATTAAGCGCAAAGAGAGAAAAAAAAAAAAAAAAAAAAAAAAAAAATTGGAAGAGAGTACAGAGCACATTAACAATGCACTGCACTCGCAACGGAACACATGAACAGTCGGAGAGAATTCGCAGATGCGCGCTTGGCTCAGCCTCCATGGGAACTCGATTTTAAAACACCGACTGCTCCATCACAAGCCATTTGAGCTCCTTTTGTCCCAATCAACGAACTGCAGACTTGTGCACGTTAAACCAAATTAGGTTGGTAAAATTAAGCGCAAAGAGAGAAAAAAAAAAAAAAAAAGAAAAACAAAAAACTCTAGAAAAATACTAAAACAGCTATCTAGGAAGCCAAGTTATAGCTTGCCTTAAGATCACAACAAGTTAAAGTTTTCAACGTGTGTCCAGAGTAAAGCCAACTTGGTCAAATAAACTAGCCAGAGTTCTTATATAAGATAAAAAAAAAAAAAAAAAAAAAAAAAAAACTCTAGAAAATACTAACAAGCTATCTGGAACCAAAGTTATAGCTTGCCTAAGATCAACAAGTTAAAGTTTAATTCCAAGAAGCCAACTTGGTCAAATAAACTAGCAAGAGTCTTATATAGATGCATGTCTAGAAAACTGGTACTTTTCTTAATACCCTATCTAGAAATGCAAAGTGAATTCTTCACGTAAGCATTGCTATATGGAATAACACTGTCCCTTTAGCTGACTAATTCACTTCACAAGCTAATGAAAAGTAAGGAAATTTTATTATAAAAGCAATATTCATACTTTACATTCCATTCTCCAAAACCAAACTGCATTTGATTAATCTAATAAAACCACTAGGTGGGGATTTTATTTAAATATTAAAATAAACACAAACCTCAAGTGCCTGAAGAGAGCTCCAGCAACGGGGCCAGATTTCGGAAACTGCCAACCAGTAGTCCATAATGCAACAGGCAAATACACATCTACAAGCACCACAGCCCTGGCCTCGCCTTCCCCACTCTCGCGAACTTCAACATTCAAAACACGCGCGAGAATCTTGATACATTTATTGGCCACTAACGAGTGAATCTGGTGGACAACGCTCAAGCTTCCATTCACCATCCCAATCCCTCTCTTGTACCTCCTCTTTCCCGGACTCGAACTGCTGGAAGCAACGTCGCCATTTCTATGCTGCGAGGGCGAAGAAGAATCTGTATTGCTGCTAAGAGAGGATAAAACGACGCCATTAGTGGCCTTGAATCCAATTTGGGCACCGTCGGCGAACACGTGGCAGGGAGAGAGAAAGGATAGAACGGGAACGGGAACGGGATCGCGTTGGGGCGAAGGAATTGCAAGAACTGCATAGAGATAACCGCATAGCTTGTAGTCTGGATAGGGGTCTTCCATTGATGGAAGGTTTTCGTTGTCGCTGAGAGACGTATATATATATATATAATTTAGGCAGAGGATAAAAAAAAAGCCGAAAAGCAAACCCGAATTTCGTTCCGATTTAGAAATTTGAGAGGAGAGGGGGGTGAGGTTTTGTTGGTTTTGAGCTTTGACCATTGACCCTAACCACAGTAACCGAAAGCCTCAGCCAATTGTTTGTGAATTTTATAAGCTCACTTCCCAATTGGGACAAATCAGGCGACGGAGCTAACCTAAACCTCAAAAGTCAATCCATAATTGTATCCTAAATAATGATTTCAATTAAAATCTTATAGTAGGACTAAATAGTAATTTTAGTTAACTTTAAGAGATTTTCATAATAATTTCTCTTTATTTTCTAAAGTTGACTCAAATTCACAATAATATTTTTATTACGCCGAGTATATAATAAAAATTTTTCTTTATTTTCTATAATAACAATTTTCACAAAATTTTAAATATTTAATTAATCTAATATTACAAGTTGAAGTTTTCAATAAAATAATGTTATGAATTAAATTATTTAATTTATGCAATTTTATAAGTCACTTATTCATTTTTATTGTATAAAATGAAATAAAAGAGAAATATTATAGTACAAAGCATATTAATAGAATTACCATCATAAACACATTAAACAGCAGAATAGAGTGCAAAATTCCAGACTGAAAGGATTGCACAGGATTTTCCACTGAACTACTGCTATCTCATTGAATATGTTAAAAGGTATTTACTGCCAAATTGTACAATGATCACAGGAAGAACAAAAAATGCAAAAAGAACCATCCCAACATAATAAAATAGACATGAGTTGACTTGAACGCAAGCAAGCCGGTGCAGCTCGTAGCTTCCTTCCACGCATAAGCAGCAGCTGGTCTGGATGAAACAATGGTCTACTGAGGTGTTTGGGAATGAGGCGGAGGACCTGGTGGTAGTGGTGGAGGCATACCAGATTGATTTCCAGACTGAAAAGAAGCAACCTGCTGTGTTAGTTCCTTTGAAAGGTGTTATGTTTCAATTTCAAACTATTGTCACATCAAATTCTTTAACTGTCTCTGCCAAAAATATAAGCTATTGAGCAACACCCTAAAGTCTGTCATTTCATGGTTCCACACATGTTATTTGCTCAGACGGAACATACCAGGTACATTGCTTGTGAGTATTAATTAATTTACAATGTTAGTGATCATCATACCTGGTAGGGATTAAACCCTGGCATCATTGGCATCTGTCCACCTTGCGGCCGATTGAATGGACCACCTTGTGGAAACATTTGACCCCCAGTTGCATTCGATGGGCCTTGCATATTTGGTAGGCCATTAGGAAAGCCCCCAACTGGAGGGGCAGCACTTGTGGGTAAGGGTCCAGAATGCATTGGATTCATGCCCATAAAATGGCCTTGTTGCATTGGAGGGACCATCTGATTCATTGTACCTTGCATCCCCTAAAAGTAAATGCGGGCATATTTAAAAATTACAGTGATTCAACAATAGTAACTTGTTCAGATGTTTTTAAAAGACTATTTCAAAATCTATTTCGCATTAAAAAGTCATGAGACCATCTCAGGTATGTAGAATCGAACAAACAGCAAAATTTGATAAAAAGCAAATAAGACATATTTAACATACCATTGGACCAGGCATTGGCATTGGATGTGATGTAGGCATTGATGAAGGTGCAGGCAAGGATCCTGGCATTGATTGAGGCATAGCATGAGGAGGCATTTGTGGCGGGCGAGATAACTGAGGATGAGGAAGCAGGGGTAAATGTGATGGAGGCTGTAACGGCCGCATATGTGGTGGTGGCAAAGGCAAATTGGGCATTTGCTGAGGGTGTGCCTGTTGTTGCTGCTGTGGCATCTGCTGAGGATTTTGTTGATATCCCTGCTGCTGATTGGCAGCAAGAAGAGATGGATGTGGACCAGGAGGTAGAGGAGGCGCTCCTAGAGGAATGGACATTGGAAGAGGCTGTTTCTGCTCTCCCTGAGCTGATGTATCAATAGATGGAATCGTTAATGGCATTGCAGCTCCAACACCCGGAATGGTTCCTTCATTTCGAGTCAATCCAGGAGGAAATGGTCCTGGTGTTGTTGGTGCTTCAGGAATAGGAAAATTGCCAGGCAAGCGGCCACCAAGAGCAGGGTTTTGTTCACCATAACCTGATAAATACACAGACTAAAACTTAGAAGCTAAACTTGGGTAAGTTCTAAATTAGTACCGTTTACTGAAGAGATTGTGGCTTGAAAACCAGTGGAAGTACCACAAAACGTGATCTAATTTTGTACAAAATATCATATAGCTTAATAGACCATGATCAGCAATGTTCTACCTTGGTTCTGACCCATGTTAAATTTATCCCGAGCAGTGTCTCCTGGCCTATTTCTGCACCAAAACTTTGTTGTATGATCATTGCTACCACTGCAAAAGATATTAAGAAAGTTAATTATGCACAGAGGTGGCAGAAGCTCATAAGAAATTCAGCCAAAAAATGATTGCAAACAGTTCATGTATTAATGTTTCCATTAATTTGCTAGTCACTGTACATCAGAACCTCACAATGCACATACACAAATGGAGTTTCCTAAACATATAGGATTTGTAGTTTCCAGATCTTATCAGTTCAGGATCGATATAGTCATATAGATAGGTAAAATTTATAAGCAACATCTCTCTGACCACTCCACCATAGACCATGGGAAGAAGAGTAGTCCTACAGCATCTATCCAACTATAGTTATGCAGCACTGATCAAAGTTTCCAGTCTATTAATCTGGATTGCTATTTCTTTATTTTTAAATTCATAACTAAAAGGGGGCGATGAAAATCAAATCTGAGTATTGAAGAGTCAAAGATTGGTTTCATCAACTAGGGTTGTTCTCCTTTCTTTTGGATTCATATGCTTAAAGGCCTTTTTCTTTTGTGTGAGCATATTCCAGTGTGGGTGCTCTAACATTAAATGAACAAAGCATAGACTACCAAAAATCATCATCATAAATAATAATATCTTTTACCTGCAAAGAAGATATCCAATAGGATGCCATGCAAGATCCCACACACTATTATCATGAGCACTAGGAACTTCAATCTGGGGAGTCTCGTGCCTGTATATAAATATGCAAGATTAATTCCAAGTTTATAATATTCAAAAAAAAAAAAAAGCAAATGGCATTTAGAAAGAAGCAAGCAAAAAAATAAAAAAGAAGAGAAACAAATTTGACAATGTTCCCCTTCCTACATTGTTTTCCTTTGAATAATGTTCCATGCATCACCAAAAAATAAGAGAAAATATACTAAACAGAAATTTGTCTGCTGAATGAAGAGCACAACGAAAACACCATAGATGAGGGCATACAACCAAAAGAACAACTAAGCCTTGTTCCCAATCAGATGAGGGAATGAAGTAAATAAATTGTATGAACAATGTTCAGCATGTGGAAAAAATTTACCCAACAATCCAGTGGAAAATGGACCCATCAAAACTCCCACTGACAAAATACTCCTCATGAAATGGATGCCAAGCCAATGCTAGAAATGATTGGAAAATAACAATATTAGTACTTCCCCAAAGAAATAACAGAACAACTATAGATGGAAATTGAAATAAAAATTGCCGTTGGTTTTACAAATATTATATATGCTTATGTCAATTAATTTAAGTGAAGTTCTGCTATAAATTATATCCAGTATTCATTAGTAATTTGTCCATATTAGCCCTTCTACTTTTGTTTTCTTTTTGTTCGAGGGATTGAACAAAATTTATCCATGTACACTATGCAATATATGAGAGCTGTTACTAACCAGTCACATCCTTTCGGTGCCCGCGGAAAGATTCAAGCTCCTTCATTGCCCTAATATCATAAAGCTGGGAATTCCAAGAAAGAGCATAAGGTAAACAAGGTCAGAGAAGGAAAGAAATTGCCATTTTGAAAGGGAGCTCCAAATTTAGGCAGAAGTTTGCAACCTTAATGATTTGATCCTTTGCAGCAGTTAGAATCCAGTTACCATTTTGATTCCATTTGACACAAAGCACTGTATTTTTGTGGCCATGACTGCAAAACACATGAACAGCTTGTCAAAGTGGCAGCAGGTCTGCTTATAATTGCCATTACGTTGCTTCTGAGTTTTGGCTTTTAGCAAAAGCACCCCATTGGATTCTATGGACGAAAGCCAAGAAAAAAAAGATACCTTTGAAATTATTTTTTTCCTTTGGGTACACTGGAGGGCCAATAGTATGACTAACACCTAACAACATTAGGCCAAGGCAGGCCGACTGTGTCCTTCTAAGGAATGTACAAGAAGGGTCCAATGGGCAACCAAAGTGTCCAAAAGAATGCTTTAGCTAAAAGCATTCAAATAGCAGAACCAAAGAGAGAGATTTACAGTAAAAAATGCTTGTAATCACAAAGTCAATTTTGTACTCACAATGAGCAAAGTTCTCTCCCACTTTTAGCATCCCAGAGTTTTACAAGGTTGTCTTTCCCACCTAAGATAGGCCAATTGCGGGCATTAAGAAAAGACAATGGCAACTTTTATGAAGTTCAATAAATACATGACAAAGTCTACGGCAGACCTGAAACAAGTAGAGATTTTGTAGGGTGCCAGTCAACACTCTTGACATCCCAACCATGGCCTGCCTGAGTTTAAAACAACCACAGAGAACACTAAGGTTAAACAAATACATGCAACACAGAAAGTCAACAATCATTCCATAAAATTGTTAGATTTCTTAAAGAAATATGATACATATAAGTAATCTTATGTTAATTGCCTATTGTGTATTCCATTGAGTAATAAGTTAAGAGTGGACCTACTCCCCCAAAGAGGGAGAGGGAAGGAAGGCCCATGATTAACATCTGACCTGCTAACCCTAAGAAGGGCAATAAATTGAACAAACCTTCCTATCACAATGTTAACCAAAAGATATATCTAACATTAACAAAAAAAGTATCTTGACTAAAAACACAATAATAAGTTCACAATAAATCTGCAAACAAAAAGCAGAATAAACATATAATACATGTCTAATAAAGCACGCATGGGCGAGACAACCACTATTTGATTCATAAGAAGGATTATGTCACACATAATTGCAGCAGAAGTCATAAACTGCTACCAGAGTCAGAAAAACCAATCAAATTTAAGGCAACAGAGTTATTATCACATCTAACAAGTAGTAAAAGCACATTACCAGTTAATGAACGCTCTTCATGGCATCGAGCAAAGTCCCATACTTTGACAGTAGTATCATCAGAGCAAGAACAGAATTTCAAATCTGTCCTACAGAAGCTGTTCAAAGAGGTGCACTGTGAGATGCTTCATTGAGAAAAGATCACAGAGAATAGTTATGAAGCAAATTATTACTTACCTTAAGTCACGAATTGATTCTTTATGAGCAGATTTATGTGCCTTAACATTATTCATGTTGCTCTGCCAGTACCTAAAAGTTGCTTTACATTAACATCAATAGCACATGGAAGAAAATATATCCATCCAAAACGAACTATATTTATAATAATAATAGCTAAAGCCAAAGGTAATGGAAATTGTAGGAGATACATACTTAATTGTACCACCATCATCACCAGAGATCATCCAGTTGTCATTGTGACTCCATACCATGGACCTGATGGCTTGATCATGCGCCTACACGTTGAAAAACGCATGAGTCATCAATCTGATTCTTACTTCAAACTAAATCTATGGAAGTATCAGATAGGTATAATCATGCACCTGTAGAATCATTTCAAAGTTAAATGATTGTCCATTCCAAAGAGTGAATTCACCGCTTTGAGAACCAGTGATTAGACGTCTCCCATTAGGAGTCCACTGACAATGAAGAACAGGTTAGGGATAAAAATATAAAGCTTAGTTAAAGCATTTTAGATACTTTAAGAATATATAATGCAACAAGTCAAATAGAAAAATGAAAAACATCAGAATCAAAATATCATTGGAAAACAAAAATAAAAATTTGGCATGCTTATGTACATCCAAGTTCACACACATGCCAACATATGCCAATATACATGCATGCACCAATTAAGAAGACCCAGTCTCACTCATGTTACACCAACTTACCCGCAACAGCTGTAGACTAAAGGTCTCAAAGCAGCCGATTAATAAATTAATCAACAAAGGTAAGTGGATAGTTTCTTTACATTTTCTTATCCAAATTATGGACAAGCACCAGTTTTAAGAAGAAAAAAAAATATTACAGACAAGCACCACCTAATCATTCAATTTTCCCCGATTTTAGTGCGTTTCAACAAGCTACCTACTTATCTAGTAGCAACTAGTTCTTTCTACTATTATCTTTACAGCATAGGCTAAAACTACAGAGGGAAAAACATGTTTGAATCCAAGTTACAACTATAGAAAGAAAGTTGAAATAGCCAATTTAAAATGTATATATAGATAGTTAATATCTTGAGCTGGAAAAGGTTAGCTACATAATCAAAAGAGTGAATTCCAACCTAATAAATATGATGCTTTTCAACACTTTGTTTTACAAAACTCTTCAGAGCTAAAATCAACAACAACTAATTGAAATGATATTCCAAATGAACTTCCAATTCAAAAGTTCAAATTTAGAGACAAAATTTATGGACTCTATTCTTCCCTTTTCTTTATTTTAGTGAGAAAGATTTCTTACTGCGATCGCAATTACTCCTTTACTCTCTGCTCAACAAATTCATTGTTAAAATTAATGAAACACCATAAGTAGATGACAGAAAACATATAAATATAATGATGTCAAAAATTTAATGTCAATCTGACATACCAAAACTCGATTAATTGAACAACGGTTCTTGTTAAGAGATGTATGAACAAATTTTGCAGCAAAGCTTGTTGATGGGTTATCAGAATAGGCAGCTGTTGGTAACATCTGCAACAAAGATCAAAGAATGAGGAAAATTTAGACATTATTAACAGAGGAATCAACTGTGTGAGAACGAATACTTAAGTCAAGCATATTTGAGGAAGTGATATTATTTACAAACAATCTTCACTAACATCGATTGCTGCTGCTGGAGTAGCCTGCAATACTGTCCTGTCCCTCGAATCTCGCTGCCACATACGAATCTGCATATAACGGACAACAGTGCTCGTATAATCAACTGCTCTCCTTTGTGTAAGCTTTCTCATTCTTTTTGCACCGAAATTATCTCCATGAGCTGCTACAACCATTCAATAGATAATATTAGAACTGCACATAGAATATAGCTACATTGTGTAGCTATGACTAATATAGCCAAAAAATGTACAATTAGAATCTGACTGTCGTAAGAAGGGGGAGGAGGGCCAGGAGCAGGAGCTGAAGGGTGGTGATAATCTGAGGGATTGAGAGTAGTTGAAGAGGCAGAAGGCTGTCGCATCATTGGTGCCGGTGGCGGAGGACCTCTGAGGAATTCGCCGCCGCCTGGCTGTTGCTGCTGTTGGTGTTGGTGTTGCGGATCACCATACATCATTGTTACTGCAAAGCTTAAAATGAAACAAATGTCTCAAATGCAGAGTTAGTTAGTGGATAAGAAACTCTGAAACCTAATTCATCTAAGAGGATATTGGTGTGCCGATAGTTATCAAGGCCTAAACCCTAATTTGGGTCACCGGTTCAAGGAGAGAGCGGGAAAGAAAACGCTTATAAGGTGGGACGGGAAAAATATATATAACCTTGGGTTTATTGCGTGCCGTGCACGTGCAGTGCCAAAAATCTATTTTACACTTGGAAAACGACGAGCCCTTGTTTGAAGACAAGAACCGGGTATGGTTGCAGAGAACGACCAATCGTTCCTTAACGGGATTCTATCAAACGACAAATGTTTCAATGCTATCCAAACAAGATTCAACCTAACAAATTCTTGTTTTGGTTCCAAGTCTTTCTTTTTATGAAGTACTATAATAACAAAACAAGTCTTTCTTTTTATATAATTCTTGTTATAGTTCCAAGTCTTTTCATTACCTCGTTTAAGTCATGAAATGACCTCTTTCAACGTGGCCTCTCTCGATATGCAACATTCGTTGAAGTTAATCTCAATCTCTTCATTGCATCAGTTTGCTCTTCTTTTTCTTCTTAGCGTTAATCATTTACATTCACAATAGCTTTGGCGAAAAAGAGAAAGCATGGATGCAGCCTTGGTTGGTGGATCATTTCTATCTGCTTTCCTTCAGGTATTGTTTGACCGAATGGCTTCCCGGAGGGTTATTGAATTCTTCAAGTGCCAAATACTCGATCGAGGATTGCTGGAGAAGTTGACTATAACAATGAACTCTGTTGAAGGAGTTCTTGATGATGCCGAGGAGAAGCAGATTACCAGACCAGCTGTGAAACGGTGGTTTGATAATCTCAAAGATGCTGTGTATGAAGCCGATGACCTGTTAGATGAAATTGCATATGAAGCTCTGCAACGATCAGAGATGGAAGCTGCTGCCTTTGAAACCAGCACAGGTCAGTTGAGGAAATCTTTCTCTTCTTTGAATTTATTTGAAAAGGGGAAGCATCTTCAAGCAGATTTAGGAGATATTCCGGAAAGACTGGAAAAGATTCTCGAGAGACTTGAATTTTTAGTGAAACAAAAGGATGCCCTTGCTCTAAAAGAGGGCATCGAAGGAAAACCATCGTCCCAGAAAATTCCTTCAACTTCTCTGGTGGATGAGTCTGTTGTTTATGGTAGGGACGATGATAAGGAGGCCATAATGAAGTTGCTATTATCAGATGATAGATATAGTAACAACTTAGGTGTGATTCCCTTCGTGGGTATGGGTGGGATCGGCAAAACCACCCTTGCTCAGCTTGTCTATAATGACAATAGAGTATGTGAGTTCTTTGATCTCAAAGCATGGGTTTGTGTTTCGGAAGAATTTGATATTTTGAAGGTAACAAAAGATATGCTTGAGGAGTTCAATAGAAAGAAATGCGATATTATAAATTTTAACCAACTTCAACTTGACATAAAGGAGATACTGATGGGAAAAAGATTTTTGCTTGTTTTAGATGATGTTTGGACAGATGAATACTCTGATTGGGACATTTTGCATACACCTTTGAAATTTGGGGCAAAAGGAAGTAAGGTCATAGTTACAACAAGGAATGAAAACGTAGCATCAGTAATGTGCACTTTTCCTTCTTATCATCATCTGAACGAATTGACTGATGACAGTAGCTGGTTATTGTTTGCAAAGCATGCATTTGATAATGGAATTTCAGGTGCGCAGTTGGAGTTGGAAAAAATTGGTGAAGAGATTGTGAGAAAGTGCAAAGGCCTTCCTTTAGCTTTAAAAGCACTGGGGCGACTATTGCGTGGTAAAAGAAATATTGATGAATGGGAAAAGATATCAAAAAGTAATATCTGGGATTTGGCAAATGACAAGATTCTCCCAGCTTTAAGGTTGAGTTATCATTATCTCCCATCACACTTAAAGAGATGTTTCGCTTATTGTGCAATATTTCCTAAGGACTACGAGTTCGAAAAAGATGAAATAGTTCTTTTATGGATGGCAGAGGGATTTCTAGAAGCAGAAGATGTAGGTGACGAGTACTTTCAGGATCTTGTATCAAGGTCATTTTTTCAACGCTCAAATGGTGACCAATCATGCTTCATTATGCATGACCTCATAAATGACTTGGCTAAATTGGTCTCTGGAGAATTTTGCTTCTGGTTAGACGGAGATAATTCTTGTAATATTTCTAGAAAGACGAGGCATTTATCATACATGAGAACACTGCATGATCCTTTTAAAAAGTTTGAGCATGTCTGTAAAGCTCAACATTTGCGGACCTTCTTGCATTTAGATGCTGTGCAGTGGTGGGGTAGTCACATTGATACCGAGGTAATTAAAGATTTATTGCCAAAACTCATTCGCCTAAGAGTTCTGTCCCTATCTCATTATAATAGAATCACTTTGTTGCCTGATTCAATTGGGAAATTGAAACATTTGCGATATCTAGATCTTTCTAAAACATCAATTAGAAGGTTACCTGAAACTATATGCAGTTTGTACAATTTGCAAACTTTAATATTGGCATATTGTGTGTTTCTTGATGATTTACCAACCAACTTCACCACCTTGATTAACCTATGTCATCTTGATATTAGTTGGACAATTTTGGGAAAGATGCCATCAGAAATGGGTAAACTAAGAAAGCTCCAAAAGTTGTCTGATTTTTTTCTAGGAAAGGATAATGGGTCCAGCATTAAAGAGTTGAGGCAACTGGAACATTTACAGGGCAAACTTCGTATTTGGAATCTTCAAAATTCTGTGGATGCTATGGATGCTTTGGGAGCTAATATAAAGGGTAAGAAGCACCTTAAAAAATTAGATTTGAGATGGGATGGCAGTGCTGATGATTCACAACGTGAAAGATGTGTACTTGAATCATTACAACCTCATACCAATTTGGAGAGTCTTTCCATATTTGGTTATGAGGGTACAAGATTTCCAGTGTGGGTAGGAGATCCATCATTCTCAAACTTAGTATCCTTGAAGTTAGATGGATGCAAATACTGCTCTTCCATACCGCCACTTGGACAGTTAGTCTCTCTGCAAAAACTATCAGTTGCAGACTTTCATGGAATTCTGATTATTGGTCCCGAGTTCTATGGCAGTTGCATGTCTATTAAGAAGCCATTTGGATCTCTTAGAACTTTAAAGTTTGAAAGGATGCCAGCATGGCTAGAATGGACTCCTCATGTAGCTGAAGATGAAGGTGGAGCCTTCCCTCTCCTCCAAGAGCTTTACATTAGAGAATGTCCCAACCTAATGAAGGCCTTGCCTGATCACCTTCCATCTTTAACAACATTGGAAATTAAGGAATGCCATAAGCTCGAGCCCTCATTTCCAAGGGCCCCAACCATTCGTAGAATGAGTTTTGAGGACCATTCTCGTCGTATGGCCTTAAGTGACTTGCCTTCTGGGCTGTATCGTCTCCAAGCTGATGCAGTTTACAGCTCCATAGATTCCCTAGTAGAAGGAGCAATGCAAGCATATGAAAATTTCATCACTTTAGAAGAAATTGAAATAAAAGAATACTATTCACTCAGGTGTTTCTCATTAGAGTTGTTCCCAAAGTTAAAGAGACTTGATTTAGGGAGATGTAGAAATTTGAAGTCATTTTCTTTGCCAACAGGATTTTCCATGTTAAGTCTGACAGAGCTTTATTTATGGAATTGCTTCAATTTGAAGAGGCTACCTGATCATTTGCACCGCATCCTGCCATCTCTTGTGAAACTACGAATAGGTGAATGTCCAAAACTTGAGTCCTTTCCTGAAGGGGGTTTACCGTCCAAATTAGAATCTCTTGAGATCTCATGCTGCGAGAAACTCATTGCTAGCCGCCTGCAATGGAAGTTGCAGACACTTCCCTCTCTTACATACTTGAGTATTGATCGGTGCAATGACTTGGAATCTTTCCCAGAGGAAATGCTGCTGCCCTCCACACTTACCTGTCTTAAAATGAAGAATCTTGAGAAGCTGAAATCTCTGGATCACCAGGGGCTTCAACACCTGACCTCTCTTAGAGAAATGACTATCTGGAAGTGCCCTCAGCTCCAGTCCATGCCAAAAGAAGGATTTCCTGACTCTCTTTCTTCTCTAATTATATGGGATTGCCCCTTGTTGTCACAGAGATGTCAGCAGGATGGTGGGGAATATTGGCCCAAAATTTCTCACATCCCACACTTAGAGATTGATTGTGATGCTAAAACTCCGACTCAGTTCTGATGATTCTGCATTGCTTCTGTTCTATTCAGGTATTGCTAATTAGAGTTTCAACTTTCAATTAAAATTTTTTCATTTCCTTTTCTCCCTCTTCCAGTAACTGATTTATTTATTCTGTAGGAAAGACAAAGATTACAAATTTATAGACAAACAGTATCTTTTATTTACTTGATGAATCTCATTGTCAATTGTCAGCATTTTTGCTTAATGACATTGTTCATTCCTGTGCTTTCTATCTAAGCCTCCGTTTGATTCTGTAAAATAACTTACAGCAAAATATTTTCCACAATTTTTCGCTGTTTGGGGCGTTCAGGAAAATAAGTTAACAGAAAATATTTTTCTAGTCAAAGGAAAATTAAGTCATTTTTTAAGAAAAACAATTTTCCAGTCTCGAGAGAGTAAAACATTTTCCGGACATTGTCAAACCTTATAAATCTATATTTTTTAATTTATTAATCATTTTAGTCACTACCACCAATTATCATTTACCACCGGCCACCGGCGGTTTTCATAATTTATATATATATATATATATTTTTGTATTCTTCTTATATTCCTGTATGGCATCACTTATTATCATCAAAGAATTTTCCACAATTTTTTCACGTGCTGTTTGGGCCGTTCATGAAATAAGTTAACCAGAAAAGTGTGTGTGTGAGGTCAAAGGGAAAATTTAAGTCATTTTTTAAGAAAAAACAAGTTTCCAGGTCTTCGAGAGAGTAAAACATTTTCCGGACATTGCAAACCTTATAAATCTATATTTTCTTTAATTTATTAATCATTTTAGTCATACCACCAAATTTATTCATTTACCACCGGCCACGGCGGTTTCATTAAATTTATATAGCTATATTATTATATATTTTTTGTATTTCTTCTTAATATTTAATAATGAAAATTTTAAATTATAAAATTTTCTGATTATATTATATTTAATGAAAATTTTAAATTATAAAATTTCTATTATTATTAATATTTTTTATAGTTTTATGAGATAAAAACTTTAATATTTTTAACTAATTTTTCAATCTTACAACCCAATAAAGGAAAACAAGTCATTTGAAAAATATTTTTCTAAAAAAACTGTTTTCTGTTAAAATATTTTTTCTAAAGTTATTTTCCTGCAAGTTATTTTACAGAAACAAACGGATACTAAATTTATGTGGCTAATAGCTAATGTAAACTTTGAATATCCAAGTCATCCTCTATTTCTATTCTTTTCAAGTTCAGGATCCTCTACACATTGGAGAGTTTCAACTTCGATTATTTGCTGTTCCAATTGCAGATAGGCAAGGTTGATGAACAGGCAATGAAAGAGCTTCTAGCATAAGTCTCATTGCGGTGCCAAAACCAAAGCATGTGAAACGTTCATGGCTATTTGATTTAGCTTTTTCGTGATACTTAAATGGTGATAAAAAATGGTGACTGAAATATAAATTTTTATTATTGCATTAGTCTAAAAAAAACACTAAAAGGATATTTATATTTTTTTAATAAATAATAATAAATTATATTTATTCTTTGTAAAATAAGTTACTTGTAGGATTATAATTTATAATCAAAATATATATATACAAAAAAAGAAATATCTTGGCATTTCCAATTACATTGCAAACAATGAAAAGTAGTTGCTATAAATAACATTAATAGAGAGAGAGAGAGAGAGCAATTGGAAATATATTCCTAATTAAAATTCCAATAATGGAATATTTAAATCAATGGGTAACATTTGTTTGGATTTATAATTCAATTTAAAAGATGAAGCCCTAGATTTCAAATTCCCAAAAGGAATTGGAATTAAACCACATAGAAAAATTTATAAAAAGAGAAGTAAATTAATTCATTTTAGAAAAGAAATAAGATTATCCAAATATGGTAAAATAAGATTTTTCACATCTATTTAGATGAACAATTGGTCAATAAGTTGGTAATACCTTATACACTAATTTCAATAATTATTCTAAAAAAAATAAAATAAAACTAGATTTAAATGCATCAAATAAAAATAAAATAAATGAGATTACATCAATCTTGCATAAAAGATTTAATTTCACCACTCAACAATAATAAAATTAATTAAACTTGTAACTTCATCTTAAAATAAATAATAAATAAAAATAAACTTTAACTTCAAATTACTAGTTGGGTCAACAACATAATACCATTTATGAATAACATAATTGTCTTGTACATTACTAATTTGCTTATTCATAATAATTAGGGTAAATAAATATAGATGTAAAGTAAATTCACAAATGTAACATTATCCTCTCTTATAAAAGGAAATAAAATTATTATTTACCACAAGTGAAAATTGAATAGGAAATAAAATATTACTCTGTGGATAAAGATAAACAATGGATAACCATGAAATAGAAAATTATAAAGGTTATTTTCTTTAAAAACAAATATAATTATAATTAACTTGCCTTTTTTAAATTTATATTATAGATAGGTAATTATTAAATAATTAATATATATTTATAATTTTGATATCCTTTCTTTTCTTATTGATTTGTGATTGTTTTTCCTTAAAAAAATTTTTTTTTTCAAAATGTTATATGATTTACTAATATAACGTGTTTGTATCATGATTTTATATATAATATCAGTGAATTTTATCTTTTATTTTATTAATAATAAATCTTATAATATGCTCTTTAATAATAAATAATAAATATTTATTCTTTAAAAAACAAATAAGGGAATAATTATAATCAATTAAAATAAAAATTTATTTATATTATTACTATATTTAATATATATCTTATATAGTATAATATAATCAATTAAAATCAAATCATTAAAGTATTATATTCTTATTTTATTTAAAATATAATTTATTTATTATATAACGTAATTCCTTAGTTGTCTAATAAATTTTAGATTTAGAAATTAAAATCAAATTATTTTATTTTTTGAACTAATAAAATTTTTTATGCAAGATATTATACTTTTACTATATTTAGTATATACTTTTTATAGTGTATAATTTATTATTTTCTCTAATAAAATTTATAATTAAATATAAAATTATATATATATGCTATCAATTTTTAAATACATAAAAAGGATAAGTAATAAAATAAATAAATAATCTCCAAGATAAATAAGCAAAAAAGCAATTACTATTTAGAAAGCAAAAAACATTCACCAAATTCAAACAAAGCGAACCGCGTCTTTTAGACCAAAAAGCAAGGCGGGGCTGTGTGGGGTCTGATCTCGGGCCCACCACCTCCACCTCCACCACCCGCCTTCTTAACCTGTCCATCTCCAACACAAAAGTTCACACTTATTAAAGCTTCTCTCTCTCTCTCTCTGTCTCTCTCTCTCTCTCTCTCTCTCTCTCTCATGTTCTTTCTTTTTTTTTCTTTCTTTCTCTGCAACGAACAGTAATAAAATATATATGTATATATATGTATTCTTGGCTTTATACCCACGCCTCCAAAATCACCTCCTCCACATTTTTCTCTCAAAAAGCTAAAAACTAAACCCAAACCAACACCAAACCAACACCGAAAAAAAAAAAAAAAAAAAAAAAAAAAAAAAAAACAAACAATCCTCACATCTTTCTCTCTTTTCCTCAAAAAAAAAAAAAAAAAACAAACAATCCTCACATCTTTCTCTCTTTTCCTCTCTGTCTATCTGGAAGGAAAAATCAAGGAAAAAGTAACCAAATACACCGAAAACAACACAATCTGCATCAACAGGAAACAAGAAACAAACCCAGTTTCATATTATAAGATAATTTTCTGTCCTTCACCTACCTTCAAAAAGCTACAAAATAATCCGCCCCAATTGTTTTTCTTGTTGCCGGAATTTCTTCCGTTCATCAGAATCATCATCGGATCATTTGCAGCCTCGAATTGAACGGTTAGGGTTGTTTCTTGTTTTCTTTATTTTAATCTTTGGTTTCGGTTGGTAATTAAAGTCTTGATTTTTGACAACCCTTTTGTAAGGTCAAGATCGTTTCCATTTTGATCTTTCAAAAGAAACCTTTCTTTCTAACCCAGAGAACAGAGAGGGAAAACCCTAATCATTTAATTTTGTTATTTCTTGAGCTGCATCGATGGCAGATTTCGAAAATAACAAGGAATTCGCTGGTAAATCGAAAACTAGCACCATAGCCTCCTCTTTCTTTAACCGTTCCCTTACAATTCACTCGACAAAATCATCAGCCATAGATTATCTTCATTCTCCCTCCTCAAGATTATACAATTCCTTCGAATCCATGAAAGGGAAGGTTAAAAAGCTACGAAATTTATTTGAACCATCAAAATCCCCCAAATCAATCCTCAATGAACACCAATCCCAATTACTTACGCAAGCCAGCAAGCTTAAATCCGTGAAATCGATGGGGCCTGAATATAGTAGGTACTCTCTTGGGTACCTCAATAGCGGAATAAAATTACCAGGTACAGAGGATAGAATTGTGGTTTATGTCACTAGTTTGCGTGGGGTTCGAAGGACTTATGAGGATTGTTACGCAGTTAGGATGATATTTAGAGGGTTTAGGGTGTGGATTGATGAGAGGGATATCTCCATGGATTCAGCTTATAGAAAGGAGTTGCAAAGTTTGCTGGGAGAGAGTTTTGTGAGTTTGCCACAGGTGTTTATAAGGGGAAACCATATGGGTGGAGCTGAGGTGATTAAGCAAATGTTTGAGACTGGTGAATTAGCCAAGATTCTTGATGGGTTTCCAAGAAGACAAACGGGGTTTGTTTGTGAAGGATGTGGGGATGTGAGGTTTGTTCCGTGTGGAAATTGTAGTGGCAGTAGGAAAGTGTTTGACGAAGACGAAGGGGTGCCTAAGAGGTGTTTGGAGTGCAATGAGAATGGGTTGATTCGTTGCCCGGATTGCTGTTCATGATCTTCCTGCTGTACACATATGATTTGGTGTTTGGTTTTGGATGTTTTTTTGATGTATGTATGAATGTGGATGATGTATTAAGGGTTGAATTCAAAATATTGCTATTTGGATTCATGGGCTTTTTCCTTTCTCATTTTATTGTTGTATGATCATCGGTTAGGGGATCGGTGTTCATTTTTCTGTGAAGAGTGTCATGAGAAAATAATGGTCTGTGTTATCAAAACATCAAACTTGTTTGCGTGTTTTGCTAATAATTTATTCAAGGAGAGACTTTCTCCTTTATGGCATTGTAAATATTTAGTGGAAATGTAATGCAAAAAAAGAACAAAAAAGCCAATGTCCAATGGATGGATTGTAATGAGAATGGGTGTGTTTTATTCCCTATCATTTTGTTTTATCCTTAGTTGCTTTAGTTGCTGATTTTCATTTTACTAATGTTGTCCAACATTAGCATGAATGGTGTGCCAATGACTATAGATCAACCCAAACTTTGGTCTAGGTTGTGTTTGTGAATTGGTCACCATTGATGTTCAGTTTCTTCTGAAATGCTCTGTGATGTAATGAAATTTAGCAATTTACCTATTTATATTGTGCTTTATGGGGAGAACACTGAATACTCCGATGTAAAAAATGTTTGCTTTCTCCAAGAATGGATTCATTTGATTTCTTTAATTCACCGTAACCTTGTGTTTTTGTAGTTCTGCTCAGAATCATCCCTCTGCAGCTTCAAAAATGTTTACTTTTTTTATTCCCTTCCTTTCTTTCAATCTATTAGAACTGATGTTCTCTTCTTATCTGTAAAATATGTAGGATGTCCTTGTCAAATTACTTTCTTGGTTTGGTGGCATTTCTTTAAGGTCATAGTCTTCGGTTAACTTGTACCTATCTGAACTTCTTTAATGATTTATATATCAGAGCAGTTTTGACAGACCCGTAGATTGATCACCTTATCTTGAATTATGTCTTCTCCATTATGAATTTAAAGGTGATTTATGTGTGTCTTTTACCGTTCAAAATTTTTAAAGCGAAAGGGTTTATGGTCCAATCAAAATTTTTGGCCGTTGGACTTGGGACTTTGTTTGCTTTCGTTGAATGGTAGTAATTGTCCAGCTAATTCTACGGTGGCTACACAGTTCTAGATAAGTACATTTGAAATCTCTATATGTAGATAGGGGCAATCATCAAGCCAAGAATTAATGCCATTCAAAAATTTTCATATATCCCATTTACATTTTCAGATTGAAATCTGAACTAGGAAACAGTTAAAGCCTAGACTTTCTCAAAGACACGCGAGGCTAACGAACTCCCAACTTTTATCTAAAATAAAAGACCAGAAATATGTTAACCACCATTTAAGAATCCAGCACTAAAATTACCTTTCTCATGATCCCATGCTAGCTTAAATTTTGCATCTTTGTTATATAATATGCGGAGAGATAAACTTGCGCGAGAGCCAGAGAGCGCCATTGCTTAGTTTAGTTACAGATACTGTTTTCGTTTTTGAGCAACTAAAGAATTTAACAGATTGTTCAAATTTTGATCCACAATAACACGTTTCCGTCTTATAGCCAAAACTTTCTTCCATGAAAATTGAATCACACATGACATCGTTCACAACTTTTTATCTGATTAATGGAATTTCTGTTACAAATTTATCGTTTACAACTAAAGAATTTTGTTGATTGCTGAATGCCTTTTCTTTTAAGAGCTAAAGTTCTATAGACAGAAAGTCTATCGGCATTTCTAAAATTTATGAAAATGAGAAGAGCGTATAAAAAAAATCAGAATATTCATTTCTGTTTTTCATGTCTATTAAAATTAATATTCTGCAATCATCATGCTTACTGGAGGATTTTGTGTGTTTTGTGGTTATTATCAGGAGAGCTGCAAATACTAAACTGAACGCTGATTTATCCATCAGGAACAAAGTTTAGCAAAGATGGCTAATTACATTCTCATAACAACAGAGTTGCAAGCAAACCAGCAAATTTAGTGCGCTGGAGCTGCTTAACTCGAACGACATTTGGAGTCGTGCTTAGTGACTAAAAACTTTACATAATATCCACAAAATCATCAAGAAAAATCCTACGGTTCCCTGTCATTCGATCTTGATAGCAAAACAAGGACTATATAGCAGTAGCAAGGCTAAACATTCGCTACTTTTATGCATCATCCGGTTTATAAGAATATCAGTTGAATCATATTTTGGGAGCATCTCCATGCTAGCTATTGAGTAAGAGGAACACATTCAAGTTCAATCTCTAGCACCCCCCTCTCGACATTCTGGAGCCTGAGGGTTATTTCTTGCTTTACCATCCCATCTACTAAATTGATGATACCATCTGTCACTAGAGTGTTGTCCTTGCTTGCTACCCACTTACCAAGTTGCATTGGCTCATTGATTGAGGAAGTTTCATAGGCTTTGGCAGCAGAAACCAGAGGTTGAATGTCAATCTCAGCCTCACCCATAAAGTCATCAGTTGAGAAAGTATCCTTATCATAGACAAGCTGCATATAGTCCAGAACTTTTTAAGTAACATTTTTCGACCAATAAAAAGATCAAAGACTCTGCAGTAACCAAAATTTGAAGTAACTTACAAATTCAACTTACCACTTTCAGAGGAGGAATGTGTTCTGGGATCGACAACATTAGACTTTCATTCCAGACTGGATTCAGATTGTTCTTTATGACACGTGTTCTCACTGACTGCAACAAGAAATGGCAATAAAGAGCACAAATTAGCAACACAGCTCATCATAATTATAATGCTAATAAGATCACAAGAAAAATAGGCTTACTTGATGACCCAATGCAAGGATGACGTATGGATCGCTTGTTACCACATCCCTCACTGCTAAATTAGTTCCTTTGACAACATTAACCTTGATTAAGCCAACAAATTCAACCATCCCTGCCTATAAACAGAACAATTTCAAGCAAGAAATCAGATTTTTTTTCTGTGGTGAGCTTCATACAAGTCCATATTGAAGTAGGAAATGATTACCGTCATCACCATTGAGTTGCTCTTCTTTGGGTTCTTGTACTCAGCATCTTTTCTTCCCCAGCTGTTACGAAATGCATGTCCAATGCGATGCCTTGTTGCTTGCTTGTCAAAGTGTTTCTTTTCTTGAGAAGGAGGGAGAGCCTGGGAAGATGATGCAGTTCGATGGGGCCGATATGGGCAGATCATTTGTTCAGGAGAGTACACAAATTGTTGTTTCTCATATTTCTTCCTGAGTATTCAGAGAGTAAAAGGATTGTGTAAGTTGTTGAATGAAATTAAGGTATGATTAGTTGATGTGCCAACTAACATTACCTAATGAAATCAGTGCGCTCCTCTATAGTGGCATCTGGCTTTGGTTTTCTGTAATCATCTGGAAGGCAAGCTTCATATTTCTTGATTGCTACATTATTGCCACCCAATTCAATGAAACTAGCCACCTGGTCATCTGTCCACTCATCTAGCTTGATTGATAGAACCTAGCGCAGGATAGGACCAATGTTAGAGATAGGACCAACGTTAGAGCATCAGCATACCAAATCAATATAGGGAAGAGAAAAAGCAGCAAAAGGAAAAAAAAAAAAAAAAAAAAAAAAAAAAAAAAAAGAGCATCAGCATAACCAAAATCAATTATAGGGAAGAGAAAAAGCCAGACAAAAGGAAAAAAAAAAAAAAAAAAAAAAAAAAAAAAAACAAAAAAAAAAAAAAAAAAAAAAAAAAAAAAAAACATAACCTTTGCCGAAAACTTTTCACAGATGAGGTATATTTTCTAAAGTACATTACTGCTTACTAAGATTCAACAAATGCTCACCAAGAATACAGAATAAATAACTGAGCATATAAAAGAAACCACACCTTTGATATATGTACTCCAAGGCTTCTATGAACACCAGAACACTTGATACAAATAAATACTCCAAGGTTGAAGGACCTGACACGCATGATATACAGTCAATAATAAAACCAATCTACTGTTTGATTAAGCGAATAAAGCTAGATATGGAAGAAAAAACAAAATTTTCTTGTTCAACTTTAACGACTTACACCCATTTTGGATCTGGTGAGCCACAATCTGCACAAATCTTATTTGCATTTTGATTCAGCAGTTTCTCTAGTTTTTTTTGTGGACCTTATAAAATAAAGAAAGTTTGATTACGTAATTCCAAATAGATTAAGGAAAGAAACGATTTTTAGAACAAATAGATTTGGACAAGGAATTTTGAGGATTACCAGATTTGTGTCGTTCCTTCTTGGTCCAACTTTGTTTTTCTCCAACAAAGAAATCTTGCAGCACGTTAGCTGATCCTACAAATGGGAATTTCAAGGATCATTCAAGTTTCAGGATAAAAACTTCATAAAGTAACATCATCATTGCATTTGTTTACCATAAAACAAACCATTTAAATTAAATTTCGAAATAAGCCTTGTAATTATTATGTTGCAGGGAATAAAATTTATCTGTATATTTAAAGTTATTTGCAGAAAATTATTCATATGATAAAAGAAGATTACCATCAGAATTCTCCTGTCGCATAGACATCTCCAGCTTTCGAGGGATAACTAAAAACTTACAAATTATCAACAGCCATTCATTGCCTTCTCCTCTGCATTCAATGACCTTAATTATTACAAACCAACAGAAGAAGAGGTAACATGTTGAAGAAAGTAAGAAATGCCAACAACATTAAATTGTACGAACAATTGAAAAAGAAAAAAGAGAACAAAAATAACAGGGTCCTTACATATATATTAAAAAAGAACCCTGAATCTGTTTCCCTGCATCAAACGTGTTGGAATTCAAAGTCAATCATATTGATCTTGAAAAGAAAAAGAAAAAGGAAATGATAAAGAACAAGAATCCAAGAAAAGGTTCTCACAAGAATTTGAGAAAGAAAGACAGCCAATTCCAAAACAAAAAATTGGAATAACTATGGCTGGATGGAATTTAGTTGGATGAGAAACGGATTTTTTTTTTTGGGAAGTAAATAAAATAAAGGATTGAAAAGAGGAATGAAATGGCTATGATTAGAAGAACAGTAATGTTCTTTCCACCTGTGATTGGATTTGGATATCGTTAGTTTTCAAGTTGTCTTTTATTTTTATTTTTATTTTTTATTGTTGGAGGTTATTTTATTTTCACTGCCACCAAAGCCAAATAAACAATCAGATTTTTGGGGAATGACTTTCAGGTCGTTGGTTTACCAAAAATGCTTATTCCACGCGCTGCTTTAGCCCGTGGATGACTGTTTAATTGGATAAATATTTTATTATTGTCGAAAAAATTAATTAGGCATTTCCTTCATTTCAAAACTTCAATTTTCTTGCAAGAAATTTTTTTTTAAAAAAGGGAACAAGGACAAGGATTTCCCGGGCGCGTGGAATTGGAAATAAATGCACGTCAAGTCAAGTTTAATTTCTCCGTGTCGCACGTGTCGTTTGTTTGAGTCCGCGTTGGCTTGCCGACAACCCGAAACGTGGTTTTGGGTCCCGTTAGGAGCATACAAATACTCCGTAAAACACAGTTCCGACAGTAGGACTCGTAAAACTTAAACGCGCATTGAAATTTATTTGTTTGTTCGTTTTATATATATTGATGACAAAATTTAATTTTTTATTTTTCAAATAGTTAATTAATATACTATATGCTCTAGCTCCATGACATGACGTGTGTTTTTTTTTTTTTTTAAATACTACAAAGGAAAATTTATTATTTGGTTTTTTTTAATAATATAAAACTGTCTACTAGCATTTTTTGAAATATATTATTATATTTTACTTTCGTTATATTTTTTTAACGAGTGCCAATATTATAAAAAATAAAACTAATATTGCCAAAGTCAAATTAATATCAAATCAATGTGGTTATATTAATTGCTATTTTCTTTTTTATTTTCACTCCTTTCCAAACAGAGTGTTAAAGAAAAAAAAGATTCTGAGTCATGTTCGCAGAAAAAAATTCAAACTTGAAAGTCACGCTTGGCCTTTGAGGAGTTGAAAGGGCAGAAGAGAAGACAAAGTCGTCTTCGCGCTGTGATCGTTTAATCAAGAAAACCTATCTCTGATTATCTCTTCTTTTATACCCTTTATATTCAGAAGTTACAATGCGTCTTCTTGATTTTGAAATTTCCTCTAAAACACCATAATTCTAAGAAGATCGATCCACAAGCAATTGATTTTCTTGCTTGATTTGTCTCCATGGCTTCGCGATCTCATGTAGCATTGTCCACTGATCAGCTAGACGATTCAAACAGAGACGACAGCTTATTAGATCGCAGCAATCGACGTTATCAAAAAGAAATCAAGGTAGATATTTAATCATACAAGATCAATTGCTTTTCTTTAATTTTATGAAGCAATTTTATTGATTGAATTTCTTCTGTAGGAATCTAATTTCGAATTCGGATGGGCATTTGTTCTTATAAATCTGGTTTTGGAAATGCTGATACTGACATTCGATCAAATGGCATCGCTGCAAGAGCCTCAATATGGATTGGTGGTTTGGGGATTGTGCTTTGCGATGATGTTAGTTTGTGCATCTGAGCTGATTTATAAAGGAATAATAAAGGAAAAGCTTAGTATATTACAATGCTTGAAATCTCTGCTTCCATGTTCTTCTTCAGGTAATCAAAAGAATCCATATAGTTTCTTTGATGGTTTAATCCTACTGGGTGCCAAGATTCAGACTGCTTTTGCAAGCATTGGTTATGGCTATTTACTTCAAGGGAAAGACAATCCAATCAAAGTGTCTTTTGTATCCCTCATTTTTCTTGCATTCTTCCTATTTGCCAGATTTTTTAAGAACAGAAAAGAAGCAACCATTCTTCCAGCTTAGAGGCTTTTCTTGAACTAACTGCATTGAGAATTATACCTTGTTTGTTTGCTTCCAAATTGATTGCCATTGATATATATTATTAATTTCTATAGCTAGTTAGCAATTTGACAGAAAAAAGAAAACTCATGTAGACAAATTACTTTAATCTATAAATTTTATTGTTGCTTGCCTAGTTACCTCCATTGTTGGATTTTCTTTTTCTAAAAATCTGTTTGAATACACCATAGTGTGTCATAAAAAGGAAATAAATGAGTGAAGAAGATAACAAAGACACAAGGGAGGACGGCCAAGTGGCATTAGTCGCGAGAAACGAACGAGATATTCTATATGCGTAAAGGAAAAATGACAAGAAAGAGGAAGGGATTTGGTTTATTAGGTTTTTTTTTTTTTAACTTCTTCCTTCCAAGGATCAGATCAGAGTATCTCTCTCTGGGTTTTGCTTTGTATTTTGACAAATGCAACGTATGAACCCCACTTTTGAATTTTAGCCAAAAAGACCCCATGTACCAATGAATAGCTTGAACTTGAAGAAAAGTTTTTTCCTAAAATTATTTTTGCGTTTCTTTTACTACTTGATTTGGTTTATCTAATAGTGGGTTTTTTTTATGCATTTCATGTCAATCTCAAATCTCAAATTAAGCTAAAACTGTGCTGGGAACAATTTTTTAAATCAGAAAATATTATGGATTATATAATAGAATAATTTTCTCGTTTATTCATCAAATTCATTTGACAACCGAGAAGACTCTCTCCCTCAAACCCGAGACCTCCCACAATAAACAAATTCATTTGACAACCGAGAAGACTCTCTTGAAGAAAAGTTTTTTCCTAAAATTATTTTTGCGTTTCTTTTACTACTTGATTTGGTTTATCTAATAGTGGGTTTTTTTTATGCATTTCATGTCAATCTCAAATCTCAAATTAAGCTAAAACTGTGCTGGGAACAATTTTTTAAATCAGAAAATATTATGGATTATATAATAGAATAATTTTCTCGTTTATTCATCAAATTCATTTGACAACCGAGAAGACTCTCTCCCTCAAACCCGAGACCTCCCACAATAAACAAATTCATTTGACAACCGAGAAGACTCTCTTCTCGAATCCGAACTCGAGACCTCCTATTAATATTTTTACACATTTGTCTTGTTACTTTATAACTTCTAGCTCAGCCACAGTATAAAGATATGTTAATATATATTTTCAAAATCAATGTTGAAAAGAAAAAACAAAACTGACCCAGCATAAAGGCGTTTCCTCAATCTCCGGTCTTTAACGCAACATAGAAAAGAAACCCCCACCCGCCTCCACGCCCCTATACAAACATCCGTTTTCCATTACTTTCTCCCACTGAAAATTCCCACTTCTCTTCACTCACTCGTTCACTGTCTCCGCCACCAATATCATCAATGGAGTCTCTAATCCTCCAGCTCCACGAAATCTCCGCCGTCAAATTCGGCAACTTTAAGCTAAAATCCGGAATCACCTCTCCTATCTACATCGACCTCCGTCTCATAATCTCTTACCCGAATCTACTCCGCCATATTTCTCAAACCCTAATCTCCTCTGTCTCATCCTCCGCCTCCTTCGACCTTATTTGCGGCGTCCCTTATACCGCTCTTCCTATTGCTACCTGCGTTTCTCTCTCTAACAATATTCCCATGGTCATGCGCCGCAAGGAGGTTAAAGACTATGGCACTGCGAAAGCCATTGAAGGAGTTTTCAAGGATGGCCAGAAGTGTCTTATTGTTGAGGATCTTGTTACTAGTGGAACCTCTGTTCTCGAGACTGCTGCTCCTTTGCGTGCTGCGGGAATGAATGTGACTGACGCTGTCGTTTTGATTGATAGAGAGCAAGGTGGGAGGGAGAATTTGGAGATGAATGGGATTAAATTGCATTCGATTATTAAGTTGAGTGAGATGGTTAGGGTTTTGCGGGAAAAAGGGAAGCTTGATGAGGAAATGGAGAAAATGGTTATGAAGTTCCTAGAAGAGAATAAGAAGGTTGCAGCACCAGCTATGGAGAAAGTTAGGGTCAAAGCTTTAAAATTTGAAGACAGAGCTAAGCTGGCAAGGAATCCAACTGGGAAAAGGTTGTTTGAAGTTATGGTTAAAAAGGAGAGTAACTTGTGTTTGGCTGCTGATGTTGGTACTGCTGCTGAGTTGCTTGACCTTGCTGAGAAGGTGAGTATTTATGTTGATGCAAATGTTTGGACCATAAATTTTTCTTCTTTATTTTTTTTAAAAAAATAACGTGGACTAATTTTTATTGTTGTTTCAATTGTAGGTTGGACCGGAGATTTGTATGTTGAAAACCCATGTGGATATATTGCCTGATTTCACTCCTGATTTTGGGTCAAAGCTTCGCTCGGTATTTCTCTAAAGTGCATAATATTTCAAAATAGTTACTTTGACACAGTCTTCTTTTTTGTTGTTATTCTTGTGAAATATATGCCATAGGGATTGCTTTTATTTGAGAAGGCATGCATACTGCTTGATAGCCTATAGAGTTATGGTTTGATCAATGTCATGACATGCTCATATTTTCTCCTGAACCCTAAGTAGGGCTAAATGACAAAAAAATAAAAAAATAAAAAATAAAACCTTACACTTTTTTGACAATTTTGATTAATTCTTTTAATTTTGTTAATTAATAGTTTGTATTTTATTTTCATAGTGATTATGGCCTTGATATGACTATGCTAATTCAGTTCAAGGCGTCATTAAAAATGATAATGTGGTCTTACACATGACAAGTGAGCCAATATGTGAGTACGTGTTACATGTAGGGCCAATATTGTCAGGTATAATGGCAATATAAACTAAATTTGAAGGGCAATCATATGAAAGTCACAATAGTTATGAAAAATACAAAACAAGGTATTGGTTTATAAACCTAAAAGAATTAAGGATTCTTTTTTGTCATTTGGCTTAAAGTTAATGCATTTACAAAATATCAAAATTCTTTTAAATCCTTAGGATAATGAGCATATTGTTACAGCCTTCATGTACAGCAACGTGGTGTTAGGATATCTTGCTTTCCTTTTCAAAACATATCTTATTAAGAACACTAGCTCCCTCTATTGGAGCTTTTGTGCTGCTCTTGTAATGCACAGCTTAAATAAACACACACTACCGGCATTATAAAGAGATGGTCTGTGGCTATACTCAGCAAAAAAGTCTCTCAACCTTTCACCTTTATTTTTAAATATATACCCTATACCTGCTGAATTCAAATTATTATTTTCAATAATTACCTTTAAAGTTTCATCTTATCTCTTCATTTTTATGATCAGTCTTGGTAACAGAGGATATTAAATAGTTGGATGCCCTTCTTTCTCTAATTATTTGGCAATTTATGGAATTTCATAACTAACTTCAAGCTCTCTGTCTCTGGTAAACTGAAGATTGCAGACAAGTACAATTTCTTAATTTTTGAAGATCGCAAGTTTGCAGATATTGGTAACACTGTGACAATGCAGTATGAGAGGTGATTTTCAAATGCCATGTTGGCCTTTTAGTATTTTCATTTTTCCTGTTGTAATTAGTATCCTTGCGCCTGCCTGATGTTTCCTGTACCTATTGGTCGCAGTGGTGTCTTCCATATATTGGATTGGGCTGATATAGTTAATGCACACATTATTTCTGGTCCTGGAATTGTGGATGGACTCAAATTGAAGGTTTGACACAGCTGCTCAACTTTTTATATCACACCTGATCCATATCTAACATTTATATGTTTTTTAACTCTGTTCAGGGTTTACCCTGTGGTAGGGGCCTGTTGCTGCTTGCAGAAATGAGCTCAGCTGGCAACTTTGCCACTGGAGACTACACAGCTGCAGCAGTAAAAATTGCTGAGCAGCATTCAGATTTTGTAATCGGCTTCATCTCAGTTAATCCAGCTTCATGGCCAGGGGCACCAGTAAATCCAGCATTTATTCAGGCAACCCCAGGAGTTCAAAAGGTTGCTGGGGGAGATTCCCTTGGCCAGCAATATAATACTCCATTTTCAGTAAGTTACATGAAGTGTTGTTCCTCGCAACTTTCTATTCTTTTTGACTGTTGGAGAGTTACTTCATTTTCCAATGATAAAAAAAAAAAGCAGAGTACGTTAAGTTTTGGCCTTAATAACCGAGGGACATTATTTTTCAGGTCATCAATGATAGGGGTAGTGACATAATCATTGTGGGCCGTGGGATTATAAAAGCAGCAAATCCTGCAGAAGAAGCCCGTGAATATCGTCTTCAAGGATGGGATGCATACTTGGCTAAATGCAACTGATGCTCCATATGCGACTCGTTGGTTTTTAAATGCTAAACTGTGTTTGGTTGTTGAACTTATGTTTAATTTTTCAACCACTTCTTGGTTGGTATACTTATACAGAACTTGATAGAAGCTTGCGAGCATATCCTTTGTAACTGCTCCGTTCCGTTCCGTTTAATTTTGACATGTATGAAGCGGAACATTTTGAAGTCAATAAGTGAAAGCTTTCTATGAGTTCCAATTGAAGAAATTATTGAATATGAATTCACAAATTTATTTCAGATGGTCAAGATTGAAGGGTGCCCCCCATTTTTGATCTTGGTTTAGTCAATCGATGATGATTCTCCAATTATTAACCAGAATAATGTTATGCTTGAAGTCTTAGTGGGCATCCAACGGTAATTAGTAATTGCTAGAATAACTTCACGACAAGACATGGCAATGCAGAGTGGATCATCTGAATTTCTATGGATAAATATTATAGTAGCAGGCATAAGAGTAATGGCTCCCACTCATGTATTTGGTGCATAGACAAGCAAAGAGAGTTTGCTTCCTACAACTCAAAAAATATATGACCGGAAGACTCATTAGACTACAAAACGAAAACCAATCTACTAGCTCTAATGGTAGAATAGAATGGAAAAAATCTCGTCACTGTTCTTTCCAAATCCGCCCAGTCACCCTAAGCTTCAATTCCTTCCGGTCTCCTCCAGAGAAGAAAAGAGCCATGTTCCGCTGGATGATGAGACCATCAAAACTGTCTCGGACCTTCCGATGGCTGTCCCTTATGCTCCTAGGTACTCCTTGCCAAATCATCTTCCTTCCATTTCCACCCACCTCTAGGCTGTAGCTATAGTTCTTCGCCTCGTTGTCATCACCCATAAACCGCAAGAATGCAATGTAGACAGGGGCCATCCCAAGCTGGAAAGCTTCAAAATGCAGACAAAAGTACTGACCAAAACAGCTAAAAACCTACAAAGAAAAAAGAAAGATTATTACAGTCATGAAATAGGCTTTGCAAAAGTTCCTAATGACTCGGTTTATACTGACTATAAAAACGCATGAAGAAAAAGGATTCCTACCAACTAGATCTACATATATCCAACAAAATCTCAGAATAAGCACAAACAAAGAAAAATACCGTTAACATCCATGTTGCATTCTCAACTTCGTGTGGATTTGATTTGACATATCGATGGTTGAAAGTACTGCCATTATGCATATCAACTTTGTGATCATCCTTCAAATGGGCCACCAGGTATGGAATATCACCAATAACTGTGCATTCTGATCCAGCATAGGGGCAGTTATATGGTCTATAGACACATTGTGATTCATGTTTTAGTTTGCTGTAGTATGGGTATATTCCCAAGCACCCAAAACTCTGATATTTACATGGAAGTTCAAGAGACGCAGCAACCTTTTCTAACGCAAGACATCTTATGTTACCGAGTTCATGCCTGCAAGTGGGGCACCTGTTGTGAACCCTGGGTTTGCAGCCGGAACATAATGTATGACCATTCGAGCACTGCAACAGGAGAGGATGTCCAGTGAAGAGAGAACAAGATTCAAGTGAAAAATTCAACATTCTTCCTATTATGTGTTTGCGCATGTGTGTACACATGCATTGCACCGATGTGTCAGTAAAAGACATCTAAACACAAGAAGAATCTAATATGTGAACTGTACAGTTGCATAAATTATTTAAAGACTGCCAAAAGTTTCAGTCATGTGCATTGGTAACCTAAATAAATACCATAAAACAAACCTGGTGAATTGGAGGATACATAGCATTTAAGCACACAGGGCACTCCAATAGCTCACGGACACTGCTAGATACAGTCACATTCGGTTTCAAAGCCATCTGAGCAGGATCATTCACACTTTCACTAACATCCATCATGTCTTCATTTTGAGGAGGATCAATAACCTCTGGCTTACTTCGCATGTCCTCGAAAAAAGGATTGCCAGATGCCATGCTAGTCTGGCCACTCTATGCAAAAAAAGGAAAAAAAAAAAAAAAAAAGAGGAAAATCAAGATCAGAGATTAGGTGATTCAAATGCGAAGAACTAAAGATCACCTTATATTATTAATAAGAATTCATTCTCTCTGCATACTTTAAGTTTAATAAGAATTCATGAATTAAATCAAAGATACCATTGATTTTACAGTTCTGAGTTGCATAAAGCAATTAAGAGTGGACACACTTTCATAGACAAGAAACTCTCACCGCCAAATCTTGGTCTACTCTCAATCTCTTTTTCCTTATTTGTTAATGTTGATGACAAGTTGAATCCTCAATCTAGCTATACTGTTAAACACAAAATCATAAAAAAATTTATAATTTGACTCAAAGTTCAAGACAGAGCAATAAACAGGTAATCCTCCATTCAAAATCTTCAATTAATCAGATACTATAAACACATGATATAAGCAATCACAATGGGAAGTAGATATCATGCAAGAAAAGAAAAGGCAGCTGGATATGACTACATGATAGAATGACATTACTGAAAATAACAAATAGCAATAACTGAGCCCACCACTTGTAACGCAGGACACATTTTCTAAGCAATGGTTCATATTCATTTCTTGAATAGAAACATTTCAAGCTTCTATGTCTTGCACAAACACATCCTATAAAATTAACATATTTTTGTTCCTATAGGTCATCCAGATAGCCATGCCAAAAAAAAAAAAAAATGTGTGGCCTCACAGGCTGCAGCACAGAGTCGTTAAGCACCAATTGGCTAAATGAGTAGCAAGCAGTCAAAGTACAGCATACAACAACAAAATTAATCCAATCAACGTAGTAAGAGAAATCAAGTACGAGAGTAATACAAGTGAGCAAGAAAAATAATCAGCAGATTCAGCACATATAAAGGCAAAGAACTTATAGTCCAAGACATTGAAATGCAATATGGAGGAGAACGCACGTGTTTAACAAAATGAAACTAGAAATATTGTAAATGGAGATCAGCAACACAAAATTACAACGCCATTAACAAGAAGACAGAACATTAAGAAATGCAAGAGTAATTACTCGAATTCTGCAGGCCATTAGGAACACCTATACTCTTATAAACTATAGTTGGCACATAAGATCCGTTAAAAATAATCCCTTTAAACACTATGACCAAAAGTGTAAAAGAAAAGGTCTTCTCTTTCTCAATCAAAGAAGATGAAGAAAACATGGGGAATATTAATCAAAATAAACCCTAAAACAAGCAAGCCCACATGCAAATCTAAAGCAAATCGACAGTGGATCTAGAATATTCCAAAAGTAAACTCACATCAAAAAAGGAAACTTTGTGACAAAAACCAATCACAAAAATGGGAAACCCAGAAAAATCTGTATAAAAACAAGTAAAAAAAATTGCCATTTAACAAAAGATGTACCTGTGCACAAAGTTTTGAATCAAAACCCCATTGAAGAAGATATAGAAAGACAAACCCTAGTAATGAGAGACAAAATGAAAGAGGAGAAATTTGGTTTATGGTCGTCTATTAAATGATACTGCAATAAATAACAACAGACAGGAAATGCGCGTAACTATACATAAAGACAGACAGAGAGAGATATAGAATTCAAATTAAAGTCTTTAAAGAGAGAGAGGAGCGTGTATATAGAGAGAGGAGAAGGGGTTAGGAGAGAGAAATTTCTCGAGAAAATACAAAAAGGAAAGGTTAAGTTGAAGTGGGGCCCTATACCCGAGTATTGTTTTTGTTTCCCTTCTTATATCCTAAAAAATCCCGGTGTTTTTCTTAGTTACCAATCAAATCCCAGAAAGTTAGAGAAAAAGAGGGTAATATATTTCTATTTCAGGTTTCAGCCTTTGAACAGTAAGAAAGCCCAAGTCTATGTAATGCTAGTACTGGCGAGAAAGAGTGACAGAGAAATGAGCAACGGACCGGAAATACTGGGATGGTATGTATTACTCGTCTTTGGTGGACACGGTCTCAGCAGACTTTGCCATAGTCTTCAATGCGCGTGGACTTCACTCTTCTAATCTGGATTATCTGTATATTTTTACCAGTTTTTCAGCGTTTGAAGCCTATTTAAAACAAAGATTATACTTTTCTTGGAATAACTACAAATATTAGTTACCAACTATTAAATTGTTGAAAATTCTTATCATTAGAAAAAGATTTAAATTCCGAGACTTCGAAAAATCAAAACAGGACACTGGAATAAATGATTTCCTGGAAAGGGGCATCGAGTTTGAAGTTTCAGGACCCAAGTCTCTTACATTTGTGTTGCCAATGCAAGAAATCGTTAAGAAATCACTTTTTAAGGTTGTTTATAAGTGCCTAAGCCTATTAATTTATTCTAGGCAGCTTTGAACTTTCTCCTTCTCATGCTTCTGTTTCTTTACTTTTGTTATGCTTTTCAGATAACTTATTTAAATACTTATCTTTGTTTCCTTGGAGCAATTTCTCGGTTTTTAAAGTAATGTGATACTCTGATAAGGATGTCCTACACTTACAGTTCAAATTTTGAACTGTAAGTTTGAGTTTGAATCCAATTTATGGATATGTATTTAAATTTGTATTTGAAAATTAGATGGCCTTTATCATTGTTAAATATATATTTATTCTAGGCAAGCTTTGAACTTTCTCCTTCTCATGCTTCTGTTTCTTTACTTTGTTATGCTTTTCAGGATAACTTATTTAAATACTTATCTTTGTTTCCTGGAGCAATTTCTCGGTTTTTAAAGTAATGTTGATACTCTGATTTAAGGATGTCCTACACTTACAGTTCAAATTTTGAACTGTAAGTTTTTGAGTTTGAATCCAATTTATGGATATGTATTTAAATTTGTATTTGAAAATTAGATGGCCTTTTAATTCATTGTTAAATTATATATATATATATAGTATATATATATTATTATATATAAATATATATATATTATAATTACTGTTACAGTCTACAGGTACACCAATCATTATATATATAATACTGTTACAGTTACAGGTACACCATCATACGATTTTTTGACAACTCCATTGTTGAATGATATAATTATTAAGCAAATGAGAAGATTTTCCCTCACATGGTCTTATCATTGGCAAATGCCAATCCTTACTTTTTCAGTTTCAATATTGCCTCATTTCCTCTAATTATGTACACATCTCTATCTGTCGGAAAAAAAATCATCTTCACCACTAAAATCGCTGACTATGTTAAGGCCTATCCTAGTTGTAGGCCTATTTCATGCCAGGCCCAGACCAAGAGTCCTAGTCTAGCCCAATCCAAATGAGCACAACCCGCCCAACGGCCCAGCACAGCCCAATTAATGCACATCCTACCAACGATTAAAGACTACATGCTAAATACTATTACTGAAATTACACTTACTAGTAAATTGATAAAAAGAAAAGAGGTTCGGATCGGGTAATCCATATTACTATCCAGACGATCCGATTAAGCGTGCAACCCATAAGACAAAACCATTTTCCACTCGAACAAAACTCGAAAGAAGGAGAAAGAAAAAACCCATGAAGCCTAAACCACAAGACGAGGATTCACCGTGAAGCTCTTCTCTTCAACACTCTGTGCATCGCGTCGGTGAAGCAAAAACCTTCGTCTTCCATTCACATGTTTCTTTGATCTCGCCTGTAGGTCTGTTTCTCTTTGCTTCTTTATTTTTACAGTCACACCACTTCTTCTCTAATTTCTATCTTTTAGTTTTTCCCTTATTTGAATTTAATTTTTAGCTTGGTCGATTCATTTCTGGTGAAATTCGCTCTGAGTAAAAGTTACCGCCGGAATTTTGGTTTTTATGTATTCTGTTTGGTTGGCTAGGAAACTAAAGGAACTTTGAGAAATATTGCTGTTATTTGTTCTTGCGATTATTTTCTTAGCAATCTTAGTGCAGTATAATTGAAGTTGTATTCATAATAGCAGCATTTTGGGGGAATCATGCCTGACGTGCAAGCTCTCGTCAATGATTTTCTTAACAAGCTTAAGAAGCGGTGAATTCCTTTTCTCTCTCTATATATATATGGTGATTTATTGATTTTTTTTTATGTTAATGCGTGACTTCATTTTTGTTTTGTTTCGTTTTCTGCAGTAAGATTGAGGGCTCGCAGGCCACAGCAAGGCAGACAGCAGAACTTTTACGGTCTGTAATTTCACAGCAGCGAGTGCCTTACACCAACCAGGCAGGAGCCTTGATTGATGCTGTTAAGGCTGTTGGAGAGCGGCTAATTGCTGCAAATCCTGTCGGTATGGATGTAAATTAGTTTAAATGGATAATTGTAATGTTATATTGATCATTTACTACATGGTATTTAGTTTATTGACTCATTTATTATTTGCAAATCCTGCATTTGATTAACTTTGGGAATTCAATGAAAATCCCCATTTAATGAAGCAATGGCAGATATGTGAAGATAGCTTTGTATAACTTTACTAGAAAAACTTTATAAAATTTTTGTATTGGTTGTCAGTGCTTGAAACAATATTTTGTCTTCTCCATATTACTATATCTATAGAATCAATAATATTCTATGAGTAACTACTGAACTCAATCACTGCTGCCATTGAGGTCTATCCTGGCTGAGGTTTTTGTAGATTATCCAAAATTACTTTGTAGTATGATCATCATTATCTCAGTTCTTTATTAGAACTTGTTAACACTCTTGTTTTGCTATTGAAACAATTTTGTTTGCTTATGTTGCATTGGAACCAATATCCTTGGACTCAACCCAACAGAGATCCAATTCTGAACTAGTTGTGGATAGCTAAAGTTATAACTCTATCCCTTCAGCTTTGTTTAGGTCTGAATTTTCAATTAACCATTCTGATACAAAATTATTTTTATCTTATTGGATACCATTATTATTTTATATCTCGTCTTGTTGGCTTTTCTTTTATTTCATCCACTTTTAAGCACTGCATCCATGAGCCTTTTGCATCTACAGGTATATCGGCGAATCAATCCAGACAATTTTTCTTCAATTTATTTTGGACGAGTTCCTCTTTTTTTACCTATTAATCCACTCAGTTTTTGATGTCCTTTTTCTGCTTTTGCACATCCATCTAAAATTTATTATCTTAGATTCCTTCTTGTTCTTGAAGATAGGAACTATAGAATTGCAGATGTCAGTTACTTACAAATAGACACAGAGTGTGGAAATAAACAAGAAAAAGCTGTGCACAGGAGCCTTTTGAGGGCTTATTTTAGTCAAATGGAATTGATAAACTTTGAAGCTATGCTTTGGAATATTTCTTATCTCAGGAATTATTTTCTCCAAGATGGTTTGCATTTTATGCCCATTGTTGTAAGAGCTACTGATGCTTGTATGTTCTGTTTATTGATATTTACATTATATAAACACATTGCAGAGCTGGCTGTGGGTAATATAGTGAGGCGTGTTTTGCACATTATTAGGGAGGAGGATCTTTCTCTGACAACAGCTGCTATTGCGGGGCTGAACTTATCTGCTGTAAGCGATGATGATGATGATGGTGAACGAGATGATCACCCAGTTTTGTCAGCTGCTGCTGTTGCTGCTGCTGCAAGAAGTACTTTGCGTCCACCTTCATTGCAGACGCTGCTGGAGGATGTGCCTGACTCAGCAGCTGTTCCTCATACTTCTTCATCTGGAGGTGATTCTGAAGGAAAAAGCAAATGTAAGATCCTCATTTTATGCTGCTTTAAATTTGTTGTACACAGCATCATATATAATACTGTAGTTCGATGATTCTGCTCATTGGATTGGAATATTTGATTCCATTTTTCTTTGGACCTAGTTAGTACTACATTTATTTGTAATGAAAATTGGCGAAAGTTGTGGTGGTGATAGTAGTAGCATTGAATGTTGTTAGAAGTTTTATGTTAACCTCAAATGCCTTTTACCTCTTTTTTTACTTCTATTTTTTTGAGAAGAGGTAATATCTAGCAATTTGTCATTTAAGGTTTTATTTGCCATAACAGCTGCTGATAAAAGTTCAAGAACTCGAAAGCTGAAACATGATGTCATTGAAGCGGTTAATGAGCTTATACAAGACATTGCTACTTGTCATGAACAGATTGCTGAGCAAGCAGTGGAACATATCCATCAAAAGTAAATTTTCCTTCCTGGCCTATGACACAAGTATTTTGTCCTCACAGATTCATGCTTTATTCATATTTGATTGTTGCATATGATGGTTTTAGGGTGTAAAATATCTGCTCTTATTTCTACATTTATGTGAAAGCAAATGCTTATCTGCTTTGCGTTGGGTAGTGCAAAATTTAAGCATTATATATAGTTACCATTTGTTAGTTATTACTGATTCGATTCTTAAATACATCTGCAGCGAGTTAATATTAACGTTAGGCAGTTCAAAAACAGTATTGGAATTCCTTTGTGCTGCAAAGGAGAAGAAAAGATCATTCCGGGTATTTGTTGCAGAGGGTGCTCCGAGGTCTGTACAGATGGTTATCTTTCTTTGCTGTACAAAAAAAAAAAAAAAAAAAAAAAAAAAAAAATGCTTATGCAAAGGAGAAGAAAAGATCATCCGGGTATTTGTTGCAGAGGTGCTCCGAGGTTCTGTACAGATTGGTTATTCTTTCTTGCTGTAACAAAAAAAAAAAAAAAAAAAAAAAAAAAAAATCTTTTTTGTTGGTGTTGGAAATTATTGGAATGCTCTTTTGTATGGAATGTTCTTCACCAACTTTGGTATTCATTCTAGGTATCAGAGGGCATCTTCTTGCCAAAAAAAAAAAAAAAAAAAAAAAAAAAAAAAAAAATCTTTTTTGTGGTGTGAAATTATGGAATGCTCTTTTGTATGAATGTTTTCACAACTTTGGTATTCAATTAGGTATCGAGGGCATCTTCTTGCCAAAGAATTGGTTGCAAGGGGTTTACAGACTACTTTGATAACTGACTCTGCAGTTTTTGCCATGATTTCTCGAGTGAATATGGTATATCAGAAAAGAATTTTGTTTCCTTAACTTTATTTCTTGCCATGCGTTGGTGGACTGTTCCTTGTTCATTTTGAAAATTTTGCTGTGAAGGTTATAGTTGGAGCTCATGCTGTCATGGCCAATGGTGGTGTTATAGCCCCTGTTGGACTGAATATGGTAGCTCTTGCAGCTCAAAAACACGCTGTGCCGTTTGTTGTGCTTGCTGGAAGTCACAAGGTAAGTTAATTTTAACAACTTTCTTGAAATTTTGTCTTTGAGAAAGCTCCATCCTTGAATTGCTTGCTTCGTTTGCTCTCAAGTGGATTTAAGATGTTGATACTGGTAACTGCTCAGGCTTTTGGTTGGGGATGGCCAATAAAATGGATAAATAGGACCTCAAAGATTCTGTTCTTCAATTTTAATCATTGTCAGAGCATTCTTTTGTCTGTGCGCTTACTCATGTATATTTAGCTAGGGCATGCCTCAGCAACTTGGGCCAATCTGAGGCTAAGCCTAAGGTTCAATTGCTTTTTCATGCCAATCTTTCTGTTAAACGAAGCCCAACTCAACCAGGACCCAATCAAATAATTTAGCCAGCTTCACAGTAGTTTGACAAGTTTGGACTTTTCTAATGTTTGGATTGGGCCAAGATACTGGGCCCTAGTTCAAAATATAGGACAGTCTTAGCCCAATATATGCCTTAGTGAACTTAAAACTCATAGTAACTGACCTCTTAATTCAATGCTGCAACTGTACTTGAGAAAGCCGGTGTTTCAATTTCTTCCAATACTTCTAACATGTCCAATTTTTTACATTGCAGCTGTGCCCCTTGTATCCGCACAATCCTGAGGTCTTACTTAATGAATTGAGATCCCCATCTGAGCTGCTGGATTTTGGAGAATTCTCAGATTGCTTGGATTTTGGGGTTGGCACTGGTTCTCCTCTTCTTCAGGTTATCAACCCAACATTTGACTATGTGCCACCGAAGCTTGTTAGTCTGTTCATTACTGACACGTAAGTTCTACTACTTTTAGGGATTTCATGAAACTCTAGAGGTTCCATTATTCTGGTTTTAGGCACTTCTATTGTACGATATAAAATGTTTGATGTATACCTATACATAACACATGGATATTTGAATGAATCGTACAATCACAAATTTTTGGTGCAGCTACTAACTCAAATTGCTTTACAGTGGAGGGCATAATCCGTCATATATGTATAGGCTCATTGCCGATTATTACTCTGCTGATGATTTGGTGGTGCAACGAAGACATGCTTCTGGAAATTGAGTTGTAGTTCCCATTGGTTTACTTGGATACTTAGTAAGTATTTCTTTCTTAATTCCTCTTCTTTCATTTTTTTTTTTCACTTTTTATTTAGTGTTTTTGGTGTGTATATCCTTTTTTTTTTCCTTTAAAGTTGCATAAGTTGATGATGTTGTCAATTTTTTTATAGTTCGTCTCCATTTTGTATATCTAGATTTTCTTCTTTGTTTCAGAAGCTTTGGAACTTGCAAACTATTTAGATTGTATCATTTGGTTCTGCATATCGTATGTACTTTTGCAATTGTAACAGCTGTTATATTGACGTCTTTTTCTTTTTTATTACACTCAGCAGGAATTTTCCAAGCAAGAGGACGGGGAGATTAGAGATTTAGCTCAGTTTATGGTACTGTTAACCTCCACAAGTGAGAATGGAAAGGTTACTAGGAGATGGGCCAGGGTATGGCCATTTTTGTGATTGTCACAATAGAAACAATGAAATAGATAAAGTGATGTTTGTAACTCTGAGTTAGAAGCTTTGTACGTTGTGACAAAACCATGCACTGACCAATCAGCCACTGTTGTATTTGATTTTTTTTATTTTTCCCCCGCAAATTTGATGGCAGTTGACAGTTGCTTTCTAGTGGGGACTTTTGAAGTCCGAGCGTTTTGTCGCAGCAGCATAAGATAAAAGCAAGAAAATTTTTTATTTCCAACTGAATATATATTCTGCTACCGTCATGCGTCATTTAACAATTTTTTTTAGCTTCAGATATCTTCAACTGTTCAAAGGATCTTTGAATCAGGTAATCAATAACACACTATGAAATCTAAATTCCCAATATTGCACATAATAGGACCAATTTTTCTGCAAAGAAATCCTGAACATCATACCAATTAAATCACTTTAACTTGAAAAATAAATACAACAATGGGAATTGAGAAATAAAAAAAAATTAAAAAAAAAAAAAGCAAGCTAGTTTTATTATGTTACAATCTAGCTCATAATGACAAATATCATTTATGTTCTACATCAAACCAGAAATAAACATAAGCTCGAGAATAGATTACTCGAACTCGATGCAAGGCAAGGTCCCCTTTCGTAAGGACAGCCTTAGCACCTCCTTCTATCCGAGTTTGAGAAACATGCACACCATCACCATCAGTCTTGACAGAGGAAGAGAAAATTTCATTCTCCCCAGCTGTACTCACAATCGGGCACGAGAGATAGTCCAAAGGGTTTGACTCACATTGAAGTATGCAGCCATCTATGGTTAGTCTTCCACTTCTATGAAGCAAGCAGCAACCAAGCTCCGTCTTAACTGTTAGATTTGCTAATTTGCAAGTCGACAAGAACTCCAATGCACTGCTCAAATAATAATAATAATAATAAATAAATAAATAAATAAATAAATAAATAAATAACAGAACATAACAAATTTTGTCTAGTGATTGAAATATATGGAACAGTGACCTCAAAGAGTCCACTCTAAAATGTTGGATAAAATGGTTAGGGCATTGAAAACAGTTAAGTTTCAAACCAAGGGGAGTCAAAACAAAAGGCACACCTCAATCCATATAATAGAATATGATATTGATGGGAACTTTTCATAATAACAATTAAAGGAAATGAATTAATCAATCTCCGAGTTTTATCTGTGACATACACGACTGAGCACCACACAAGATCAGAGGCCTAAATGAACCATCCTTCATTTTTTGGTACATTCGAATGGTCAAAAATCATCATTTACTTTCACTTTATGCCATTGAAATTCAACAGTACAGAGAAATCTTTTAACATTTTAATAGTCAACTCTCACAAAAATCACCATACATAAGCAAACATAATCCATAAACTGCATACCTGTCTGAACCTCGAGAACACAAGAGTGTTGTTTGATCAGGAAGCTCTCCTCCACCAATCTATACAAAGAAATTGAGATAGAAAATGCACAGCGGGTAGAATTAACAACTACCAAAATTAAGCAAGAAACCAAAGATGATAATGACCATCCTCATATGACTAAGGGTTTAATTTTATTCTGATACCAAAAAACAAAACAACACCAATTCCAAAACTCTGATGCATAGATAGCTAATTAGCTTCTTTATTCATTCTTATTGCAATAATATGAAATTCTTAACTGAGATCCCCACTATAGTTAAACCAGAATCTACTTAAAAGAGAAAAGGATAATGGGGTGAGGCGAGGGTGGTGCAGACTATTAAAAAAAAATATGCCTAGAGAGTATAGATCATTAGCACATACCAGGCAAAGTGGTTTATTTATTTGAATATTGGAGGCAACATGATTGCCACCTGCTGAGATAAGAATGGTGTCACCAGGTCTAAAATGAGCACTTTCATGATTAGTGTTTCCATCCCACCTTCTAAACTAAAAAATCACATGCAGCAAGATGTCAATATACATACCTAGCTGCAGAGACAGCCATCTCAATGCTAGGGTAAACTCCAGGTTCTGATAAGTCTTTGACAGCCCGATCTACTCGGAGCCATAATCGAGGGTGACATGCCAAGTAGTGCCATCTGTGGCAAACGAGGGCTGTGTTATACCGATCTGCAAACTCAATAGCAGATGTGAAATCGAGCGCACAAATATATCTTAAATGTATTTTTGTGATACAAGCTTTACAATGACAATTAATATTATATGGACATTTTCTATTAAAGATCACCAAAAGGACACTTAAGTAAGACAATCAACACAAAGAGGAAATGTGAATATATTGAATTGACGATATTAAACAGGAGACACACAAGTAGATTAACTAAATAGAACCACTTGGTTGCATGCGCACCTAAGAACATTTAAGTTAATAATAATGTACCATTTTCAATGTGTCTTCTCCCCCACAAATTAACAATTTAGCATTCTTATTCGATCTAAAATTTTCCGCATAAAACTACGTTCACAAACAAATTTTCTTCAGTATTTGAACCATAGAAATTTAAGTGAAAAATAAAATCCAACTAAAACAATCGACTCCCTTAATTGCTCCTCTCTCTTTTTCAGAAGCTGCAGTTCGTTTCCTACATCCATCACGTTCAAAGCTTCTATCTTTTTTTACCCTATAATTAGGTAAACAGGACTTTAAAATGAGAACTCCAAACGCCTAAAAAACCAATCTTGCATGAGTGAGCCGACAAAGCAAAAATTAGAGCTTCACAGTATCAACCCTAATAACTCGGGCTGAACAAATCAGAGCGAAATCGATTCATATTTCAGTTCAATAAGGTTCCATACATAAACAAAAACACAAAGCACAACAAACACATAAGAGTGAAAGAAAGGGAAACCTGGAATAGGAGATAAGAAACTGAAGATGTGCATAAGGCAACCATCATCAAGAGTGTTTATCAGAGAAGAATTCGACGACGAAGCTGGCTTCTTTTGCTTCCACTTCCTTTTCACTTCCTCTTCCATGGACTCCACCGCGATAATTTCAGCGATTTATCATAGAAATACCATTTCCGGAAATTGATGGTGTGATACAACCTCTACATCAACCGGTATTTTGACCTAAGCATGGGCTGAAGGCCTCGAGGCCCGCTGTAGTGAAACCGGCCCATAACAGACATGGTCATGGAACGACTTGACGTTTTCGAACTGTCAATTTTATTTTTCACTTCAAGGAGTGAGTCAAAGGCTATTTTATAATCATTGACAGACGATTCTGATTTTGTCCCTCTGCCATTGAAAAGACACGCATCGCGTGTTTGACAGAGAATGGAGATTGACGGCGGTTTTGGTTTGGTGGAAGGCGACGGCGGAACCCAATGCATAACGCAGTTTGTTGACCATGGCAGCATAGAGAGTCATAGGTATTACCTCTCTCGCAGGACTGTTCTGGAAATGCTAAGAGATCGAGGCTATGACGTGGCCGACTCAGAGCTTGCTGGGTCACTCACTCAGTTCCGAGCCGAGTTCGGCGACAAACCCGAACTCCAACGCCTCCGTATCTCCGTCTCTCTCCGCACCAATCCTTACAAAAAGGTTGATCGTTATTTTTAATAATATTTAGGTGATCACGTGTATAATATGTTTATTATGAGAATAATAATAATAATTTATTATTATATGTAGCAGATGTTGGTAATCTTCATGGGGACAGAGGACATAAAAAAGGCAACTATTCGTTGTGTACTGGCTCAGATTGTGAACAGAGAAAGTTTAAATGGGTTAATGCTGATCTTGCAAAGCAAAATGAACCATCATGCCCGGAAAGAGATGGCTAAATTCCCATCTAAAGTTGAGATTTTTCAAGTGAGTGTCCAGTTTTTATAATAAATTTCAATGTTCAATTTCTGGCTGTTGCTTTTGTGAAGATGAGAATTTGGTAGCTCATGTTTATTTGGGCTTAATGAAGTTTTTAAGGCCAAGCTAGTGGTTAAGGTGCAATTGTTCTGTTTCTTGGAAGCTAGGCTTCCCTCTTTTTCAATATATTGATGATATTTGTAGGTTGATTCCTGTGGTTGTTGGATAACTTACTAGCAGCTTTTGATTGATGTTATGGCTAATGATGAATTGATAAGTAGCAGTAATATTAATAACAGTCCTCGGTTCTTCGGTTGTCACTAGACATTTTTATATTCCAAAGTAAAAAATTCTCTCTCTATTGTCATTTCATCCTTAACTCTTAAGCTTTTTCATGGGGGATGTGAGTTAAAAAGGTTTACTGTTGAAGCTTTTTAGTCTTAACAATTCCTTCAATGATTTGCTCTGTGTGTAGATCACTGACTTACTGATGAACATAACCAAGCACGTTATAGTGCCAAGGCATGAGATATTGACTATTCAGCAGAAGGAACAGCTTTTGAACAAGTACAAAGCTGAAGACAAGCAGGTAAAATATTTAAATATTTGTGTTTTCTCCTAACAGTGAAGTACTTTTTGTTTCATTTGCCAACGTTGACATCTATGTGTCCATTTGCCTACACAGTCATTTTGTATTATATTGATAACCCTCCTTGATATAAAAGTAGTATCTTAAGTCTATCTTCATCTTGACGGGTTATAGTGGACTTGGCAAGAGCATAAAAACCCACTATAAATTTATCGTGTGTGGGAATTGAGACTAAGAATGAACTATTTGGAGTTGGCCACAATGCACTTCTATTTCAAAATTTTTAATTTTTTTATGTAGATTAGTAAAATAAGAGAAGGGAATGGAATTATTAGGCTAGGGATGGGTCAAGAGAATCAGCAATTCTGGTCAGTACTGAGGTTCAAGTAAGACCTAAGTAATTATTAGTTCTGCTTGTCAGCAAAAATGGACAATTTCATAACCTAAACCCTCGGTGCTGACAGAGAGAACTCATCACATTACATTTGTTTCTTTGTTGGCAAGGGAAAAAGCATTTGCACACACATATGAGCACTTCAGAGTTGTAACACCTTGCTCTGTTATCACATGCAACTCTAATGTCAAAATTATTCCTTGGAATAATATTATGTAGTAACTATATTGAAAACTAGAAATTTAGATGCAACATTTAGACTGGCTTGTATGTAATCAAAGGAAAAAAATAAGCGACCATAGCTTTCTATTATCAGTTTCATCATCTTACTGCATATGAGAGCTTGATCTAGCTAAAGAACATAATTTGACAGTTTTCTTCTTCTTCTTCTTGTCTTTCTCCTTTCCAGTTGCCTAGGATGCTTGAAACTGATGCTATTGCGCGATACTACAGATTGGAGAAGGGGCAGGTGGTGAAAATTACTTACAGCGGTGGACTTGTTGATTCACTTGACACGTACCGCTGCGTTACTTGATACTCTTATGTTGTACTTTTGCAGCAACAGCATTTTACCATCCATTATTGCCAAACTGTGATTTAGATTTCCTTGATTATGTGTATTTGTCTTCATTAATCGGCACAATGATATGCACTATGGAAGCTAAGTTTGCAGGATTGAGTATCTCAATAGTAAAATTAGTACTTATCTTTTTCTAATTGCACCCAAATGTTACTTTTAGATTATACCGTGCATGAAATTTTCTAGTTTTATGTTACGTGATTCTGCACTGACCTGGATTTTGATCACCATAATGTGTTAGGCCTAGGTACCACTTGACTCTGTTCTGATACCACTTATTAGGGTCCGGCAATAAAATTACGAGAATAATTACAGAGCGGAATAATAAAAATTGTGACACACAGAAATTTAAGTGGTTCACCCTTAACTGTTTAGGGTTACGTCTACGGGACAAGCTCTGAATAATTCTTCCACTACTAAAAAATAGTAGGTATACAAAGAGAGTAATACAAAAAAAATAGTGGCACTCAAAGTGTTTCCCAAAAACTTCCCATAATAATTTCTTTACTATTTTTCTCTCTCCTAGTTTCAAGAAACCCATTCTAAGACTAGATAACTCTCTCTCTACATTTTTTTCCTTCTTTCTGCTGTGTTTTTTGTGAGCTGCAATTCATTCTATTTATAAGAGAGGAGGACACGTTAATAACGCGTCCACTGATTCTTTTCAAAGAAAACGTGTGTACTGTACACACGTTTTCCTCTTTTTTTTTTTCTTCATTCAAAGTGTGTGGGTCTCACATGTCGGAGGGACCCATACCAATTCTCCCCCTCCCGACGACATGGTAGGACTCTTCATTCATGCCGCTTTAACACACAGCTTGAACTTCTCCTTCTGTCTCAGTTGTTGACAGAGCAACACACTTCTGTAATCTTGACTGCCACGACACGGCTCCCACTGCAAATGTGATTGGATATCCTGAAAATCTATTTCACTGCAGTCCAATGTCCCTTTCCAGGATTTGAAAGAAACTGACTCACTACTCCAACTGAGTGAGCAATATCTGCCCATGTACAAACCATGGCATACATCAAGCTTCCAACTGCTGAAGCATATGGAACCTTATCCATTTCTTCTTTCTCTCCATCGGTAAAAGGGTACTTTTTAGAACTTAATTTAAAGTGATTAGCAAGAGTACAACTAACCGCTTTAGCGTTCTCCATTCTAAACCTTTGAAGTACTTTCTCAGTGTACTTCTCCTGTGACAATCATAATTTCTTGGCTCTTCGATCTTCATGCCAAGAATTTGCTTTGCTTGTAACATCCCTTCCCGGTCCACCCATCAACCCGAATGAACCGAGCCGAGAAGCTACAATCTGGTTGAACCTATGTCCTGTCATTCTGATATCATCCTGTATGCTAAATATTATGTCATGCTGTTTGAACCTATGGTCCTGTCATTTCTGATACTCTGTATGCTAATATTATGTCATGCTGTTGCTTTATACATCATTTCATATAACAAGACATTTATTTAATATATAAAACATTACACTATTTTCCAAAATGAAATGGGTCCAACTATGTGCCCTGTACATGCCATAGAACAATATCAAAATGAGTAGTTTACCCTGAAGACTGGGTCCTTCAAAAGATTGAACTGCAACGTTGTAAAGAATGGACTCTCTACGCGTCCGACCCAAACCTGCGAGTTTTAAAACAGGTAACTTCGCTGACTCGCTGAGTAAATAAAGCTCAGTGGATATCTCAACTTAATAAGAATTAAATAAATAAGCATGTACGCACACATATCATTATACTTGCATGGTCTTACTTGCTGTTTATTATGCTATATGAATTAAGCAATTTTTATTAACATCGTATAATTTATAAATAACACAATCTTATAACTGTATGGCTCCATAAGATTACAGTGAAACCGAAGTGATAAGAAGGACTATATGAAACTGGATGAATACTATATGGTTGGGCTGCTATGACCCGTATATAAATCATATCCACTCAACGGCCTATAGCCGGAGTACCAAACTGTATAGGATGCAGATCTGCTATCCTATGTCACGACATAGCCTTATCTACGTGGTCGTGGTTTCTACCTAACCTCAGAGTAACATATTTATCGGAATATTCATAAAAATGCATAAACCATACGGAAATATTCATAAAATGCATAAACCATACTGTTTACCTGTATGTTGTCTCATTCTATACGTCGCTAACCTGTTTCATGCTTTAAAAGGATTTCAAGTAATATCGAATGAGTAATAATGCAAACAATTGATAACTTGTCAAGGAACTTGCATGAAATTAATCTAACTGTTGCACCCGCGACGTAACTCTTACTACTCTTTATGTAACTTAATTTAGACCATTCAAATTAAGGAAATTTTTTATTTTAATTTAAGTACTAATCTTAGGCTGAATGAATCTACATATGCATTCCCACATCATTTCTAATGTAGCCTTAAAATATGCCGGGGCAGCCTGTACTTGTTTCACAAATTCTAGCATAACTCTTTCTTCTTAAGTCCAATTTAGGTCATTCTACGGTTAGCTAACACATTAAGGTACAAATATGTCTTCTATCGCCTCTCTGAAATATGTTGGTAAAGTAGGCAAATTTTGAATTAAAGTAGCAACTTCCAATCTGCCCAGCTGTTGGTTTATTTAATTTTATTTCAATTGATTCTATATCTTTATGTTTCATTCAATTAAGTCCAAGTCTTTGATTTATTTAATTTTTATGGCTCAAACCGGGTTTTAGTTCGTTCTGACTCGACTTGACTAGCTAAATGCAATGACTCGATTCAGTAGGATGTCACATTGCTGGTCCCAAGTCTTTCATAGCAAAAGACTTACTTAGCTGTTTCTTCAAGTTAGTAATTCTGACCAACAATCAACATATCAACCACATAAAGCAAAAACAATGTAGTCATCATTAGTCATCATTAGAGAATTTCTTCACAAAAATACAGTGATGTGAAGTAGTCTTTCTGCAGCCTAGCTCCCCCATAACAGACTCAAACTTCTTGTACCACTGTCTCAAAGCTTGCTTCAAGCCATGCAAGCTCTTCTTTAGTTTGCAAACACAATCCTCTTTTTCTACGAAACCCTCTGGATGCTCCATGTATATTTCTTCTTCCAAATCTCCATATAGGAAGAAGGTAGTTTTTCCATCCATTTGCTCGATTTCCAGATCAAAACTGGCAGCCGTTCTGAGCACTGTCCGAATGGATGTCATTTCACAACTGGTGAAAAGATCGAAATCAATACTTTCTTTGATTGAATCCTTTCATAACCAGTCTAGCTTTGAATCGTCTTCTGGATTTATAGCCACATTGGTCTTGGCCATAGCCAATGAATACACATTGTCGAGTCTTGACATCAAGCTTAGATCGTTCATCCTTGATATGCACGAAGGCTTTGCAACCAAACACCCGCAAATGATCACGGGAAACATCATTTCCTGACCATACTCTCTCTGGAGTATCATACTGTAGAGGAAAATAGGGTGAACGATAAACTGCTGTGAGTAAAGCTTCACCCAAAATCTTTTAGAGAACTTTCCATGTGAGAGTAAACATTTGACTCTCTCCAGCAAAGTTCTATTCATCCTCTCAGCCAAACCATTCAGTTGCGGCGTCTTGGGAGGTGTTGTTTGAGGAGGTGTTGTTTGATGTCGAATGCCATGCTTTTTATAGAAAGTATCAAATGGCCCAGTGTATTCTCCACTATTATCTGTCCTGATACACTTTAGCTTATTGCCTGTCTGTCTCTCAACCAGGTTTAGAAGACTTCAATGTGTATACCCAGGTCTTCCTAGAATGGTCATCGATAAATGTCACAAAAATATCGATTTCCACCATATGACATCGTCAATGGTCCATACAAATCTAAATGAATCAGATCTAATACATTCTTCATTCTAGAAGGAGGGGTAATCTTGAAAGCTACCCTGTTTTGCTTTCCCATCATACAATCAGGACACTTGTCTAGGTGAACTGTATCCAATCTAGGTAGTACATTCCTTCTTACCAGAGTTTTCTTACTCATGTGGCGTAGTCATTTATGCCACAATTCAACTGTACTATTATTCTTTGCTACACTCAAAGTGTCTTAGAAGAGTTCCGCATGCATCCCGTACAGCTTTCGGTCTTTAGCTACCACAAATGAACCTTTGGTGTAACTGTATGCGTGAATAGTAACTATACACGTGAATAATACTATGCGTGAATAGTGTTGGGCTTACTTGAAACGGACTCAGCAACAGTAACGCCAATGCCAATAGGTACTGTTCACCATCAACTTGAGTTACTATTTACTATTTCATTCACTAAGTTCAATTCTGCAACGTCTTTTCAGGCGGACAACACCAATGGACTCGTCATAATTTTCTTCTTCGTTCGTGTATATTTTTATTTTCAAAATATATCCACGGATCGGTACCGCTATTCTGACCTGACTGAACCTGCCAAAACCTTTTGGCTTCTTGATATCAATTGTTAGGGCCTAGGTACACTTTAGAACTCAGCTTTGATACCACTTGTTAGTAACGCCAATAGTACTGTTCACCATCAACTTTGAGTTACTATTTTACTATTCATCACTAAGTCAATTCTGCAACGTCTTTTCGAGCGGACAACACCAATGGACTCGTCATAATTTTCTCTTCGTCGTGGTATATTTATTTTCAAAATATATCCACGGATTCGGTACCGCTATCTGACTGACTGAACCTGCCAAAACCTTTGGCTCTGATATCAATTGTTAGGCCTAGGTATCACTTGACTCAGCTTTGATACCACTTGTTAAGGTACGGCAATAAAATTAGGAGAATAATTACTCAGCAAAATAATAAAAATCGTGACACACCGAAATTTACTTAATTCACCATTTACTGTTTAACGCTACATTACAAATTTTGAATAATTCTTCAATAGTAAGTATACAAATAGAGTAATATAAAAATAATGACACTCAGTATTTCTCAAAAAACCTCATAATAATTTTCTTACTATTTTTCTCTCTTTCAATTCTCGAAATCTCATCCTAAAACTAGATAACTCTTTTTTTATATTTTTTTTTCCTTCTTTCTACTGCGTTTTTTGTGAGCTGTAATTCATTATATTCATAGGAGAGGAGGACGCGTCCACAGATTCCTCTTTCTTTTTTTTTTCTTCGTTCAAAGCGTGTGGGTCCCACATGTTTCAGGGACCCACAACATAATGATCATGGCTAATGCTAATTTGGACGACCACGATTGGTGTGAATATTCTGGGTTATAGTTAAAATGAAATATCAACCGACGTAACTGCATACATAAAACGGGCTCCTCCACTGTGAATACTATTATAAATTTTATTAAAAAAGAATGTCACTTGCCTATCTTATTGAGGCCCACAGCGGAAGAAGACTTCAGAACTTTCTTTCTTTCTCTTTTCCGTGTTGGTTCCATCTTTTGATGTTGTAAAACAGTTTTGTGCAACCAAAACCGAGTAGAATTTTAGAACCACAGAGGAGAATTCTCTAGACGATCTGGGTTTTGTTCGAGTGCTTAGTTGTTGAGGTCAATGGCCGTAGTAGTTGAGGCGTTTCTTTCTGCTGCTTTTGAGATTGCTCTTGAAAATTTGGCTTCACCAATCTTGAAAGAATTTGGAAGCCGGCTTGGCATCGATAAAGATCTCAAGAAACTGACCAAAACTCTTTCAAAAATACAAGCTGTGCTGAATGATGCTGAGGCAAAGCAGATCAGTGATAGGACAATCAAAGATTGGCTTAGTGAGCTCAGAGAAGTAGCCGATGATGCAGATGATTTGCTAGATGAAGTTGCAACGGAGGCTTTTCGTTGTAACCAGAAGAAAGAGGAAGCCAATTTGCTCTCCATATCAAAAGATTTTCTATACAAAACAGGGTTAGCTCCTAGGATCAAGAAAATCAACGAAAGACTAGATGAAATTGCTAAAGAAAGGGACGATCTTGGTTTGAGAGCGGGGGTTGCCGTAGCATGTAGAGAATTGAAGGACAGGGAGAGACTGGAGACTACTTCTTTGATGGATGAGTCTAAGGTTTTTGGTAGAATCGAGGACGTGGAGAAGATAGTGAACTTGTTAATTTCTGATGAGTGTTGTGGAAATGATGTTGGGGTTGTTCCTATTGTGGGCATGGGAGGCCTAGGAAAGACAACTCTTGCTCAGCTTGTTTTCAAGGATCCCTTGATTTCTAAGCATTTCGAGCTTAGATTATGGATTTGTGTGTCTGATGACTTTAATGTTCGAAGGCTCACACAATCAGTTTTGGAGAAGATTGAGAGGAAAAGTTATGATTTTACGAATTTGGATACCCTTCAAACTAGTCTCCGTGACAAGTTGAAAGGGACAAAGTTTTTGGTTGTTTTTGATGATGTGTGGAATGAGAAGGAAAGAGACTGGGAATTGTTGCGTCTTCCTTTCAGAGCAGGAGCGTTGGGAAGTAAAATCATTGTGACGACACGAAGTAAAAAGGTTGCTACAATCATGGGCACTTTACCAACTCACCATTTGGAAGTTCTTTCTGTTGATGATTCCTGGTTGCTGTTCAAACAAAGGGCATTCTTACATGGGGATGAAGCTCCATATCCAAATTTAGTACCAATTGGCAAGGAAATTGTGAAAAAATGTCGAGGTTTGCCTCTAGCAGCAAAGACACTGGGAGGACTCCTGCGTACAAAAACTGAAGTTAGCGAGTGGGAGATGATCTTGCGAAGTAATGTGTGGGATTTGGAAGAGGAGGAAAATGAAATCTTACCTGCTCTTACGCTAAGCTACAATCATCTTCCAGCACATCTTAAGCAATGTTTTGTGTACTGCTCAATATTTCCAAAAGATTACAATTTCGACAAGGAAAATTTAGTCTTGCTGTGGATGGCAGAAGGCTTTATTCTTCCTAATGGCAGGCGAAGGTTGGAAGATGTTGCTTCTAACTATTTTGATGATTTGTTGCTGAGGTCTTTCTTTCAGCAAGAAAAAACTAATCCAAAGAAGTTTGTTATGCATGACTTGATTCATGACCTTGCACAGTCTGTAGGTATGGAAACGTGCTTCAGGTTGGAAGATGGGCAGCTACCTAAGATCTCAGATAAATGCAAGCATTCATCTGTCTTAGTCAACACATTTAAGTCAGTCCCGTTTGAGGTGTACTCAAAGAAAGACTTGCGATTGCGGACAATGCTTCTGCTTTGCAATAAAATTTCACATGAGACCTCTAATATGAATATCCTTCATGATTTGATATGCTCTTTGAGATGCCTTCGTTCACTGGGTATGAGCCATTTCTCGATAGAAGAGATACCCAATTCAATTGGAGACTTGTTGCATATGCGGTATCTTGACCTCTCTCACACTGATATAAGGCAGCTACCCGAATCAATTTGCAGCCTTTGTAATCTGCAGACATTAATTCTTGCCAACTGCAATAAACTTCTTACTTTGCCAGAAAGTACAAGAGATTTGGTTAATTTACGGCACCTTGATTTGACGGACTGTTGGCATCTCAAATCCATGCCACCATCCTTTGGGAGACTCACTTCTTTGCAAAGGCTGCCTAGATTTGTTTCTGGAAAAGGAGTTGGGTGTGGAATCAGCGAGTTGAAGAACCTGAATGAACTTCGAGCAACGCTTTGTATTGATAGGGTTGAGGACACTCTGAATGTTGCAGATGCAAAGGAGGCTAGCTTGAAGAAGAAGCAATACACACAGAAGTTGGTGCTGAGATGGAGTCGAAATCGTAGCCTTGAGGATGGGACTGATGAGGAGTTGCTTGAATGTCTTGAACCTCACAACAACCTTAAAGAATTAACAATTGATGTATATCCTGGAGCCAAGTTTCCAAGTTGGATGGGAGATTCAGTTCTGTCTCATCTCGAGACTATTGAATTAGTCCATTGTAACTACTGCAAAACCCTCCCTTCTCTTGGTCAGCTACCATTTCTCAAGCATCTCACTATTCGTACAATGCAAGATCTTGAAAGCATTGGTCGCGAGTTCTATGGAGAGGGTAAGATTAAGGGGTTCCCTTACTTAAAGAAACTAAAGCTTGAAGACATGAGAAGTTTGAAGGAATGGCAAGAAATTGATGATGGAGAATTCCCAGTGCTTGAGGAGCTTTCCGTTTTGAACTGTCCTCGCATTTCAAGTCTTCCAAAATTTCCATCACTGCAAGGTCTGTTGCTAGATGATTGTCATGGGTCAGTATTGAGTTCAGTGCAATTCTTTACCTCTCTATCATCGTTGAAGATTTTTAACTTTCGGAAAACAGATTTATTACCTCAAGGCCTTCTGCAACAACTAACTGCACTTAAAGAATTCAAAATTCAGCACTTTTACAGGCTCAAAGCATTGCAAGAAGAGATAGGCTTACATGATCTTCAGTCGCTTCAGCACTTGGACATTTTATGCTGTCCAAAGCTACTGTCATTTGCAGAGAAAGGGCTTCCTATAAAGCTGCAACATCTGTCAATTAGTATGTGCAGTAATTTGAAGGAACTGCCTTGTGGGCTACACAACTTGACCTCTCTTGAAGAGTTGAATGTTTCAAAGTGTCCTAACCTAGTTTCTTTTCCTGAAGAGAAGCTACCAAGCTCACTAAAGAACTTGAGACTTTCAGCATGTGCTAACCTCGAAACACTTCCTTCGTGTCTCCATGAGCTCCCAAATCTTGAATCTTTGAGTTTGCATTCTTGTCAAAAACTAGCATCCTTACCGGTTTCAGGATTATCTGTCTCGCTTCGTTCATTGTCTATCGTGGAGTGTGCATTATTGGAAGAGAAGTGCGCAAAAGGTGGTGAAGATTGGGCAAAGATAGCACATATTCCAAAAAGGCACATTTCATCGTTATGAATGATGTCCAAGATTGGAAATGAAGCTGCATGTGGAGGACAAAAAGGAAACGAATTTCCTGGCCTGAAGGCATTCTGCTAATTATTCCAAGAGAAATTTGAAACATAAACTGTTTTTTTTTTTTTTTTGTTGGAATTGTTAGGACTTGTATCTATTCCATGTAAGTTGTCTTGTATCTATTCCATTTAAGTTGTGAGAGATGGGGAAAGGATGAAAAAAGGGTTGCTTCTGGGAATTTAATTACAGAGTTTTTTGATGGAGAACTGATCTCCTCCTCAAAAACTGAAAATTTGGTTACATTTCAAACAGTGTTCTTTCAAGTACTTGAGAAGATAATAGTCAAATAGATTGAGCATATGAGCACCGCAGCTTCTTTCACGTGAGTCTCTGTCTTCTCTCGCGTTCACTTTATATGTTACATTGAATTAATATTTCTATTATACACAATAAAATTTCTCCAACATTTCATTGGTTTATAAATTTCTCTAACTTACTGTGTTATGAACATTTTAATTTCAAAAATTTGAAGTAATAATAGTAAGTAGCTGCAGTAAAACTAAAATTTAACATTAGACAGGGTGATACTTTATCCTCGAAAATGAAAACCTACAAAAAAAATTTCAAAATGAGGATGTATAATAATGTTTGCAAATGGGGTTCAGAAAGTTGAGAACACAGAGCAGGCCATTGTCACTCTGAGGAGTCCACATCATGTCATCTAAGACTTATTCAAGGCGTCATTAAGTAGCTTCAGCCTTTCACACAACGTCAGAATGGACCAAAGCACACAAACTTAGGAGTCTAACAACTTTGATAACTTGTAGTTTTAGGATAAAGAACTGTCAAATGTTCAAACGGTAAATAACTACTTATATCACACTATATATAATATACTTCCAACGTGCATATTTCTTCCATTTCAAGCTGCATTGAGTCCTCGAGGAATTTCAAATTCCCACTTGACAAATATTAAACTTGGGCTGACAATAAAAGAAAAGCTCCGCATTACCAGTAAATCCATACATATTGTCAACATCAGCAAGACAAGCATGGAAGAGATAAAGGAAGGAATTACCCTTATGAAAATCACAAGTGCCTAATTTTTTCATTGAGAGGCTTCTATTTCCTCCACTCCCGCATCAGCAGACCCGTTGTTCGATGCATTATCGGTGTTGTCAATGCAAACACTACTTTTACACTGGTGAGGATAGATCTTCCTGCTTTTTACAATCTCAGGCAAGCACCCCATTGACGGTTTTGCTATGCCTAATGCCTTCTGTTCACTTGGTAGCATAGAAGAAGCGGGTGAATCAGGTGTGTCAGGATGTTTTCCTGACAACTCCAAAGGTCTTTGAAACAGCAAATGAGCCACAGTTCGATCTAAGGGATTGGTCTCCGTTTCTGCTTCAGGTATCTTAGAATTCCTAAGATGTGCATGAAATTTTAATGTAAGCAATGAAAGCAAAATGAGACCATTAGGATAATAACAAACTGATTACTTCTGACTTAGAAGGCAAAAAACATGTTATGTTTTTTTTTTTTTTCTGAAACATGTATCCACTCTTAAAATCAGTACTCTCTCTATTAAATTCTAAAAGCTCTATGTTCTGAATCTAGAATTCAATTTTGAAGACCTCCTGCTGACTCTAGCTAGGATCCCATCTTTAACACACTTGATCACATGTACCATGGGAAACAGCGACAGAACAAAGTGCATCAAGAAGGTTTTGACCAATTACATCGCTTAAATTATTTTTTCCTCTCGTATTATTCATGGCATTAGTGTTCTCATTGCTAATCCAGAAACTCCCAAAGTCATGCACTATACAAAGTGCTCCTACTAATTTAGGCATCACCAAAAACAGAACCTACAATTTGCTGAAATTTTAAATTGAATAGAAGTGTAAGAAAATGAGATGTGGTAGCATGTTTTACTTATAGGACATGAAATTAAAATGGAAATACTGCTGGCAAAGCAGACAAGAACCATTAACACCACCAGAAGACTCTAACTTCACCTTCCCCATAAGATTGATAAAACAGAAATAACAAAGATTTGAAAATATAAAGCATGAGAAGCATCTCAAATCAATCAACCTGTTATGACCACTGGTTTCCTCTTTTGCAACAACCTGCTCATCCCTGCTACTATTGTTGGTACTGCTAGTATCACTAGCATAATGCCTTTGCATTGCGCTTTGAGCCAGTCGGAACAAGCTATCCCGTATGCAAAGTCTAATTCTGACATCCAGCTGCAGTAAAAAATTGGATTGCGTTGAAACTAAGACCAAATTACTCTACCAGGAAAAAAAGCCAGTATACCTTTGCAATAATATCCTGAAGTCGGTAGAGCACAGTATCCTCTGCTGAGTAATCATTAACTGCCAGAGAGATTGTATTGGAATCATCTTGTTCAACAGGCGAGTTTGGATCGAAAGCAGGAAAAGTGGTCAAATCCTCCACCTCTAGGTCAGCTCCCTCAACATGCTGGGTTTGATTTTCTTGGGAATGTTTTTGAGTGATAGAATGATCACAACAGGAAACTTGGTGACCAAACTGCTGCTGCTGTTTCTGAATAGCAAGCATCGCCTGCATTTGCTGCCGTTTTCTTAATTTTTCAATTTTTTCTTGAGGTGTCATGGCCTGACGTTTCACTGGTGAGTCGGCTAACTTCTTTACAGCATTTGCATTACCTGAAGAAACTTCATAACCAGAAAGCAAAGATTGCCGCTTCAATTCCCTAGATTGAATGTGCGATAGCACAGGCATGGCAGAATATGGATTTGTAACAGTCCCATATGAAGAAGAGGCCACTAATGGGTTTGAAATCTGTTGATACTGCAATGATTCACATCCTTGTAGTGGCCTTGGTTGACCAAGAATGGATGGTGAAGAATGTAAAATGGTGGGAGCAAATTGATTCTTGAATTGGCCAGGTAAGTTGCCAGCTGAAGACCAGTCACCATACATATCTTGATAAGGTGTTAATTCATGTTGTTCTTCCAGCTTTTTCCGACTTTTCAAGGGTTTTTTGTGCTTATAAACCTGCTCATATGAAAAATAAAAAGGATAAACATTTAAACCACTAGTATAGATTGAAATTTCGACTTTCGGGTTGGTGGGCAAGAAAGATAGAAAAAGGCAGATTTGGACTTGAAATTTAGCATGCTAGATGTATGCCAATGAATAATATCTCAAAAGCTTGTTATCCTATGTTGGAAAAATTTTTGCTCAATGCAGTTTTATGGACAAGAAAATGTATTGCAAGACTTATTGTGTTCCTCCAAATATTCAACATCCAAAAAAGAAAAAGAAAAGGAAAAGAAAAAAAAATCTGTGTCAAAGAATCAAAGCTAAACAAATATGAAGGAAATGCTCAACAGTCAAGGAGGCACTGTCATTGCCAAGTTGAAACATGTTGGCAATAAAATATTAAAAACAAAATCATGTCCTGTATAAAGTTGTGCATCACAACCTGTTCCCTGTAGTTCTACCTCTTTTTGTTTTTCTTTTCATTTTTTTCCCCAGAATTGAATACTTCAAAATCCAAATTATATGTTCAATGTATGTAAGAAAACCTTATGCGGGTGACATAATTTACTGAATATTAAATAATAAGATTGAAAGGATAAAAAACCAATCAGTTGGAGGCGAACCTTATCCGCCAATTGATTTGATGAGACAACATTTTCAGCAGTAAGCTGAGAGTTTGCTGTAGTGTTCTTTCCCATGACAGTCAAATCCCTCTGCAAAAGGCAAATTAAAAATTAAGCTCAGTCCCCTCATTAGGCAAAAAAAAAGAAAAAAAATTATATATTTAATCATTGCTCAAACTTTTTTACTCCTGATACCTGTTCCTTCATCATGGGCTTATTTTTACCTCCAGCATATTCTACATGATCCAGGACAGCACATGCATTCTGCACAACGTGAGATGCAGGATCGTTCACTTTCCCATAGTCGAGTGTAAATGGCTCATCATCTTCTTGTACATACTCAGTTTTAATCTCAAAATTCTCAAATGTATTCCTTAAAGGTCCCAACCCCAAAGGTGGAGAGTCTGCATAAATAGGAAAGGACTTTCCCGGACTGTTGGTTACATCTTTGGAAGAAGACCAAAGCTCATCACCACTACTGAGAGTTACAGAGCCAAATATGGGATCATCATTGCTGCAAAATCATCACTTGTGAGGATATTCAGTCAGATGGTTATCTTTGCATTGCACAAGGAAAAAGAAAAGAAATTAAGTTATAGGAGCAATTTTTAATATGAGTTAAACAAGAGCAGGAAAATGCTCCAAGCTTCCATCATTGACAAGCTCACCAAACTCCCAACAAATTCACAAGATAAATTTAGAGAAAATGACTAAGACATCAGAGAACCTCCCTACATTATGCTTAATTTTCAATTTTCTGAAACAAAAACAGAACATATGTGAAAATGTTTCATCTATGTTTAAAGACTGCTGAGGTTCCAAATCAGGACAATGTCAAGACAATGCTTCATTAAGGTGCAGCAATTAATCAGGTATGGCCCGATCAGTACCACCCTACTTTTACGGTATGGGGAGGTGGGTAACTCATGTTAGAGTCTCTCCTTTCTCTGTAACTGTTCCCGCATGGCAAAGGTGTTAGGATAGTGCAGTATGTGGTGTATTCCTGCCTGCTAAAGACCTACAAGCCCCCGTACTAGGGCACTCCCCCACCCTCATTCTCTGGCAGCCCACTAACCTCTGACAGCTGACTGTATTGCATTAATATAAAAGAAAGAAAGAGAAGAGTGTAGGAAAATGAGAAAAGACACTGGTTTACCTGAAAATTCGATCAAGGTCATCAAAGCTTCCAATGTTAGCCCAGCCATAATCAACAAAATCACCTTGTTCTTTATCTTTTTGAAAAGTTCCAGCTTCCTTATCAAGTTGAACTGCATCTGCTGTAAGAAAATCCTATTATTAAAACGGTGCCATGATACAACACATCACGCTATCTACTTTTATTCTAGTAATTGATATATCACCACCTCCAGAAGAATCAAATTTTGTAATTTCAGTTAAATTATTAGATACTGACGTATCCAAGGACTCCTGGTGAGTTTTGGCAGCAGTTGATAAGGACAAGTTGGGCCATGAGTCTATGCCAAATCCCAAGGTAGAAGCTCCTTCACTGGAATCAAAATTTGAACTGCTTTGCAGCTTTCTGCCATGGATATCAATTTTAGTGCCAGTTGCTTTCTGCTCATTAGACTTGATGTTATTAGCTTCTTGGCTCCATTTCTTCTTTTTGCAAAAGTCTCCACTTGCCTCTGGATATGGAACAATATGGTCATCGCTCTCAGCAGCCTCATCCCATATTATATCTGTAAGCTGAAAAGGTACTAGAGTTAAGTACCATTGAAATAAATTGTCCAGGACAAGAACAATTGTCACGACCAATTATAGTTGGCAATATTTATATTTGAAGTTTTACAATTGAAGCAGTGTTGTCCGTTCTCTATGTCTGTGTGTGTGTAATTAATCAAATTTTTATGCAGCAAAGGCAGATTTAGAGGACTCTGAAGACAAACAATAATGCCTTAACAGCAGTTCTTTTTTCCTTTTCTTTTTTGCAGATATCCCATGCACTCTATGGACTTTACAGAGAAGGTATGCATTCCTTCAGTAAATGCGTTTTTACTAAAGCAACTAATAAGAGAAAAAATTATCAGCTGAAAACAAAGGTCTCATGCATTGGAATTATGTTCTAGAGGAGCAGAATGTATCTACGAAAATAAGTAGCAAATTCTAAAAAGGACAGAGGAGTAGCTTCTATGTGGTTCTTGATGGAACTAGTGAGACTAACAGAACTTGGAAGGATCAAAATGAAATCAATGAGCTAGAAAATTACATGTGTACATCATAGATAAAACACTTGATTTACTAATTGAAAAGGTGGATGGACTGAATATGAGAAATGGCTCTCTTCTTCCAGCTGAAAAGTAGAGAGAGAGAGAGAGAGAGAGAGAGAGAGAGAGAGAGAGAGAGAGGGGAAGCGAAAATCAAAATGAAATCAATTGAGCTAGGAAAAATTGACATGTTACATTCATAGGATTAAAACACTATTTAACTAATCTGAAAAGGTGGATGGACTGAACTATGAGAAAACTGCTCTCTGTCTTCCAGCTGAAAAGTAGAAGAGAGGAGAGAGGAGAGAGAGAGAGAGAGAGAGAGAGAGAGAGAGAGAGAGAGAGAGCCTCAGGGTCTCTCTAGCCCAAGTGGCTAGAAGGAGATATATGCTCAATACCCTCTAGATACAATACCAATTTCCATGTGGAACAAGAGAAGGTTCAATAGGTTTCTCAAATTTTTAGTATGACATCTGCTCAAGCTGAAAGGAAGAAGTAAACAAATGATAGAACGTCACAAATCTAATTTTCCTCCTATAAGCTCAGACCTAGTAAATTCCAATCGATCTTCTAATACCAAAACCTTCAAAAATAATCTGAAATTTTCAAGCGTTGGTCTCACCACGTAGCACATTATACCATATCCATCCTGCATCCTTAAAATTTATCTCACATTCGTAACCGTGGTTCTGGATCAACTTACAGAAACTGTTCCTACCCTTTCCTTCATAAAGTTCCAAAGTTCATGGCTTCATCTATTTATTGCCAAAAGATAACTCTTTACATGAGGTGAGCGGTATAGGAAAAGCCATCAAACTAGAATCTGACTTGCTATCCATTTTCTCAAAAAGCTCATAGAAAAAGTCATCACGCTAGAATACCACTTGCCATCCATTTTCTCAAAAATTCACAAAGAACCCGAGCTCCAATCGTCTTCAATAAAGCATCCAGCAATTTATAATTGAGATTTTCCTTCCTAGCAAAAAGTCTTATATTCAATTGTCTCAACAAGATCTACAGAACCACAAGGATATTCAGAAGTTTTCACGAGAGCTACAAACTCAAATTATCATCCATGCATGATCCATACTAAATCTGACCAACTGCTATTCATCTCCTCCGTGGATATGTATGTTGCCCTTGAATTCCTTCTTGAAAGAAAGCATAAGCAACGAATTTATCCAAATACTAATCGTAGACCCACAACATTCAAAAAAATCCTCTCACCATCATTTTTTTTTCCTTGTGCTTGGTAACATCAATGGCTTCCTTGTCACAATCACCTTTTTTCTTTTTCTCCTAAATGTCTTACTGAAACTCCATTCTAAGTGTAGGCTAAATTAATAGCTTTAAGTGGAGCATGCCACTTTGAATTCCAGAACGCCATTTCATCGTTTCCACACTGCATAATCCTTTCACAACCATTGATCATTCAGTAGTAGACCACAAACCACACTTTTGAACCGAACTCAATTGTTCAAGATGTACTCATCCAACATTTCCACACTGTAAACTAAGTTACAAACATCACTTATAGACACAGACAAAACTTTGATGAACAACCAGAAATGCTGATACTAAGAAAGGCAAATAATAGTGCAGCCCTTCAGATCAGGAATTTTGAGGAATTAACGATGTAATAAAATACACAGAAAAAGGTTCTATGGAGACAAGCATTCTAAATAACACCAGAGAAATCTAATCCAAAAGGCCATTGACCGAGATGTCTCCCACATATAATGTTAAACACTCAAGAAACCGAGAAACCAACCAAAAAAAATTCAACTGTATACATATAACGAGCAATAAACAACTGGATTTTCTGCAACAATGATACACATACACGTACATGTACGTGCCAAAAGAGAAAAATAAAAATAAATAATAAAAAAAAAAAGAGAAGGGAAAAAGGCGAAAATGGGTTACCTCTTCGTCGTTCCAATCAAACATCGCTAGAAAAACCAGAACAAAACTCAAAACGAAAATCCAATTCAAAAACACGCTCGTGAATTATTCCACACATCGCCAATCTCTCAATAAATTTCTCAGAATAAACAAAGCGATGGCACCAAAGAAAGCATCAAAGTCAGAGCCAATCACAGACGAAAAAAAAATGAACTTTTAATTTTCACCCATAGAGTAAGCTGGAATCGAAAAGACAGGCGCGCAAAAGAGCTTACAGTAACAGAGTTTTCCAGAGAAGCAGAGGTTAGCGGGGAAGGACTAAGTGGAGCCCAATTCACGTGATTGTCGCGTGGGAGTGATTGGCTAATTAGGTGACACGTGTGACGAAGTATCTAAATGTGTGGTTGGGAAAGAGGCAGATCAAATACTTGAATCTGATTGGATGATGCTGAATTTCATTTGCATTTGATGTGAATTTGAATTTTGTTAGTGCACCTAAATTGTGGTTGAGGTTGATTTGTGGATCGCTTTCGTCATTTTCGTGGGTCGGCTGTGACCAAGTGCTCTTATCTACGTTTTCTCTGTTAAGGATTTAGAGACTGATTAAATTAAGCAATGTCTGTGTTAGGGATTGTAAATTAGGGATTAAGTCATTGACTATTGATATCATTGCCATTATTCAATGTTCAATTCAACAAACAGCAAACAAGCTGGCCTCTTAGATTTTTGACTAGTGTCTTCATTCAAGAATATACAAAAAAAAATACGTCATTTACTATATTTTTCTTCGTATCTGATCTACTCATTAGTTTTATTAATACGGAAAGTAGAAGATTTTGAGACGATGGATTTATCATTTTTGAACAGGGGTAATTTTTATTAATGTTATAGTTGTATAAAATAATAGACATATTGAATTAAGAACATTCTTAATTATTGGACTTTTTTAATTGATCAGAGACTATGGCAACACAGTTTGATTGTCCTACGTTGGATGTATAATTTTGTGTCCTGACTCCTAATATTGAAAAAATGAAAGAAAGTGCTATTGTTTAAAAATGTAGACTTGCATGAGATTGAAAAATAAAATAAAATGAAAATGCTATTGGGCTCTGGTGGGCTATATGTAGTTTCAGGGTGTTAAAGAAGTTGGGGTTTGGGCTGGGCCTGCAAGATCTCGATCAAGAAATAAAATTAAAAAAATCGACTTCACTGGGGATCGAACCCAGAATCTCTGGTTCCGTAGACCAGCGCCTTATCCATTGGGCCATGAAGTCCTTAACATTTGAGTTTCATGACAAACATATATAACAAAAATACACAAGGCAATCATTAAAAAACAAACCAGGTTGACTAATAGGCCAAAAGTAATTGATATTTTCAAAGTGGAGATGATTTTGGAATGCGTAACAGATAAAGATCCAGAGTGGTTTATCTTTTGACGAAACAACATTTTGTAATAATTTCTAAAATGGATATTTTATATTTGAAAATTATCTATGATGTGAGATTATAGTTACTTTATAAAAGAAACACTTGCTGTGAAGTAGAAATTGCCTACGTTGGAAGAGTCCCTACTTGCATTTTTTTTCAAAAAAAAAAAAAAAAAAAAAAAAAAAAAACCTACGTTGAAGAAGTCCCTTACTGCATTTTTTTTCAAAAAAAAAAAAAAAAAAAAAAAAAAAAAAAAAGAAAAAGGAGAGAAAAAGTCCTTCTTGCACCTAATTATGAACAAAAAGTAAAAAAAAAAAAAAAAAAAAAAAAAAAAAAAAAGGAGAGAAAAGTCCTTCTTGCACCTAATTTATGAACAAAAATCAAAGTTAGGACCACAATATATAATTAAAAAAAGAAAGAAAGAATGAAAATAAATTATGAGATAATGTTAAACTATGCTGTCATCATGTGGTAGATAATGCCATGTATGTGACAACAATTGAAAGAACCTTTTTTTAATATTGGACCAATAAAAAATTTTAAGGTAGTTGTAAGCAGCTTGGAGGGCACCAATAAGGAGAATCTCTTGTCGCTAATTGTTAATTCTTTTTTAGATCTTATCCTCTAATCAGGGGCCGAAAAGTAATATACAATTTAATTAAAAGAAAAATCTATTTAAAGAGAGGATAGACAACAGCCGCCTTCTACGTTCTTAATTAGGTCTCTACTTATTTCGATTCGATCTATTTATATATATGTATACTAGAAATACTATCAAAAAAATTATGTTTCATTGATTTGATCGGTGAATGGATACGAGTTTAGAAAAGTCAACCGCTCTTGATTACATGATTAACAAGTTTAATTAGAATCGCCAATCGAATCAATTTTTGTATATGGTACAAGATATTATGCTAAACTAGAATATTAATGCTTTTATGTAATTTAAAACATAATTGGTAATTACTAATTAACTATAGCTATGACGACAAGAAAAATTAAGAATGCAAAACAAACGTATGTTCACAGCTAAACTGCCCGGAAAAGAGAGATGAAGAGAATTCGATTGACGAGAATTTTGGTCAATTTTGTATAAATATGTTATAATAATGCTAAATAATTGTGATTTGATTAGAAAAATGGATGGTAGGAAGTTATTAATTTGGTGTTGTGAAATTTATCGTATTATTTCGGCCTATTTTGTTTCCGTGAATTAAAAAAAAATATTACCGTAACAAAATTTCATTGGCTTGTAAAATTATGTTAAATATAACTCTTTATTTTATTTTTTTTTTTATAAAATTTCTAATTTGGCAGAAGGAACCAAACATATCCTAGACACAAACTGCCAATCAACAATGAAATTCCTCATATTTTATTGTAGAATTAATGTTTTGGAAAATGAAATGTTAAGATAATAACAATGTTTTGGGAAATGAAATGATCCTCCTAACATTAAAAAAATTAAAAAAAAAAAGTTGCAATTGGGAATTATCACTTGATACACGTGAGAAAATGCTTTCGTGATTGTATAGTTTCTTTGTATTTCTGGATACACTTAGACTCAAATTCTTTAAATAAAAAGTCGAGTATTTTACTTTCGTCTTATGAGCCTAACGCGGTTTAATTCGGAAGAATACATCCAAGTATAAACTAGGAAAATAACTTTTCTTGAAATTTTTTCCTACCCTTTTTATTATTGTCTTTATTCCCTTCTTTTATGGTAAAGAGTAGGTGTGAATGATTCGTCAGCATGAGTTGTAGTCTCTCCTTTTTGGTAATTCACTCAAGGATTTTGAACGTTGAGCCTTAATAACCAAATCCAGGTATGCTTTTCACACCGCAGCTTCAAAAAATGTCAATACAAAGCAAAACACGGTAAGTGGGCTCGCTGGACAGCTCTTCACATGCCTGCCTTGCCAAATATCCAATGGACACATTTTTCACATCCTAATCTTGAAATTTTCTATCTCAATTAGGCTAAAAGTCCAATATCTTAATCCAAATTGGCACTCTCATAATTAATAATAATTAATTAATTAAAAGATGGTCGCATGTAACAGCAAAGGGCAGGTGAACAGATGGACGATGCTGATTATTTTTACTATTTTAGTTTGTTTTCTGTTCATTTGGAAAAAAAAAAATACTATCCGTATGAAGTTCACTCTGTTGGCGTTCTTGTCTATGTAAGATATTGGTGTATTGTAAGAACAAACAAGTACTATAAATAAGAGTAACACCCAAGTCTCCTTCCCACTCAAAAAAGTTTTTTTCTTTTGTAGAAAGAGAGATCGGAAATTTCTGTGAGCTAAAACCATGGCTACCATTGTTGTTCCTGCCAATGTTTCTTATGTTGAAGATGCTGAGACTCTCAGAAAAGCTTTTGAAGGTCTATATTCTATTAGATATTCTTTCAATGATTCTATCTCCTGTGTTCTTAAATTTTGCTGTTCATGATCAGTGATCAATTGACCATGCATGCTGTTCTTTGATTTTGATTTTTTTTTGAAGTATCTACTTTTGATGGTTTGATCTCTGATCATACAAATCTAATTTAAATCCATGATCACCTTCTTTATCCTGAAAAGTAGACATTAAAAAGACATTTTATTTAGCAGTTGATGGGTTATTAATTTTTCTCTCTAAAGTTTCAACCTTTTCTTTTTCTTTGTTGTTTTTTTTGGTTAATCATCATTTTTTATGCAGTATCCAAGAAATGAGAAAGAAAGACTGATATTGGTATTTTTGTTTTTGATTTTTGATCTTGTAGGATGGGGTACCAATGAGAAGGCAGTGATTGCAGTTCTTGGTCATAGAAATGCAGTTCAAAAGAAGCACATCAGGCAAGCATATTGGGATCTTTACCAAGAGGATCTGGTTAAGCGTCTTGAATCTGAGCTCGGTGGAGACTTTGAGGTGATCAATTTATTAATCAATACCATCAGTTTATCATTTTCATTTCAATTTGCACAATTTGTTTGATCTTGATTATATATACACCTAAATGAAGTTTATGATTTTATTCGTCAATATAGAGAGCTATGTATAGATGGATATTGGACCCAGAAGATAGAGATGCAGTATTAGCTAATGTAGCTCTAAGGAAATCTGGTGATTTCCATGTTATTGTTGAAATTGCTTGCGCCCGATCTGCAGAGGAGCTTTTGCTGGTTAGGAGAGCCTATCAGGCTCGCTACAAGCATTCTTTGGAAGAAGATGTAGCTACCCATACCACTGGTGATATCAGGAAGGTATGTTAATTACTTAATACAAGTCATTTACTTTGATTTGTGTCTGTATTTTAGGCTTGTTATTGATGATTCTGTATATTCTGGTTATTTTTGCAGCTATTGGTTGGGTTGGTGACAGCATTTAGGTATGAAGGTGCAGAGATAAATACAAGATTGGCAAAATCTGAAGCTGATGTTCTTCAGGAAGCAATTAAGGACAAACACTTCAATCATGATGAAGTTATCAGAATCCTCACTACAAGGAGCAAGACACAGCTCAATACTACTTTCAATCACTTTAAAGATGACCATGGCACTTCTATTACTAAGGTATAGACCAAATTGGTTTCAACAGGTTGGACACCAAATTTTCCTACAAAGTTGAATGTTTAATTTGATAATTGTTGTTTAGGCTTTGCTGGGAGAGAAAGCTGACAATGAATTTGTAAGATTGTTGCGCATAGCCATTCGAACCATGAACGAGCCTCTTAAGTACTATGAGAAGGTAAAATTTACTTCATTTATATATCACAGTTTCCATTGCAGAATATTGAATTCTTAATGAACTGAAGTGGGTTGGTTGAACTTGCCCTATAGGTATTGCGCAATGCTATTAAAAGGATTGGGACAGATGAGGATGCGCTCACTCGAGTGATTGTCACAAGAGCAGAGAAGGACTTGCTGCATATTAAGGAACTCTACCACAAGAGGAACAATGTGCCTCTTGATCATGCAGTGGACAAAGAAATTCATGGAGATTACAAGCATTTCCTCCTTGCTCTGCTTGGACACCAGGACTAAGTTATCTCAGTGATTGAGAGTTCTAAGTTGCTAATAATAATGGTTTTGTTTGAGTTTGTTGCTGCGAGGCTTTTATTTTTAAGGTTGTCTTGTTCTTGAATTTCTATCTTGCTTGAGACAATATGTATTATCTTTTATGTAATAACTGTTTCTTTCTCTAAGCATCCATGTTTTCTTTCTTAATTGAATGATTGTTTTGTTCATCCAAGCAAGAACCCAAATACTACAAATTTGCATTTGTTCTCTTCATCCATTCTTTTAATTATCGAAACATAGCTGAGCTGCGATGTGACAGGGAAGGGATGATGCTTAATCAAAGGAAGAAATTTAATCTTTTTAGGCCGGAAATGTGACAGGGGAGGTGCGAACAGGAGGAAGAAATTTAGTTTGTTTAAGCTTTTCTTCGAATAGTACTCAGCCACGCATATAAAACAAAGATCAAGAATAATAATAAAAAAAGAAAATAATCACATTTTCAAGTCAAAATTTAATCATTTCATTAAAATCCACCTAATGTCAGTGCCTCTCCTGTTAGTTCCATTTGCAGTGTCTTCATTTTCTTCAACAGAGCGACTCTGAACTCTCATTTTATCCCTTGGAGATTGTTCTTTTTAAATTTTAAGCATCTTTCTTCTTCTTCTTATTATTATTTTTAGTCATCAAACATAAAAAATACACTGAAGTGTGACAGGGGAGAATTTATCCCAAAAATAATTTATTAATGCTTATTTTTCTAAACACAATTCACATACTCCACAAGAGAAATTAAATATCAAGAAAACAACATATTGATTCAAGCAACATTCTAATAATTTCATAAAAATAATTAGTTCTCTCTTGTTATCAGGGCAAGCAAGAAATCCCTGTAGTTTCCATTTGCAGTTTCGTTAATTTTCTTGGATAGAGCAATTCCATATAGTTTGTTGTAGTCTTCGTCAATCTCCTTCAAATCCACATCTGCTCTGCTTACAATTACTCTTGTTAGTCCCATTTTGGTTTGATGATCAGCATCATTTCTCATTGCCTCATCCACAACCTGAAAGTACATTTCATATGCAATTAACCCATGAAAAATCCAAAAAATTAATGTAAAAAAGTGAATTATAATAAATTAATTAACTTAATTACCTTGCAGAAATATGCCTGAGGAGTACATAAGCATTCAATTGTCTCCTTTAAGATCAAGTCAGCACCTTCAAGAGCCTACATAAAACATGACAGGGATTATCAGACATTAACTATGAACATATGAACTACAATTCTTTCATTTTAAAAGTATACCTCATTGATGCTTTTGCCAGAAACTTCCTTGTAGTGTCTGTAAATTGCCTGGATATGGAGCTTGCTTCTTGTTGATAATATTCTAATCACCTCTTCATCCTCCATTGGGTTCTTCTTGTCACCATTTTTAATTCCATTAGCAAATATTTTAGCTTCAAATTTTGCAGTTTCTTCCTTAACCATTGGCCCTTCGTACCTATATGCACTCACTAGTGCTACTAAAAGCTGATCATAACACAAAACACAAAAGAAAAAGAAAATCAATCTGACAAATCTCTGCTTCAAAACTTCCCTGAAAATGGGGATTTGAGTGTATTATTATACCTTACGCTCACTGGTAGTGACATGAGCAGCAACATGTTCTTCAATGGAGTGATCAAACAGGGAATGATAAGCTTTTCTTGCTCCCAAAAGATCTTCAGATGATCTGGTGCATGCAATCTCTACAATAACACCATAGGACTGTGGACCTTCCTTCAAGGACTCATATATCAAGCGAGCATCTCTTTCCCATGGATGCATGGCCCATAAAACCAGTGCATTCTAAACAGCCATTGATGCAAGAAAAGATCAGTTAGCAATCTCTGTAACGATTTCTCAGTGGTGGAATTGGAAAACAGAGAAGAAGATATACCTCAAACCGAACAAATTCATGCCTGAGAAGATTCATACGGTGACTATCCCATCGTTCAAAAGAACGTTCATCTTCAATGAACAAGTGAGGAGTTCCTTTTCTAAATGTTCTTCTATGCTCAGGATGTGATTTTCCAAGAATTGAGATTAGTGAATTCTCATCAACTCCAAGTCCTGCCATTAAAGAACACTTATATTCTTCATATTAAGAAACTACAAAGAAAAAAAAAAGGAAGAATACAGAATAGTAGAAAATTAACCTGAGAAAGCCTTGGAGAGAGCTTCCAGTTCTTCAGGATGAGCCATGTCTGATACCCTTTTCTTTTTCTGAAAATTATGCTTTATTGTGTTTTGTAGCAGGAGATGCAAGAAGGAGAAAGATATTATCTTACATTTATATGAATGTCAGAGGTTATTGTTGTCATTTGAAAAATAAAGGGTAACTTAAAATTGTTATAAGAAACAATAATTGTGAAATAATACAAAGGAAGCGAAACTGAAGTGAAGCAAAATGACCTGTGACTCCTTAAAGTTGTTAAGTACTTTTAATTTTCAAAGCTTAAAATAACTATTCCAGACAGATGTTATAAAATTAATTAATTAATTAAGAAAAAAGTAACGGTCGAATTTAAAATTCAGTTAAAAAACAAGGCGCTGGCATGACAACTTTATTAGTTTTTTCTTTTGCTGTAATTTCCAACATTTTTCAATCTTTGCGACTGAACCCTATTTCTTTCATAGTACAGAATTCTTACCACCCAATTTTGTTTTTTTTGCATTCATACCCTTCATACTTATTTAGATATGGTAATTGATTCAATTCAAAATTGTAAAATCACCAAAAACACTCTGATTTCACAATGTACACTCAATATATTTCTCTCTTTTTTTTAAAAAAAAGGTAGTAATTTTATATACTGAAATAGAATTTAATTTAAATATAAATTTTATATATTTCTGCATCTTGTCAATGAACTTGACCATGGTAGGTAGATTTGGATAGCTATTGACTCAAATTTAATTAATTAATAATCACAAGTTGCATGCATATATTAAACTTTCTATTTAATAATTAACTGATTAGTAATGGAGAAGCAAACAAAATTAGGTACATAAAAAAATATGTTATGTTAGTTCAGAGATAAGCTTTTGGCATTCACATGAGCTGTTTTGCATTTGACTATAATAATTAAGGATTAAGAATAATTGGAAATTAGTACTCATACATGTATATTTATATATTTTTACTTAAAATATACCAACCGAGCGAGGATAATGACATATATATAGATAAACGTTGCGTTAAATCTCGTATTTGATTATAAAATCGAACATATATAATCATTGTACGACCTGAAATGATATTCACGTAAAGTTCTTTTTTCATATATCAAATCTTTCTATTTTCATTAATTCAATCACGTGTTAATGTTTTTTTAGTAGTTAGAAAAGCCCATCAATTATAATTGATTGACATGTGAGACCAACAAAAAAACAAAAAAAGATTAGATACAACTAATTTCTAAAACGTTTTTAATTCAATTGATAAGATATGTTGACTCATCGGAATCCGATGTTAATGATTTGATGAGCTGTTTGCTTCTTTATTTTCCGGTGGGTCACTCCTATAATGTAATGTCTTTCTCTTGCTTTACATGTTAGGGCTTTCTTTTCTTTGTTTTTCATTTCCACTTAGGAATTTCTTGGCACCTTCCTATTCTTCTTTCTTCCTTTTTTTTTAATTTTCTTTAAAACAACTTTCAAATTCACGTTTTTTTATGGACATTTCATATCAAAAGTGTGTTTCCACCTTCGCTATAAATTTATAATCGTCGTACCCATCTGATACATTAAATTAATTAAAATAATTTTTAAAATTTAAACGATATTAATTTATGAACATTAACTGAAAACAAAAATAATAATATTAAAAATAATTTTTAATTGATTTGATATATTGACAGTGCTATGTACTCGTATAACCAATCTTATCCATAATAATATTTATTCAACTAATAATATTATTAAAATTCGTTTAATCTATTATCATTGAATTTCTCAATAATTAGATTTGAAAAGGTAATTTCTATCATTAGATAAATGATTGAAAAATAATTTTCAATCATTAAATAAATGAGATGGCAAAAGACAATTTTCAATTAAAAAATTATAATAATTTAAATTATCATATTAAATTATAATATATTCTGGTTTTTTATTTTATTTTATTTTATTTTCAGATTATAGGTTGTGTTTGACAACTGAAATCTCCAAGTGGTAATTATTATCTCTTAGACATCACAAATATTTAATAGCTCACCAAGATACTCAAAAATATTTTATAATTCTGCATTTGTCAATCTACTAGAAAATTAGTGAATATCAACAGTTCAGGGTCAAAATGATAAAATGAAAAAAGTTGATGGGAATTTCTACAATTATACCAAAACCTAAAGGCGTTAGGCCTCGATCCTTGCTTGGTATTAGGAGGGAAAATAGAAACAGAATCGGAAAGAAAAGAAACTGAAAAAACCGAAAATTGCAATAACTTACTTCTGATGTAATTCATTGTTTTAGCTGTTTTTTTAATAATCCATTAAATCAAAAGCCCGCGTGTTTGTTTCCAGAGAAAACTCTTGGAAGAAAATGGCTACTCTCAAAATACCAGACCCTGTTCCTTCCCCAACCGATGACGCTGAGAAACTCAGAAATGCTGTTCAAGGTCTGTGTATCATCTCCTTTCTCATTTCCCTTTCTCAGTTGTTAGAATTTCTTGATTTTCTTTTCAATTTTTTCTTTTCCCCATAACTTCCTCTGAGGTGATGGTTTCACGCAATTTTCAATTTAAGAACTTTTTATTTGATAGGCCATAAATGGACTTAATATTTCTCCTGCTGCTGTCTTCTATGGGTAACTGGTTATAGGATTAGGCACAGATGAGAAGGCGATTATACAGATATTAGGGTGTAGAAATGCAAGTCAAAGGAGGGAAATCAAAGAAACCTATCAGCAGCTTTACAAAGAATCTCTCACTGATCGTCTCCGTTCCGAGCTCTCTGGTGATTTTAGAGTATGAACTTTTTCATTATTCAAGTCAGTTCATGATTTTTCCCCCTCAAAATAATTCTTTTCTTAGAATCTGATTTCTGTAGAACATATAGTATTAAATTATTAAAATATGAGTGGCAAACCACCGACTGAAACATGAGTTTTGGTAAAAATTTGAGATCCCATTGCTCCCCAGTTTTGTAAAAGCTTCGATTGTTAGTAACTAGGCTTCTGTTTCATAGGGAATTTCATTCATGTCAATCACTTTATTCATGTCCACATATATGAAAACTTAAAGACTTTATTTGAATCCTTACAGAAAGCAGTAATTTTGTGGACGTATGATCCGCCAGAAAGGGATGCAAAACTTGCAAATAAGGTATTGAAAGGAAAGAAGAAAGGCGCCAAGCAATTGCAAGTGCTTGTTGAGATAGCATGTGCAAATTCTCCTCATCATTTGCAAGCAGTAAGGCAGGCCTACTGTTCTCTATTTGATTGCTCCCTTGAAGAAGACATTGTATCTGCTGTCTCTTTGCCACTTAGAAAGGTCAGTCACTCTCCTTAAAAACCCATATTTGGTGGAAAGTTAAGATAGAAAAAAAAAAAACGGTAGAGAAATGAATGTAATCCAAAGAACTGCATTTTGGATCCCCAATTCTGAAAGGAACCAAACATGGCACTTGACTGTCGATTATGTCGGCAGTGTTTATGATATAAGTGATTCTGATTTTTGCATTGGACAGCTTTTGGTGGGTTTGGTAAGCTCTTACAGGTATGATAAAGAACTGGTGGATATGAATTTGGCCAACTCAGAAGCAGCTAAATTGCATGAAGCTATCAAAGGAAAGCAACTAGATCATGATGATATAGTGTTTGTCCTCGGCACTCGGAATGTGTATCAGCTCAGAGCAACGTTCAAGTGCTACCAGGAAAACTTTGGAGCTCCTATTGAACAGGTTCAGCTTCTGCAATTTATCTGAGTTTAGAAAACATGATTTTCTTAGGAACTTTTCTAGAGGTTATCTTGTTGACTGATTTTCTTTGCAGGACATAAAGAAATGTGGAAAAGATGATTTGGAATCTCTGTTGAGAATTGTAATTTTGTGCCTTGATTCCCCAGAGAAACACTTCGCTGAGGTCATTGATTTTGATCCCTTGCGGATTAATTTTTCCATGAGAAAAAACACAACCATTGTTTTGAAGTCTTTAATTTTCTTCTCAGTTAGCAATTATTCATTTGTTGACAGGTCATTAGAACTGCCATCATTGGGCTTGGGACAGATGAAGATTCGCTAAGTAGAGCAATCATAACTCGAGCTGAAATCGACACGACAAAAATCAGGGGAGAGTATTTCAACATGTACAAATCTAAACTTGATGATGATGTTATTGGTGACACTTCAGGAGATTACAAAGATTTCTTGATGACCTTACTTGGTGCAAAAATCTGATTCAGTTTACCTGAAACTACTCTGTCTTCATCTCCATTGACACTGGATTGCTTATGCTGCTATTTATAAAATAAATGTTGTAATTGCTACTGGATCAAAAATCAAACTTCATTAGCATTATGCATGTAATGATACTAATTTCATCAATCAGATTGCTTGTAATGATTTCTTATAATTTTTCGTATGTCAATCTCTGGTTTGTGTAATGTCAAAAGAAAATTTGTAAACTTTGAAGTGAGTTAAGTGCAAGCCAGAAGCAACATTTATGATTTGGATGTCCAAGGACAACAAAATTCCTTATGTTTTCTACAATGAATCTGCTGAACATCTTTAGCAGTTGAACAAATGAATATGACCAAATCAGAAGTGGTTTTACAATCTTCTGAACATCTTTATGCAAGACATGTCTCAAATATGTTACATTGGGATGATTGTTCAATGAGAAGTGTCCAAATTTTTGTTGTTTCTTACAACAATTTTGGCCATCTAAATGACTTTTAGCATTCAGTTAACAAATGGGATTGAATCACATTACTGAGAAACTTCTACTTTTGACTCATGAGTTGTCCTCTTTCAGGAAATATTTGTATCAAAAAATCAAGAAAAGGGCCGGTAGAAAAGAAAAACTACTGACTGAAAAGGGCTGTCATGGAATTAAAATAACATAATACAACTATTTTCAAATATACCCTAATCGTCTTGAGTCAATATCTTTTTCAATCTTTTTTTTGCCAACTTAGTTCATTAAAAAGATATTTTAATAAAATATTAACCCTAATTATAATGATTTCACATAATTTCTTTCGTCATAGTAAAATTCTCTGAATGGACACTTAACATGGAACGGAGATAATACGTGCTAATGCTTTTTGTTTTTAGGTGGCAAAACTTTTTACAAATGGCAATTTGAAGCACATGTGAATGTGATTTTCTCATTACCTTTTTACCCAATCCTTACTTTATTAATCATAGACCCTTTTTAAAGGGCCTTTCTTATCACGTGCAATTTTTTTTCTCAATTTATAATTGCAGGCAAAAGATCAATCTTAACGAACAATGGGTTGACATTTGTGTGCAAAATCTTGAAGACAAGTGGTTTTTCTTGAAAAGGCTTTATTTAAAAGCATTGAGCCCTTTTGTCCCGTTTTGATGTTTGTTTCCCATCACGTAGTCCTTGGCCTAATCCAAATATTTTGGAATTTGATTAATAATAAATTATTCAAATGGGTTTCTTCTTGAATGAATTCAAAACCGAGTAATTTATTATTCAAATGTATTCAAAGTTCAATTTCATTGCTTGCAATACCAAAATGCAGAAAATGCAGAAACAGGGTAGTAAAACTCTGTTTTTGACTCGGTCCTTCCTTGTTCAATACCGCTCATTAAATGTGCAAGAAAAAATAGCAAAAAGAGGAAGATAACTGATCTTATTATTAAGAAACCAGGTCATAGCCGACTGATGACACTGACCTAGAAGATACCCTTCTCCACAAACCTCCAAACAAGAAACTTCCAATTTGCTGCCCAATAGTAAATCTTCTTATGTAGTTCCAAAATTAAAAGGAAAAAGGAGACTAACACTCTGTCTTTCATACATAAGTTTGTTTATTTGTTGGTTTCTTTTTGTGGGTTTCCTTCTATATTTCTTGTAATCCCGCCCAATACGGATTTAATGGATACACGAACACTTTCTTGGATTTTTATTGCAGTCAATTCAGGTTCATTTCCTCTTTATTTCTTCCAGTCTGAATTCTTTATCTTTCTCCCCTTGTTGAATTCTTGAATTATTTGATTTCTTTGATTCTTGTTGTACATGCAAGCACATATATATACACTCAGTCTCATAAATATAGAACACAAACACACAAGTATTTGTGTGTTTTATGTATATATATATATATCTTCTTTATTGTAATTTCTTCTCGATTTTATCCCTAATTTGATCTTTGATTGCTTTCGATTCTCAATATCTACACCTTTTCCTATTGTTGATTTTTGTCTTGGTTATTTCACTCCTCTCAATACTCCTGTCTAAATCTTTACCTTGAAAGGGAAAAAAAAAAAATGCAATCATGTGAGGAAAAGTGTTTCTCTAAGCTTGTGACAGAGCTGCAAGCCTCAGCAGAAGAGGTAGCATCGCTAGCAAAGGAATCTGAGTCTGAAAAAGAAATTTATACTGAATTTGAAATTCTGCTTGAGAAGTTTTCACCAATTCTCATAGAATTGAAGCAAAATGATAAGATCATGGATAGACCACCCGTTAGAAAAGCAGTTGAATCCCTTGAAAAAGAGCTTAGGCGTGCCAAGGACTTGATTCAAAACATAGGTTCGAGATCACCTCTTAAGCAAATGGAGGACTTGACTCAAGATCTTGGGAGGTCTTTAGGCCTTGTGCTCTTTGCAAGTATTGATGTGTCTCCGGAAATTAAAGAAAAGGTCGCAACATTACATAAAGAATTGATGAATACCAAGTTTAATAATGCTATTTTAAGTCCAAGTCCAAGTCCTAGTGCAAATCCTAGTCCAAGACCAAGTCAAGAATCAGGGTTTGTGAGTGAAATTGACTCTGAGAGGGAAATTGAGGAAGAAAGCATTACTCTTAGTATTGAAGAAATAGTGTTGCAACTTAAGTATGGTAATGATGAAGAGTTTAGGCTTGCACTTATGGGATTGCGTGATTTTATTAAGGATCAAGAGATTGATAAGGAGTGGATTAATGATGAAGGAATAATTCCTATTCTATTTACTCGACTGGGTTCAAACAAGCCTAGCAGCCGGTTGAGTATCATTCAAATGCTAAGAATCCTTGCTTCTGATAGTAATGAAAAAAAGGTGAAAGACAAGGATCAATCGTTTTTCTCTTTGTAATTTGGTGTGAAAAATGAAACATTTCAAGTTGTTAGCTATCTTACATTTTGTGGTAGCCTGCAGGAAAAGATGGCAGATGTTGGGTTCTTATCACTATTGGTGAAGTCTTTGACTCGAGACGAGGATGAAAGGAGGGAAGCTGTAGGTTTGTTGTTGGAACTCTCAGAAATTTCTGCAGTTAGGCGGCGTATTGGAAGAATACAAGGCTGTATTGTTATGCTAGTGACAATGCTTAATGGGGATGATCCAACTGCTTCTCATAATGCAGGAAAGTTGTTGTTTGCTCTGTCAAGCAATACGCAAAATGCACTTCATATGGCTGAGGCTGGTTACTTTAAACCTCTAGTGCATTGCCTGAAGGAAGGTAGTATCAGAACTTGTTTTCACTTGATACATTTGCTTTTCGAGTTTAAACCATTGGAAAATTTTCTTGTGCTGTCATGTGCCTTTGAATTATCATAACTAGCAGATTTCTGAGTTCATATTAAGATGGTGTCACAAGTAGAAATTATTCAGATTATCTGATACCTGAACATTAAACGGTTGAGTAAAAGTCTAAGCACGAATTGTTTGTGGAAGGATATATACTTATTAATGGCTTCTATCTTTGCAGAAAGTACATAAAATTCATGTTGGGTTAAGTAAGGAATGGAGACTTTTACTGTCCCCATCTTACTAATCTGAATTTTAATTGAAATTGAGATCCAAATTCTATTCCTACAAAATGCTGCACTTTTTCAAGTTGCTGCTGTTCTAAATATAATCATCTTGTTTTCGCAGGCTCTGATATGAGTAAGATCCTCATGGCAACAGCAATCTCAAGAATGGAGCTCACAGATCCAAGTAGAGCTTCCCTGGGTGAAGATGGAGCAATTGAACCCCTTGTCAAAATGTTTAAAACTGGAAAACTTGAAGCCAAGTTATCTGCTTTAAATGCATTACAAAATTTATCAATGTTGACAGAAAACACACAGCGTCTAATCAGTTCAGGCATTGTACTACCCCTACTTCAGCTACTATTCTCTGTCACATCTGTGCTAATGACTCTTCGGGAGCCAGCAGCAGCCATACTTGCAAGGATTGCTCAATCAGAATCTATTCTGGTCAACCAAGATGTTGCTCAGCAGATGCTCTCACTTTTGAATCTGTCCAGTCCAGTTATTCAGTTTCATCTCTTACAAGCACTTGATAGCATTGCTTCACATTCTAGGGCATCCAAAGTAAGAAAGAAGATGAAGGAAAATGGTGCACTCCAGCTTCTCTTGCCTTTCCTAACAGAAACTAATATCAAAAACAGAACTGCTGCCTTGAATTTGCTTTTCACTCTTTCTAATGATTCACCAGAAGACTTGATGGAGCAGCTTGGAGAAGCTCATCTTAATAACATTGTCAACATAGCCTCTTCCTCAGTATCTGAAAGTGAAAAAGCTGCTGCAATTGGAATTCTGAGCAATCTTCCCATTGGCAATAAGAAAGCAACAGATACATTCAGGAAATCTAATTTGCTGCCCATTTTAATCTCGATATTGAGTTCAAGTGAATCAACTTCAACTTGCACAGCAAAGTGGTTAATGGAGGGCATTGCAGGCTTATTTATTCGCTTTACTACTGCATCTGATAGGAAATTACAGCTTCTTTCTGCAGAATTGGGCACAATTCCTTTGCTTGTGAAGTTGCTGTCAAATGGATCACTGGTTGCTAAATGTAGAGCTGCTACCTCACTAGCTCAACTATCACAAAATTCATTAGCACTAAGAAAGTCAAAATCGAGGTGGACATGCATGTCTCCTTCTTTAGAGGCTTTTTGTGAAGTTCATGATGGTTATTGCAATGTTAAAAGGACATTTTGTTTGGTCAAGGCTGGTGCTATCTCTCCTTTGATCAAGATATTAGAAGGAGAAGAGAGAGGAGCTGATGAAGCTGTTCTTGATGCACTTGCAACTCTCTTGCAAGATGAAATTTGGGAGAGTGGGAGCAACTATATAGCCAAAATGTCAGTTTTTCCAGGGATAATGAAAGTATTGGAATTTGGAAATGTGAAGGCTCGAGAAAAAGCATTGTGGATATTAGAGAGGATATTTAGAATTGAGGAACACAGAACACAATATGGTCCATCTGCTCAGATTTTTCTCATTGATCTTGCACAAACTGGTGATTCAAAATTAACATCAGCAGTTGCAAAAGTTTTGGCGCAACTAGAGCTTTTGCAACCTCAATCTAGTTACTTCTAAGACAATTTTGTGTCATGTAAGCAATGTTGTGCATAGAATTTTTGCATTATACTTCTGTATACATTGTTGCTTGAGAATTTAAACCTTCACATTTTTTAGTTCTTTTTCTCTGAATTATTTAATTCTTTTTACTTGAGACAAACTGTTGAAAGTAAGAAACTCTGTGCTTGTACATAGCAAATATTAGTAACTGTTACCAATACATAGATCTATCAGACTCAAGAACCTGAGCTTGATCTCACAACCCAAGAATTACATAAATCTCAGCAACTCACACTATGATATAGTTTGTTCAATCACAACATATACAAGTAATTTTCTCTTAGATTAAAAATACAGGCAACATATAAGGATCGTGCGTGTTGAAGATGATCTGTAGTCTCTCATCCAATTACAACAGTGGTGTCAAAGCATATGTCACAGACCCAACAGCAGCACAAAGCGAAGAGGCTGCATAGTTGATGATGAAAAATTGTTCAAATGATCAGAAAAAGAGGTTCTTTATACAAAAATTCTCATAAATGAGTGATCCATACAACCAACAGTATGCAAGACTAATTGATTGGAGAAAAAAGAAGAATTACCATCCTTCAAGAAAGCCTCTATCGCCTCTACTCCCTTTTGGTTTCGTGTGTGGACAACATTTGTTCTTCTTTCCTGCAAGTTATTTTGGAACAGAATTCAACTTACTCCAGAGCTCTATCAAAACTTCCAAAGTAAATAAATGAACTGAAAAATATTAATCTCTGTGTGTGTGTCTTGCAGTGAGAGGGGGACCTCACCCGGTTTAGGCTGGTTCTTGTCATTACTGGTGTGCTGTTTCTCTCGCTGATGTTCCATTGTTAATCAAGAGGAGGAGAACAAAAATATAGGCTGTCAAGTGTTATTATATCCCTTTAAATACTAGCAATTACTATTGAAGAACCTTAATGGTAATACATTGCTTGCAGCCTATCCTGCAAATCTAGCTTTTATCATTCCTGAAGCATCCAGTAAGAATCAGAATCTTTAGTTGTCTTCCACTAACCTAAATCAATTAAAATACGCAACTATGTAATAAAACGGAAAAGGAAAGAAAAAAAAGAAACCTTTAATATTGATTATGTTGACAGCTTTGAGATGCTTGTAAAAGCTTTTCTCCATAGCTTTTCTGGTTCTGATACGCTTCTTCTTTCAGGTGGATACAGAATGAAAATGTAAACAGCATCTCATAAAGAAAGAAAAAGATGCCTACCAGAATTTCTTAATATGAAACTAAAAGAGAATATATCTTTGCTTGCTTCCATCTTTTCTTTTAGCTTTGTCATATTATAAATCTAAATCTAAAGAAAAAGGAAATATTTCTTTCCTCTGTTAGTTTTCCAACCATCTCTTGCTGCTAACTGAAATAGCGGTGGCAAAGGGATTCAAGAATAGCATTGAACGACAGAAGAATAGAGTAAAACCAAAGAGCACATCTTGTCGTTTATATTGTTGGGCTCAGTTAATTTAGAAACCCACGAAAAGGCCCATGTACAACAAAACCTATATCTCATAAGAGGCCCATCGGCTAGATCTGTTTAACTAAAAATCCGAAGACTCGTGGGCCAAATATCCACGGAAAGCCTAAAATATATCAACAGAGCCAGTCCATATGAAAATAAACCCAAATTTCCCGAAATTTAAATCGCACGACATGTCATTTGTGTCGTTCGCAATTTTTCATTAAAAGCCATAGGCTAATAAACGGCGTCGCTTAAGAGCATCTCTTTCTTTCTTCTTATTTCACTACTCTAAAACCCTAGTAAATCCTCTGCTACTTCCTTTTCTACATCTATTCTGTGTCTCCTACCTTTCTCTCTCTTTCTTTAGTTTGAAAAATGTTGCGCCGAAACATTCGTTTGAGGAGAGAGTATTTGTACAGAAAGAGCTTAGAAGGAAAAGAGAGATTGCTATATGAAAAAAAACGCAAAATCAAGGAAGCCCTAGCTGGTAACCTCTTGAAATTAACCGTAATTAACAGACAAAATAATATATATGTGACTGATTCGTGTCTTTTCTTCACAGAGGGAAAGCCAATTCCTACGGAGCTCAGAAACGAACATGATGAGCTTCGCGAAGAAATTGATCTCGAAGATGAAAACTCTGCAAGTATGTTCTTTTTTCTATTTAAATTCTTTCGCTGTCGCTTGGAATTTTTTTTGCTGTTCCTTGAAATTTTTTCTTCTTACTTTGTATTGTTGAAATTTAGTTCCAAAGACTCATATTGATGATGAATATGCAAACGCGACTGAAAAGGATCCTAAGATTTTGCTGACTACATCTCGCAATCCAAGTGCTCCTCTTATACAGTTTGTAAAGGTTCCAAATTTATGAATTCTTTGTTTATTTTTTGGGATATATATATATATATATATATATAATATATATATATATCATATATATATATATATATATATGTATATCGTCAACTGTGATTAAAAAAGCGTCCCGCTTATATATATGTATATCGTCAACTGTGATTAAAAAGCGTCCCGCTTCCTTCAGGAATTGAAGTTTGTCTTCCCTAATGCAGAACGAATCAATCGTGGTGGTCAGGTAGCCATTTCGCCACACAGCTAGACTCTTGATAACTTTAAGTTGGCCTTTTGAGAATTTGGTCACTTGGTGACATATTTACATCTCTTTCCAGTTTTTCTTTAACTTTTTGTTGCAATATGATAAGAAACTGGGAAGCAGACATTGTACTTTTGTTTCTGTGATGATTTTTTATCCATAATTTAATTTAACTGATATTAAAGGAAAATTATCCATTATGTCATCTGAGGAATGCTAAACATGTATATAAGGGGGGAATCATGAATCTATTTATGTAGTTGCCAAGAGTTGGACTTCATCATGTAAATGCACTTTATTTCTCTGCAGGTTATTTCTGAAATTATTGAAAGTTGCCGCGCACATGATTATACAGATGTAATTTTGGTTCATGAACATCGTGGAGTACCTGATGGTTTGATCATAAGCCATTTACCTTTTGGTCCGACTGCATATTTTGGATTGCTCAATGTGGCAAGTATTCTGGTTATCTTGTGTTTTTGATCCTTTGAGTTAGCCTCTTGTTTGGATCATTAAAATGCTAATCAAGTGTTAAGCTTTAGGTGACTAGACATGACATCAAGGACAAGAAAGCTATTGGAACTATGCCTGAGGCTTACCCACATTTGATTCTTAACAATTTTAAAACCAAGGTAATCATGAATCATTACTCAATTATTGATTATTTTATCTCAGTTCTATGATTTGAGTTCTTGGTGGTAATGGACGCTGATCGGTCAATTGATTCTGTTTAACATTTTGAGTGGCTTACTAATCCTAAAATGATGTTTCTTGGATGTATTTTAAGTTCATAGTGAACCATTAACAGTTTCTGTTTTCTTTCCCAATAGAAAGAAGTTATTTATTGTAGAAGAAACTATTCAGTAGTGCATGCTAAGGCTGTGGGTTTATTGCTTCTGATGTCTTTTGTGCTTTTTGTTAAGAACATTGCAAGTCTAGTTCCATGAGGGTTGACATTCAGAGATCTCATACAGCTTCTTGGGGGTACATTTAGAATACAGTTTCTACACTGAACTTGCTAAGATGACTACTGTAGATATGGGCAAAATATTGACGGATTGTATTTATTGGATATCCTGTAGGATCCCATAATTTTATCGGTTGTTCGGTGTATTGTTTGTTTTGACATGATATACACACTAAGGTGATGTGGCCAACAAAAAGCTTATTGTTTTTATCTTTTGGAAATTGGCAGAAGGATTCTTAACTAACGTGATGGAACTCCAACTGTGGTTTTAGCTTGTATATCAAACTTATGCAATATCCATACTGTGAGCGTGATTATCAATTATCACCTACTTATTGTTGATGGTTTTTAGCGCTAATGGATTTTCTTTGACACTTCTGATAGTTGGGCGAAAGGACAGCAAACATTCTAAAGCATCTTTTCCCGGTACCAAAGCCTGACACTAAGCGCATTATCACTTTTGCAAATCAGTCTGACTATATCTCATTTAGGTTGGTTAATTCTGTAATATCTGAAAGCTTATATTTTCTTTTATGGGAATAACTCATCATGTTGGAATAGCTCATCATGTCTGCCTTTCAGTAGTATTCACTGTTGACTATTTTTTTTTTTTTTTTTTTAAGTAGTATTCACTGTTTGACTATTTTATTTTTTTTTTTTTTGGTAATATACAGGGCTCATCTTTATTTTTTTTTTTTTTTTTGTAATATACAGGCATCATCTTTATGAAAAGCATGGAGGTCCTAAATCTATTGAGCTCAAAGAGATTGGACCACGGTTTGAAATGCGGCTTTATCAGGTAATTATAGTGCAGATCCACTTTTCACTGTCCTTGACCCCTCAAAAAAGGGCATTGGTGTTTAGTGTAAAATTACCTGATTGTTTGCAATTTAGAAAGGAGTTTTTGCTCATGTGTAGAGAAATGGTTACACTCATATGGTAGTTAGGGCCAATTGTACACTCCATTTTAAGCTCAACATTATCTAGAAAAATGGGAAGGAGGTAATAGTAATAATAAATATTTATAATCCAAAATTTGTAATTAGTTGCTTTCTTGATGGTGGCAGAGCTTCAATGCTTTTAGGCCAGAGAATGCTCTAAACTCTTGTTGCAATATGCACCTGGTTCCATAAATTTTTTGAGACTGCTTAGCTCTTTGGGTTTCCCGGAAGACGTGGTTTTGTTGATTGGCCTCACAATATGATTTTTAAGAAATGCTTTCTGCATCTTCGATACATGTAACGAAGTCTGTACGGTCACATTTGTGCTCTGGATTTGCAGGTAAAGCTGGGAACAATGGATCAGAGTGAAGCCCAGACTGAATGGGTGATTCGACCGTACATGAATACATCTAAGAAACGGAAGTTTATTGGGGATTGATTCAACCTCCATATCCGAAATCATGTCTTTTTTTTTTCTCTCTGTATTGTGGTCATATTTAGCATCAAATTTTGATCAAGCTAATTTGCACTTGTATTTATGATATTCATTATCACTGTACTAGAGCAATAAGGATGATTCCACATTTGTATGCTTTTTCAGGCTGACTTTTTATCACTACCAAATTGCGATGCTGATTCACTTCGAGCAATTTGATCCATATGTTCTTTTTACTAATTGGGTTTTAACTACTGGATCAAAAGACTACTTGTAGCAATTCTTGGCTTCTTCACAAATAATATCGTCAATCTTGAATTACTCTGTAAGCGTCAGTAAAAAATTTATAATTTTTCACAAAAGCAATTCATTTGGCTCCGTCACTGTTCTAGGGTTCAAAGAAGCAAATGCAAGGAACTCAGGATCATGTTCTAATATGGCCATTATGTTCTCCTGTAATGCCATCCAGGCTTCTATTGCATTGCTCCTTCCAATATCTTTCAAAATTATGAAATTGGAGTCACAGGCACTGTTTTTACCAGCCTCTCCAAAAATGCCAACCCAAATAGACCTTCCCATCCAATATCAATATCACTGAAATCAAATGTATGCCAACTGAAGAAGCTAAATACATCTGGGTTTTCACTTGCAATCTCTGCTAGTCCATTTAGGTGCTCAAAAATGGCTATGGACCCTTCATTGCCTGACATTGTCTTTAGGTAGTCACTATTGATTCTTGCCACACCGCCTCTTACTAGAGCCACAAATTCTTGAATCCCCATCTCCGCCTTATTTGGTTTATAGCTAGCAATTGCAGACCAAACAAGATTTCCAATGGAATATCGCGACAGGCGACGCTTTGTTAGTCTCCTTATATTCACAGCTTGAGACATAACAGATGGTTTTAAGGTACCTGATACTCTTGTACAAGCTTTCATTGCACATCTCCATATAAAAGCACCAGGTGCTTCAACTCGAGTTGGGTTCCATATGAGCTCACTTCTTCCTTTATTTGTTAGGATAGCTATTGCATTTGCACCGAACACGAACCTTCCGGTACTGAACTTGCGTGGACCAAACCAGAGACTTTCCATTAAGGATGTATATTTGGGAGGCAATGATTCTTGTGAAGGAAAGGACAATGATGCATCGGATAAATTAGCATTTATAACGTTGTTATAAGAGCCTCTTGAATTGGCTGCCCAGCTTTTGATAAAAGAACTTCCTGTAATTCCATCATTAATTTTGTGTGAAAAGCCCATTCCAATTGCAATTCCACCAGAGTCAAATATATTTACTTGCACAGCTAGTTGTGCTAGTGTTGGGTCTGATTGTTGGCAAAAGGGTTCGCAAGGAAGGAACTGGTTAAGTGATTCCATTTGTGGGTGTTGAAGGAAATCAGATAAATTGTAACCCTTTATTCGAGTTTCAATATAAGGAGCTCCCTGTTCATAGTTTTGAATGATGAGATTGTCTTCTACCCTTCCAGAGAGCGGGTAAAAGGAAGTTAGAGTCTTTCAGAGTGATATTTTAGCTGAGTTGAAATTTGGATGCTTTTCCAGTGGGAATTGTTAATGGGGTAGAAGAGAATGAGTGGAGAATAGGTTGTTAGAGTTATCTGATCTAAAAGGCAGAGCTTGAATGGTTTCAGTTGATAAATAGGTGAAGATGGTTTAATGCTTTCTACCGAAATGACTGCAACCTCCATAATTTCAAGCTACTTGATTAGCTTGCTGGGTACTGGAATAGAATTTGCCCCTCTTTTGCTATAGTTATATTATTATGAATATGACCCAACATTTCTAACATTTAAGACAGGATTTTGAAGTGCCTATATAGCTCCAGTTTGGAAGATTTTCCTCGACCTATATTCCTGTCCTTGCTCTTGTTGTCTGTATATTTTATTGGGTCGGCAAGTGATCTAGTATTGAACATGTTATTTCTTGTTTCATTACTCTTGTTGTTGCGTTGATGCCAGCTTCAGGCTAGGCAGCATTGGGTTACCGAGGATGAGTAATAGATGAATTTTGGCTTTAGACTTTCAATTTAATTACTCTGTTGCTGAAGTTAATTACAAGGCCTGAAAGGACGACATGTTCATTCAAGATTCTTGGAAAATTGAGACTATTAAATATACATGCTTACACTTGTTTCTTTTATTTAGATATCATTCAAATCTTTATTTATATGCGGGTTCCTAGCAGGATAATTTACATTGGTTATTAGCACGTATAACAGTCAAGAACTGAATTAAATTGAATTGTATGAATGGATTACATTGATTCATAACACTCCCACAAAAAAAAAAAAAAAAAAAAAAGTAACAGTTGATTCATAAACACTCCCACCAAAAAAAAAAAAAAAAAAAACAAGCAATTACACAGTGCATCAGAAATTCAACAATAGTAAAACTCACAAGTCAAAAAAAAAAAAAAAAAAAAAAAAAGCATTAGCAACAGTGATCAGAAATTCAAAATAGTAAAACTCACCAAGTCAGATTGAAACACCAAACTTCAGTCATATAAATTGATCAATAATATCGCAATTTTCAAGTTCTAACCGATATTGAAGGGCAAGATATGAACATTTAAGCCCATTTAAGAAAAGAGAATCTAGTCAACGCTGGCTGTTTGTGTATTAAACCACGTCAAAGCTCTCATCTTTCTTTCTTCTCAGTTCCTTCCTTACACTCGAACTAAACCATGGCAGCTGCTTTGGTGGGAGGTTCCTTTCTTTCTGCTTCTCTTCAGGTTCTCTTCGATAGAATGGCTTCTCGTGAGGTTCTTGATTTCTTCAAAGGCCAAAAGTTCAATGATCAATTGCTGCAAAAGTTAAAGGTTTTTATGATCTCTGTTAATGGAGTTCTTGGTGATGCTGAGGAGAAACAGCTTAGTAAGCCAGCTGTTAAAGAGTGGCTTGATGAACTTAAACATGCTGTCTACGAAGCTGATGACTTGCTGGATGAGATTGCTTATGACGCTCTGAGATGGCAATTGGAAGCTGATGCTCAAACCAGCAAAGATCGGGTGATGGATCTTTTCTCATCTTTTAATCCATTTAAAATCGGTGTGGAAGAGAAATTGGGAGAGATCTTAGAAAGACTTGAATTTTTAGTAAAAGTGAAAGATGCTCTTGGTTTAAAAGAGGGTTTAGGAGAAAAATCATCTTTAAGGAGAACTCCAACCACATCTTTGGTAGATGAACCTGAGATTTATGGTAGGGATGATGATAAAGTAGAGATTATGAATTTGTTGTTATCTGATGATCCATATGGCAATAAATTAGGTGTGATTCCTATAGTGGGTATGGGTGGGATTGGTAAAACCACTCTGGCTCAGTTTCTTTACAGTGATATCAAAGTGAAGGAGTGGTTTGATCCTAAAATTTGGGTCTGTGTTTCTGAAGAATTTGATGTTTTTAGGGTAACGAAAGACATTTTGAAGGAGGTTACTCCAGGGAGTCATGATGAGAAGACTCCCAATCAGCTTCAGCTTGAATTGCAGGAAACATTGAAGGAGAAAAAATTTCTGCTTGTTTTAGATGATGTTTGGAATGATCAGTATACTGATTGGGACAGATTGAGGAAACCTTTGAAAGCCGGAGCCCGAGGGAGTAAGATTGTTGTTACAACTCGTAATGAAAATGTAGCATCGATCATGTGCACTGTTCCAGCTCGTTATTTGAGGGCATTAACAGATGATGATTGCTGGTCTTTGTTCGAGAAACATGCATTTGATGAAGGAAATTTTGATGCATTTTCTGATTTGGAAGTAATTGGCAGAGAGATAGTGAGGAAGTGCAACGGTTTGCCTCTTGCTGCAAAAACACTTGGGGGCTTATTGCGTTCTAAAAAGGACGTCCAAGAATGGAAGAAGATATTAAAAAGTGATATCTGGAATTTGTCAAATGAAGACATTCTTCCAGCTTTAAGGTTGAGCTATCATTATCTCCCTGCACATCTAAAACGATGTTTTGCTTACTGTGCAATAATTCCTAAGGGTTTGAATTTGTGAAGGAGGAATTAGTTCTTCTATGGATGGCAGAGGGTTTTCTCTCCCAACCCACAGATGATATGGAAATTGAAGAAATGGGTGCTATGTACTTCAATGATCTTGTATCAAGGTCATTTTTTCATCAATCAAATTCAGGTTTCGCTATGCATGACCTCATTAATGACTTGGCCAGATATGTCTCCGGAGAATTTTGCTTTAGATTAGAAGATGGCGGTTCATTCAAAATTACAAGGAAGGCTCGCCATCTATGCTTTGCAGCAATAAAACATGAAGCCAACAAGAGATATGAGAGCATCTGTGAAGCCAATTTTTTGCGGACCTTTCTACCTAAAGGGTTTATGCAGAGAGTATACCGGTCTGAAGATCGTGTTGATAACAAGGGAATCTATAAATTATTGCCCAATCTCAAAAACCTACGAGCATTAGCTCTATTCCATCAGGATGATGCAATTGAGTTGCTTGATTCTATTGGCAGCTTTAAGCATTTACGATATCTCGATCTCCATGGAGCCCCAGCCCAAAGATTACCTGAGTGTGTGAGTAGCATGTATAATTTACAAACTTTGAATCTGCAGGGATGCTTTGATCTGATCGAGTTACCAACAAATATGAGCCAGTTAGTCAACCTATATCATCTTGATGTGACAGGCACAAAGTTACAGGAGATGCCATCACAAATGGATAAATTAACCAAGCTCCATACTTTAACTGATTTCATTTTGGGAAAATCTGATGGGTCTAGGATCAAAGAGTTGAAGGGGCTGCAGCATCTAGGAAAACTCGGAATTCAGAATCTTCAGTATGTCAAGGATGCTCAAGATGCATCAGGAGCTAATTTGAAGGACAAGAAGCACCTTAAGATGTTGAGGCTGACATGGGATGGCATTGCTGATAATTCACAGCAAGAAAAGCAAATACTTGAGTCGTTGCAGCCTCATACTAATGTACAAAATCTTGCTGTATCTGGTTACATGGGTACAAGGTTTCCAAATTGGGTTGGAGACTCTTCTTTCTCAAATATGATATCCCTGAGCTTACATGGATGTAAGTACTGCTTTTCCTTGCCACCACTTGGGCAGTTAATATCTCTAAAAGAGCTCTGGATTGCAGGTTTTGATGGAATTGTGGTTGTGGGTCATGAGTTCTACAGTTGCATGAAGAAGCCATTTTGCTCCCTCGAAACTCTATCCTTCTGTAATATGCCTCAATGGCACGAGTGGATTTCTTCTGAAGATGGAGCATTTCCTCTCCTCAAGAAGCTCTATATATTAGATTGTCCCAACCTGACAAAGGGATTGCCCAGTCACCTTCCATCATTGATAGAACTTGATATTTATGGATGTGACCAGCTTGTGGTATCACTTCCAAGGTCTCCAAATGTGTTCGTCACATTAAAGGACAGTGCTCGTGATATGTTATTGGAAAAATCTAATCTCACAATTCATAATTTCCCCTCCCTGGATTCTGTACAAGGTGTACTGGAGCAAATGGGCTTTGTTTCCACTAGTTTGGAAGAAATTTGTATCACAGCCTGTTATTTGCTCAAGTGCTTCCCATTAGAGTTGTTTCCCAAATTAAATTCACTTCTTATCCTTGATTGTCCAAATCTCGAATCTCTTTGTGCATCTGAGGCAGCTTATAGGGTTCTCAAATATTTCAGTTCCTTGGCAATCTATACCTGCTCTAACCTAGTATCTTTTCCTAAAGGAGGATTAGATGCCCCTAATTTGACATGCCTTACCTTATTCAATTGCTTGAAATTGAATTCCCTACCGGAATTTATGCAATCCTTACTTCCCTCCCTCATGGAATTGAGTATATTTGGTTGTCCAGAAGTTGAGTCCTTTCCAGAAGGAGGTTTGCCCTCCAAATTGCAGTCACTGTTTATTGGCAGATGCAAGAAGTTGATTGATGGCCGTTGGCAATGGGATTTGCAAAAGCTTCCCTCTCTTTCAGTCTTTTCCATTAGTTTCTACAACAATATGGAATCCTTCCCAGAGGAGACATTGCTTCCCCTCTCCCTTACCCATCTTACCATCTCTTCTCTTGAAAATCTCAAGTCTCTCAATTACAAGGAGCTTCAACATCTCACTTCTCTGACAGAATTGGATATTCATTCCTGTCCTAAGCTCCAATCCATGCCAGAGAAGGGTTTGCCCTCCAGATTAGAATTAATTCGCATTGATGGATGTCACCAACTCTTTACTGGCAGCAAGCTGTGGAATTTACAAATGCTTCAATATCTTACACATTTTTCTATCTGTGATTGTGAAAATGTAGAATCATTCCCTGAGGAGACGCTGCTGCCCTCCACTATCACTTCTCTTGAGATTCAGTTTCTTGAAAATCTCAAGTCTTTGAACTACAAGGGGCTTCAACACCTTACCTTTCTTGCAGAATTGAAGATTTATGACTGTCCTAACCTCCATTCCTTGCCAGCAGAGGGGTTGCCCTCCTCCCTTTTTATTCTATGTATCGGCAGATGCCCTTTGCTTATACAAAGGTGTCAGCAGGAGAAAGGAGAAGACTGGCACAAGATTTCTCACGTCCCAGAGATACAGATTGATCCAACATGCTGAGGTATTAATTATTACTAATTACAATTGCTAATTATGTGTAACACGTAAAGCATTATTAATTCTGATTCAAGTTTTTATTTTTATATTTTTCTGAATCAGAAGTTGGATGGAGCATATCAGGAATGTCAGCTTGCTGGGCAGTGAGAGTTGGCAAGATTTGTGACTTGTTCTGGTCGAGTTTGAAGTGGCAATCTTGTTTTAGAATAAATCAATTATTAGTATGTTCCTAACATGTATTTGAACATAAACGGTATATATTGATCTCTGATCTCTCCTTTGCATTTATTTACTGTAGTAATTAGATAATCAAAATGCAAATACTTCGGTTTCATGAATGTAATTATGGCGAAAGGTAAAACACCTGAAGATGTTAAGTGACTATCAGATTGGTGATCTCTCAACACCTGATTTTTGGAAAATGATCAACATTAGTACGATATTCTCCTGCGATGATAAGATTGGCCACAAGGCATATATATATGATAGTAAATCTAAAGCCTGTCAATTTCTTGATTAAGGATGAAGATACATGTGTATTATTATTAATTACATCAGCGAATGGGAGATGTAGGAAAAGGAACAACATTTATAAATAACACTTGAACAATGTAGCATTCGACTACAATTACAAAATTAGGAACAAGATTAGCAAAACTTTCCTCTGGATGGTAAAATTTTCTCCATTAATACATCGACGATTCAGAATATACAGATGAAACACGTGCTACAACTTCTGTATTTCTTTGCCATAGGATATGATCATGTGGTGAGGTACTATCATTGCACATGTGAAGACCTCAGCTACATTTAACATTCAAAGTACCCTGCCATTAGAGAAAAATATTCAACTCTCAGGCACCCAAATTAAAAATTAGATTATTCCTCCATCCGTGTCGCCTCATTTGTACTTTCAGGAAGCTCGCCACTTTCACCATTGAGACCATTTTTGGTATCTTTTTCCCCATCCACTTGGCTCTGAAGAGGCAAATCCCCATTTTCACCGCTTTCAATGCCGTCCATCTCTTTAGCTTCCTCTGGTTCACTTTTATGCAGTGTGTCATCCGCTTCACCATTTGCAGGTGCAGATATATTGGATGAATAAGTCATATGCTGCTCAAACTGATAGTTTACCCTCGCCTGGTATTAGGAGAAACATTACAACTTGTTAATTCAGCAAATTTCGCAAAGTTGCGAATAACAGCCAACAGAAGATTATCATAAATGGAGAAAAGAAAACTATTGCAATGTCTACTGCATCACATCAGATTTTCATCACACAACTTAATTGGCGCACAACTTTACAATCTCACATTTATATAACCCGAAATTCTTCAATAATAGCCAAAAAGCCCAGGGTAGGTATCTCAATTCTCTGGTGCAACTCTGGGACTACCAACTGAATAAAGTAGTCCCAACTATTACTTCTATTCAGTGGTAACAAATTTTTAGCAGAATACTTACTATAGCACAAACCTTTCTCACAGCATATTATTTTCCACCATGTTTTTATTGCGGAACACATCAAATTCAATAGAAGCCTAGGTTCCAAATATGCAAAATACAAATAAAGAAAACCAGAACTCAGAGGGAGGCGTCGAATAATTAAATGAAAATTTTAGTCCAATGTGAAAAAGTATATATTCTAAATGAATTCTATTTTGTTAACTTAAATGTTACGTTTTAAACTTTAAGAATCTATTATTTAAGAAAGCTTATGCCTCATCATGTAATAAAACATCTTGCATTGAACTTTGCCCTTTGAAAGTCATTGTAGGATTGGCCATCACATTCTCAAGAGACACCATTTCTGATAAAATCCCAATTAGAATAAGGTTATGAGTTGAAAGGCCAGGAATAAAGAAGCTGATCTAATTAGCTTGACTTGCTGCTTATATGGGTTATGCTTTATTCTACTAGATAGCAAGCTTTGCTAGGCTGTTCCTCACAACAGTGAGTTCAAGAATCAAACACACACTAAAAGCATCAAAAGAGATATAAGATCAAGAGAAATATACCTGATGCAATTGATTCATTTTATCAATTACAATGTGTCCCATTTCCTCAATACTGCTGACAACATACGGGTACCCAATATCTTCAACATGGCGTTCTGTATATGGAGAAATCTCATGCAAGTTTAGCGCAAGGCGGTCAGGTCTCTGAAGCAGAAGTTGAAATGTAGGTTGTAATTCATAGCATTGTTCAAATAGAGAACGTCGACAGAACACATAAAGGCCAAGTCTGGCACGAGACATGGCAACAACCAATCTTCTAACATCACGAAGGTGACCCACAAAGCGAGTACGTACAAGAGAAAGTAAAATAAAATCATTCTGCTGCCCTTGAAATTTATCAACTGTTGTAACCTGCATACAAACCACACGGTTATTATACTGAGCATGATCCCCAAGCAAGATCTAGAAGACGCGCCCTTTTCCTATTGTTTCAAAAAGTTCCATAAAGACCCAACAATTTGCCATTGGCCCAACAGAAGTCTGTGCACTAGGAGTCCTTTTATCAAATTCAACGTGCACCAAAAACACCTTCAAGTATTAACATTTAATGGACCAGCGACAAAATACATGGTAAAAACATTTTGATCCACACTCTGTTTTAAATAAAAACCTCATGCCAATTATGGTCTAAAATTGGAAATCAGTATCCTTACCTTACTAGGTGGACCAATGAAATCATATGGAACACATCGCCTGTTGATAACATCACGAATCAGAAGTTTCTGGCCATTGTAAGTTGTCAAGATGGAAATCTTGTTTGCAGGATATCCTAATAAACGCATGTAGATGTAGACACTGACAACATATTCAGCCTCTCCCTCATTCTGGTAGAACCAAGGAGAAGGAGCAGTCTCACCTCTGCCGTGGTAATCAGGCACATCCACCAACTGATATTCATAAGAGAATCCAGCATTAGCTTTGTGGAAGATGGCTGCCTCCTTCACATAGGGAAGGTCTCCCAGATCTCGGTACCTCCAATTATAGAGTCTGGCTATACTTGGCCTGGCTCTACCCTGGGCATTGAGCTCAATATAAGGAATGCCCAGACGAACAAACCTGGTAAATAAGCTCTGATCCATGTGGCTGTACTTCTGAAATGCCATGTTCTTCACAACAGGAGGTAACTGGTGATGATCTCCAATAAGAATGCACCGTTTTAGCCGTGCATAGCCATCCTCCTGCCTCTGAAGCAACATTGGAATAAAAGTTTCAATCTCCAAAATTTGGGCACTTTCTTCCATCAACAAGTTGTCATACTTGAAACCTAACTGAAGAAAATCCTTCCTTTTAAGAGCTGCATGAGTGCAGGTCATTGCCACTATCTTTGCTTGCTTGGTCATAAGATAATTTGCTCGATCAGCTGTTGATTTGAGCAATTCGAATGCCCTACACTCTTCTAGTTCTTGGAACATAGTCTGGAGATGACGAAAGCACCCCTTAGCTGCCCGCATGTCTTTCTCAAATGACTGACCAGTAAAAACTGGCTGAGGCGTATTGGAAAAGAACTCCTTAAATGGAAAGCGGTCCTGAACAAATGTTGGTTTATCTTCATTATCGGCACAAGCAGCCAGGAATAGTTCCCAGCGCGAGTACACATGAAGTAACCAAAAATATCCAGCGGTCTCACATGTGTACCCAACATCCTCAGGAAGCTGGAGAGATCTTGCAAGCCTTTCCACTTCACCAAGCAATTCTAATCGTCTAACAAGCATTGCATTGACACGACCTTGCCGGCTGAAGTCAAGATCAGTTGCTAGCTCTTGTTCACCTTGACCCAATCGAAGAAGGTAGCGTGCAGGTACATCTCTCTGAAACAGTGAACAGTAGCATGCATCAGAGAACATGATACCACGACCCACTGACACTAAGCTAAATAAAGAATAAAGTATAGCACTCCATGGTCATGTTGAACATCACATCACTTGCAGTAAATAAATGAGGGAATAATACTCATAAGAAAGAGGATAAATCAAAGTGAATAATCCTTGTCATCATCTTTAAATGGGGAATTTCCAAACCTCATACCTGCATTATCTTCTCAAAGAGGTCATTTAACGCCTGATTTGAATGGGTTATTATTAATGTTCTTTGAGAAGGACAATTATGATACAGAACATTCAAGATTTGCACAGCTGTATCAGTCTTCCCTGTACCAGGCGGTCCAACAACCATACTCAGCCCTGGCTGGATACCAGATATGATTGCTCCAACCTGCACAACCATAAAGATACAAGTGATTAGTTAAAAAAAGAAGGATATACCATACCAAAATTAGCTTTCAGTTCAACGTCCTTCCTTGACTCCCTGAAAATCTTGTTGGGGAACAAATGCAGTGAAGGTATAATTCATTACATTGAGAAGAAGCCAGAAATACATATATATTTGTAATATCTTCAAACAAAAACAAAATACCAAGAAAAAGGAAACTACTGGCACAAGAAAACTTTCCAACAGAAAGGCGGAACTACCTTTAGGAGTGGCAGGGGGCCCAACTTTTCAAAATTTAAAATTTCACCCACAATTTAAATATATATGCATTTGCCCCCTCGAACAGTATGTGTGTGTGCATGCGTCTATGTGTATTTGACTATCAAATTCACTTGAATGTTATTTGTTTAATTGTGTATAATTTTAGAAAATTGTAATTATATCGCCAAAATTTGAAATTTGTTCATAGTACCCCACAATTTTGAATTCTTTTTTCCTTACCCCCCCCCCACCTCAAAAAATAAAATAAAATAAAATAAAATAAAAGAAAAAGGAATTCAGACATCAGACTTAAGCTTAATGTGGGAATTCACTCACAAAGTATTGAATTCCTTTATGGAAAGAATCTGGTTTAAGAGAATCAAAAGATCCTGAAAACTAAGTTCTAGGAGTTCTAATTTAACCTGTGTGGACGTAAATCTGACTGAGTTCTGTTTTGGCTGATCTTGAGGATAAGGCCCAGGGTCAGGAGGAATGTATGCCTCCACAATAAGTTTTTCTTTCTCACCTCCATCCATGTCGACATCATTCACCGAATCAATATTTAATTTCTTATTCCCTGGAAGTGCATGACTATTGCCTTTCAGCATCCTAGGAAATCTAATTCGAAAGGGAGGTCTTGGATGCAAGCTTTCTGAACCATCTGGATTCACAAAACAAACCTGCAAATAAATAGAAAAATATAAAGTTTTAGTTCACATTATTACTCAAAAAATGAACATAAAGTTTTAGTCGTAACATTTGTTTGGGGATATTTGCACATATTGTCAAAGTTTTTTTCCTAACATAAGTTTCAACCGTGCTATGGCCCAAAACTTTAGGAATTGCATTTTAGAAACCAAATTGTTCTATTCAACAATAGTAGCCACCTCTAAACAACAAAATAACGTTATTGAATTAACAACAACCATAAATAGCTTGCCATTATAACCATTTAGCTCCAGAAGAGGCCAACAGTAAACAGTTTTACACACTGTACGAGCAGAAAATGCAGATCTTATATCATTATTGTAAGATAACAAGTTCCAAGAGTTCAACAAGAGATGTAACATTAGCAAGGTATCACTCTGAAGAGGACAGAAAAAGTAGGGAGGGGGGATGGGATGACTGTCAATGATTAAACGTACTACCAAGTATAGGACTTTGAAACATACTGAAATTACCAAAAGGCACTTAATATTTTTTCCAAATAGTTGGAGATTTAGGGTTAATTTTAGAAGGGAAAGTCTTTATTTTCTTTTTTCAGCATTGTCATTAGAAGCCTGCACATGAACTAAAATACAATGATTCTTTGAAAAATACTACTAACCTGGTAATCTGGAAAACTCTCCTTTAAATGGTCTGCATTAAGGAAAGTATCTTTGAAATCTACTGTTTCAAGAAGATCAGGCATATTGGTCCACTGTGCTGCAGAAGGATTCCCATAGCCCAGAAATATGTTGTGCAGCCAGTCAGGAACAATACAGTATTCATTCATGAGATCTCTTATGGATTCTAAAATTGCTTTGAAGTTATTCTCCTTAGGTTTCCTTCTCATTAACACATTAAATGTCCCATATACATCTTCTGCACCTTTCTCCGCAATATCAGTGACATCCATGTGATATTGTGCTGTATCTAAAGCAACTGTAACAGTTCTCAGTTCACCTTTTGGAGGTTTCCACTCATCCCGTTTAATTCTTCCAGTAAAATCATTCATGAGTGTTCCCTCCTCGTCACGAATCTCAATAATTTCACACCCCCGTACATACTGGAGACCAAGCCTCTGCGGCACAGTGGCCTTTCCAGCTTCTTCAGCACTAAGAGGCTCAAACGAAGGTCGTATTGAGAGTAAAAACAACACATCATGCTCCTTAAGGGCATTCCACTCTGATCTTATTTGTGATTTATAACTGGAAATGCTAAAAGTAACTTCAGCTGTAACAGATGATGGCTTGACTTCACCTATATTTGGTTGTTTTACCTCAGCAATCTTAAACTCTTTTATTGGCACAGCCATTCTTGACCAACCACGAAATGCTGTTTCTCCTTCATTATTTATATAGGCAAGGAGATGTGGAACAGCTTCTTGAATATCCTCACGAATCTCATATGTTGATTCAAGCCGAAAGAGATTGAAGTTTCGTAGAAGATAATCATGGAGTGTTAGAAATTGCAAATTAAGTTTTGGAAGTGCCAGACAACCTTCTCCGGAGTAATTGATGCTTGGTACAAGGCTTTCATCCCACATGATTTGCTCATTTGGATAAAGTGGAAGTGCATTTATAGCTTCCTTTTGAGACTGTTGTTTTTCAAAGAATGAGACCATGACTTCAATAAGAAAATCAACTCTTTCAGACCAGGGATCTTTGTCAGAAGCCAGTTTGAGCTGAGTAAAACGAGCAAAAATTTTAGTGGCAATAGTTTAGAGCACTAAAACAAGTCAATGTTCATTTTATGTGCATAAGTTCATATAACTGCACATGCACATGTTAAAAAAAGGGCTGGCAATGAAGAAAATATAATGAAAAGCAAAATAGCTTTGATTATTAGATATTACACGCCACTGCCCAATAGCCTTGGAATTGTGGACTACATTTTCTTCTTTGTTTGCCATTACATTGACCACATGCATGGCATCAAGTACCACCATTTGTTATATTGGCAGAAAGGATTTGCCAACCTTTTAAGAGAAATAAATACACATGAAAGGATAAGCAAAGGATAAGCTGAAGATTTTATTTCCAAATAATGATGGTTGTCTTGAGTGCCTTTTCCTTTTCTATTCCCAAAATAAAGCATCAATTGGCAGGCACATGAATCTGTCCAACTATAGGGGGAAGCTTGGGTTGATGATTAACATAGACTACAAAATTGTACTTCATTTCTAACCTTTTATTTATTTTTTGATAACATACTTCATCTCTAACTTCAATGCCAATAAAGTATTTGTATATTCACATGCCTCATGCATAGCTAAATTCAAAAATGAATATCAGAAATAGGCATATCTCAGCAAATGTTAAAAAATAGTAAAAAAGTTCTACAATTAAATAAAGGTGGAACTATAAAGGTATAAAGATCTACAAAACCTATATACAATGCACAATGGTTAAAAAAAAATATGGGCAAGACCACTGGCATAGAGCAGATGTGTTAGTGCAAATGAGTTGTAAATATTTTAGTTCCATCAGAAACCTGATAAGGCCTATTCTCCTTTACATACCTTGCAACAAACCAAGTCCTTCAACTCTTCAGGAGAGAGCACAGACAATTTCTTGGAGAGATCAGCTCGCTTGTGAATTGCACCAATATTAGATAATGCAAGTTCTCGCAACTACAAAAGAAGGGCAAGGGTCTCAAAGGGAGGAATTCAGAGCTCTGATATTAAGAATAAGTAAAAACTGCTTAAAATTTTCCAAAATCCAGACATACAGAACAATTTATTCTTTTTCAAAAGAAAGTACTGAATCAAACCTTGGGAATCTTCTTAAAGGCAAGAAGCTGGAAAGCTTGGAAACGATCATAATGAGATTGGAGCACTTCATCATCTGTCAATTGTGTCCCACTATGATCATTGATCTCAAACCTCTCATAGAACTGGAGTAAGTCAACCAGTTGTGCAAATAGCTTCCCTTTTTCATGTTTGTAAAGGGCACTTAAATGGCATTTTGCAACAACAGCTACATCAGCCACGAGAGGCCTCAGGTACCTGTACCATGCAGAAAAAGAACAGAAGTAGCAAGATGAATAAAAGTGAAAACATGGCACAGGATGGATGAGCAGCATATTTCTGCTTTAGGATGATAAGCATATAAATGACAACAAACGACATTTGTGAAAACATGAACTTTACAAAGTAAGGAATATTCAGATGTATAAGCTTTACCCAACCAGTCAAACTTCTGCCCAAATTAAACCCTAATAAGAGCAAAACAGGGTACAAAAGTGGGATGAAAAGCAGAAACTAGGATTTAGGTGTACTCGAGTTGAGTGAAAACCAAACAAGATGCAGTAAAATTGCAGAAGAGAGGAAAGGAAGGTAAGGGAGAGGGTGCGTTGGACTATACCTCCTTGTTGGCAGTTGGCTCAACAGATCAATGAGAAATTCCATGAACCTCTCACAGTACAAGACTGCTGAATCATCAACTTCCTCAAAACCACTAGCAAGTCCATCGCCATTAATAGAACTTTTTTGAGGAAAAATCTGGAAATCAAGCACCTGAAGAAAAACATAAAAATTAGCTGCAGAAACCAGTTGATGTAACAGATTGTCACTATTCACAGTTTAAGATAAAACTTTACATCAAGAAACTCTTCAATCAGATTTCTCAAGAACTTCACTTCAAGAGAAGTTGAAGGATCAAAAGGTTGTCCTCCTTTCATCGCCTCCTTAATCTCTCTCTTCACCATCCTTTTCCATTTCTTGATCAACTCTGGATTAAGACAAAGCTCCATCTACAAATGATAGAAGCAAATCATAAACCGCAGAGTAACATAGCAGAATCTTTAAGATGACAGAGTTTACATAAAGGATATAAACCTTACCTGAAATCGACCATATGATAGACAGTGCCATGACTGTAAGCTTCCTAATTTCAGGACTGTCTCACTGACGATTTCATCTTCCAAACTCTGTAAAATGAAGTTTTTAAATAAGTTAAAAATTAAAGACAAATAAAAAGGGCACAAGCTTGAAGAATGATCACAAAGCCAGCAGTACTGAATTCAAATTTCAATGAGACTATTAATTGATTTGTTAAAATCTATATTTTAAAACATTTTCATAGAAAATAGTGATGAAAATGATGTGTAAATGCTTTTAAAGGCAATTTCCCAATAATATCTATTGTCCATGACATTACATACGTGGGTTACGTCAACGCAGTCAGGGATGAATAGAACATGTAGTTCAGAAATTTCACATAGCATCCACACTAACAACCAATAAATGTGCTAGCCAATTACAAGTTGTAGTTGAGAATCCAAGTTGCAATTCATTATAGTTCAATAGTAAATATAATACAACAGTCACGCATATTTAGACACATAAGCCTTTTCGACACAAGTTTTCCTCCCTCTTCTCCCCGCTCACCAATGGATACACATTTACGGAAGGACATAATAATTCTAAAACAAGTATTCTCTAACATGCACGTGTAGTTAGTAGGAACTTGAAGTAATTGGATATGTTTTTTTCGTTATTATGACATAAATTAATTGCTGGGCTTTCAAGGATATAATTTTTTTTCCTAGTCACATTACAAAGCCATGTTTACAGCATTTAGCTTTAATGCTCTCGTTCATTGTAAAAAAGGAGAAACCTTGCTCCTACATACAGACTTTTCCACATAAAATGCGTTATCCCTAAACCCATCAAGTGGAAGGATGTCAAACTCCCTACAAAATGGATCTTAGAAGGAATCTCAGAACCAGTTCCTCAAATCCCTCCGAGCCCAAACACAAACTTAAGACAGATCACCTACTACCGTGATGGCAAAGTTGGTTTATATTATACTGCATACCTGGAAGGCATTAATCATAAAAACTAGGTAATTTGTCTTCTCTGATATACTCAACTCTCTGCCCTGCAAGCGCATTAAGAATATGTGCAGTCAAAACATAATATTTAGTAAAAATACATATAAATTAAAGCAGACTTGATACAATACTCTCGAGGAAAATAACAAATAACCACAAGAAGGGACAAAAACCTCCTTCAGCTGAAGAACCCTCTCCAAGAATCCCTTGAAGACGTCTTTCCGATCATAAAAGCATAACCAAGCTGCCACATTTTCTCGAAACTGCAAATAATAAACATATAATCCATAAGTTATTTTTTCAATTTATAGAATCCATAAGTTATTCTCACAAAATAGTGCGCTAAATTACCTTCTCGTTGATCATGAGAATCATGGACATAACATGCTCAAATGTAGCAGTTTCCGGGTCAAAATTCGGCCAGAGATAGTTCTCCAAATACTGACTAACCTCCAAAATCATCACTCTCTGCAATGGCACAGTCTTTCTTCCCTCCTTAACCTTCAACTCCGTCTCGTATATTTGCTTCACCAGCTCAGGATCGAACTCTTTCTTCTTGGTCCCATCGGATTCCGTGCCACCAGTCTTTAGCCAATTTTCTGCAGCAATCTTGGTTAACCGGTCGCGTTGAATCTCCGATAGGGTTATCGAGCTAGGGAGTGTCGAACCAGGTTTGGACTCAACTGGCTTGTCGCTAAGTTGAGTTTGCAACTCGACCGGGTACTCCGCAACCCGGTGGCGCTTGAAATCGTACGCGCCTGTGCCGTATACTTTGGTCATTGCAAGGGAAATGATTGGGGTTTCTCCTTTTTTTATGTTCGATTTTAGATTGACATAATGTCTGGATAGGGATTCGAGTATTGAGTTGTGAAGATCAAAAATCGGAGGTTAGGGTTTTGGGAGGATGTTGACTGTTGAACCCATAGTGGCGGTTAGTTAGTCCTTTGAAACCGGTAGTCGGGTCTGTAATAATATCCAATTTGTGCCCGGCGCTAAAACCGTCGAAACAAAAAATTCTTGGGACACAATTTACGAAGTTGAAGTGCTTAACACGACGTCGTTTTTCATGTGATTCTTTTTTTTTTTTGGAAAATATCTGCTTCTTTGAAAGCCAATTGTGGACCCACCAAACTTTGTCCTTATGCACCTAATTTCCGACATCTGCCTGCCCATGAAGCGAAGTGCTATGCACAACACAACCAGCTTCTTCTTTATTCATTTATAGACAGAAATAGAAGCAAGCAAAGAGCCCTGCTCATGGCCACAACAAGCTCCACCGTATCGGCCCTCTCTTGCCAAAGGTAAACCTTATATTTCCTTTTCATGTCCACTGGCATACATATATTTTTTTATGTATTTAATGATTTTTTTTGTAAGAATTTTCACTGATAAAACAAGAGCTTCGCTCCTATTACGCTTGTTCTTTATTACTATTCATTTGTGGTTTTGAATTTTGATGTGGGATTATGGTTTATTGCGAAGCTAAGGAATTCCATGGGTGGTAGTTAGATTACTGCAATTTGTTGGCTATAATATAATCAAAGTTTATTTATTTAGCCTGTAGCCCGTTCTGATCTTGATCTTGATCTTGATCTTGATTTTGGCCAAGCTTTGTTCTTTAGTAGGTTATGAGCTGTTTCAGGGGTTCCAAATGCTCACCAAAATATTTTCCAAGTTAATTCATTTACTTTTGGTTACAGTGATTGACTGATAGTCTTTGGTTTTGTTTTAGTGGTTTTCCATTTTGTAGTTAAATTAGCTGATTTAAATTTCCAAACTTGATTAAATTTCTCATTTGACTGGTAAATTTTATAAAATTTAGGCTAAAAATGCCCTTCCTACTTCCATTTCAACCTGGCTTTCACCTTCTGATAGCCCAGTATTTCTGGTCAGTTTGCATCATTGATATAACTTGAGATGCAAAAACTGAAAAGTAGGCGCTTTCTAGTTTGAATCTCCAAAAGATACATGTTAATGATGATACTAGAGAACATAGAAAAATGAAAGGAAGGAATACAATTGCTTGACTGCACCATATAGTACTGGTCATCATATAACATGAATTCATTGAAGGAGGCCCTCACAACAACTATATTATGGTTGCCTACCCTTTCTTTAATAGTTAAAGTTCTGTTGCTAAACCTATCGTCCCAGTAAGCTTAACTAAGCTGTTTGATTCATATTTCAAACCTGTGTGTGTGATTGATGTGCTGATGATTTTGAATGCCCAAGCTTCTTGAAATTTAAAGTCTTTGTAATTTGCATTTTTAAGTTTCAAAAAATATGCTACTATCATGAGTTGTGCTACTTTTTCTTTTTTTTAAATTAATCCTTATAAATGATGTGTGCGTTCATTGATATCCAACTTCTGTGGTTAGTCTGGCAAGGTTGAATTGGATAGCAGAAGGCATTTTTGAGTACCAATTTATGGCAGGCCATTTGTTAACAATTTTGCAATGTATTTTCACTCACTCTTCTCTGTGTGACTGGAGAAACTTCCAGATACGTTGTCATTCTTGGCAAATGAAATCTCAGAGGTTTGAGCCTTGTATTTGTCACTTGCATTTGCTGAGTAGGGAGCATCCTAATAAATTTTGTCATTCTGATGTGATGCTTATTTATGCTTGCATGATCTAAAACATATACAGATTAAATTTTATGTGCAAAATTGGTTGTTGCTAGATGACACTGAAGAGCTGGCATATTAAAGGAACCTGTAAGAGAATTGCAGGCTATCAGCTTACAAATCTGTCTTAGGGGACTTTTTAGCACCAAATTTAAATTGTTGTTAACACCTGTTGCATGTTTGATTTTGTGTCATACATGGTTGATTTGGAATCATTGAACAGAGTTAATTTATTGCAGTAGTTTCTATAAAAATCATATCTTATAGGTCTATACATTTTTTTTTCCATACAGGTTATTGGGGAAAATAGCATTGGTCACAGGTGGAGCCACCGGAATAGGAGAGAGCATTGTCCGTCTATTCCACAAGCACGGTGCAAAAGTTTGTATACTTGATTTGCAAGACAACCTTGGTCAGAGTGTCTGCGAATCCCTTGGTGGTGACTCAAACACTTGTTATTTCCATGGTAATGTCACAATAGAAGATGAGGTCCAACGTGCCATTGTTTTCACCGTTGAAAAATTTGGAACACTGGATATTCTGGTCAACAATGCTGGGTTATCAGGTCCACCCTGTTCAGACATACGAAATGTAAATTTATCAGATTTCGAAGAGGTGTTTGATGTAAATGTGAAGGGTGCATTTATTGGAATGAAGCATGCAGCACGGATTATGATCCCGCTAAATAAGGGTTCGATTGTTTCTATCTGCAGTGTCAGCGGTGTAATAGGAGGCCTGGGTCCCCATGCATATACAGGGTCCAAGCATGCTCTTTTGGGGCTGACCAGAAATGTTGCAGCTGAACTAGGAAAATATGGGATACGTGTCAACTGTGTTTCTCCTTATGCAGTTCTAACCGACCTGGCCTTAGCTCACTTGCCCGAGGACGAGAGAACAGAAGATGCAATGGCAGGTTTCCGAGCCTTTGCTGCAAAGAATGCTAATTTGCAAGGGGTGGAATTGACGCCTAATGATGTGGCTAATGTTGTACTCTTCTTGGCAAGTGAAGAAGCAAGGTACATTAGTGGGGCTAATCTAATGGTCGACGGGGGCTTCACTGCTGCAAATCACTCTTTTAAGGTCTTCAGATGATCAATAAAACAAGCAAACTATTTTTTCTCATATATGTAACGGGAAATCCTTTCCTATTATATTAGTAGCCTGTGTTGTTGATGAAACATTTGTTGCTATATAGAAATAACATCATCACGTAGAAACAAATTGAACTCGAGCTCGAAGCAGTTGTTGCCATTATATTAATTATAAACGTGAGCCTCTGGCCATATCAAGAATTGCCACAACAAACTTCATCTTTGGTTATCTCTCATTTACAGCTAGATTATTTCTTTCCACTAAAACAGGAAGCTATACATGCAAAACCATGAAATTAGTTAGTAGTATTTTATTTATCATATTTTAAAAAGCTAAAAACATAAAGAAATGACGTCGTCGCCAAAAAACTATTAACTACCCTTATTTGCCTCCAAAAGAAAAGGATTAACTACCCTTATCCAACCGTAATTTAAAACACAAGAACCAGAGCCCAAAAGGCGATGGCCTTTCACCTGCATCTTGAGAAACTGAAAACAACTTCGAAACCTATTTATGGCTTCTCTTCATCAAATTCAGCATTCGTGGCTTTCTTCTGTCACTCAAAAACCTGCTCTCTTCCCCTCCAAAACATCTCCATTCAAAATCTCATTCTCTCTTAATCCATCCAATACTGAACCCACTCCACAAAATCCACCAGAATTCGAACCCGAACCAGGTCCGGCTCACCCTGTAAAGCTCGCTTTTGAGAAAGCTAAAGCATATAAGAAATCGACTGGAGACAGCAAGAAAACGAAACTTGGGCAAAATCTAGTTAAGGGTTCTGGTGGTTCTTCAGTTGGGAATAATGGGAAAGATGAGGAAGTGCCAGCCTCAGTTAAGGTTGCGATGGAGAACGCAAAGGAGTACAAGAAGAATAAAGGGGTTGCCGGGGGCGGAGACGTTAAGGGTTCGGCACGAAGTGAAACAAATTCAGGTATTTTATGGGCAAATCCAGTTTGGTCGATATTAAGTATAAATCAGTATTGTGTAAAGCCACTTTTTTACGAAAATATAAGACCTATAAATGCTCAGTAGTATAAATAAATCATTTTCAGGGACTTGTCTAAATTTCTTCCTGAATGTTTTTTATAGAAAAACCAAGTCGAGGTGTAAGAAAATTTAGGTAACTCATTTGGCATTTTTTCTGGTTCGAAAGTTGAAATGGTTAAAGATTTGAGAAACTCTAGTTCCCTGTATTGAATGCATACAAACTAATTGCCAGAATCAGGAGCATTTCATTGTTAAGTTGAAGCATATACTGTTTACTGACATTTGTATATTCGTATGGTTTAGGATTAAAGGGAGGGAATAGGGAGAATTTAGTAAGTGGTTTGGTGGAGAGCAGTGCCAGTAATAAAGAAAAACTGTCAATTTCAAGCATGGATTTCATGGGACTTAACTTTGCGGATAAGAAACGGGGCAAGGGACTGCCTCCTGGATTGACCCCAGTCACAGACTCTTTTCCAGGAGGGGACTTACCTGAAGTTGAGATAATTGTTGGAGACACAAGCAAGTTTGGGGACCCGACAACATCAATGCCTAAGCCTAGCCAAGAAAATGATTCAGAATTTTACAAGCCAAAGGTTTCAACATGGGGTGTCTTTCCAAGACCTGGAAATATTTCCAAGACGGTATTCTAATTCAAATTTTATTTTTTTTCTCAAATGCCAATTTTATTTAAAATTCCCATTTTTTTAATCTCAATTAGTGTTCTGGCTTTTTTAGTTATTAATTGATCCTGCAATTATTGCTGTTAGATAAGTTTGTTTAAAAATAATCGTATGAAGTAGAAAGCAAAACTTCTATCTAAATTTTCCAGACAGATACAGAGAAAAATTATCTGACTTCTTATGAACAAATATTTCTCATTGGCGCTCAAAGGGTCTACAGAATCCTTTTATAAATAGGCTGTATGCAAGCATACAACTAAAAATGCTATGTAAAATAGATAACACTCAGCATACTTCTCTTTAAGTTAATTACAACAGATATTAATAGATATTATCCCCCTCAATCAAAGTGTGAGGTAACACAAACTGATTGTGAATGTGGTAATCAAAAATGTGCTCCAGGTAAACCTTGGGTAAACAGATCTGCCAATTGATATTGACTACTAACATAATGAACTTGTAGTAGTTTAGAAGCAACTTTTTCCACAAAATGGATATCCAATTCAGTATGCTTGATTTAGCATGTTGTACTGGATAAGCAGCCTTGTAGTAGCAATGATATTATCGCATAAAAGAGTAGGAAAGGAACAATATTTAAAGAAATTTTCTGACACCAACCACATTAGAGTAGAACAAGAGAAAATAAACTTTAGTCTTAATTTTCTTTTCCTGTTCAACCTTCTTTATCATCAATCAATATTGTGCAACTGTTACACTTGTCAAGAGGAAGAAAGTAATGCTTCTTTCACAAGGACAAAAGGGAAACCTACGATTCCAATAGTTATGGAAATTGTTAATAGCACCTTTTTGTTTCTCTATTTTCTAGCAATGCAAACTGAAGTATGCTCATTCGGATATTTCTTGCTTGGGTTTTTAGTTTGGTGGTGGTAGAACTATTCGCCCTGGAGATGTGCTTGAAACAGCAGAAGAACGAACGGCTAAAGATGAGCGCACAAAGCAATTACTTGCAGCTTACAGGAAAAAAGTTGGCTTAAATGTTGATCCAAAGCTGAAACTTGAGTGTGAGAAGGTACACTTGCTGGCTTCTAACTTCCATAATTCATATTATAAGATGGAAAATATATATTCCATTAAAAAGTATTTCCTAGACTAGATGACAAGTAACTTAACATAGTATCGGAATAAAAATAGCTTTTTTAAAATAAAAATAGATCTTTTAGAACTGCATGTCCTTGGTATACTACTTCAAATAAAACTCTAGTTTATGCCTTCCTTATCTGCAAACTAGCATGCCTGTTTAAGTTTTATTTTTGTTTGGATTTCTTTTCCGGTTAAAACTATTGCAGCTCATTGGTAATGCCTCCGGAGACTAAATATGAGCACTGAAATAAAATTGTGTTTTTATTGCTTACCTATTGTATCTTAAGGTGTTAGTGTAGATTGGCCTCTTTTAGTACTTCAACCCAGTAAAAAGTTTCCCATTTGAGATTTTCTATTTTAATTTTTTCCAATCTATTTTACCATTAAAAGTTTTATTTCAAAGTACGTAATGAATGGAGATTCTAACCTCAAAGAAGTACCATGCTCGAGTTTGAGTGATCCATCCATATTTAGGCATTGAATGGATATACGTGCATAGGATTGGAAATTAATATGCTGATAATAGCTTTTATTAAATTTTGACATACATTGCTTTATATAATGTGTAGGGATGGCTTGAGAACTAACCTACAACACTAAGAATGTGAAATGCATAGCGAGTTGTCTACTTTGCTTTTTGGTATACAACCATTAAATATATTGATTGACCACCTAAGTTGGTTTTTGTGCATCTTCCAATTTGTGATTGTTTATAACATTTACCAAAGTATACTTTTGATTTAATCCTAGAAAAATGTTGCCTATGCCTTTTCTTTACAGAATAATAAAAGCGTGTTTGAAAGAATGGGCAAGGGACTTGTGATTATAGCTAGTTTTGGGAGGGAAAATGCAAGTGCTAAAAGAGATGCTTGATGAATAAAGGATTTGAGGGTATGAGTTTGTCAGTATTTGCAAGAGAACTTGGCCACATCGGGCCTTGTGAAATTTATCATATGATTAGACATGCTTTGATTCTAACCACAGTCTATCACATGCTAATGCTTGTCATGCATCTATTGGAGAAGAACTGTTTTTGCAACCTTTTTTCCCCCTAGTTCAATCCTTTGAGATTTACAGGCCTTGAAGGATGGTGACACCTTGATGGATTCTGGAATGCTCAATGAAGCAGTGCCCTATTACCAGAAGGTTATTGATAAGTTGCCGTTTCAGGTAATTTTGCCTAAAATATGAATCACCGCTATTTGGGTAATCCTAGCTGGCTTATATATGTTTACTGCATCTCCATTTAAATTAGTCATTTAAGAACATACTTTTAATGCCCTTATTGTCAAATCTTGTTGAAGTTTGAATGAACAACAAAATTATGAATAAAATATGAAATCCTGGATAGCTCTTGTTTCTGATAGGGTTCGGCAGTTTTGCACGCCTTAGGACCCCTGTACTGAAATCTATTGCTTTAAGGGTGTAACCGTTACCTAATGATCATGATACTAAGCACTAGATATAAGAATTGGGGTTATATGATAGTAAGCAATAGATAAAACAATTGGTGCTACATAACCCTTAGAACAGCATCTAATTTTAACTATGATCCTCAATTTTTGGATCTGTAGGCATGCTGCCTGGCAAGCAAAAAAGATCATTGAATTAAACTAAGCTTGGCTTTTTTATGACCTTTTCTCTCTCCAGTGGATCAAACACTCAACGCGAAGTTGTCTACAACATTAAATTAGCTTATTGCTTTTCTTTTTTGATGCAGAGGACAACTGATGATATATTGTCAATTGGTCATTTATTGATTTGATTGCGAACAATATTTTCTTTCTTCTACAGAGTGAACTTCATGGATTAGCAGCTTTGCAATGGTCTATCTGTCGAGATTCACTTGGAAGGTACATTTATTTACAATAACTTTTAGATCCCTAATGGATTGATGTTCTATTGAAAGCGGACTACTCATTCCATTTCATTGAAATGCGAACCAGTTACCTGTCATAACTGATATAGGAAAATTGACTGGATAGAATTCCGCCATTATGAGAAAATGATATCTGGACCTCAAGCATAAAAAAAAAGGGCTATGGCCTTCACTGTTTATGAATGTGAAATTTCCACGCATATTTGGGAAGACAGTTCAGTGTCGAATAAGGTTGCCTTTCTTTTTATTCAACTATACCAGCAAATGTTGATGGTAATGTGACTGGAATGCCAATATTTGCATTTTGGTGCACTTTTTATTTTCTCAATTTCCTGCTGAAAATTTTAATATATTTATTTTTTGCTACTATATTGAAGTAAAAATTCAAAATGATTGACAGGCCAAATGAGGCTCGGGCTATGTACGAAAAACTTCAGTCTCATTCAAGTCCTAAAGTGAGCAAGAAAGCAAGGCAATTCATGTTCAGTTTCCAGGTAATTGGCAATTGAGTTTAGAGATCGTAATTTAATAATAACATAAACTGCAGCATCAAACATTGTGACCATAGAACACAACAAGCTGTACAGTGCAAACCAATACATTTGATGCATTCTCATAATTGGATATCTTATATTTTGTTGGTTCTGTCTTTGTAGCCATTTTGATTGATTACTGAAAGAAATTATTTTGCTAGGCCATGGAGATGATGAAGGTTACAGGCTCAAATTTCTCACCTAAAAGCACTGGCTACCGGAAATATTTTGAGAAGTTTATTGATGATAATGTGACTAACTACCTTGTGGAAGAGGCTGAAAGCAGAGGAGCACTGAGTGAAGCTCTCCCCTATATGGTTTTCCTTGTTTCTCCCATTTTCATTGTTCTATTTATCGCTGTACAGCGTGGGAATATCAATTAGAAGGAATAACAACTACATATATTCAGTTTCAAATCCGTAAAAAGAAATAAAGCAAGAACAATATTTCTTTTTCACAAAGAACTATGTTCCTGCTTCTCACCTAACTTAATCAGGAACTGCGAATTAGGCTGTTTTTGTGTTTTATTAGCTCTAATTAGTTTATTTTGTAGGTACATCCAACATATCATTCTGACCTTGTTTATAATGTCTATCTAATCGTTTGCAGAACAGTTCATCAATAATTTCTAGTTTCTTATCCAGATAATAAGAGGTATCAACTGATTTTTTTACAATTCCATGCTTTTATAATCTCTCTCTCTCTCCATGACAATCTACAGAGACATTGCAACTGTAGATCAAATCTAAACTGACATTACAACTATAAATGAATCATAAGAGATTGTGTATTTCTAAAACCCTAATTTGAAGAAGAAAAAAAAGATTGCTTTACCAAGAATCCTACTAAAAGCATATAGATGATGTTGGAAAAAGGATTAGTTGCAATATTCCAACTAAAAGATGCTTCTTGATCTTAAAAAGTGCACCCACCCATCTTTTTATCTTATCACAAGTTGGTATAATGCTCTAATCTCAACTTAATTACCTTAATTAATCATACTTGCAAGTGATGGTTTTGTAACTTTATTTTTCCTAATTACCCTGATAGATTCTTTTAAGGTCAACTTGGTTGTAATAATTTTTGTGGGGTTATCTGTTCTCCACACCTTAGCTTCTACAAATCTTCACTGTACAACTTTTTTGTCATTATTGGACAAATAGCAATTAAAAAAGGAAGCACATGCTTATGCACCACAAAGAAAAGTAGATCCCAAAACCATTGATGATCTTTCTCCCTAAAAATGTGTGATTACTTTGAAGGTACTCACTATTTTTTTTTTTTTTTTTTTTTTTTTTTGAATAATTAAAGTTACTTTAATTCTCTTATCTTTAGTCTAATCAGCTAGTAAGATATGTGCCTCATTTGTCCATGATTAGGTGCACAGTCAAATCCCGAAAGGGGCAATGACTTGATCTGTTTATGCATATGTCTATGAAAGTGAACCAGATAATAAGATTTCTGTAACTCTCTCAGCTCTGTGAATGCAAATAATCTAATTCTCATAGATTGGCAGGGGAAAAATGCTAAATGGCACAAGTTCTCTTAGTCTGACATTAGCAATATCTGAACTGCTAAAAAGCTTTTCCAGAACATTATAGTCTTTTCACACGTGTTGGATCATGCACAAAGTTGTGAAAAAAATATTTTCCTTTGGAAATGAAGACCATTATTTGAATAGATAAGGAACAAGATAACATGGGAAAGTTCTGGTTCATGTATTGTTAGACAGTTGTTGCAGGTCATTTGGGATTTAGACCCATAAGTAATCAAGTGAAGTGCACATATAAGCTGCAATCTTTATCATTGTATTGAGGATTTTTTTGTACATATATACGTGCCTCATGGAACCATCTGGTTTTGTGATGTTGTGTCCACTAATGTCTACACCGCACGCTCCATTGTCAGAGGGTTCAACTTCACATTTCTTTGTCTAAATAACAGCAAAAAGGAAATTCCCATTGGACCCATTTGATGATAATTTTTTAATTTACCATATTCATTTGTCCAATTCTGGCAGACAATTTCCTACTGCTGCTGACTCTCTTGTCTTACAATTGTTTGCACATATATATATATAGTAATATAATATATATATAATATTATATATATATTATATATATTATATTGATGTTAAAAATTATGGGGAGAAGATTACAAAGAAGAACGCAGGTTGTATGGTTGCAGCTGAGAAAAGTTTGAATTAGAATGGAGAATGATTATAGACAGGGTTGATTGCTTGAGAAGCAAGAAATTTATTGATTAAGATTTTTTGTAGGGTTTAAACTCAAGATATTATTTGATAGTTCGGCGATTTATCAATTTCGTTGGAATATACAAAAAAAAAAAAAAAAAAACAAAAAGAGAGAAAAAAAAAAAAAAAAAAAAAAAAAAAAAGAGAAAGATGAAAAGCGAATTAAACTTTTTTTTAGACTTTTTAAAATAATTTGATATCAATTTCTCATCTTCTATATACAAGTTTGTCATTTCTTGAAAATCACTAAAAAAAAAAGATAAGGTCCCTTTTTTTCCAATAAATAATTATTAAAAAGAAAAAGAGAGGAAAAAAAGAATTATTTTTTTTTAGATTTTTTTAAAAATAATTTGGTATCAATCTCTCATCTTCTATATGCAAGTTTTATAATTATCATTTAGTTAACGACCGCACTATTTTATTTTCAAGATTGGAACTTCAAAAATTTTCCTACAAATAAAAAAAAAATTCAAAACACCATTCTTTGCCAAATTCTTCCAATCAATCATGCATAATTCAAAAATAAACATGTTCATTGAAATTTGAAATTTCTGATGTCGGACAAAGGTTAGGCAAATAGCTCAACTAACCACTCTACAAGTCAAAATCTCTAGTACCAATTATTCAAATTTTAATTCATAAAAATGAAATTAAGAAAGCTTGCTATACCCATGACTCTTTAATCACGACCGTTAAAAGAATTTTATTTCAACTTTATAATTACAATCTAAGTTAAAATTAATTTCTAAATTTTATTTATTTTAATATATATATTTTATTATTTAAGATATATATAAGTATAATTATTAATAATATAATGGGGTCATTTATTTTCTTCACGTCAATGGTGCTCCTCCATTGGGGATAGAGAAGGTGGGGAGGAGGAGCGTCTGTGTAAAGCTAAGTAGGACCCACTAGCAGCCCATTTTCGCCGACCAGACCATTCCCTTTCTGTCTTTTTGTAAACCGCTGCCGCCCGCCCGGTCCTTAAGTTAACATTGGTCGGTTCCCATTCAACACTTACCAAAATGACAATAATACCCCTCCTCTTCCATTTTGCAAATTAAAATACCAATAGCACCCCTGCCCCTTGCATTGGGAATGTGCTCAATTTCCTTCCCATGTCATTGTCCATGCCCAAGAATGAGCATCATCATCCTCAATAGAAGAGCCACTAATTGATTTCTACTCACGCATATATAAAATGTAGCATTAGTTAACCGAAACTCTCTTTACTAAAATTTAAACCGTTTAATATTTTTATACAGAGGTTAAGAAATAAATTATTCTCTTAAATTATAATAAAATTAAAATAATTTAATTAAATTATCCTTTACAATAATGCATCAAAAAAATTTTTTTTTTTTTTTGCAATTCACTATTATAAAGTTGCACCAGAGCTCAAAAGCATTGGCACATAAAACAAGCCCCCAACCCAACTGCAAACCATTCGTTCACATTTATGACAGTTGCTAACTAATTTAAACTGAAATGTCCTACAATTAACTACCAGTACCATAGCACATTTAAAAGGTGGTTCAACAGTTTCAATACTGCCAAATTTTGCATTAACAACATAGATATGCCAGTAGCAAAGATAGAGACACTTCAATCTTCATCCAAAAGATGAGGGGTTCTTATGTCATTTCACAAAAGATAATGGGTTTGGGTATCTAATCACCACTTTTTAACCCAATCTCTAGGAAAGAAGGAACGAGAAAGTGCCATATACACATGCAATAATTAAATGCAGAAAATGCTTAAACAAATGGAACAAGCATCATCTGTGAGGCAAGTCAGCATCAAACTGCTATCTTAGCCTCGTTCAAATTTGACATTTGCCAATCCCTGTTTAAAGTAAACAAAGGAGCCACCCACTGAAAACCAAAAGAAAATAAATAAAGAAGAATCTTTACTTGTTTGTTATTGAAGTTTTGTCATACCTCAGTCTTGTGGTTTTTTGGTTCCAACAAAAACCACAAGGAAACAACTTTTCTTCCAAAACTTGATCCCTACATCTCCAAGGTAAAGATAACCTGTATTCCTCAAATCCCCTACCTTTGATCCATGTTTCTTGCTATTCTTTGAAGATGGTACAAAGAAAGGTACCAAACAAGCCTGGAATCCAAGCTGATCATGTTAAATCCGAGAAGCGGTTGGGGAACCTGAAACCAACTTCTTGTCAGCACCAGGATGGCAAGAATAGAGGACCAGATATGAGAAAGAAAATGAAAAGGTCAAGATCAATCAAACGTTCAGATATTGAGAGCTTGAATTCACCACCTTCGAGGAAAACCATATCCCAGCTAGGAAAGCCGCCACCTTTCAATGCTCCATCCGCTGCAGCAACCCCTCAGAAGCAGCCTATCATCAAAACTGGTGGATCACCGAATTACATGAAGGCTACAAGCAGTTCAGAGGCAAGAAAAGAGCATTCTCAGGTGAGTACCTCAACTGGTTCAGATAGCAAGAATCTGCGTCGCAGAAACTCAAGTAATTCAAAAACTAGCTCTGCTTCTAGTAATAAACCGACAAGGACTAGTTCGAAGCTGGTTAGGACTTTAACAAAGACCCCCAGTTTTAAGCCGGCTAGAAGTACAGCAAAAAAATGTTCCAGGGTAGCTCTATGTGCAGATATAAATGTACAGAAAGCTACCTGTTCTTCAACTTTGAAGGATTCGAAGTTTCCTGAGTACCTCATGCTCAATCCAGGGGGTACTGATGCAGAAGGAACTTCGGTTCTGAAGGTCTGTCCGTATACTTACTGCTCTCTTAATGGTCATCATCACACTCCTTTGCCTCCCTTGAAGTGCTTCTTGAAGGCAAGGAGAAGGTCACTAAAGGCCCAGATGAGTGCAATATTGGAGGTTTTATCGCCACGCAGAACTAAGCTGTCGGGTGATGGAACAGAGGAAATTAGCAGTGAACTAAATTTCTCTGATGATAAACCTCTACATAAGGAAGAGGATTCAATTGATACAGCAACAACTCCTGTGGTAAAAGAAGCGGACAAGGACTTTTTTATTGAAATCTATGCCAAAAATATGGTTGGTGGCACTGAAGCAATTGAAAAGCACAGAGACGGTGGTGAGGGATCAATTGGTGTTACTGGAGAATCAAATGAACAGAATGGCGATTCCTCTTCTCAGGATGGCAATCAAGCAGCAGCTAAGCAAGAAAACAAGGAGCAAGTTACTGATAACCTGTCTGATGCAAGTAGTGACAAAGATGACAGCATTTCTGAATCTAGTGATATGGAGTGGGAGGAGGGGCAGTTTTCCACCTCAGACATTTATACAGAAATCCATTATCTCGACAAGCCTGACAAAGAATCTTATATCAGTGTTGAATACCTATCAGATATCAAGAAGGTTGATTTGCCTGATGAACCTGAGATAATTCATTCAGATGACATACTTGGTAACTGCACTGAGGAGATTCTAGTTGATGACATACTACAAGAACTTTTTGAAGCAGAAACCGCCTCCTTTGGCACGCAATGCAATGATAATGACTTCGGGATTGAAGATGTGCTGCAGGCTTGGGAAACTATTGAATCTATACAAGTCACTGGTGATTCAACTTGTGACCAAATTTCTTCCATTGAAGATGCAATCAAGGAACCAATAACTATGGAAGAGACGAATGAAGAAGCCGAGGGATATTTGACTGGAGCTATGATCATTTCTAATTCAATGAGGGAGCCTGTTCTGGAATCAGAAGCAGCCAATGAGAATTTTCTGAAGGTTGAAGTTTGTGAAATAGAAGATGCTACTGTGGAAAAAAATCCTCAATTCGGAGATGCTGAAAATGATTGTGACGTCAACCTAACAGCCGAAGCTTTGAATGCTTACCAGGATGATGAATGTCTTCAAGCCGAAGAAGTAACTAAGTTGCTCAAAAGCCAAATTGCTGATTCTTCTCAGATTTTTTATGAGAGCAGCAAGGTCGAAACTAATGAAAGCCAGAAGCCTGACAAGACAGAAGCTGATCCAGATGGTGCAGAGGTAAATGACTACCAAAACCACTTTATTGCTGAAGACAGTAGTGCAAGTCAAGAGCTTGTTGATGAAAACAGTCCACCTAAGCATTGCGATCACCTATTGGATGGCCAGTATCATAGCATTAATGTTGCTGAGAACCAGAACTTATTTAAGGAAGATCAAGATGGAGCTAACAAGTTCAAAACCCCAACTTCCACTGATTCTGAACAGATTGATTTGAGCTTAACTGAATGCAATGCAGGAAAGGTTATGAATATGGAAGTGGAAGTTTGCAACAAGTCAGAGACTGCAGAAACATTCCTTGCAACTGGTAATGGAAACATTGCGGGATCAAACAGCAAGTTCCTTCACAAACGAAGCAATTTCAACCAAGAAATTGGAAGTACCTGCGACATCAGGAAATGGACAATCAAATGCAAGAAGCACATCATGGACTTGGAGGAAGAGAGAACATTTAACCCAAAAGAACCAAATTTCCTTCCTGTTGTTCCTGACCCAGAGTCAGAAAAGGTTGATCTCAGACATCAGATCATGGATGATAGGAAAAATGCTGAGGAATGGATGCTTGATTATGCACTCCAACAAGCTGTCACAAAACTTGCTCCTGCTAGGAAGAGAAAGGTGGCACTACTTGTTGAAGCTTTTGAAACAGTCTTGCCCATACCAAAATATGAAAGTCATATCAGGCATGCATCAGCAGCCTTTTCTCACTCAAGACCTATTCAAGCTTGCAGTTGACACCACTTTCAAAGGTACAATGGGTTATTTTCTAGGCTTTCACTCTTTTCATTTTGTTATAGAATTTATAACTGATTGACTTACAGTTGTCACTTACACAACAGAAATTCAATTGAATCTGATAAATCGACACATTCCATCTTTATTGCTGTGCAGTTGATGATGAAGAGAAAGCAGCTTAAAAACACTATCTTTAATAAGTTGTTGATCTAGGGAGTATGATCATAGCTAGCCGGGCTCATGTTGTAGGAGTAAACTACATAGAGCAACTAACTCGTTGATGTGGTGGCTGAAAGGAGGTCGAAATGCTAAGTTTACTGGTGAAGTGCGAGTGAAGACTTTCTAGCTCAATAATATGTGTAATAGCAATATAAAATATGTTGTTAATTTGTCATTACAGGAGGGAAACTTCCAAATGTTTTTTAACTTATTATGGTTATTGTCTGTTTGGTATTATAATGTTGTAAAATTATTGTAATTAAGTTCATGCCTAACTGACCAACATATTCATCTCCATGGTCCGTAATCACATTCCAACAGGAAAAGTGAAGAAGAAATTCCGTCAATCTTTCTGCAATCAAGTGGTTACATAAGATCAAAGTTATGGAAAAACTGATTATCAATTTCAAGAAACAACAAAACTCGGTAAAATAAAAAATTCAGTCCCAAGTAGGTTCTTAAGAACAAAACAGATATCATACGTCAACAAGTATCAAGACTACCTTAATTTCCACAGGCCCGGCAACAAACATAAAATAAAAATAATAAACCTGAACGTACCTGTTCAAATCTGCAGCAAAACTGAACTAGTTTGGGTCTGACCAATTTTTGGCACAGGCCAATTGATATAAATACCTGCAGTATCTCATTTACTTCTCTCGACAGAACAAGTTTGAGGTCCCCAGAATGCAATCACCTTTTTATATTAAACAAGTTCTTTAAAACTTTTAAAGAAATACATCAAGTTGCAGCTAACAGAACCATTCAGCAATCTCGCAGTTGATAAATCATAAATCTAATAGCAATAACCAAGCATTAACATTTAGTGGATCAATAATCTTTGAAAATTCTTTTATTTCTTGCATTCTTGTAGAGGTGGGAGACACTGTGAATGAGCGTGTGCGAAAAGAGAGAACCAAAGCATGTGCATAAGACCCAACTTGATTAACATGCAAAACACAGACATATAATGACAATACTCATAATGACTGAAGGATTTCAGGGACTAGAGCAGGGTACTGGCAGGAAGGCGGAAACTGAATCCTGAGATGAGTTCTCTCTCACACACACATACAGAAGAATTATAAGCAGTAAATAACATACAATTTTGTGTTGTGAAACAACTATGTCACGGTAATGGCGTAAAAGTTTCTTTAGATAAAAAATATATTAAAATTAAGAATATATCACATGTCTGTTCAATATCCATTCTCAACCAGATTCAATTTCAAGAGGCTTTGTAATAGATGCATAATTGAATCAGTAATAACTACAACCAGAAAATATACAGAGACAGGATGACTTAAGCAAATTCACTAGCAGATGCTCATCAGTTTTCCAGACCCTATGCGTTGGTTATTTTTCCTTCCCCTTCACTAAATTTTCCCCAAATTTGTCCTCCAAAAGCAATGACAACCATATGGATGAAAGTCCTACAGTTGCTTTTATCTCCGTGCTTCATCATCTAGTAATGTTAAGAACATGTACAAGAGATATTTCCAGTGAGATTCTTAATAAATGTCAGAGGATAATTCTTAAGCATGAATCACAGAAAGAAGCAATAAAATGTACAATAACAAAGTACAGAAAAATTTTCACACTATTTTCATTATGTTACTTTCAGTACAAAATAACCATAACATCAAATAAATCATTTTCGTCTTTAGTAAATTTACTGAGAGCTACAATCAAATTGATCCTCCTAGTCAACTATGTGTAACTCTCAAATAAAGTTATTTTATTTCAACAATCATTTCGAGAAATGTGACTTGATTACAGGAGATTCCAGAAGAAGGGATTGAAGCACTCCAGTATACTTTTCCAGACTGCAGTGCGAACTTGCTGTCTCAGAAGTAGCATTAGCATGCTCACTCTGCTCCACTGCTTTCTTTGTCATCATATCATCATGAAACAATTTGAGTGCATCTGTTGTCGAAAGAGAATGCACAGATTCATACAAGGATTGGAATTTGTTTCTCTTTTCTTGTGTTTCAATAAGCCTCTCTCTCAACCCTTCTGGAAGGCATGCAAGTGCACTTTTATGGAGTGAAGATGTAGAAGAATAGAAAAGGAAAAGAAAATAAAACAAAGTTAGAAAATACAAAATTCACAGCAAAAATGCAGAGAATTCAGGACTTTTCTGCAAATTAGACAAGTATGTTGCTTTCATATTTATTCAGTTTACCTGGTAACCCCTCTAACAATACCCCAATTGAATCCTTCAAGCACCGACTCCTTAAAACCAATATTAAATCCATCTTGAGCAATAGCTTCTTTTCCTGCTATGACACCATCACGATATCCAATCTAAAATTCATCAAACAAAAACAAGGTCGATAAACGTTTGTAAATCATTACATGTATAAAACTCAACAAGCAGAGTGAAACTTAGTGATCAAATCACCGTATGAAATTGGTTGCGCCTCATCTCCCCTTCCCTATCCAATTCGTCATCAGAACTATCCCAAATATTTCCATCTTCAGCCTGCAAATCATCTACATCACAAACTGGAACTGGGTAAGATGTCGTGCTCTAAACCAAAACAACCAAGAAAATGGAGAGAACAATAAATAAAAGGCTTAAAATTAATTCTGCAACCAATCCTACTTACCAGTTGGAATAGAATCCAATTCTAATTTTGATAGATGCAAACTTTCTGAGTAAAGCTCTTTCGCAAAACTGCCATCCATCTATCATCAATCAGAAAACACAAACTCAAAGTAAGTTCCTTTAACTTTTTAATAAGCTACTGAATAATAAAAAATCATTAAAAAAACTACGTAACAACTTCAACTTCAAAAATTTTATACTGGTTCTGGTCCTAAAGAAACTAAAATTTAGGCAATAAGTGAAAAATGAAGATCAATAACAGAGAGAATAAAGAAAACAAAACAAAAAAAGGACTACACTCACCTGTTTCCGGTGAGTTTATGATACTTCAGTTCAGAGAAGAAAGACGAAGACCCACCCTAGGGCTGGTTGGGGCAGAGGCTGTTATTATTGGGCCACTTCCGCTTTATATAGATGGACTTAAAGTTTGATTTTTGATGGCCCATTGGAATAATTTTAGCTTTCAGTGGAAGAAGCACTGAGCCCACTACAATTTTAGCGGAATGATAAAGAAAGACATGCATGCAGTGCCTCATATAGTGAAATGAAGGAGAAAAGATGATGATTGGATACTGAGAAATTGAAAGAAAGGCTGAGAAAAGGAAAAAAAATGGAAACAGAGAGCAAAATTAATAGATAAGAGAGAAAAAAATTTATTATTGATATCTAATTGATTAATTTAAGTAAGTTTCCTATTTATACTATATATTTAGAGAATCAAAGGAAGATTCTTTCATATTTTAGTGAGATGAGAAAGGAATTATTTTTCTTAAAGACTCTCACTTTCTCCCTGTCTGCGTCATGTGTGATTATATATATATATATATATATTATCATTATAAGGAAGACTTCTAAAAAAGAAGCCATGTGTTTGTTCCTTTTTTGTGGGCCAATTTCACCATTAGCTTAGCTTGATGGCATTTCTATATTTCTTGCATTATTATTATTCCAATCTTTCACTGTTTTTATTTCTGAGACGTGCAAGAATGAGGCCAAATGACAAAACGTTATATATATATATATTGCTTAACGTAGCTGTGTTTATATTTCATGGGTTTGCCATTTGGATTCCAAATAAGTAGGAACAAAATTAGAAAAAGGTTCATTAATTTACATATGCCTGCCTTGTTAAAGAAAGTGTGTAACGCTTGCACCTACTGTTTCATTCCATATATATATATATATATATATATACTGTTGTCATAATCATATATATATATATATATATATACTATATTATATATACACACACACACCACACACACATATAATACAGGGAGATATATACACACACACACACACACACATATATACAGAGAGCGTAAGTGGATACCAACTACAGCTGATTTAGTTTTGACAAAAAGAAAGCAAAAGAGATCTTTCTCTCACTATTCTAAGACAGAGAGGATGGACTTTGGGACAAAAAGATGCTGTTGTGTCCTATCAGCCATCCTGCTCGTGATATTTTCTTGTCTGTTTTGCAATGTCAAATGCAGCTGTAATGTGTACCAAGGGAGTTGGGTGCACGACGAGTCGTATCCACTCTATAATTCATCGGCTTGTCCCTTCATTCGCAAGGAGTATGACTGTTTGAAGTATGGCCGCACTGATCACCTCTACCTTCATTTCAGATGGCAGCCCACTCACTGTGACTTGCCTAGGTAAGAATTACCTCTATCCCTCTCTCTTTCATTAAAACCTGCACATGTACTTCTGTTTTTAGCACATGCTAGCTTTTAATTCCCAATTAAGGAGTATGTTAGGGAGAAATGAAATGATTGCAATAAAACTAAAATTCAACGGCAAGCTTTTTTTTTAGCTTCTTTTGAGCTGTCGTGCACGCAAGCCAGCCCACAGCGAAAACCAAAAATGAATAATTCTGTGATAGGGGCAGCTACGGTGCCTCTCGGAGCCAACGGGACGTAGTCAGATTACTTGGAATGATAAATGAATATGGGTCTAGACGTTTCATAGTTAAATATAAATAATTCCGTGATAAGGATAGACTTGTTTATTTATATTCCATTATTAATAGTAATTTTCATAGTTAAATTAATCAACTTGATTGATTACTAGTACTCATAATTATTCTTACAATCATTGGTGATACTTTATGATTGTTAAACAATTATATGTGTATAGTTAGTACACAGTACATCCCCACCGTTTATCTTCTAAAAACGGCACAGGACATCTGCAAAACGACAAGTCATATATAATTTATATTCACATTGTCGTCAAATTATGAACCGGAACAAACCACTATAATTTATTCTCTTATGGATTGGAGGATAATCAGTAAGGAGTCGTCTTCTGTTTGTTTCTTTGTCCTGATAGGTTTGATGGCCAAAATTTTCTGGAAACGCTTCGAGGCAAGAAGATTATGTTCATAGGGGACTCAGTGAGTGTGAATCATTATGAATCACTGTTGTGTTTGCTTAATGCTGCCATGCCTAATTCCAGTATCAGGCAGGACACAAATGCGTCTCTTCCTACTGTAGTATTTGAGGTAACTTAACTAAATTATTATACTTAATAAGGAATTTTCTTACACATTTTTTCTTGTTAATTTTCTTGAACTTGAATTCCTCAGGATTATGGAGTGTCAATAATTCTGTCTCATTCCCTATTCTTAGTAGACATTGAACAGAAAGACATTGGTCGAGTTCTAAAGCTTGATTCAATCAATAATGGAACGGTATGGAAAGATATGGATGTCCTGATTTTTAACACTTGGCTCTGGTGGTACAGAAGAGGAGCTAAGCAACCGTATGAACTCAGAATTATTCTATCTAATGAAGAATGACACTTTTTCTTTCTCTATCTATAATCCGGCCAATGTTTCTTGATTTTCAGATGGGATTATGTTCAAGATGGTGACAGCATTGTTAAAGACATGGACCGTATGGTTGCTTTTCGTAAAGGCTTAACGACATGGGCAAATTGGGTTGATTCTGATGTGAATACAACTAAAACCAGAGTCTTTTTTCAAGGAATTTCTCCTTCCCATTACAAGTAATTATTTTAGTTATTTCTTGGTTGTTTTCTTCCTTTCTGAAACAAAACAACCATTATATAAACAGATTTTTTTTTTTGTGTTGAATCAGTGGAACAGAATGGAATGAACCAGGAGTGACAAACTGTGGAAAGGAAACAGAACCAATAAGCGGATCGACTTACCCTGGAGGTCTGCCATTGGCATTAACCGTAGTGGAGGATGTTTTGAGTGGTATCAAGAAACCAGTTCATTTGTTGAACATAACAACTCTTTCACAGCTGAGAAAAGACGCACATCCCAGCTCTTACAATTGGTTTAGAGCCATGGATTGCACTCATTGGTGCATTGCTGGAGTTCCTGACACTTGGAATCAACTTCTCTATACAGCTCTTATTAATTAGTTACAACATAAATTTCAATATGATACCAATTCTTATTGTTTTAGTCATTCAAAGTAGTTAGCCAGGCCATTTAAAGGTCTCATGAATTTATTTACAGAATAAAGAAACCAGCAGAAATATAATGGTATGAACTTTTTTTTTTTAATGATTAGATGTTTACTTGGGAATTTAATGATGTTCTTTTGTCATCTCTGATAAGGTATTGGTTGGAAAGGTTCCTAGACCTTTGCTTAATTAGCACTGTTCTGATAAGGGAAAGGACAATTAATTATTGGAGAAGCACAGAATCTCAGAGCAAAGCTTCCCTTTAAGCAAAGATTATCACTCAGCAAAAGTGTTATTACTTAAGTTCAGATTTTTATCTTTTTTTTTTTTTTTTTTTTTTTTTTTTTTTTTTTTTCTCAGCAGGCAAAGCTTGCCCTTTTAAGCAAAGTTATCACTTCAGACCAAAAAGTGTTATTTACTTAAGTTCAGATTTTTATGCTTTTTTTTTTTTTTTTTTTTTCTTTTTTTCTTGTTTTAAATGTTTAATTTAGACATGAGCAGAACATTTTTGCTTTGGTTCAGAAGTTGTCCCGTTGGCCTGTGGATGGTGGACTAATGATGAGCATGAAATTCTTTCCTTCAAAGGAACGAAAAACAAATAAAAATAAACTCTATTTTTTTTTTTTTTTTTTTTTTTTTTTTTTTTTTTTTTAAATTTTTAATTTAGACAATGACAGGAACATTTTTGCTTGGTAGAATTGTCCAGTGGCCTGTGATGGTGGGCTGAATGATGGAGCATGAAAATTCTTCCTTCAAAGGGACGAAAAACCACAAAATAAAAATAAACTTAGGAATGCAGCAACACAGGGCAAGTGCCGCTTTAAAACTCTGTAATTCTATACAGACTTGAAAATAAAAATCTCAGAATGGCTTTTCTTGTTAGTTACACTCTCTTCACCCTCCATTTTATCTTGTTCATATCATTTTTAAGCATCAGTCATGGAGTTTTCTATGAAGAATTAGCTGATGGAATAGCTATAATGCGCGAAGAAAAGACAACTCATCTCCATTTCTACTTTCATGATATAGTTGGTGGCAAGAATGCAACTGTTGTAAGAATTGCAGGACCCCCAGATAGTGGCCTCGGTAACTTTGGCAATACGATGATGATGGATGATCCATTAACAGAAGGGCCTGAGCTTTCTTCGAAGCTGATAGGAAAAGCTCAAGGATTATATGCCATGGCTGCGCAAAATGATCTTTCATTGTTGATGGTTGTGAATTATGCATTTACAGATGGTGCGTACAATGGAAGCAGCATTAGCATTCTTGGGAGGAACCAAGTACTTAATGACGTGAGAGAAATGCCAGTTGTTGGTGGCAGTGGGGCTTTTCGGCTCGCTCATGGCTATGCTTTGGCACATACAGTTCAAATTGATATGGAGACTGGGGATGCCACTGTGGAATATAATGTTTATATGACACACTACTGAACAGGTTGGATTGGCTGAACTAGGAAGATAACTAGCTATTGTTGATTTTATTTTTCCAATATATGCGTTATTAGAGTGGATATTTGAAAAAGCCGACCCCAACTAGTTTGAGACCAATGCTTAGTTGTTATTGTTGTTGTATTTGTAAGATGTGAACATATTAGGATGTCGACTTCGTGTTCTCATTATGCTTTACCTTACCTCACTGAGTGCTACCAAGAATTCAGAGGTGAATTTTGCTTGTGCATAGGCTCATAGTGCAAATAAACCCAGCAAAAGCTATTAATCCTGGATCTTTTATATAAGACCCATCAAGATCAAGTAAAGAAGACTATTATGTAATAGTTTCCATGTCCTGCAGCATGGAAATTATTACAGGTAAAGTTAAAACTTATCTCATAAGATAAAAACATGTCTTACTGATGCTAAGATAGCATAACCAAAGTCAGAAGATGTCCATTATTCGCCCCTGAAATTGGAAATTTCAACCGCAATACTTGAGTTCTAATAGTTTCGGAGTATATTATCTATGGAATTTTCTCAGCTATTAATCACTATAGTGCAATAGGAAGTGCACTTTTCCCTTTATGGAGCTGAGTTGAACATGCAAGGAAGGCTTTGATGGCACTGATAAAAATAAGTCTGCTCAACCTAGCTTTGATTGTGAAGGAAGCAAGCATGCTCTGGGAATTGGGGGCGCATGTACAGAGTACTTCATTTACCATGCTATAATGAATACATCCATCTCACCTTGACCCCTCCCACCATCCATATATGCCCTGCATTAATCGAAAAAGGTGAAAAATAAAGGGTATCAGTAAGAACCATAGCTTAGCTTGCAGGATTGGCAATAACACCATTTCATTACATTATGAGATAAATATTCAATTATATTAAACGATTAACCCGATTATCCAAGGAATACCAAAGCACTGACATTGGTCAGGAAAGTACTTGTTCTTGATGAACCACCCAAACTCAAGCAATAATCACTATGCCCCATAACACCTATTTCCCAAAAACCCCTCAAAAAGAACATGAAGTTTGGCTTCTCACCATCCTATAAATGAACTCTTTTAGCAATTTCCCACACAGCTCAAAAACAATATCACTATGGCTACCTTCTCTATCTTGTATTTCATCGTTTTTTCCTTCACACTCTTTAGCAGTTTTAATGGCAAATTCTCTGAGCAATTCCCTTTAGCCATATCCACAAAACGAATGGAGAAAATGACTCGTCTCCACTTCTACTTCCATGATATCCCAAGTGGAAATAACCCAACAGCCATCTTGATTGCTGGACCACCGAGTAAGATTGCCAATAACTTTGGCAGCACTTTCATGATGGATGACCCCTTGACAGAAGGACCGGAACCTACTTCAAAGCTTGTGGGAAGAGCACAGGGAATGTATGGATTGGCTTCTCAACATGACATTGGGTTGCTTATGGTTATGAATCTTGCATTTGTAGAGGGTATGTATAATGGAAGTACCCTAGCTATTCTGGGTCGTAATCCAATTTTCAGTATGGTGAGGGAAATGCCAGTAATTGGAGGTAGCGGACTTTTCCGATATGCTCGAGGATATGCATTGGCAAAGACAGTGTCAGTAAATCAGAAGACAGGAAATGCTGTTGTTGAATACAATGTGACAGTGATGCACTTCTGAATATTTTGTCTAATTTATGGGACCTGCAGCTTTTCGTATCATTTCTTTCTTTTACTGTTTGTTGAAATGGGAAATTTCTTTTAGTGTTTGTTGAAATGGGAAGTGTTTTAATTTCCCAGTATCATTGTTCTAGAGTCTATAAAGATAGTATTCCAGAATATGGTTGCCGAGGACAAAATAAATTCTATCTCCGGATATGGAACTGGCAATCTACGACAAAGAAGTTCTATAGATTCATGAACTTAAAGAAAAGAAACTATAGAGAGAAATAAATAACTGGAAAATTGTAAGACAGAACTAAATTATTCGAACTTCTCATTGGAACACTATGCAATTGCAGACAAAAACCGTAACATCCTTTATACATGAAACAGCCAAAGGGGAAAAAAAAAAAAAGAAAGAAAAAGAAAAACACAATCTGCACGCAGTCAATAATCTCTCAATCATACCTCCTAAATCTCCAGCCTGATACCGAAAAAAGGGGTCTATCCTGCCAGCAAATAAACAAACATCCATTCTCTTCTTTGATCTTGTATCCATCATAGCCATAGCTCTGTAACAACCTGCTGGCCTGCAGCATACCATGGTAGCTAAGAGGAACTCTACCAAACCCAGCCAAGTCAAGCCTTAGAATCCATTTCTCGAGCTTCTCATGCCTCTCCTTTCTATCAGTTCCCTCACATGCAATTATATTCTTAATTTCCTCCCCAAATAGCATCTTCTCAACTTTTTGTCGCTCTACTGATGCTCTTGTCACAGTAGATTCTAGGCAATCAAACAGCGCAGCATAAAAGTTCAATGCTTCTGTGACTCTCTCCATTAAAGTAAAACCATTAGAGTTTGATTCCTGCTCAGTTATCACCATCAATTTTGGTGAAAGACCCCAAAGAGCATTTAGAAAACTACCCATCTTTGGTGAAGGAGCTAGAGATAGTGGAGACAGTGCTGAATCAGGACTTGCACTGTAAACATGGACCAAATCTTTCTCAAGCCACTCACCTAAAGTACGTTGGTTTTTGCTTATATGCAAAGCTCTCTGAAACTGGTTAGAGTTTGCAGCCTTTGATGCTGATGGTGAGCTACGTTTATGCATTTCATCATCTGCTGCCAAAAGAGCATGTAGCTGGAGCACAGAACTGACAGCAAGAGCTTCTCCAGTCTTAACTCGCAAACTTTCAACGTCTAGATCTTCTAGTTTGCTCACTATAGGATTGAACTGAAATGGGATATCCAACTTTTCAGCTTCTTCTGTCAACCGAAGAGCCATTTGCTCCAACACTTCTTTCTGTTCATGAATACCAGTAATTCTCAAATGGGGTGGGCCTCCTGGTCGTGCACTTAATGTCTGAAGAAGATTGATCCACTGTGCAGGTTCACATGAATTTAGATCAATAATGTGTACCATCTTCTCCCCTTCCATTGCTTCTACAATAGCCTGATTTGTGATCACATATGCAAGTTTTAAAAATGGGAACAGCTCAAAGAATAATCTCTGAACAAGAATTTCCTCAGACACCAAAGATCTTTTTGTGAAAGTGAGGGCTCTATGCAAACCAGGCCACCCCCTTTTAAGAATCCTATCAGCGAGTGCCTCAGTGAAGTAGGCAGCAATTCGCTGAATAGTATCACCATCAGCAGAAGCTAGGTGGGAGATGTGCTCAAGACTAATATTTGCATTCTCAACACTACCAGCAGCTACGTGATTGGCACAAGCAAGAAGAAGATGAATCAGGCACAGACCCCTCTCTTCAGATTTCAACTCCCTCAGCCATGGGTATGGCGATCCATATCCTGGAGAAAGTGACACCCAGGGAAAAAACTGAAGAGGAGATGAAGTTACTGAAGATGCTCCGTCTTCTGGAGCCATTTCCTGTCATTAACAGTGAAAACAAACTCAATAGCCCTGGAGATGGAAATCTGGCTCTAAATATAATACAGAGCAGTCCAGATTCCATTAGCAACAGTATCAATTATACTAATATTTAACCCAGCATTATGAATGACCCCAAAGGAATCAACAGAAAGGGAAAAATAATGATATAATAAAACATCAGTGAATATAATTTTCATAGTTGTACTTCACATTTTCATATGTTAGAATTTCTTTGAATATAGCAACTACACATGGGGAAAGCAAATGGAAATTATTAGCTTGAAAGCCACAGCTTTGCTTGCAAGCATCTTCTCCCAAACACAACATATCCTATTAGAGTAACTAATCACTAATGAATGGGATAACACAATCAACAAAACAGTCATTCTCCTTCCAACTTCCAATTAGGTGAACTGCAGTAACAGAAAAGAAAAAGAAAAAAAAAAAAAAAGGCTTGATGTTTGGTTGCACAGGGACAGAAAAGAGTGAAGAAAAAGAGGACACTGTTTCTCATTCCCCTAGAGAGAATGAACACGACTTGCACAAAGAAAGATAATTCAAACGCCAAAAAGAATCTCAAGGCAGTGTGTTTCTCAACATTCAATTCGCAAACTTCACTTCCATTATTTTCCAACATTTTCTCTGTAACCAAACAGAGCATCAGCCCAAACTACAGGATAAACAAAACAAAAAAATAAGCTTTCATGCAAAAAATAAACAAAGCACGAGTTTTTCAAAAAGCAAGTCCAGAAAGGAATTCCTTTTCCATCTTCTCAAGAAAATTCAAAAACTTGCGGAATCAAATCACGAAACAGAGACAGGGAAATTACCAGAAACAGTCCACTGGATCCGCCTATGAATTACTGTTGAAATCAGCAGTGAGTTCAAATTAACAACTGGGCTTTAAAATTCCGGAATAATCCAAGAAAACCCTTGAGGAAATTCCCAATCTTGGTGACCCAAATATCCTACTCCATCAAAAGTGGGTTAGGAATTCTCTGAAGGGTTTGTGGGCTAGGGTTTTGTTTATTGCTAACTGAGCAGTGAAATTTGAAATTAAAGCCAAGGACTTTTTCCATGGCTGCGTTGGCGACAATGCAAGAGGTTGTTTTTGTCGTCATTTGTTTTGTTGTCCCTTGAAGTGATCAGAAGAATATGGAATTTCTTGAAATACAATACAGAGAGAGAAAGAGAGAGACCTAGATTTTCTCTCTCAAAGACGTATGCTTTAGTTCAGTCTCTTTCTCTCTCTAGAAATAGTTTTTTTGTTTGTTTCTCTCTCTCTCTATGAGTTAGAGTTCTTTTTGTCACTATGTGGGGTGGAAGGAGAATAAGAGCTGGCGAAAAACTTGGTATTATGCTCAAACACTACAAAACTCCAAACATGCCCTAACAAAACAAAACAACACCCTTTCTTGTTGGCTAGTGGGTGATAGTGGGTATTGCAAGGTCAAGACTAAACAAATGCCAACAGAACCCAATTTGTTTTCTTTTCAAACCCATCAAACCCATTAGACCATCCACTTGGTGCTTTCTTCTTACATTAGGACAAAGAGACAAGAAGCCAAAACTAAATAGAAGCTTTTAACTTTAGGTTTGGAGTCTCTAGTGGGAGTTCTTGGAATATCTATTCTATTCCCCCATCCCATTTCTTGTTAATTTAACAATATGCTTTTTCTTATTTTTTGTCACATAATATTTCTTTTTTCACTTTCTTTTTTAAATTATATTATATAGTCCCTTAATCCTTGCCACACTATATGGGTTAGTGCTAGTAGATATGTTGAATCTAATAGTGGAACTTATAACAACATTTATATATGATACCCACTCAACCATATCTTTTTTATTTTTCAATTTTTTTTTTTTCATGATCTCCATATATTTAGTGATGGGATAATTAATAATAATAGTGCTATTGGCCAACATATTTTCTAATATTTGAGACATTTAAAACATGACAAGTGTGAGGAGAAGGAGGTGTCTACCATTCTTTCAACAAAACTTTTGATTTGATTTGATATTTACTTCTTCATTGTGGATTCACCATTCATATGTGCTCACTCTTCATATAAAATTAAGGCAATGTCATGTGTATTTATATCATGTTATAATGGAAGTTTGTGTCTTTTTTTTTTTTTTTAATTCATTTGAAGATCAACGAGCCGAATTAACAAATTTATTTCTTAAAAAGAAATTATTATTTTTAGTCCTAGGTTTAGATAGGAATATATCATATGTATTTTCAGAATCATACCTTCTAAAACCTTTTCGTAATCCCCGTTGTGATTATTGTCTAATGGAGAATATTAGCTAATCTAAAATAATAAAGTGTACTTAGTACATAGTACACATTCTTTGTACATGGCTAGATTTGAACTGGAATGGCAGGTGTGTAATTAATGACATATGAACTATGTTTAGACAACTCAAAGCATCTACTTATAGTTTTCCTGTTGTCCATTAATTTATTGTCTTTGCTTTCAAAAATGCCAAACATAGGTAATTCAAACTAGGGTTTCATTTTGTCTCTTTTATTTTCTAATCCATCAATTAGAGAGCTTCAACCCATGAAAATGAAAAATTGATGGGTAGGTATAGTCTAAATGAAATATGCTTGACAAGGCCATTGTAGCTAGAAAATGTAACCCCAAATCTCAAAATTATATATACATATATAAGAAATTCTTCTTGCACATGATCCTCGATTTAAATGATAAAGTTAATGTTCCGAGATAATAGTTTCAGGTTCGAACTGTCTACCCTTATTTCTATAACTTGTAATTTCTAAGAAAAAATTAAATTTGGCATTCTTAGAGCAGCCAATGAGATCCTAAGTTGACTAGGTCTATCCAATAAGATGTTTTTATATAACTTTTATTTATTTATTTATTTTTGTTTTTATAGAATTGAAAGGTGGGTGGCTGGTCAGAATCAGTGAAAGGTCACTAAAAACAAAAGTGAAATATACAAATAAGTATAAAAGACATGTGAGGGTGTAGATATAATCTTTTAAAGAGATAGGGTTAATTAAGGAGGAGTTGATGGGTTTTGGCATTTTTACTAGATTAACTAGTGAGTTAGGAAGACATATATAAATTGGCATTTTCCTAGGAAAGGAGGCTTCTTGTCTTGAGTGGTTGCGGTCTTAACAAGGTATATTGAGGGTGTTTTCAAGGCAAAGGCAAAACATTTTGGAGGTTAGTGTCTGGGAATTGTTCAAAGGGAATTTCCATTGCATATAAGTTAAACTAATTTTAACTCGATTGAAACAAAAGTTTGTGTAAAACTTAGCAGATTGTGTAGGTCAAAACAAATGAAGATGGACCCACAAGAATGTTTTTCATATGTTAAAGATGGCATTTTGGCAAATTCTTCTAGCTTATAGCTTACCTTTTGCTAAGAACAAGAGAGCATAGATAATTAATATGGCAGTGCATAAGAAAAGAAGAAACAAACAAACAAACTTTGCCGACATAAGTGTGTTCTGAAAGATCTTGAATTCAAGTCCTCTCGACTATAAGAGTTTCACCAATTTAGTGAGTGTAGTAAAAAAATATTATTCCGTTCGATGACCCTTCCAATGAATTGAAAAAAATGAAAAAGGGTTTGATTGGAAAGTAAAAACATTTTGGGTTTATGAAGAGAAGAGCCCATGTCTACTCTTCAACCCAATAACAATCAATACATTATCAACAAGCAGGCCATAAATAAACTAAGTTGCTGAAACTCATGAGTCATGAGCCAGCCCAAGGCAGAGCTTGAAGCCTTTTGTTGTATTCCATATGAACAACCTTGAGCAAATATTCCTTATTTAAAGCCCATGTAATTAGGCAAATCACCAAGATATGACCAAATCAGTTAAATTAAGGTTCTGGTTTCTAAGACTACTATTTTAGGCATTTGCATGTTTAAAGAAGAGCACAAGAGTAGTCTCATCTTTGACATTGGCAATGGTTTGGCATAGGAAATTATGTATTGTGTACTCTAGTCCAGGACATTGTTACGTTTACGGCAAACCTTTATTTATACGTATGGGCCAAAAAAGAAAAACATTAATTGAACGAAACATCAACATAACCAAACCAACAATCTCTACTTTGAACTTAAAAATCCATAAATAGAGGAGAGGAGAATCCAAAGACACTCTCTCTCTCTCTCTCTCTATATATATATATATATATACATTCTTGATTCTTGTTTCTTGTTTCTTGTTTCTTGTGTGTCCTAATTATCAAAACAAAGAAAGAAAAGAAAACAAGATGGATATCTTGCGTCCTAAGTTTTTCTTCATTTTGTCAGTAGTCTTCTTGTTCGTGTTATTTCCTTGTCCTTCTTCTTCATATTCCTTGCCTTCAACCATCGTTAACTCCATAATCCAACACCATAATCATACAGGAATATCAAGTTTTCGAGTCTTGAACAGAAGAGCTTTGATTGCATGTCCATCTGAAAACCCTTATGCACAAATCAAAGTCACTTCATCGCTAAACTCTACTCATGTCTCAAATGAAGAATTTGTCACTGTAACTGTTACTGGAGTTTCCCATCCTTCAAGTGATCACTGGGTTGCCATGATCTCACCTTCTAACTCTGAGTACGTAAAACCAAAAAAAAAAAAAAAAAAAAAAATCAACACATCCCGTCTAACTCCATAAACCACCACCATAATCAGACAGGAATATCACAGTTTTTAGGAAGCTCTTGCAACAGAGAGCTTTGATTGCGCATGTCCATCTGAAACCCCTTTGCACCAACTCAAAGTCACTTCATCCGCTAAACTGCTTACTCATGTCTCAAATGGAAGAATTTGTCACGTAAGCTGGTTACTGGGAGTTTCCATCCTTCAAGTGATCACTGGAGTGCCATGATCTCACCTGTCTACAAACTCTGAAGTACGTAGAAACCAAAAAAAAAAAAAAAAAAAATGTTTTGTATTATAATTATTAATTAACTATACTATAATGATATAAAAAAAAAAAAAAAAAAAAAAATGTTTTGTTATATAATTATAATTAACTATACATATAATGTATATGTGTGTGGAACGTGCAGCGTGAATAGCTGTCCTCTGAAGAAATTTGAATATGTACAGACTGGAGATCTTAGTGAGCTCCCTCTACTCTGCCACTATCCTGTTAAGGTATGCATTTTTTTTTTTTTAATGTTCTTTGTTTTGTGTATCATCACAAGTTATCCTATTCCTAATAAATGGCAATTCAATATCCTCATCTTCTTTTATGCCTAAAGTTGCCAACTTTTCATTTAATGCCTATTCATTCCACACTATTTAACTAAAAAAATATAGACCCACTATTATTCTAAGTAAAGCAATAAAAGCATTATGGGAATAGAAGCATTTAGGAAATGGCCTGTTGACATCAACAAACAAAACCTCTACGCAATTCAATAATTTGATTAGGGATGGAGACCTTTTGTCCTTGCTCTAATTAAATCATTCATCTTTCATCAAAAAGAATAATTATAATGTTATATTTATAAAAAAAAAAAATATTATTCCAATAATATATTTCATCAGGGAAAAATATTGCAATTAATTAAATAAATTCTTGTAGTAAAGAAAAGCTTAATCTGAGTTCTTGAATTTGCAGGCAGAATTTGTGAGCAATGATCCAAACTATCTAAAATGCAAGAAAAAGGAATGCAAAAATTACGATGACAAGAAATGTGCTGTGACAACTTGCAGTGGTACAATAAAGTTTCATGTGATCAATATCAGAACCGATATCCAGTTTGTGTTCTTTGCTGGTGGATTTGAAACTCCTTGCATTTTGGCCAAGTCTTCTCCCTTGAAATTTGCCAATCCAAACACTCCATTATATGGACATATTTCAAGCGCAGATTCTACAGCAACATCAGTAACCATTCTTTTCCTTTTTCTTTTTCTTCTTTCTTCACAAGTTGAAGCAAATATATATGTCGTTTTATACTTAAAGCTTCAGTTTTGGTGCAGATGAGAGTAACTTGGGTTAGTGGCAGCAAAGAACCTCAACATGTACAATATGCAGATGGAAAAGCAGTGCCATCCCAAGTTACAACATTTTCCGCGAAAGATATGTGCAGTAAGTTAATTCCTGCCCATTTTCCATTCTCATTTTTGCGGGTTTAAATATGTAGAGATTGATAATCTTGTAATATAGGTTCTGTCTTTCCAAGTCCGGCTAAGGATTTCGGGTGGCATGACCCTGGCTACATTCATTCTGCAGTAATGACTGGACTAAACCCTTCAAGCATCTTCACTTACAGATATGGAAGGTATCTGTCATGTTTGATGCTGTTTGCTTTTAGAGAAATTTATTAATTGACAGTGAACTGAGATTATAATAAATCTCTGGAATTCAGTGATTCAGTTGGGTGGAGTGAACAAATACAGTTTCGGACACCACCTGTTGGAGGATCAAATGAAGTTAGATTTCTTGCATTTGGAGATATGGGAAAAGCACCTCGAGATGCTTCTGTTGAACACTATATTCAGCCAGGATCCATGTCTGTGGTTGAAGCTATGATTGAAGAGGTAAAAAGTGGGAAAGTAGACTCAATCTTCCACATTGGAGATATAAGCTATGCAACAGGATTCTTAGTTGAGTGGGACTTTTTCCTTCACCTTATAGCCCCATTGGCCTCTAAAGTTTCATACATGACTGCAATAGGAAACCATGAGAGGTAATTATAGGCTTACACGAAGTCGTCTACTTGTTATCCCATTAATGTATACATTATATGCACTAGAATGTTTAATGTTGTGGCCAAATTAACCTGTCAATCCAGGGATTACATAGAAACAGGATCAAATTACATAACGCCAGACTCAGGTGGAGAATGTGGAGTTGCTTATGAAACCTATTTTCCAATGCCAACCCCAGCAAAGGATAAGCCGTGGTACTCCATTGAACAAGCAAGTGTTCACTTCTCTGTAATTTCAACCGAGCATGATTGGACTCCCAAATCTGAGCAGGTACTTTTTCTTCCACTTTGATTTTCTCTGCTGCTGCTGCTGCTTTATGCAATAACTGATCATATCACATACTACTTCAATTGTCAACAGTATCAATGGATGAGAAAGGACATGGCTTCAGTTGATCGAAAGAAAACGCCTTGGTTAGTCTTCGGAGGGTAAGTTGAGGAGATTTTTCTTTTTCTCTTTTTTTTTTTTTTTCAATTGGTTGAGGAAGATTTTGCTTTTCTGCTTTTTTTTTTTTTTTTCAATTTCTTTTTCTTTTTTTTTTTTTTTTTCAATTGTATATACACTTCAACCTCTCAAACTTTGACCATGAACTGCAGGCACAGACCCATGTACTCATCTGATATGTCAAGTGTGGATGGGAACTTTGTTGCTAACGTGGAGCCATTGTTGCTGGAGTATAAGGTTAGCTAGCTACTGCATCTGAATTGAATTAACTGGATGGTTCAAGTGTTTAATATTAGTAAGTGTACGTGTGTTTAGGTTGATCTGGTGCTGTTTGGTCATGTTCACAATTACGAGAGAAGCTGTTCTGTTTATAAAAACAAATGCATGGCAATGCCTGAGAAAGATGCAAGTGGGATTGACACTTACGATCACAACAGTTACAAAGCACCAGTGCATGCTATAATTGGCATGGCTGGCTTTACTTTGGATCATTTCTCTCCTATTGTAAGTTGATTATTCTCTTTTAAAATGCAGGACAAATCTATTGATCTTTTTATTAAGGAAACTTACTCCAATTTCATCCATGGTGGACAGGTTCCTGAATGGAGTTTGAAAAGGATATCTGAATTTGGGTTTGCAAGAGTTTTTGCATCTAAGGAGGAGCTCAAATTAGAGGTTAAATCTCAAGAAGCTTAATGCAAAACTTTCATTTGGTGTGCGCTTGTCTAACCCATTTCCCTTATTTGCAGTTAGTGAATTCAAATACAAGACAAGTTGAAGACACTTTCCGGATCATCAAGAAGCAAAATAGATAGGTTGTTCCTTCCTTTTTTCCTTTTTTTTTTTTTTTTTTTTTTTTTTTTTTTTTTTTTTTGAAAAATTTTCTAAATACATAGATTCAAACGCTAAGACTATGACTATAACCCAAAGCCAAATGAATAAATAGTTAAGTTTTTTTTTTGGTTTACGTTGTATGCTGTGCTAATTTTTTTTTTTAAAAATAAAAAAGGATGGCCCAAAACCGTAAACCTTTGCAACCAAGGAAATACACAACCTGGTGCTAGTAGGCATGTTTGCGCTGTCGCAAATAGAGCGATACGGCCGAAGAAGTCCGGTTTGTTATCGATGGAGCGGGAGAGAGAGCAAAAAAGAAATCAGTCACACGAATGAGGCAAATAGCATTTGCTTTCATGTCAGAGGAGAGTCAATTGGCATTTCCCATGCAGGAATGCGGTGTGGAAGATATTCCATAGCAAGGCACTGACAGAATGTTACCTGCTTTCCTAAGCATCTCCTCTTGGGCCTCTGAATATCCCATCCCTGCAAAGTCAGATGACTGATGTTAGTGAGTAAAACAACCGGAAGAAAAATTGGCAGTATAGAAAATCCAATCAAGTCACAGCACAAAAGAACAAAGATAATCAAATGAAACCGTGCAAATCTTTAAAATTAGAAACAATCAAATTCAGATCATTAACAGATACAGATCTCCATGCAAACCACTAACCCCCCAATAGAACCACTTAGCATAATACGGCCAGAGATAAAGGTTTGGGTTTTCGTCTTAATTTTTATAATTCCGCAAGCTAATATTCTAACAGGTTAGATCATCATCAGTTCCAATAAAGTTATAGGTCTCCGGAAAGTAAATAAAACTCACAAGCAAGAGAATTAGCACCAGCAAAGAGAGAATAATGTTGGATACAGATCTAAAAACAGCAGGCAATTCCTCGTACTTGTGGGACCTGCAATCACAATTTCAAGACAGAAAATAAATCAACTTAACCCTACGAGCAATTAGGCGTACTATCAATTTTAAACTCAAAAAGATATCCAAAAATATGACCCATGCACTCCGCCACCTACCATGAGAATATTTTGAAGGTATATCATGAACAAGTGAGCACCAAAGCCCAAATGGTTTTGGGGTGCAGATGACCCATAAATATGGAATTAGATTCTTCAAACAGAAGTTAACAGAATGGAACCCAGGTAAAAACGCTCTGATCTACAGAAATTGTCCGCACCCTCATGAGCGAAATGGCAAAAGTACGATCACTGACTGTCATTTTTCCCCAGGTCTTGGCAATCTTTGGATGAATTCAATTAAAAGGAGGGACAGACAACCAGCTTTTTTGAACTCAGTTTTCCAGGGGGCTCCCGACTGATAGTAACTGGAGTTAGGACTGAGTGAGATAGCCATAACTTTCTTGTAGTGTATCACCAACAAATTCGTTCCTCTAACGTCCAAATCCTCCTAGAAATCTCTGTCGTAACACTGCACAGGATTATAAAACAATTGAAGTAGAAAACTGGTTAGCACACAACAGGCAAGGGTTGCATTCCATCTGTTATATACACAACTAATTGTTCCAGACATTTTCTGTCAGAAAAAGATGGCAATGAAAAACAATTGAAGAAATAAGGCAGAGAATCAGTCCCAGACTCAGATATAAAAATTAAGTTCAACAAGGTTAACTCCATTGGACGACTTCAGTCCTAGATAATAATGAATTAAATAATCAAATGTTAAGTAACATGTTGAAGGCTAAGAAAGCTTTAGATAGAAAACCCCGAGGGAAACAAAGGAATTTTAATTGTCAGGTGATCCATAAGGATCAAAAAAATATGGAAAATTAGTATTAAACAACTGTTCCGCGTGGACCAACATCACAGCCTAATCCATGATCATATTGCAAAACCCACAACAGATGTGATGGTGGAGTCCAATTATCAAAATATCAGCTCCATATAATCGCATAAAAGAAACCTTTTTTTTTTTCCCTTTAACAAAAGATCAATGTAAAACGCATGTCCTTTTCAAGGGTATAGTTCAGCCAATAGGGTTATTAACATATCTTTGGTATAAAACATCCGTAACCCAATTCAAAAGCGGTTATCTTGATATTATCATTCAAGAACAATGTGGTTTGATTTTAATACAATTAATCATTACCGGGAACCTAAAACGTCAAATGACACCATAACATCTGCCGCAAAATATCAAAATCAAGATGTGACTGTAGAGGGAAAAAAAGCTTACGCCTGTTTTGGATGCTTTCAGCTGCTTCAGAGGAATTGGATTCAAACCGTTCCCACAAGATATATCAGCTTCTTAAGCCCGCATCTCTAACGACGATGCAAAATTTGTGCTTGAAATTGTCATTATGAAATGATTATGAACCCAAAATCAACAAGTTAAGCTAAGCAACTTTAAATTGCCCCATTCAAGGTAACGTTATAACTCAAAAATGTGTAGTTGCAATTGTTCAATAATCAACAATTGTCAATCAAATAACCTAAGCATGGCTCAAACAGGACCACTACCAAAACCCATACTGGGAACTTTCTTGCCATTTCAACAGATTGTATTTGTAGCCAAATAAAAAAGTGAATGACAAGATGTTGAAAAGAAAACTCAAAGTCCCTAAATGGATTTACAGAAAAACTCATAGAGCCTTGACTGATCATGGACATACAACAAAAGATGAGGGAAATAATGACTTGCATCGAACTACTAGAATGCAAATGAGAACATAAGTAAAGAATAATATATATGCTATAAATGGCTATCAGAGATAATTAAGATGAGAGGGAGGTGGCAAAAAAGCAACCAGAAGCCTCAGTTTCTGATCTTATACCGGTGGTCCCTTAATTGGAAGTAGCGCAAGTTCATCAACTTTCTTCCTCTCAACAAATTAAAAATCAAGCCATTATTCACTGCCCCGATACTTGGCGAGCTATCCAGATGCCCATCTCCAACACGTAATCCCTTCACCTAGGAATGAGCATGTAAATTTCATGTCAGTCATGATCCATATTGATCATAATTATAAACATTCCATTGCTGAAAACAAAGGCAGCTGCACCAAAGATCAGAAAGAGAAGTCCTATACTTCAAAAGAACTAAGGGATCCAATTGGCAGAGACACAAATTAGAAAGCAGAAAAGAATTCCAACAGAGAAGTAGACCAGTCTTCAGTTCATTAAAAAGGATATTCAGAAATACAAAGGCTAAAAATTTCAAGTTGTGCATCCCTTATAACATTTGATGGTCAGAATCAAAGCATAAAGGACAAAATGAGAAAAAATTTCTGAAGCAAATGGCAACTGCAGTGATCATGATTCTAATTTTGTGAAATCACTCGTGATTTACCAAAGTCATGGTGCTTGACATCTACCTAAGTGATACGATGCTGTTCAACAAAGGCTAAATCCTTTTTATCATAAATTCTGAAATTGAAAATAATTGCAAAATTTTTTAAGAAAGTTTCAGTGAACTGAATCACAACAGAGCAACAAAATCATTCAACCACACCGATTAACAAATAATTTTAGAACCCATTACTGGGTTGCATTTCCCCCAGCAGTTCCATAGTAACCCATTCAAAACCAAAACCATTCAAAAATCTGATTCGGACATAAATATAGGTAAGCTCTCAACCAAGCTTCCAAAGGGGAAAAGAAGTGTAAAAGATCAAACAAGCTACCACTATTTTATTTTAATGTCTTTGCAATGTTCTCAATAAGTTTACATATTTGACCTGGTAAACCATAAAAACATGAAATGATAAGTCAATGAACCCAAAGTTTAACAGCAATGTAATTACAGAGTAACCATAGATTAGTCACTAAAAATAGCCTAAAAGAAATTCCAAATGCAGAACAAAAAAGCAGAGAGTCAATAGTTTATTCAAAGCGAAACAGGCAGGTAAAACAATACCATTCTGTGTCATCTTAACCTAAAAGTTGTGGCAAGAGCCATTGTTGCCTACAAAAAGAAAAAAAGTAGATATCTACACCCTTGATATGTTTTTCGGGAAAAATTGATGATTTGAAATCCAATGCTAGGCGTAAAAAAGATATGCCCAAGCTAAGCAAGTTTTCCAAGATACCAACCCCCGAACGGCAAATTGTTTCTTCTCTTGCAATCGCAAAAATCATTGGATCATCTTCATACATATCCTCAAATCTTTGTTTCGCCTAAGCCTCCAAGTGGTGGCTTACTTAAACTTCAGTTTGGCTTCCAGTCTGCCATCCAAACGTTGTCTTTTTTCACAGGGATAACCCTACAGGATGACAGGAAAAGTAACTTAATATATATATAAATTAATAAATAACCAAATGTAATTAACAAGCAGTAACTTTTCTAAATGAAGAACAAAATGTATGTACTTAATGAATAAGTATTCAATACAAATGCCATACATACGGAGAGGAAGCAAGCTCATTCATGAGGTAAAGTGCATCAGTTGTGGAGCAGGACAGAATAGAAAGATTTTGGAATTGTTCCACCACCACAAGTCAAATCTTACGAACACTGCTGTCATGTCAACATCTACTTGAGAGTGAACAAGTCAGAAAAGGTTAAGGAAAATTTCCAAAGGGATGACCAATGAATTGAGGATTAATGATCCGATGTAAAAAGGTCAGGTTTCCCTACCATTTTAAATGCATAAGATGTGATGTCGCTTGACAATCCTTTCTTAATTTTGAGGAATCTGAAAAGGATGACCATATAGCTTGATCTTCTCGAAGACGACACAAGGGCTGCCGGGCCAGAGTGGATAAATCTTCTCCTTGTTTTGGGAAGTTTCGTGAAACTTAGCATAAAAGCATTAAGAAACTTGTTTCCTTAAGTATCCCAGCCGCATAACTAAACAGAACATTAAGTCCAAGAAAGAGTCAAGAGCAGAACTTAGAAATATAATAGCACCCAAAAATAAATAAAAAGCATTGCCTATGCATAAGAAAGAATATCAAAAGGCAAGAATCTTCTACTAAAGTACACCCTTGTAGTATTAAGAAGCAATGATATTCATAGTAAGAGAGACTTGCATTGAAGAAAAATATATAACAATTACTTCCCAAAAGTTCAAG